AAGAGATAGTTGAGCAAGAGGAGGTAGAAGCACAAATAATAGAGCAGATGCCGAAGCCTTCAAAGCGTGCTAGCAGGTGTAGCAAGTGTGGTACATCAGGCCATAACTCTAGAACATGTAAAGTAGAGTAGCCAGTATTGATATATAACATATCTGAGTTTCAGAGCAATTCATTGAGTATTCGTTGAGATAATCAATATTGAAGGTGGTTCATGTTGAAATTGGTGGCCACGCCCTGGGGGTGGCCACGCCCTGGTGCTTGGCGTTAGCTTTTCTTAATTACATAATCACCGAGGCCGCCGCCGACCCTGACAACCAGAGACCTCCGCAATGTTTGTTCTTCTGCCTGCCTGTGGCCGTCAAAAGGCAATGTCCGATATATCTGAACACCTAGGTATGTTCTTCTAATGGCATCGTAGCAAGCTAGCAGCAGAGCATCTCTGATCTGATCCAGAGGCCAGTTCAGCTTGCATCCGACCTGTTATGTTTAAGAATATCGAATGAACATCGACGTGGCCATTGGCTTAATGCAACATCCCTTGTATTTGCAAACGTACATTCATCATGAAGCTCTCCACTTTACTTGTACAATTTCTTGCGATATCATGCCAGACTTCTGCCTACACACTTCTTAGCGACGAAGCACTCCAATCATTGCCTGGACCCGGTCATGACTTCAATATCGTTGATGGTGCGATCTTGTCGCCAATTCTCCAGACACGTGTACCAGGAACTCCTGGCTCGTTGGCGGTGCTCCAACATTTCATAGATTTCTTCAGGCAGAACTTACCTGAATGGAAGATAACGTTCCAGAACTCGAGTCAAACGACGCCAATCTCGAAGGGCCAACTCGTACCTTTTGTGAACTTCATCGCAACACGTGATCCACCATGGGCCCAAGGACAAGGCGATGTGGGCAGACTAGCACTGGTCGCACACTATGACTCAAAACTCACGCCGAAGGGATTCATTGGTGCTATTGATTCTGCGGCACCATGCGCCATGATACTGCATGCAGCACGGAGCATCGATCAGGCACTGACACAGAAGTGGAGTGCCATGGCAGCTGCGGGTGAAGATAGGGCGAGTAACCTCGATGATCATAAGGGCGTGCAGATATTGCTGCTTGATGGCGAAGAAGCATTCGTGACATGGACTGACGAAGATTCGATATATGGTGCTCGATCCCTGGCCGAAGAATGGGAGCAGTCCTCGTACGGTGCTTTCAGCAATTACAAGACGGCGCTTGGCTCGATCGATCTCTTTGTGCTTCTGGATCTTTTGGGCTCTTCCAATCCGACGGTACCATCTATGTTCAAAACAACGCATTGGGCATACCGGCGCATGGCTGACATCGAGACACGTCTGCGGAAATTGAAGAAGTTCAGAAGCTTACGAAGCCAGCCTTTTCTGCCCGAACATGACAAGACTGAGTATGACCAATGGCATGGTGGCGCCATCGGAGACGACCACGTGCCTTTCATGGCTCGAGGTGTTGACGTGTTGCATTTGATACCACTGCCATTTCCTGCTGTCTGGCATACGATCAACGACGATGGCGAACATCTCGATGCCGACGCTGTAGAGGATTGGGCCACTTTGACTACTGCATTTGCTGCTGAATGGCTTGACCTCGAAGGTCATATGAACACAAAACTCGGTCCATCTACTGTCAACTCCAGGAGGAACTTAATTCACGAACATGACGATACTGAACTGTGAGTTGATTACGAGACACGCAAAAGCCTACGACACAGGATCTGTGCTAATGAACTACAAGACAGATAACATGATGAACCATACCCCATTGCAATGATCGAACCAGACTCTTGAAGCAGAAGAGTGACATTCGTGCTATCCTCCGCTTAATATCGTGGTCACATTTGTTGTGCTACTGTGTGTTGCTCATAAGAGCCTGCTGTGGTGACTGCCAGATGAACAGGGACAAGCAAGCTACACGTCTCCAGTGAACCTTCAGGTGCCGATTCAAATGCAGAGAACACGTCCACACATCGACATTTTTCCAGAGAGAGCTCATCCTACGGCGATCTGGAGCTGTCGCCGCCGGGAGGACTTGTACGATCGTTACTAGCAACGTAAAACATATTCTGTCTTGTGCGTGAGTTCTCTGCTCGATGAATGTAGATCGATGCAATAAGCTCGCCAAGGTTCGTATTCGAGCAATGTGTAGCGCATAGCACAAAAGATTCCGACGAAGATGTTCTCTATTCTGGACATTAAAAAGACGATATTGGCATATCCGATAGCTGGAGAGCAGTGTGCGCTTTGGAAGGCAGGTAGGGGTGTCATCAGTTTCTCTATCTTATCATATGGCCTTTGTCGGCGCGGTTTACCGTGATATGGGGCGATACAAGCCGAGAGAGCATAGTCAAGGTGATGATAGGCAAGTTTCTTGGCGCTTTGAGGTAACAGTGAAGGCCTCTGGAATTGTCCGTGCCTGTGACGTGGAAGTCAAAGCATTCCAAGGTTGTTGTTTATATCCGCAAATACCGGCCCTAAGCTCAGCAATGCCAAAAGCGCGGTGCAAGGCTGTGACACACATTGTTCTGCCCATCGTCGATCATCATCATTGCGCAATACCTTTTTCCTTTCTTTCATCTTCAGATCGTAGCGATCATAATTTTTTGAGGCGCCATGAGCTGGTTCTGGAGTTCCTCGCAGAAAGCGCAGTCTGACGACCCGTTAAATAAGCTCGATCCATCATTACGAGATTTTCTGGACAAAGAAACACCGTCAAAACACGAGACGCACGACGGCGACAATCAGAGACTATCACGCGACACGCAAGAAATTTCAGCTACAGGCGATGCTCATTCACCAACCCAGGATCCTGCAGCGGCACCTGTAGCACCTCCTCAATCGCTCTATCAAGATGGGCGTTATGCGCATTTGTGGAAAACGTATGTAAATCACCAAGACATCGAGAATGCCGCCAAATCAGATGCGGATAGGCTGGCAGAGATTGTCAGTGTCTATAAAGAGCGGAAGGCAGAGATTGGCCGCGCGGCTCTAGAAAACTGCGTCGACTTTCAGCTTGGAATCAAGGAGTGCTTCAGCTCAGGAACATGGACTCAAAAAGCTGGAATGTGTAAGGAGGAAAACAAGGCTTTCAACCGATGCTTTGAGATGCAAAGTCGCTTCCTCAAGGCACTCGGATATCTTGCCATACAGCGATCTGCGGAGGACGATGAGCGGATACAAATGCACGCGGACAAACTCTATCACGAGATGCTGGATAGAGAGCGCAAGATCGCGGAAGCGAAAGCGCAAGGCCTCGAGGAGCCGAGCCTACCTCCGTTGATCGAACCGCAGGCTACAATGAAGGCACTTGGAACAGACAGCGCGTGGGCGCAAGCACGAATGATTGCACAAGAAAAGGGACAAGAGCTTAAGTTGAGCTCGTTCTCGCCAGACAAGCAGGCCGAGATAAGGGCGCGACTGAAGGGCAAATCGAAGGCTGAGCAGCAACTGGAACTACAGCTCGTTGCGGGCGAAAGCCGAGCCACCCTGGACTACGCCATACGGATTCGTGAGCAAATGGAGGAGGAAAGGAAGAACAGAGCCGATCGGCGAGCTCGTGGAAAGGAGACTTTCGGCGACACCATCAAGAGATACTGGGGCTGGGAGCAATAGCTGCTGACCACACACACCGGAACGCGTGATAAGAGAGCAAGGTAGGCAGCCATGCATATCAATTCCTCTCGCGTGCACTGTGCAGCCGTGATATCACGTCTGCTAAGACCTATGATTCGTCGCCTGCGAGGGAGGGGTGTGAACCTCCGGAGCGTGCGCCGATACACCAATGAACCTCGAAATGGCCTCATCACGGAATAGTCCGTATAGGTTTGTGCACAGGAAGCGGGGGTTCAGCGCATCTGGCATTTCCTCTGATGACCGAGTACTTTGCGTCAGATGACTGCTGACTGCTGACAACGGATGAGCATGCTGTACTGCTGATTGACTCAATTCGACGCCGTGAGCACTCCGTCCTTGTCGGTTGTGAAGTGGAAGCATGTCATTCATAGGGCACGATTCGTCAGCCTCGAGCACATTGCACAAAACATAGCCAGGTTGTCATGAGCTGATTATTCATTTCGGCGCGTCTTGGGCCGGTCATTGGCATCTCTCTCGAGCATTGGAGTTCTTGCCATCACCACTAGAGGAAACATAGTCTATTATTGATCGGTAGGCTAGTCTTGTCGTTGTATATTTTCAGTCTTTTCTCATAGCCGAACCTCAACTGCTGTGTGACCTCGAACAACTTTAACGCACAAGTAAGCTTCGCAGGTATGGTACTTTCTTGATCATGGTGCATGTTGACGCCGGAGCTATACGCATCTCCAACCTACATTGAGTCTGTAACAGGCCGAGTGCCCGGTTCGTCTGCAATTGTGTGAGCATCCGTTGGGCAACCTGGACGACTGTGCCATCTCTGTATCCTCGAAATGAACCGCGGCGGCTGCTAGACTATGCCGCGTCAGAATCCCATTGAGCGAGTGGTCTTGCTAAGGGCTCTCATCCATCCTTCACAAGATGCTCGTGGTTTGGGCCTATCGATGATGCTTTGCCTGTGGTTGGGAATTTTGGTGCACTCGGCTCAGGCCCATGCGGCTGCCTACATGGTGCAACTCAAACTCTGCTTCCTTCCCCGTAAGCGTAGATCTCCGCTCGACCTCGGGATCTAGAGCTCCCAAGATGTGCCAAGTCCTTCGCTTTGTGAAGCACTTTGTGAAGCAGAACCATTCGCTCGAGGCCTGGACTTCATCCCGCCTATGAGCAAGAATCAGGGCTTACCGGACATTCCTACCCACCCAGGAAGATGCATGGACGGTGGGAATGACGTTCGGATTACAGCGTGGTGAGTCTCTGCGACAGTGTAGAGATTTACCCTGTTGGGCGGCAAGTTGGGATATGTACAGCAAATGAGCATACAGCACATGTCGTTGTGCCACAGGGTATTCGTGAAGCACCCCACGCTCATTTGGAAATGCCTCCATACCTAAGTAGCTGCGAGTCAGGCCGCAAAGCGGCCTCCGAGGATGTCGCAAGCATGTCGACTGGACATGGTTGGAGGGATTTTGGAGTGAAGGCAATATATACCGGCAGATCTGAGCCCACGATAGGTGCCACATCTCCATGCACACAGACATCCCAGCCCAATGCTTATTCCAAACAGTGCCACGAGGATTAAATGATGCAAGCGCTGACCCGGTCACTCATCCTCCTTCGTCCTTCCGAGGCCGAATGTAGTATGATGCTTATGGTGCGCATGGTGCTCAGAGCCTATAGTAGCCGGCCACGAGCACATCGGGCATCATCGGATTGTCTAGATAGAGTTCAGGGTGGAACACACATCATACCCACGATGTTCTTGCGACTTCAAGTTCAGCATAGCCCCGTACCCGAACGCGTCGAGTGCGTCTGACCTTACGACAATCCTGGGTCTGACTGTGCTGTGCTGCAGCCCTGATCAGCGTGTGCAGACGGTGATTATGTTGCTCGTCATCCCACACATGCACTCCCCGTGCTGTTGCTGTATGCATACAAGCCCAGTCGTGCAGGATGTGTTTGACGCCACTTCTCCCTCCTGATCGAACAGCCCGTATAATGCCAGCCCGGGAGCACAACGAGGGAGCGATGCGTGACTGAAGTCCGCGGGCGACAAGGAAACGTCAACGTGGGGTGACTCCCCCACTAATAACATTTTCCCTGAAGATCTCCAGGGCTCTCGTGAATGCAAACCGTGAAGCACACGACTACCGAAGTGCAAGATGACATTGACTCGGCTGCAGTCCAATGTTGCGACTCGCAAATCCCACGATGCATACATACCTAGCATCCCGCATGGTCGTGGGTGTGGGGCTTCCGCCCTACATGTAAGTTAGGTACAGAAAGATATATCCATGGATGTTAGGTATATTCGAAGGCTGGCGTGGTAGACCCTGCAGGCGCATTGCTCTGTTGCAACCCAGCTGCTCATCAGTCCTTACCGACAATATCCATGGTTGCCCAGGTGTGAACAATCGACATTTCTGACAAAAGACGATTTCCCGCGACGAGAACAGCCCATCACACCTGATCGCGTAAATAATCGTGCTCATTTTCTGCCAATTTCGTCGTGTCTGCCGACCTGCTTGGTCTTCGAGAGCCATGAACCATGCTTCCATATTCGCATGTGAGCCCCGCCGTTTCATAACCCAGGAATTCGCGATACAAGGACTCTCAGGCTTCAACTTTCCTGTTAGACGCGCCCACACATGCACTCATCATCACAAGTCACGCAAGTTAATAAATGTCTCACAAGTGGAAAGTGTCCGACACTGATCACCACCCACGAGCCATTTCGGTCTCACGTCCCGTGAATCCGACGCTCAAGAAATCCTACGTGGGGAATTGCGCAGTGCCCCACCAGTAGCGGGCGTGTCGTCATGTTGGTCAGCACTATGCGACCCGTTCGGCGGACGGCGGTTTGGCCTGCGAGGAATATCGGCCCCAACACCGACTACATTTTGCGTTTTGTCTGTTAATGGTCACAAGATCTCCCTCTCTCACAGAAGAGGTTGTGCACAGCAGTTCCGAGACTGTATGCCAAAAAGACAGATGAGTTGGGAGGGTAAAACAAGCCCGATTCACAACGTGGGCAAATATGCAGCTTCATGGCAATCCAGGTTGACACCGTGATGAGCAATGTGATGCGCATACATGTACTTTCAGCTGCTGACACTCATCTCGTTTAGATTGCCGCACACATGATCGGTGCCGACCCATCCTCACCTTGCAATCATCCAGATACATAAACCTGCAGGCTTGCATTGGCGTCCTGCACCCTCACCGTGCTTCTGCAGACTCATAGGGACTTGCATCACAAGGTCCAAAGAATTCCCCATGTCGCCTAGTCGTGGGTCACTGCTCGAAATGGGAAATATTGTCCAATGGAAAAATGTTCTTGAGAAACATTTATCAATTATGCACCCGGAATGGTCTGCACGGCAAGCCGTGATGCTGCGGTAGATTGAAGCTGATGCCGACATGACCAATTACCGAGCCGGCCGTCTGCATGCATGCCATCAACCAGCTCAGCGTGTGAATGCCCCGACCTGTGAATGGGGCAGCAATGCAGACGCTGTCAGCCACCACCACTCATAGCGGCTCATCATAGGCGAAGACAGCGCAATAGAAACAACGCAACATGGACAACGCAACACCAAAGTGACGTGTCGTGCACAGGAGCTTTTCCAGCGCGCGTTGAGACAACGGACGGCACGAGGTCAGTTATATTGAGAACAGTTGCAGCCCAACGCCTGCTGATCATCGTAATCACAATGCTTACATATGCTTCGCTCCGCTTGCGACCTAGGTTACAGCTACGTCTTGTTAATGAAGAGCCCGAGGTAGATCTGGTAGCACCACAGCTGGTAAACAAGAATCACAAATCTGATTATTTGACTAACGCCCATGAAATTCTTCCGGTGTGCAGCTGCGTGGACCATCTGACGTGCTGCCCGCATGGACTAATGTAGAGTGCTCTAGCTGGGTACAATATGCATGTCATTCCAGGCTGCTTTGCAAACCTGCATGCACGGGATGCACGAAATGTGCTGGACGGTCGACATGATCGACCCAGTAAAGATAACCGACAATCTCAGCGCGATCGAGACACTATCGAATCGAGCGCCCACGAGATCGAAAAAGATGTCACAATGGAATCTGAAGGGAGTCATGGTAGCCTCGACGGCGTTCGTCTTGCGTGTAGACAATATTGACGTTTTTGAGAGGGAACCATACGTGCGCGCGCGCGCCGTTGAGCTTTCAGATCCGATCGCACGGTGCATGCAATATCTGCAGGGCTAGCCTGCTCCATCACAACCAGAAGCGGGTTGTTTCCGAGGTTGGTAAAGTTTGATGTTGAGTCCCACACATGTCATCGAGCGGAAACACCGTCTTCCAGGCTTAGGCGACTGTGCACTGAGCGCATACAGTGTCTAAAAGTCTTGGTGCAATGAGCAACGAACTCATCGCACACCGACATGGTCACATGACTTGCCTGCGCTGTTGACCGACCGTTGCGACCCTCGGGCAGCGCTAGCAAATGTCCGGGTCTTTCGCAAGGTTGCATGGCTGCCACTACTCGAGTAGTTCAGCACCAGGCTCGCGGATTTGGGATTTAACCAATGCGGTACCGGCAAGCCTTGGAAGTTAATTGATTCGGTGAAGAAGTCTAGGAAGTATCTCGAGCAGGCCGGATGAGGAGGACGTCAACCTTCTATCCACTCGCGATAGGTGTCAATGCATCGTTTCGGACGTCGCAAGCGCTGAGAGAATGGGATGATTCGGCCTCACTCCGCCATCGATAAGTAGGTCACGTCACCTGCATGTCAGGACGAGACAACGCATCGGCTGCACTCAGCTTACGGCGCGGTCAATGATAACAGCACACGGCAAAATGAGGAGAGCGAGTCGTCTGTTGAGTACCGGAATTGTGAGCCACGCCGCTCTCATGTTCACTAGATGTGTCTAGCTTGCCGGACCGCAAGCTCCATGCTCTGCTGGCAAGGATCAGTCAATTATTTGGGAGTCCCGCCCCTGTGGAGCGGCACACCAGATTTGACGGAGACACCATGATGGGAGAAGCGTGTGGGTGTCGCATTCGTGGACACATCTGTCTATCCTGGTGGTCGATACAGGTTCAGCAGAGGAGGGGATCAAATCATTCACAATTGAGCTTGTCGAAGGCTCAATGCCTTCCCGGATTACGGACGTCCGGCAGCAGGCCCTGTGATCCGCTCCTGCTGATTTTATCAACAAGCCATTGCTGGGGCATTCCACCAACGACAACTGGATTCGAGTGTCCAGACCACATGTCAGCCGCCGGGACCCAAGATTCCAGCGGTCGCAGGAAGCGGAGCGGCCCACGATGTCCCGATCTGTTCTTTGCTTTTGAAGACTGCTAGTTCAGCGGGAACCCTAGTTTCAGCTAGCTGGCAGGCGGTCATTCGCAATCAATATAGCAGTTGAGATCGCGAGGACATTTCGAAGATGAGATGCGCCATTGTGGGCGTCCATTATGTCATATCATGACTTTCAGGGAGTTTGACTCGCTCCTATGCTCCATGGAAATAATGGCCATCAGACGCGGGCGTGGGTGAGAGGAGATTATGCGTGGGTGATGGTCAACCTCCTCTACGTAGCCCAGCTTGAAACGGGATGCCCATGCTGGCCGGAATACATGGGTGCACACCAGGAACAGACCAGGCACTTCCGCCCGCCGATGCCCTCACCAAGGCTTGAGGGAACCGTGATGACGGCTTAGCCAAATGTTATTGCACCCACGACGACCAGTAGTACGGGATTGCAGGCTCGCCTGTGGACCCGTGGCGGTCGGACGTGCCTGTGAAGAGGTCAACGGGCGAGTGCGTGCGTACATAGGCTCTACTTGAGATGACCACGACTGAGCAATGATATTACACGGAGAGCAGTTGGCAAACGGGATTTGTCGCAGGTGGAACGCGGCGTGCGCATCTTTAGGACAAGAATAATGAGGAGGAGGAAGAAAGGAGGAGCTAGTGCTTTGATGGCCATCATCGGCACTGTCCCGAAGCACCAGCTCGTGCGACATCTTGGCTCTGTGCGCTGCGCTATTGAAGGACGGTCGCTCGGCTACTTCTGCATAGTTCATGGACAGTATCCGCGGTTGGCATCACCACCGGCGGCCAGTGTGTTGGATGTCTGTGTGCGTGTGTGTGTGCGCGTACGTGCGCCAGGCATCTGTGTGTGGACTATTTGCGTGGATATGTGCACGCAGGGATTATGTATATATATCTAGGTACCTACTCACTCTCACACCCCCCTCCCCATCCCCCGGTTCCTTGGACCTTCTGCGAGTGTGTGGCTGTTGCTGTCATCATAATCGGGCGCCCACGAACATGTGTTTTGACGCTGGATTGGGGCACTTCCGCCCCACCCACCCGGCAATCATCATGTCCTGCCCGCAAGCCCCCCTATTAGCGGCACAGGCAGTGCCTCTCTTCTCTTCCCTTGACGTGAACTTCAGCACTGTGGCCCACCCGGCATGCACCACATCTCTACTGTATAGTACCTAGTACTCATGCAGGCCGTGAGACGTGGTATATTCCTATCACCGGCTTTCAAATTATTCGACGTGCGAACTCCGATGGGCACGCATATGTACCTACCTACGTATCCTCCAGCCATGCATTGTCCATGAACGTGCTCGCCCGAAGCTACATCTCGTCACTGCCTAGCACCTGGCCAGCATTTGGTAGACTTCCATCCCGCGGGCCGTGACACTCGGCGCAAAAGTCTCTTTCACGTTTGCGATCCAGCCGTTGTTGACCAACAGAAGCCTACTTGCCTCGATGTCCGTTAGTCCTCCCTTTGCACAAGCTAGACTTTTTCGTCGTCGAGGAACCCCCAACTTTGGACTCCCAGGTCCTGGAATGCCCCCCCCCCTGATGAGCGACGATGACGATGGGCCCTCGCCTGCGGTCTTGCATCAGGGCTCGGCTGTCACGGCTACCCAACTGACGCCAGAGGTCTCGATCGAATTGCAGATTTTGAAGGTAACGATGCAGCGACAGGACGGAGGAGGTCTCATTGCACGATGGCCGTCTGCGCCCTTCTGACATTCGAGAGGGGACATCGGAAAAGCGTGTGAGCGGTGTAGACGCAGACTTGTAGCAAGTGATGCGATCTTGGCCCTGCGTCCGCTGCCAGAACGCTGGCGACAATCCCATTGAACACTACCGATCCAAGTGATGGATGCTTTGCTAGTAAAGACTACCCGGATAGCAAAAGCGGTCATTCACGCATCCTGTTGATTCATCTCATTAACGAGAGATGCTCGCAAATTGGTCAGGTCATGTCGTTCGCCTGTGCTTGCGCCGACTTCATGCAGGCGTCGACTCTACACCACAGAACCACTTCTATAGGCCAATTTGGAAATCACTTGCGCGCATCGGTTACTTGGACTACCTCAAGCAACCTCTAGATCGATCGCGCTTGTTCATACTTGACTTGTTGTTAACACTTCTGTCTTTCCTTCCTCCCTCGCGGATTTATGATTGCCACTATTCCTGTGAACCCTTCTACGATCGCCTCTGGTCCCCAACTTGTTCCACACCTGTCGTCAGACCACCCACAAGCCCAGTGCTTGGGATCGCGCCAACTCTATCTACTCGACTAATACTACTTGTTGTCGTCCTGGGCCCAACTTTGGTTGTCGTCAAAGTTCTAACACTTTTTGACTGAACAACCGAGACATCACTTGTTGTCGTCGCCATCCGACGCTCACTCTACAACTAACTCACTGAAAGGACGCTCAAGACGTCCTTTCGAATCATTCATCCTGGCTGCTACTCAGACCCATTACTACCACAGTCATTACCACGAGCCATTCCCTCACAGTCTAGATCAAATTTCTGAGCCCAACCACGACGTCTCTGAGTCTGTAGCTGTCGAACGTCGAACGTCTTCACATCGCTCATCTCCATGGTCGGACTTCCGGCACTACAGCAACGAATCGTCACGGAGAAGCCATTTCATGTCAGATCGAGCTTCAGAGCAGACCCATCACAAACCAGCTCGCCCGACTATACAGGACGAGCGCACAAGCAACCCAGACTCGCGCGCTCCGGAGCGCGAGTCCGTCACGTCAACAAGCGCACCCGTTTCTCATGCACAGAGCGAGTTTCGCCCGCCTCTTCGGCATGCTCGAACAGTCGAGCTCCCGCCGCTGCCGCAGGCATTGGGAGCCATCGGCGGCGGCTTCTCGCCAGCTCCTCGTTCTGCTGGGGTCGCCTCCATGTTGAACCCGGTCAATTCAGATGAGGTCGAATTTGAGCGCCGGCGCAAGTATCCGAAACTTGATTCACCCACTGCATCAGCGACTGCTTTGCCACCTCCGGCTATCAGTGAGCAGTCTCAGCGAAGCGTGACTAGCAATGCAATCCCTCCTTCGCAACCTCCAGCGAGCAATCTAAATGAGCCAAACTCTCGGAGAATACTTACTCCAAGATCGCCTTCCATGCATCGCGCTGCAAGTCTTAGCCAGCTGCATTATTCCGCTGCCGCGAACCTCGGCGCACAGCAAGGGCAGAACTCTGGTTCGCCACACGGTCGTACATACTCTGTCGAACCGGGTGTCGCCGGTGTGCCCGCTATGCCAACTCCGTCCGCTGCTATTCGACAGTCGTATGGCTTCCCTTCCCAGATGTCGCCGGTGATCCGCGGTCAAGACAGCGGCGGTGCTGGCATCGCATCTGGCGCTGCATCTGGGAGCACAAGCCCAACATCATCCTACAGTCAAGCAGGTCATGGCTCTCCAGGTAACTATGCATCGGGACCGAGCTCTGCAGGACCACACGCATCGAGGAATGATCCTATGTACGCACCGCGAAGCGCATCGTTCTCGGTGGTCGCCTCTGGTGGTTCAGCCGCTTATCAGATGATGACTATTCCAACCAGCTCTGGGCCTGTCCAGCTGCCGGTCGATGTGCAAGCCGCTTCAAGGGTTGCCGACGACAAGCGGAAACGAAACGCAGGAGCCAGCGCCCGGTTCCGCCAGCGGCGCAAAGAAAAGGAGAAGGAAGCATCAACCACCATCGCCAATCTGGAGCAGAAGCTCAAGGAAGCCGTAGAGGAAGTTGACTTCTATGCCCGGGAATGCAACGTTCTCTCTGCCGCGTTGCTTCAGGCGCCTGGAGGCGACCGACATTTTCCTCGGCCGATTTCGCCTCGCAGACTTCGTGGGAAATCTCATCGCTCCGCGAGCTCTGCATTGACCCACCATCACAGCTCGGATACCCTGGGCGAGAGAGGCAGTTCGGATGAAGGCCGAAATGTCAGGCGTAGAATCTCCATCGCGACTCTCCCGCAGGCTCCACCTCCACATCCTTCCACACAGCAATCGGGTCCGCCTTACCACCCTCAGCAACAGTATCAGGCACATGGCTACAGTCAACCTCACGCACCACTTCCCTTGGTATCACTGCCTCCCCTTCACTCGTCCACCAACGCGACACCAGAAGGCAGCAACAGCGGAGAGGCCGACACGGCTGCCAACTCTAGGCCTGCGCCGCCGTCTCATGGTGGTCGCGGACTCTTACCTGCGCCCCAGCCAAGCTCACACCTTCTCCAAGCGCCGCCTCACGCCGGGCCGTGGAATCCCTACGCTGCGGAAAGGCGGTCTGTGTCTGGTCCTGGCCCAACCCGAGACGGACGATGAACGCTACTGCTCATATGTTGATTTTTCTTTTCACGATTTCATGTTTCGGGACGGACGGCCTCTCCTGCGAAACACACAAGCACATTGAACGATGCTACAGCGATTTTGTTATCTGCATAAGATACCCAACCTCGAATTTTCCGCCTTGATTTCTGCTCGAAGCGCGTCTTTGTCTCAGCGCCTCGTTACTAAAGCCATCCTATATTTGGCTTTCATTTATAAATTGTCCTCAACTAGATTGTCAAGTAGCGGATCACACGATCCTATTCTTGTAAAGTAATTAATGCTTCCTCCATATTATTACCCTGTACACAATGGCCATATTGTTGATATCTAGCGACAACTCAGGCAGTCATGCAGCCTGTCACCGCCATATGTGTTGTCCTGCTTAGGTCGAAAGGTCTATATTGCGATGCAGGGCGGCATACGTTTTGATCGTCTTCACTCGCCAACTTTCCAGCACTGCACAACTCGTATAGCTTCGCATCCGACATGCGCAGCGCCATGGAAGCCGATCGGCACGACAATCCCCTCCTCGTGGTCGTAATCGTAATCATGGAGTTGGGCGTCACCACACACCACCATTGTGGTCAATAATAAATTGCGACTCTCTGGACCACCACTTTCTCTTCGAAAGCCGGGACTTGGGACTATTGGCACATCCCCGTCCCGGACGGGAGCGCGGATCAACCGCTTGAACGACTAGTTGTAATCTCGAATTCATGGAACCTTGGGATCCCTGACGGGCAAGGATGGCCCTGCGCGGCCGGCAATGTGAAATAACGCGACATACAGTAAACACAACATTCCAACAACGTTCCATCAATGATGCACACCTCGACAAAAAGAATTTGCTATGTGTTTTGTATGAGGTGCCTGCCCCTGCACGTTCGACGGCCGTAACAGCGCAGGCGTGCATGAGCATTGACGGCCTTGATCTGACCAAGAGATGCCACTCAATCGTCTACGATTATACGAGATATCTGCAAGGAGGCGGCACAAGCGAGTTGTTGGCCTTGGCCTCACCGACGTTATGTCGTCGCGAGATAATGCAGGCGACGTGACTCCGCCATGCAGCAAAGAAGGATTGCGGCTGCGTTATAGCGGATGGGCCACATGCGTCTAGGCACAACATTACCGTTTCACCGCTGCTTCGACACCCTGCTGCTGCGGTCGGTATGGCGGCATCGCGTACGATGACGATGCATGTTGGAGGACCCCCACGACCGCGGAGAACATTTAGTGACCCATGCTAGAAGGGATGACACATTGTATTTCCTCGGCCTGGCGAGGTACCACAACGAAGACAAAATCTGTTCACTGGATGCGTTGCTCGGCCTGAACCTTCAGAGTCGCTTGATGACAATGACAGCGATGTCAACTCAAATTTGCGCTGGCCCGTGGCAGTCCATCCCTCTGCGATCGACAGCACACGCAGACCACCATGCTGACGGACACGAGAGTCGGTAAGGTCCGTGGGTAGTCGTAATCATGTAGTGATTAGCTTGACAATCCTTCGGAGAGCTAACACGATCCCCTGTCGCTCGAAAGCCGATGGCACGGAACGTGTCACGGTCTCGTGCCCGATGGAAGACGCAACACGAGACAATGATAAGCAGTCGGGCGTAAGCGCTACGGCACTTCGTCACACAATCCCGAATCACATCCACCTGGACTGCACTGGACTCCCCTGTCTGATGTGATACAGCCAACGGGCCCCGAATGTTGCAATCATTGCGAAACACGAGAAATTCCGTTCAGCTGCTGATGTTCCCCGAGCGGGCCCTCCTGCGAAAGGCAACGTCGGCGCTACTGCAGACATGCTGAGGACAAATTCATCAGACTCACAGTGCCGCCCGCGCGGCTCGGCTAGTCCCGCAATTGGCTGTCCACTCCCGCCCGGACTTTACACTGTTTTCCCGTTTCGACGATCTCGAGACAAGACGGCCACACTCGTCATAATCCATGGATATTGATTGCGGCATGGAACGTTGCATGAGAACGCGCCGAAGGACACCGCCGCCAGTGCAGACGGCCTGACGGGTCCCTTGCAGACCCCAACAAACCCACTACAACAAGTATGAGGCATTTCACTATGCAAACGCACACAGTGGCACAATCGACAATCCTCAGCGTCATCTGCCGATGCTTGCATGATGTCTTGGGCTCAAGGAATGGCCCTAGCTCATCAATCAAATTGACGCACCCTGACCGCTGCTTTCCATGCTGCGGAACAAATCCTGCTTGGGACATGGAGGCCGACGGCTGACCGCCACCTCAGGCGAAACACCACGGCAATGACACTACGGTATTGCCACAGCGGACCCAGCAACCAGGGAACTGCTCCATGCTGCAGGCGGTCCTGCTTCCCCGTCGGAAGCGCCGTCGTTCATCGTCCGATAGCGCACCTCATTGCTAGGGCAGCCTTCAAAGAAACCGACTCGACGCCAAGGGACCGGGTTTTGCGCCCGGCTCATACGGGGCGCAAATGACAAACGGCGCCATTTGCTCCCCCGGTACATTCGTGTTGGATCCTGTCGGCCAATGGAAGCAATACATGGAACATGTCCATCAAGTCCGTGCGAAGGGAGGGAATCGCTGACACCGATATTGAGATCGACTCTACATTGGGCTGCACCGTTCCAACATTGTGAGAGTCGTGACGATATTGGGCGAGGTTCATGAGCACGTTGCCGACGGTCACGAATCACTCGCAGCCGGCAAGCTTGGAGCTATAGTTCAAGTCATTTGGAGATATGTTTATGTCTGTCCGCCTGCGGATCAACAACTTTATCTGTGTGCGTGGCTTTGGTCAACTGCAAGCTCTGGTTTCTACCACTGTTCGCACCTGCGCTGTGACTTGTGTCATCGACAGGCAAGATTGTTCTACGAGACCTGCGCAATAGATGCATCAGAAGTCTTCCCTGATTTGCAATTACCGGTATGTGGCTCATCCACATGATCAGGCGTCCCACTCAACTCGGACGGCCCGTCGGATCGACGGCATTCAATATAAATGCCAGCAAGTATCGATGTACTTGCCAAGTTGTCAATGCGAAGACTCATGTGTTCTGCTAAGTAATCTAGATCCTTCCAAGGGCGCACCTATGGAACATGGCCGAAAGATCCGAAAGATAGACTATGACAGAGCCGTGAATTGAAATACATTCGATTGTGAACTCCGCGGGAACTATGTCACGTCCCGAGAGCTAACAGACCCGTTGAAAACGTGCTCCAGTCACAAGACAAGAACTTTGGAAGACACGACTCGTCCGCGTAGAAGCCGCGCGAGATGATTCATAATGATGGGCATCAGTATATTTTCGGGCCGAACGAATCACACCTCGCATCTACAAGAACGCGCAGATAACCTTCCACTTGACTTGGCCAGGCTGGAATATTGACCATCTATCTGAAACACTCGTTCGCCGGTGAGTATTGGCTGGGCGCGCAACGGGCACTCGCTTGGGGCCTCAATGACCCATGGTCCAACATCGGAGGCGCTGCCGACCATCGTCCCTTGCTTTGCCTCTGCGCAAGGGCAACGGGCATTCTAAAGTCGCTGCCGCAGGTACCTTATTTCGCTCTCTCTCTCTCTCTCTCCCAGAGTGAACGTCACGCAACGGGAGGGGGGTTTGGCACGGATGCTCCGGCACTTACAACGTTACAACAACAACATCGACAACGCCCACGGTCGGCATCCCTTGCGTGTGCCATGGCTGTGTCCATCGGGAACTGTAGGACCATGGCTGGTCAGGCCGTGCATACGAGAACACTGCCCCGCCGCGAGTCATGGATGATGCCCGTTTGCTGTCCTTCGCGACTCAAAAAACAAATGCCGCCAGGAATCTTTGCGGGTCTCGATATGGAAAGAGCACCTCTCCCGGTGTGGGATGACGCCGAGAGGGGGAAAAAGAAAGCAAATTGGCTTGCCTGAGCTACCCATCGGTCCGTCGATAGTATCGCTGACTTCCTGACTTGACGTTGCGTGGGAGACTCCGTGTTTCCTATTTGAAATACCACAGCATATGACGATATGTTGTACACAGACGAGCGGTGATGAAGAGATGATGTTGAGAAAATCCCCATGCTGCGTCATGTGCGTCCTGCAGCAAGCGAGATTTGATTGGTGAAATGGTGTGAATTCGTGCAGCGATCCCAGCGAATTATGGGGCAGGAATTTCCTCATTGCTCCGATCGAGCGTTATTCGTGCATACGCTTTTCCTGCAGGTACACCACATCCCTTGGTGCGAAGATGGAAATACTACAACTATACTTCGCTGAAAGTGCGAGGGAAATCTCAAGGTCGATTATCGATGAAAGTGAATTGCTGTGTCACCATTACAAATATAAGATACACCAAATCGGTGTCTGTCGCAGGTCGCATTCTCAATGACGAGGATGTGGTTAGTCGCGCCTCACAGTATCGCTAGTGGTGAGAGGTGGTTGTGAGTGCTGGACATCAAACATGCAACATTTGCTCACATGCGACGAGTTTAACACCGAAAGCAGAAATTGTGGTCATGTCTTCGTTATGTACTCTACATAGCGCTGCTGCATGGAGCAATTCGCGCATATTTTCATGGTCATACGTGTTGGACGCGGAAATCTCCTCTCCATAGATAGCTACCAACGTGCAGGTGTGTGATGATGGTCAAGAATGAATGTGCTACCGACGGTTCCTCCTAAATGCCAAAGGCTCTTCATCATCGCTGACCACCATCATCATCCTACTCCCAAGACGACTTCGTTTCGTCGCTGGTGCGCCTGCGACTGGTTGATTCGCGGGTCGTTTGTTGGCTCCGGTGCGACTGCTGGACATCTCGGTGCTGGTCGGAGTGGGACTGGGTGCACCAGTAGATGCTCCAGTAGATTCTGCTGGAGGTAGGTCGTTATGTACTGCTCTCTCGGCGGACTCCTCGCGGCTTCGCTGCAGATGCCGACGGAATGAAAATGCATCGTCTCCAACTCGGGCATCATCCGCAACCGACTCCTCGTGGCGGAGAGTCCGAGAGGTGCTCGCAGTACCGCGCGGTGGTTGTGACTGAGATTGTGACTGCGACTGACTTTTGCTTCGAGCTGATGAATTTGACTGTAGCCAGTGGTTCTCTGCTGAACGGCTGCCTTGTCCGGGCACTTCCTCGAGGCCCACGAGAACGCGCGTAGGCTGTGCATACCCGTTGTTCTCAGAGCGTCGTTGGCCTTGAGGACGAAATTTCTTGAAGTTCTTCCGTCCATTCCAGGCCGGGTTCCAATTTGCTCGAACTTCGCCTGCTTCTGCAGTGGTAGGGCGTAGCGCACGCACTGGCAGCTCAAAGGTCTCGACCTTGGCCAGGTCTTTCAGCTCGCTGATATCAATGTCAAGTGCAGTCCGTAGTGATTCTTCGTCCTTCCGTCGCTCTTCTTCCTCTTTCTCGCGACGCTTCTTGATCTCGGCTTTGATGTCTTTCTCGAGGAAGCTCTTCTTGTGTTTCGATTTGGATTGCGTATCGTGTGCGACGCTAATAGCATCTCCAAATGGTCGAGCGAAGACATCTTTCTCGCCAGTCTTCAACGCTTCTGTGCGTCTTCGCTTCAACGCAGCTGCGCCAGGGAGCAGTTCATCAAGCAAGGCTCGCTCTTCATCACGCACAACGTCTGCCGGGGCACGCCGTTTTTTGTTGTTCGGCTCTACACCATCCTGCTCGTCCGGAGCATCCGGCGCTGCAAAGTAAGGCTGTGGCTGTGAAGCCTTCTCTGGTTCTGGAGAACTCGACTCCTCTCGCGCAATTTGGCTGGGATCAAAATCATTGAAACCTTTGAAGCGTGATTGGGTCACAATCCGACGAACTCGTTTCTTGGACATCGAGGGCGCTGTCTCCTCGACTTGAACTGTCTGTGATGTAGAGGGTTCTTCTTGATCCCCTTCCGCCGATCCTGCTTCTCTTGATGTCTGCATACGATCTGCGGCGGTCGATGTCTGTCGCACGACTTGGCTCGGCTCAGCGCTGATACTTGCATCTCGTAATGCCTGTCGCAACATGCTAGCATCGCCATCCATCACGGCGCCGAAAAATTCGCTTTGCTCGATTGATCGCTGGTCCAGCGCAAGATCGAGGTCGCAGATGAACGGCGCCGATCTACCTAATACTGTATCGCCGATCCGTACGACAACAATGCTTGCTGAGTCAGGACTCTGGTCGAGTCTGAATTTTTTGTCACCCTCCCTTCCAGCGATTCTCGCGATGACATTGATGACTTCTCTCAAAGCAGTCACTTCGGGCTCATATTGACAGAGAACAGCTTTTCCGCCACCTAATGTGACGACAGGCAGCAATGTGTCGTATTGTGCCTGGGAAAGAAAGACAAATGTCATGTCGACGAAGACGTTGCCCCTTTCAGGTCGAGGATGGAGAAATGTGTTGGCCCGCTTTACTGGTTCTTCTCCAATGGGCACTAAGTGGTCGGTTTCTGCTGGCCATGCGTCGTCCAGATTCTTCTCCAAATGACTTCGGTAAGGTATCCCTTCAGAATTCAGACCCTCTTCCTTATGACAGGCCCGCGCGAGATTTTCAACGAAGGAGTCGGTCACCAGCCATCTCGCCTGCAACAAAGCTTGCAACCCCATGGCTGTATTGCGCTTCTTCGCAATCACGTGAGTGGTGACATTGGCGATATAGGACATGGATAATTTGACACCTGCCTGCTCGAGTAGGCGCCGTTGTCCTGACAAGGGGTCGCTACTCTGTTTTGCAGTTTTAGAAAGGTTGGTGATGCTCAGGACAACGGGCCGCCAACTAAAATGGAACACACCCTCATAGCGGCCGAGTAATACAGTATGGTCTCCAGGCTCCAGGACGATGACAGATTTCACAATTTTGTCACCATTGATTACGGTTCCTGACTTGGAGTTGTCCTCGAGTCGTATGCATTGGCGCTTGTCCAAACGAGTGGAATCGCCGGGCTCGACGCTGTCGACTCTGATCACGAGATGAGAACGCGATACCGACTTATCCGTAATACACCTCCCATCTTTGATATCATCCTTGTCGCGACATCGCCGAAGAAAGGATTCTGAGCCGGGTCGAAGCCATTGCCGCTTGCCTCCCAAACAGTCACCGTCGCAAGCCAGCGTCCACATCTTGTCTATGAGCGAGATTATCGGATCGTAGGATCATGGCGAATGTGCTCTCGGAAACTCAGCGAGATCATGCGGATATGAGTCTCAATACGGACTGGACGATGCATTTGGAGCTTGGTGGAAGACTTCCTAGGTTGGAAACAGGTGCGGTGATGGAGGTTGACATCATCTTTAGCAGCAGCAGCAGCCTGGAAGTGCCTGCAGCAAGCACGCGACATGGGACGCGACTGGTTGATCGGGGTTTTCGGTAGGGTTGCAATTCCTTTTTGATGCCTCAACCCTAAAACTTTCTTCGTTTTGGCTCTTTGTGCCCCCCCTCCCTGCTGTTCTAAGGATATGAAACAACACGCGAACAGTCCCTGTAGCGGTCTCGCTGCGAGTCAATATCGATATAGGGCGCGCGTTGGTTCAGATGGGTAGTGCTGACCCAAAGCACAGCAACCCGGCACGATCATTGCACGAAATCCAACTGAAAAAGCCACCTCCGCTAAGACAGCACATAATGAACTGTCTTCGCATCTGTGACCATACATTCGCTGACGTGTGATCGCTTCCAGCCATCTACTCGGCAAACCTGCTGTGCGCGCCAGGAGAATCAAAGCCAATGCTGGACGCCGCGGATAAAGAAAAGTCGTCCAATATTTGAACATACTAGGTAGGCAATGTTTAGCGGGGATGGAGCGTGATGGAGGAGAATCAGGGACATTTTGCCATTACCCCACAATATTGCATGTGACAACGGTGGGTAAAATAAATGGGTGATTTTCTGAATGGTACTGGGCAAGATGTATTTCATTCCAAGGATCTTCATGTGAGGGACAGATATAAAGTCTTATTTAGTGCACTGATCTGGAATAATCGTTCGTGAAGTCTGCGTCGTGAAGATCTATCACTACAGCTACGCGATCTAGTTTAGCAGAGTTTCAATCTCCAGCAGCAGACAGCTCTGATCTTGTGGAGAGCTCGCACTCAGTTTGATCACACGAACAAAGTTCAGCAGCATCTCCTACACAACCACATAATTCAAAAGCCTCGAAAGCATTTGCACGATGGCCGACAGCGGCGAAAACACTGTCCCTGACGAGCAAAATAAGACCACTGAAGTTTCACCAGCGACCAAGGATCCCATCGCAGCAAAAGATGTGCAATCACTTTTAGATCAATTGGCCCTATCGCAACCTAAGAAGGAGGGAAAAGCGCCGGAAGACTACAAGTTTTGGAATACCCAGCCAGTTCCCAAGTTCACTGAGCCGAACCTCATTCAGTCCACGACAGGCCCTGACGGCGAGAAGCTCCCCGAAGGTGCCATCATTTCAGACGAGACATGCGTGGCGGGCGCTAAGCCGACGCCGGGTCGACTGCCAGATGGGTTCGAATGGTGCGAGATCGACCTGTCGGACAAGGCAGAACTCCAGGAACTCTACGACCTTCTCTTCAACCACTACGTCGAAGACAACGAGGGCTCTTTCCGCTTCAACTACTCCGCAGAGTTCCTCGACTGGGCACTCAAACCACCAGGATGGAAGAAGGAATGGCACATTGGTGTCCGCACCAAATCCCCAGCGGCGGCGAAGAAAGGTAAACTCGTCGCCTCCATCGCCGGGATTCCCGTGACACTCCATGTGCGCGAGTCGTCCTTCCGTGCCAGTGAGGTCAACTTCCTCGCCATCCACCGCAAGCTCCGCAACAAGCGCCTCGCTCCCATGATGATCCGCGAGATCACTCGGAGATGCTTCCGCAACGGCATCTACCAGGCACTCTACACCGCGGGTACCCTCCTGCCCACTCCAGTCAGCACATGCCGCTATTTCCATCGCTCGCTGGATTGGGAACACCTCTACCGTGTCGGCTTCAGCCATCTCCCATACGGCACCACCGCGCTGAGACAGAAGCTGAAGTATAAAGTCGAAGACAAGACTGCCACCAAGGGACTCCGCGCCATGAAAGAGGTCGATATTCCCGCCGTCAAGGACCTTCTCGCACGTTACGGAGAGCGATTCGCGCTCCGACAAGATTTCAGCACCGAGGAGATCGCCCACTGGCTATGTTCTCAAGCGTCGAAGGGAGTGGTGTGGGCTTGGGTAGTGGAGGAGCACGGCAAGATCACCGATTTCATCTCCTACTACGCGCTCGAGGTACGTCCCTTCGTCCACCCAAAACTCCCGCCTCGCATAAAAAGCTGACCGGTGACCGTTCTAGTCCACCGTGCTCCGCTCCAACCGCAACGACACCATCCGCGCCGCCTACCTATACTACTACGCCACGGAGACGGCCTTCACCGGTAGCAAGGACAACCAGGACGCGCTGCAAGCCCGCCTGCAGCAACTCGTGCACGACGCGCTGATCCTGGCCAAGAAGGACAACTTCCACGTCTTCAACGCCCTCAGCCTCCTGGACAACCCGCTGTTCCTGCGCGAGCAGAAGTTCGAGCCTGGTGATGGCAAGTTGCACTACTACCTCTACAACTGGCGCACGGCGGCCATCGACAGTGGTCTGAACGAGGCGAACATGCCGGATACGAGTAAGATGGGTGGCGTGGGTGTTGTCATGCTGTAGTGGTTTGAACGTGTGGGTGAATCACAAAGAGATCTGGTCAAACCGGATTTGGGGTCGCGGCTACGAGTTTGCACAGCACTCATGGGGAGTGTGGATTGCGAGGGAAAAGTTTTGTATAGGTGAATTGAAAACACGCATTGCACAACATTTTCCTACGCTCCGTGTATAGTTCCGATAGTACCATGGACTGCTAACATGGCTGGGATGCTGACGGAAATGAAACGTACGAGCAGTATCACGATTGATTCGACCGCGCTGCTTTTCTGTCTCACGTTGAAAAACTGCCGCAAGCTTATCGGTGATGCCTTGCAATTCTGCTGTTCGATAGGACGATCTATGGACACGAAATGACCCAGCACAACCCAAATTTGATCTCTCCGTCCTCGTGAAGCTGACTCTTGCATGCCAATCGTAACTCGTCAGAAAATGGAGACTCTCATGAATCTTTCGTCGGCGTATTGTCCGTCATCGTACTCATTCATTCCTCTTCATAGACCCGTTTCCCTCAGTATAGCCAAGATGGTATCCACATCGTCACCGCCGGATTTCGATTCGTGGCCCCAGAGGACCTCCTGTGCCGCGTGCGAATTATGTTTGCTCCTTCAAATGGTGGTAGGAGGTCGCAATGTGGCTGCAGGGCGGAAAGTATCCGTCCCACTTTGCTCTCAAGCATCTTCGTGTCTGGGGTGATTATGCGACGTTGCGGAAGTTGTTGACTGGGCGCGATTGGCTCTCGTCACGGATAAGGGCGACAATCATGGAGTACAGGTACCAGAAGAACAGGAGGAGGTGGAAGCCGAGCTTGATGAAGGACTCCTTCTTGTGGGTGTTGAGCTTACGGAAGATCTCCGTCGCGTCGAGCAGGTGGTTCTTCTCATAGATCCTACGCCGCGTGTTAGTTCAGATGAATCATGGTTCATTGCGATTGTGCTGGATGCGCGCATGCGCCTGGCTGACGAAGCGGAAGACTCTCAGTCTCGCCGCAAGGGTGTATTTGCAACTCACTTCTTTGCGTTCCATGCCAACAGCGGAATGTTGAGCAGGAGAGTGACCCAGTATCCATTGATCAGGAAGAGGAATGTCAAGAAAGCGTGTAGGCCTGCTTCAGGTACAATGTACATGTTCAAGCGATTGCACAAGTCAATCGGGTTGATGTAGTCGCATTCAAGATCAGAGTAGAGGATGGTGAAGAAAACCTGCAGGAACAAGTTGACGGCATTGAGCAGCACGGCGAGCAGGAACAGCCTGTGATTGAGCGAGTCGTTCGTTAGAAAGGTGTCTTATTGGAGCATGAGAGCAGTATCCTGCTATCCTGCCTCCCGGACTCGAAGTTTCGTAGGACTCACCACGCCTCTCCCAACATTTTCACGGCTTGACGAAGCTTGCAGAATAAGAATGCAGAGACGCAGAATGCGAAACGGTTTCGGTGATCTTTTCAGGCGCGGAGGTATTGAAGAGGACTTCGTTCACAGTTCTGCGAGAATGTGTCTTTTTCCACGATAGCGAGATCTCCAGCCACAAATGACTAGGCTGATAGATTCCGAGCTAGTGGTGTTGTGCGCGCCGATGATGTCGCCGATAGCAGACAAACGTAGTATCACGGAGGAGAAGAGGTGTTCGCAGGGGCAATGTCTTCGAGAAAGGATCACGGTGGTCTGACAGGAGTGGCAGGAGAGGATTATGGACGTCGCGACGGGACAGTCTCTTTGGGAAGATGTAGAATGCTGTGAGGTCACAGGCCTGGCCGGGAAACTTGCACTGCGGAAAGTCGACTTGTTTGCATGTGCCCGCGCGGGTGGGCCAAAGCGCCATTTGCAGGTCTTGGCATTCGATTCTCGATGCTCTCGACACCACTTCCAGAACCATTTATCACGCTCTATTTCGCGATGAATAGCAGCAATGTCACGAGCTCCGCCTTTCACCACAATTTGCGATGCAAGCAATTGGGATTTGGATGTGTCCGGTCTCGGCTATTGTTTGTACCTGCCGATGAAAGCGAGTTGCGCCAGGATACATTCCTCAAGCACATCGCCTCTGCGTGATCATTGCCTTTTCGAACACTTCAGTGCTCTGCCCACTTCTCTGCCTCAGAATTAAGCCAGACTTGCAGGCAAAGCTGATATTATCCTATTCCGAAGCGACTACAATCGAAGGGAACTCGAGCTGGAGCTTTCCAGTAAAGCATGACCATCCCGAACACGTCTTCACCACTAGAGAAACGGTTCAGCATGCAGGTTGTCGTCGTGACCGGCAACTGCCATCGACACAGAACACGCCCAATGTCTGCACGTTAAGCGCGAAAACAGTGTAATGTTGCCCGCCCAGGTGGTTGCTGCAAGGATAAAACAGGCGGCATGTTCCGAAACAGCCCTGCCCAAATTCCGGGGAGGTGGTGACGACAACCATTGCCGGTGCGCGTGGAGGCCGCTCAAACATTGGATCTAGTCCCAAGTCTTACGTGATGATATCAGACAAAACTTCATAGCGCTGGCATTTCTCCTCTGTAATAACAACATGATGTGAAGATATTTGTAGCATTGCCACCCAAGAAAAATCACAAAAGCTCACCGGAGTGTCTAAACTGCAATTCGCTGCTGGTTGTGACAGCCATTGCAATGCCAGAGGAGTAAAAATCCATCTCTACGATTTCAGCTTCTGCTTTCGGATATGGATCAACCGCTCAAATGCGTCATCATCGGTGCTGGTCCTGTCGGCGCCCTGGCTGCATTATACGCAGCGCGTCGAGGATGGGATGTTCAGGTCTACGAGCTGAGAGGAGGTACGTACTTTTGAACGGAGATGTTTGGGTCTGAAGATTGATCTCTTTCTCACGACAGCTCTATCTAGATCTCCGAGATGAGTCTACAACGCCACTGAACTTCACAAAATCCATCAATCTGGCGCTGTCAGAACGTGGCATCAATGCCATGCGCCAGTCTGGACACCCGACTTTGCTTGATACTATCTTGGCGGATACGATACCCATGCATGGTCGAATGATCCATAGCCAAACCTCTGCTGGTGAATTGACCGAGGCGTCACAGCAATATGACGTGCATGGTCGATTCATCCGAGCGGTGGATCGTGCGAAGCTAAATGCCGTTCTTCTGGACGAGCTGGAGAGCCTGTCAAACGTGAAGCTCTTCTTTCATCACAAAGTCACAGGTGTCGATTTCAACAAGCGTCTCGCCTGGATTGAGCAGAAGGGTCTTTCACGCCGACAGAGCGATGACAATGGCCATGCTGCAAAACCCAGCGGCAGGCCAGGCCGTCCGGACGAGATCGAGATTGAGTTCGACCTCATTCTGGGCTGTGACGGTGCTCACAGTAGCGTGAGATTCCACATGATGAAGTTTGTTCGCATGGATTACGCTCAGAATTATATCGACACATTGTGGTGCGAGTTCACAATGCCGCCAGCAGATACTCGTACCTCACTTTCTCCATCAGCAAAGGATGGTTTCGTAACAAGTCCTAATCACCTCCATATCTGGCCAGGCAAAGACAAGATGTTCATCGCCATTCCCAGCACAGACAAGACCTTCACTTGCACACTCTTCGCCGGGTCGAAGGACTTTGCTACTCTAGAGGCAGACCCTGCTGGCGTAGAGCTCTTTTTCAATATGAATTTCCCGGGTGCTGTAGACCTGATAGGGCCAGGAACAATTCAGAAACAATTCGAACAAAACCCTCATCTACCATTGATCAGCATCAAATGCTCACCGCACCACTACGGGTCATGTGGCGCGATTCTTGGCGATGCTGCTCACGCTATGGTCCCGTTCTATGGCCAAGGCATGAATGCGGGATTAGAAGATGTCCGGGTACTTTTCGAGCGATTGGACGCACAGCCATCCACCATCCAAGGCCGTACGACAGCGCTAACGGCATACAATGCAGAGCGTGTCGATGACGCACACTCGATCAATGATCTCGCTCTGGCAAATTACTGGGAAATGCACGCGGGTGTAACCTCGCCCTTGTACCTCCTTCGCAAGAACATCGAGGAGTTTCTCTCCGACAAGCTACCAAGCACAGGCTTCGCGACGCAATATAGCCGCGTGAGCTTCAGCAACCAGCGATATTCAGAGGTCGTCAAAGTCGTTGCACAACAAAAGCGCACTTTGATGCAGGGTATGCTGGGCGCTGTCCTCATCCCACTGAGCGGGAGCATTGCGTATCTAGTGTGGCGATTCTCCGGCCATGACAGGCGGGCTTCGCCGTTTCCACACCTTGTACGAATCCTGACGGGAGGCGTGCGATTCGTGACTGAACGGATCGAGAAAGCATTTCGTTGAAGCGGCAGGCTAGTGTTCAATGAAGTCAACCACGACCACACGTTTCAGTTCGCGGACAGCCAGATGTGGTCAATCTCGCCAGACTGCCACAGTTTTGGCAGGTTTAGCCGCGGATTTACATGCTTCGCGTGGTCCACACCTGTTGTCATATACCGCATAGCATCATAGTACAGCATAGACTCTTAGACACTACGACATGCCCAGGTCATCCCACGCAACAACGCTGACCGATACACGGCGCTTTAACAGAACCTGCGTCGGCTCCGCAGGGTTGCGCGCAACACTTCTGAGAACTCTCCTTTGCGCCTTATTGTCAAACACTCCGTCGCACTTGCCTGTCTAATCAAGAAAGCATGTTGCATCTTTGTTCTGAACGTGATCTGCACATCTAGTCGCCCGCCAAGGCAATAAAAGTTCCAAAAAGGGGACATGGTTTACATCTGACATGTCACCCATAGAGAAGAGCTGCGCTGCCTTTTTATCCAAGGAAAGATCGGAGGCGAATGGGTTTGTCGAGCTCTTTCGAAACGTTGTTCAATACGCTACGAGACGTTCGCCAGCACGAGAGTGGCTGTTTTCGAAGTCAGTTCCAGGGATGACAGGCTCAAAGGCAGTGAAGAGCTTGGAGAAGTGTTTGCCTGCTGCTCGGAAATCGGATGCTGGAGCTGATGTCGGGCAGCCGTATAAGGAATGGTCAGCATTCGAGGACCGTTTTGAAAGGGCGACATTCATCGGTATGTGATTACTTGTCTGCTTTGCACTACAAGACAGAGTGTATTTCTATTTACACACCATGACGTTTTTGAGGAAGATGTCTGAATACAACTTCTCTAAATTGCTACGAGACTACGAGCATCAGAATAATCTAATGCCGGAAATATAGACTCGCTTCTCCTGGTTCTTTCAGATAACAATGCTCGACCAATATCACACTGTACTGGGAGCCTCTACTTTCCACGAGACCCAACATCGATCACACGATGTTATGCGGCTATTGCTCTTCGTGACGCCACTGGCAAAGTGGTTTCCACACTGTCGTCGAGGCGGCCAGCAGACACCCGACGTCAAGCCTTTATATGGTTCAAGCATGAGATTGGTCAGCGTCTCGGACGCCTACTGGACAGCGTTGACTGCGTGCCATCCTTACTGGAGCCAGATCTCAAGTCAAGTCATCACCCTTCGAAAATGACGCCTGCCGATCACGAGATGGACCGTAAAGAGGCCAGTAGAATTGGTCAAATGAATGGCATTATCACTGAAGCATGGTCCCAGCTTCGGACGAGCAGAGCGTACCAAGAAATTCTTTCAGAAGAACCGCCATCGCGCGAGGGAACCTTCAACGGCCTACAGTACTCTTGCCTGAATGGGGACTCGGATCTGTCACAGCGGCCCCCCAGACAACAGAGTTTGTATCCGGTATCTGCATGGTGCCAAAGCGTACAGCCGCAGCCGAAAAGTGCGCGATGCAAAAGCATGAACGCCACATCCATCCGCAGTCGCGGTCGGTTCGGTGCATTGGCGGGCAAATTTTCTATTCGCAGGCTCAGTGACCGCATTGGAAATGCCATAGGATCGTTCGCCGTCAAGAGCCGTTCACGATCTCTTCCGATAGATTAACACATCGGAACAGACAGGCGCTCTTCGAGATCGCGCCCTTGCGATGAAAGTACGACCATCCCTGATTTGGCTTTGAATTGGTCAGTGGCATGGTCGTCGGTCAAAATGAGTCCTCCTTGGAGGCATTGAAATATCATGATGATGAACTTTCGGGAAAGGAGAGTACTCAGTTAGTCTCAGGATCGAATGTCTAATGAAATGCTTGCCATATATAGTGGAAGTTCATTTCTTTCGAGAACTGTCTAATTATCACCAGCTTTCTTCATTCTCCGCACCCGCTTTCCAGTAACATCTCGTCCTTCTTCAATGTTCAGCATTGCCTCCCGCTTCTTGTCACCGACCACATTGAGCGAGTCCTTGATGACGCGACCCTCGACATTGACACCCTCTTCCTGGTATTCTTCCATTTGCTTCCCCACTCGAGCTTCAATTGCATGGACGATTTCCACATCGCGTTGTCCAACCATGCTGATGCTGGTACCTTTCCGCCCAGCTCGAGCTGTACGACCGACACGGTGAATGTAGTCATCCGGGTCCCGCGGCAGGTCGTAATTGATCACGACCCCAACGTCAGGAATATCGAGACCGCGAGAGGCTACATCCGTAGCGACGAGAATTCGTGCAGCTTTTGCGCGGAATCGTGCAAGGTTTGAGATACGTTGGTCATGTTGTAGGCCCGAATGAAGGGATGTGACTCGATGATCCAGCAAGCGTAGCATATACTCTATCAGATTCGCGGTCGATGTGCGATTGCAGAAGATGATGATTGATTTTTCGAGATTGGCAGGTGTCTGCAGGATGACGTGAAGATACTTCTCTTTGTGGACCACGTTGACGAGCTGATACGTTTGACGCAATGTCGCGGGAGTGGCAAGATCATCTATGTCTACCTCACAGACAAATACTGGCGGTCGTTCCTTTGGTCGTGGCATCTCCTTCAGTGCACGCACCTCTGGTGTCACTGTCGCGGTGAATAGACAAGTTTGACGCTTGGAACCGCTTGGTAGCGCAGCAAGACACGTTTCGACATCAGGAAGCATGCTCCCCCGTCCACTTGCTAGAAGCCGGTCAGCTTCGTCGAGCACCACAAAGCGACATTTCCTCAGGCCATAGACGGTATCCTCGCCTGAATTGGCAATGTGGTCCGCAAGTCGGCCAGGTGTCGCAATAACGATGTGAGGCCTCCTTGATAATTCTAACGCTTGTGCTCGCATGTCCGCACCTCCAGTGACCAATATGGATTTGATACCCTGGCTTGAACCCAAAGCTTGAAATTGCTCATAGATTTGTAGCGCCAATTCGCGCGTCGGAGTCAGGACAAGTGCAAAGATGCCCGATGGGTTCTTCGCCCATTGGTGCAGTATCGGCACGGCGAAGGCGACCGTCTTACCGGAACCTGTTCGACTACCACCGATGCAGTCCCGGCCGGCGATGATTTCGGGTATACATGCTTTCTGAATCCTCGTCGGCCGATTAATTGCCATTCGAGAGAGTGCAGCAGTCAGCCAGGAATCGACCGCGAGAGTTGCAAATGTTGCTTTCTCATCATGGTTGATTGCCGATTGTATTGAGGGAAGTAAGCCGTCCTGCTCGCTCAACGAGGCTGTCACTGCAGCGGTGCTGGACGGTGGAGGATTTGCAGCTTTAGGTTTTATTCGAGAAATGGTTGATATCGGAGGCGGACTGATCACATTGACTTGAGCCGCATCCTTGGGAATGTCTTGCTCGTTATCTGAGGGCGAAGATTCATCACTGGGAGATGTCCTTCGGCGCTTGCTTGCTCTCTCCATTTTGGCGATCGTTTGCCGAATGAACCTCACCTCGAAATTTCGGCCGTTCAAAAAATCGTCCAGGATTCGACTACTGATGATGCAGTCCGGGCTTATCGCATACACCTGCCGGCGTTATCGATATCACTCTAACCGTTTCCGACCTAGCCCTCATAGTTGGACCCCCAGAAGCCGCATTTTTCTTTATTCGGTCACTGGGAATTTCCGAGGTCTTTTGCCAGTGTTTTGAACTGGCAGATCTCATTTCCAATACTGATACCAGCAGCGCGAATCATAATGGCTGGGCCTGCAGGTAGCGATCCTGCCAAATATAAGCGCACGAAATTGTTGGCAGACGACAGCGATGACGAGGTACAGCTAGACACGGCTGCCGCCAGCTTCAAAGTCAATGAAGACTATGCGAAGCGCTTCGAGTACAACAAGAAGCGCGAGGAGAAGGCGCGCTTGGAGGAGAAGTATGGCGCACTACCTTCGAGTAAGCGGAAACGACTGGGAGATGAGGGCAGTGACGACGAGGACGACTCGACCGACGAATCCGAAGACGACGACGCCGAACTGGTGACAGAGGACCTCGACGAAGAAATCTTCGCGACATTGAATGCCATCAAGAGCAAGGATCCTCGAGTGTATGACAAGAACACGACGTTCTTCTCCGAATTCGATCCCGAGACTGCCGGGGGCAACGAAAAGAAGAAGACCGAAAAGCCATTGTATTTGCAGGACTACCACCGAGAAAATCTTCTAGCTGGTCAGAATGGTCTCGACGGTGAAGAGGAGAAGGATGTACCGCGGACATACCAGCAGGAGCAGGAGCAGCTCAAGCGTGAGCTAGTCGGATCAATGCACGCGACCAACGGCCAAGACGCTGGCGATGACGACGACGATTTCATGGTTAAGAAGAAAAAGTCTCGGCATGAAGACCTTCCAGCATTACCCAAGAAGAAAGTGAAGATTACCGACGCGGACATCAAGGATGCAGACAAAGATCCTGAAAATTACCTTTCCAATTTCATGGCAGCAAGAGCGTGGCTTCCTGGCGAAGGATCTGGCTTTCAAGCGATGGAGTCAGATGACAGCGAAGATGATGCAAGGGCCGACGCATTCGAAGAGGCATACAATCTCAGGTTCGAAGACCCGCAAGCATCGAATGAGAAGCTCAAATCCTTCGCTCGAGACGTAGGCAAATACGGTGCGCGACGAGAAGAAAAGACCGGACGACAGCTCGCCCGTGAGCGGGAAAAGGCCCTCAAGGATGCGGCGAAACGACAGCGGGAGGAGGATCTGGCGCGGTTACGGAAACTCAAGATTGAGGAAGCCGAAGAGAAGCTCCAGCGCATCAAAGACGCTGCTGGCCTACGTGCCAAAGCGCTTGACGTGGATCAATGGCGAGACATGCTGGAAGGTGACTTTGATGACGATCAATGGGAGGAGGAAATGAACCGCCGGTTTGGCGAAGATTACTATGCCGAACCCGACGAAGAGCCGGGCTCAGACAACGAAGATGGCGGAGTGCCCGTTTCAACGAAGAGGAAGAAGCCGAAGTGGGACGACGACATTGGAATCGATGATCTCATCCCCGACTTCGACGCCAGCGCGGTTCCCAAAATCACTCTCTCCGACGAGGACAATGATGACGAGGACGATAACGAAGACGAAGGAGGAGAAGAAGAAGAAGGAGAAGGAGCAGAATCAGCCGAAGAACCCCAAACCCAAAAATCGGCCAAGGACAAGAAGAAGCAATCCTCCTCTGACGCCAAACGCGCCGCCCGCAAAGAACGCCGGCAAATCGAAGAGATCATCGACTCCACCCTGCCCATCAACCACCCGACCCTCGCGCCCAGCGCCTCGGGCAGCAAAGTGCCCGTCACGGGCTTCCGGTACCGGGCGACGTCGCCGACGTCCTTCGGGCTCAGCGCGCGGGACATCCTCTTCGCGGACGACACGGCGCTGAACTCCTACGCGGGCCTGAAGAAGATGGCGGCCTTCCGCGACGCCGAGAAGAAGCGGCGCGACAAGAAGAAGTTCTCCAAGAAGGCCCGGCTGAAGCAGTGGCGGCGGGAGACCTTCGGGGACGTCGAGCCGCCCACCGGCGGCTTCGAGCGCGTCCTCGGGGCGAGCGCCGCCGAGAAGGGGGCCCCCTCTTCGCGGAGGGGAGGGGACGGGAAGACGGATCCCGCTGCTGCGACGGCGACTGCGACGGAAGGGAAGAGGAAGAAGCGGAAGCACAAAAAGGCCAAGGCGTGAGAATGACCCATTCGGGACCCTTTTTTTGTATGATAAAGAAGGAAGAGGAATCGTGACCCCAGAAGAAAATTCCCGTCCGAGGACGCACTCCCCCGAAATCAATTTCCAACGTACATATGATGAACCCACATACCTCCCGCCCATACCTCAGCGCTTGGGGTTGAAGAAAACCTCCAAAGTGACCTCGTTGCTCCAGCCGGGATCCTCGCCGCTCTCCCTCCACGCCCTCTCGACGTCCACCTCCATGACCCTGCCCCGGGCGCTCACGCACTCCCAGGGGATCGGGTTGCCCAGGATGAGCACCAGCGTCTCGTCCTCGACGTTCCTCGCCTCCAGATCCTCGAGGTAGATGCCCAGGACGCCGAGGGCCTTGATCGCGACCCACACGCGCAGGCTCCCGTTCGCCTCCACGTAGGCGCTGAACCCCGTGACGGCCGCGACGCCGGTCATCTTGCCCCGGAGGCCCAGGGCCGCGAGGCCGACGAGTTCGGAGGCGCCGAAACTGAATCGGTGCAGCGGGTATGCGGTGAGGATGTCCCACCCTTTGTCCGCCAGCCGGAGGCCCACGGCCGGGAACTCGGTGTCGACCCCGTCCATCGGCGCGGAGAACTCGTCCGGGTGCTGGAACGACCCGATGATGTATTCGCCGCCCGAGGAGGTCCCCGGGAAGGCGTCCAGCGGGACGAATTCGTCCAGCGCGTCCTTCGAGACGTTGAAGACGCCGAGGATGCCGGTGGTCAGGCGGGCGAAGTGGACGGTGGTGCCGATCTTCAGCATGCTGTGCGAGGCGTAGGGGTTGTAGGGGTTCATGGCCTTGCCCAGGGCGTGCGGGCGCAGGATGACGGTCTTGCCGCGCGCGGTCCGCGCGGTCATCTGGTCCAGCAAGGGGAAATTGTGCTTCCCGGGCTCGTCGGTGAAGTAGATGGGCCCGCCGCTGACGGCGCGGGCGGCGGCGTGGAAGCCGGACCAGGCGCCGATGGTCTGGAACATGTCCCAGTCCGGGATGACGTTGAGGTGTTGCGCCAGCAGGCTGTTGTGGGCGTTGCAGAAGATGTGCCACGGGTGGCTGGCGTCGATGTCCGGGAAGAAGTCGTCCGAGTTGCGCACGAGCAGCCGGGGTTTGTTGGTCGGCAGCTGGCTGTAGAAGAGGATCTGGGGGGACTGGGACATGCAGGAGATGGCGCGGCTGCTGAAGTGGCGGAGGTGGGCCACCGTCCAGGCGTCTTGGTAGGCGGTCGTGAGGGCCTTGCGGTCGGGGGCATGCAGGAGCAAGTCCACGAAGAACTGTGCGTCCGTTTTGACACTGTCGACGCCGGATTTGGACAGGAAGGCGTAGAAATCGCTGTACATCTGTTTGGCGTCCTCGGCGGCGACCACGGTGAAGGTCCCTCCGGCGGCTCCTGCCTCCTTTTCCACCTCGATGGTCTTGTACTTCGCTGCGATTTCGCCCTTGGGATCGATCCCACCCCAGTAGCCGAAGAGCGCGTGCCACACAGCAATATGGCCGACGTTGGGGTGACGTTTCCTGATTTCGGTCGTTGTCCCCTTGAGACCGTCCGGGAAACCTTCCTTGTTGGCCTCGAAGCTGGACCACGCTCGCTGGTGTTGTGTCTCGCCCTCAGTGATCCACTGCCAATTATCATCGATGATGAGGTTCGTGATGGTGATGCCTTCTTTCTTCAGCGAGTCGAGCGCCTTGTAGATTTTCTGGTCTGTCAAGTTCTGGCCAAGCCCATTCCAGGTACAGTATGTGAGACCGTCGTACCATTCCTCAATCCACTCCGGCTTTACGTTCTCTTCAAGCAGACGTGCGGTTTCCTCGTCTGCCGATGTCGGTGCATATGTCTTCACCACCTTCCGCGCGTGACGCATGACCGAGGCATTGGCAGTCTCGAATTCCTCTGCCACTGCCACGAGGACCTTAGCCACGCCTTTCTCCGGCCTGTCGTTTCGGGACTTGACGATGACGTGGCCGTCATTGTCATTGATCAGCGTCGTCACGATATCGTCCACGCCGCTGATGGCCAGACAGGCTACATGTAGGCCATCCGATCGCAGAAACGAGAGCAATATCGCATCCTTGTCTAATTTCAGCTTCTCCCCACCTTGTCTGGGTGCCAGCCATGGTGACCAAAGGCGGACCAAGCCGAACCATTTTTGAGAGCCAGCTGGAAGACCGAGCTGATGTTGCTGCCAGCCCGAGTCTTGCTGATCCGCAGCTTGTACCGGACAATTGAGCGAGTAGAGAAAAGTGTCGGCGAATTCGGCCGTCTCCGACTGATAGGTGATGTCGGAGCTCAAACCTTCAAACCAGTGCTTCAAGTCGTACGTGGAATGCTTCTCGAAATCTGTTGACTGGTAGTACAATTCTCCATCATCGATGCCTGTGATCTGCTTGACCCATTTCCAGTCGCCACCGGTCACGCGGAATTTGATGGTAAACTTCAAGGCTTGTCCATGCTTGGGCGATCCTGTGATGGCGGCGGTGTACCAGTGGCGTAGGATCTCCTCGTCCGCGGGTCTATTCAGCAGCAGAACTTGGGGAGGATCGGTCTCTTGGAGAGCCAGCTCGCCCCAGTCATCGTCTCCGTTTTGATTGTGCCAAAGACAAACCTGTGGCTTCTCGATGTTTTTGGGGCTGGCGGCGTTGGTCTCGACCAGGACTGTAAATTTGACCTTGTCATCGCCACGAGGAACGGTTGTGAACTGGTCGAGTGGCGGCCACGAAGTGATGTGGAAAGACATGTCGTCACTTATGACATGGTCCGTCTCGGTGCCGGGTTCGAAGGCGGGTTCGCGCTCCGGTGGGACTTGGTCGGGGAGAATGTCGGCTCCTTGGCAGTCTTCTTCCGGCGGGTAGACTCGTTGGCCAGTGTTGGGATCACAGTCTGGTTTGAAAGATGATCAGCAGTTGTACAATGTGAGTTGAGCTTGATCCTCAGCTCGTCGTACCTCCAAAGGTGATGCCTTTCTTCCTAGAGGGTAGAATGGTCATGAGGACGATTGATCAAGTGATTATTGAGATGGCGGTGTTTACAGGAGAGAGGGTTTCACGATTGGTAGGAGCGACCTGTAGAGCAGGTGAGGTCGAAAAGGCGGGATGGGAAGGGAAAGAGAGCAAGCACGACGCGGGACATTTATGAGGAGAAGAGGCAAAAGTGGGAAACTGACGGGAGAGAAAAGAAGATAGTCGAGTGAGATTTTAAAGGTAATGATGGAAGTATCTATAAATTCAAGGTTGACCGATAGCAGCACATGTGTTACGGGCCAACGCGATCAGGTCGAGAACGAGACGCAGGGAGACAGGGCAGAGTGTGAAGTTCTGCGATTGTGTAATATAGAGCGTGAATGGGGAGGACCAGCCACCGTAGGCACATAGTATATACCTATATACCTATATACCGATATCACAGTAGATGCGCTCCAGCCAGCAGCTCTCGATTGATTTCTTATGTACTGTATGTATACACAGGCAAGAGTATATACATCCATACACATATATATATAATTACCACCACCATCAACGATTTGCGGGACGAAGATGCCCATCACCATCATCATTTGGGGTTGAGGGCGCCGCCGACTGATCGCTGCCAGGTGCTCTTCCATGGCTGGTGCCCGGAGGTGGATTGATGGATGACATGATTTCTCCCGGATTTTCTAGGTAGGTATATCTCTATAACTACTGTGGATAGAATATAGGTTGGTATATCTATAGGAAGGTAGGTATATTCCTATGCAGGTATATCTCTATAACCGCTATACATGGAATATAGGTAGGCATATCTCTCTCTACAACTGCTGTGCATTGATGCAACGGGAGTGCATCGCTTTTGCACTCGGTATGCTTCTTCGATCTGATCTGATCTGATATGGGCGTCATCGCTGCACCTCAGGTCCCACCATTTCGACCATATAAAGTTTGTCCCTTCTTTTCAACATGCTAATACCCTTGGAATGATGATGGCCTGCATCACACCTAGTGCTGCAATAATCATACTGTAATGGGGAGAAACCCTCGTTTGGAGCTTCCTCGCCCGGAGATGTACACCATAACAGCGTACAGTACATAGATAGCCTGACACTGGGCAATCGAACTGCTGTCTGTACCATGTTGTGATCCAGAGGACCAGATGGTTCGTACATATTGTACCGGAGTGGATTCAAATGTCTGCCGGCAGCTTCAACAACACCCTGGGACTCTGCGGTTCATCTCATCTCATCCTGCTTAAGAGAGGTGCAGGCGGAGCGGAACAGGAGAGGACTAATAAGAACAGAACAGTATGCAGCAGCCGTGTCACACACAGCAACCATTTTACAGTACGATCGTATCACGAGTGCGTCTCACGACCACAACAACGCCCGTCGAGTGTGTCCCTTGTTCTGAACAGTCCCTCCGTACCTGGGGATATGCGGGCGGGGTTCGTACAGTCCACCAATAACTGATAGCAGCTGGTGAGCGGAATGATAGATATTTCACTTTACATCAGCTCATCATCAACGGCGACGACGACGACAGCGACGTTCATTCCATCTCATCGGCTGTTGAGGATCGATCTGTCGAGAAGAAGTGGCGTCCGGGAACTCTTTCTCGCCCGGTGGTGCTGCAGCACTCAATGGATTTGATACATACTACTGGCGGTATTGTACTGTACTGTAGCGCCGAGATTGTTCACCTCCGATATAATAAAAGCAGAAGTACGGTTCCGACAGGACTGCTGGCAGAGAGGTCATCATCATCAAATCCAATCAAATCCAATCAAATCCAATCAAATCCAATCAAATCCCATCAAATCCCGTCCCGTCAGCGCGCCCGCCGCTTCCTTCCAGGCACCACCTCCGGCTGGCTTGAATTCGCCCGGCAGGATGAGTCAGCCAAACTTTTTTTCGAGCTTCTACTGCACGAAGCTTCGTCGTCAGTGAGCTTGTGTGAAGCCGAAAAGAAAGAATTTCTTCATTTTTCGTATATTTTCTGTTTTTAGACAACAGACTCTGGACCCTGACATCGCGGCGCCGAATCCCGCACGCGATCGTGTACCACACCACGGCGCGACATGTTCGACACGGTCTGCTCCCTCCCCCTCTCCTCCGATCTCTTCGCGCAAGCCGTCCATCCCACCGAGCCATTGGTCGCAGTCGGGCTCAGCGCCGGCCATGTCGCCACCTTGAAGCTACCTCCCCTCGACGGGAGCATAGCCGCGCCGACCGCGAGCCGGTCCCAAGGCCGGAGAGGGAGCAACGGCACCGGCGTGATCGAGACGGCCTGGCGGACGAAACGCCACAAGGGCAGCTGTCGGTGTCTCGCGTACAGCATCGACGGGCGACAGCTCTACTCCGCCGGCACCGACGGCCTGGTCAAGGCCGCCGACAGCGCCACCGGGGTCGTCACCGGCAAGGTCGCCGTGCCCTTCGACCCCTCCGCCTCCCGGCAGACGGTCGACGCGCCCACCGTGATCCACGCGCTCAGCCCCCAGACCCTGCTCCTGTCCACCGACTCGGGCGCGCTCCACATCTACGACCTCCGGGACCCGGCCCCCAGCATCCCGCTCGACGCCGACCACCGCAAGACCGCCTTCACCGCCGCGCGGCCGTCGCAGACCTACCAGCCGCACACGGACTTCATCTCCGACCTCTCGCCGATCCCGCCGTCGGCGGCCTCGACGTCCGGCTTCAGCAAGCAGTGGCTGACCATCGGCTGCACCACGCTCGCGCTGACGGACCTGCGGCGCGGCGTGCTCGCCAAGTCCGAGGACCAGGAGGAGCTCCTCCTCTCCTGCCTGTACGTGACGGGCCTGCCGGTGAAGAAGAGCAGCGGGCACTCGGGCTCGAAGGCGGTCGTCGGCGGCGGCGACGGCGTGCTCACGCTGTGGGAGAAGGGCCAGTGGGACGACCAGGACGAGCGGATCCACGTCAGCCGGGAGGGCGAGACGCTGGACTGCCTGGCGCACGTGCCGGACGGGGTCGGCGGGCCGGGCAGGCGGATCGCGGTGGGCATGGGCGACGGCCGGATCCGCTTCGTGCGCCTCGGCATGAACCGCGTGGTCGGCGAGAACTCCCACGACGACGTCGAGGGCGTCGCCGAGCTCGGCTTCGACGCCCTCGGCCGCATGATCTCCGGCGGCGGCCAGGTCGTCAAGGTCTGGCAGGAACACATGGCCGGGGAGGCGGAGGACGAGCGGGAGGAAGAGGAGGGGGAGGGCGCCGCGGGGAAGCGGACGGCGGACAGCGATGACGACGACGATGATGATCAGGGCGATGAGGACGACGATAGCGACAGCGACGACGAGGGCCCGTCGCATGGCCGCCGCAAGAAGAGGAAGCGCGGTAAGGGCCCTGCTCCCAGCAAGAGCAATTTCAATTTCTCCGGTTTGGATTGAAGGAGAGAGAGAGAGGGCAGATTCTATTCTCGCCGAATGTACCGCTGTTACCACCACCACCACCACCACCACCACCACCACCACCACTACCACTACCAGTACTACCACTACCGCCGCCGCCGCTGCTGCTTTGAACAAAGCCCGAATTCTCGCCCTCGAAATTTATGTTTTTCTATAGACATCCCCAGCGCTTGAGGTTTTTCCATCGGCGCTTGAGGGTTTCTTTCGAGAATAATTCTTTTTTCAGAGAAGAAAATTACCCCCTTCCGATGTAGAAACAAAACGAACTATTCGGAGACTTTTCTCGCCGATATTTCCCTAAATAGATCCGAGAAAGGGAGGGGGAGGGGTTGGAATTGAAGAGACGAGAGAGGAGAAAAAAGGGGGGTGGGGGGAAAGAATATCCCCTGTGCTGGTATGCCCCGTGTATATATCTATATTGTTCTATAAAAAAATGACGATGGATGACCGACAGACACCCGACGGACTCAATTCTCATCGACGGGCAAGCCCTCCCGCAGGCGGAACTCGCGGTATTTCCTCGCCTGCGCCTGCTCCAGCAGGACCTCCTGGCCCAGCCTGGCCAGGATCCTCTCGCGGTCGCCGCGGTCCGCGCCCAGCGCCAGCGCCGCGTTCTTCCGCCAGGTCATCTCCCTCTCGAGGGGCTCCGCCTCCGCGAGCAGCTCCGCGCCGCGGTCGGGCGGAGGCAGTTCCTCGACCCGCTCCTCCCCGGGTTCGAGGTCGGCGTCGGGATCCCCGCGGTCCTGCTGCCGGTGGAACCACTCGGTGCGCTCGGTCCACTTCCAGTAGGCGTCCATGGCGTCGCCGTGGCGCGCCTGCACGTCGAAGTAGTCGTCCCAGTCCTTGCGCGTCTCGAAGCACACGCCGTAGCCGTCGCAGTAGCACGTCCGCATGTCCGGGCAGAAGGTCGTCGAGTTGTGGAACAGGAACTGCCAGCAGTACTCGAACACGCGGCCGCTGTCGGCGTCCGGCAGCGCCGTGCCCAGGAGCCAGTCGCGCATGGCGACGTAGCGGCCGCGCGCGTTGGCGAGGATCCGGTCGCGGCTGACGGCGAACTGCGAGCAGCACGGCTGCGCGAGCACGTCGGGCACCGGCGTCGCCGGGAACAGGTCCCGCCAGGCCGGCGCGAACAGGAGCTGCTCCTGCTTGTTGCCGTCGTACTCGGCCTCGTTCGGGTGCAGCCAGGCCGGGCAGCCCGGCTGCCAGTGGCAGCGGAGGTTCATGTAGCCCTCGCGGACGACCTTGTCGAGGTTGAGGTGGCGCACCATCAGCGAGGAGGAGAGGTTGAGGAGGTCGTTGTTGTGCCAGGCGCCGCCGTGGCCGTGCATGAAGATGGAGACGTCGGGCAGCCGCTCGTAGTGGTCGATGAGGTAGGTGAGGTAGACGATCGCCTCGTGGCCTTTGTTCTCGGGCGGGTGGAGTTCGGCGTTCGCGTCGTCGACGACGTAGAGCGCCGTGCTCAGGGGACCTTCGGGTTCGAGGAGATCGCTGAGCTCGGATTCGATCCAGGAGTTGTCATCATCGGCCAGGGTCGCGACGACCAGCCGTCGCGTGATTTCCGCCTGGGAACGGTTCGATGATGCCGGGGTGGAGGAGATGAGTTCGGCGGTTGTGTTTCGGTTGATGGTTTTCGATGACGAATTGACATCACCGTCCTCTTCTATGAGTGGGTGACCTTTCGGGTCGGACGAGTAATGGTGCCGGCTGTAGTTGCCGTCGCCGTCGCCGTCGCCGGAATGGTCCGACGGGCGACCAGCGCGGGCGACCCAAGCGGCTGAATCGCGTAGGCGAGACAGTGGGTGAGCCGGCGATGCGACCCCGAAGGACCAAAGAAAGACGGCGAACGTGGCGATGGCGCCGAGAACGATGAATCGTAGGGCCAATGAATGTCTCATGCTTGCGATGTGAAACACATGACCTGGAAATATTCTGTGATTGCAAATCAATAATCGCCAGGATTATTAGAGCAATGAAGGAAGAGAGAAGAGAAAATAGTGATTGATATCAGGCGACGGAGGAAAGAGAGAGAGGCGGGAACATGCAGCGAAGAGTGAACAGGTAAAAGGAAGAGGAGGACAGTGGTTCATGTGAAGTGCAACATGTTGATGAATTGTGTATAGAGAGAGAGAGAGAGGGAGAGGGAGGGAGAAACATGCGAAAGATGGCAGTGATGGCGATAATGATAGAGTGAGTGATACCACGCCGACTGGGTCTACATACTGCCCAGGTGTATTAGGAGGACATCACCACACCAGGCGGGACTACAGTACAGACGAGTGCAGTCAGTAAAGGAGTGATGAGCTGGATGGACTATCCTCATCTCATTTCATCTCATCCTCAACTGCACACATTCCTTTTTCTCGTCCCATCCCCTTCCAACGTCACAACTCGTATTCATGTCATCAGGGGTTTCGCTATGGATGAACGCGCATCGACGGTGGTGGAGAGGAGCACAACCCTGGTATATCGATCTGCATGGAAAACGACGAGGGCATGGACGGGCATTACGCGTCAGAAAGAGAGGGTCGATGCTTAGATAAGTCATCCTCGAAGCAAGCGTGCTCTGCCAAACCCATGATCATCTTCATCGTCATCATCACCGGGCGAGATGCCAAGCGCGAGAGATGTGCACCGGATGTACTGTATCGCTGTGCCTGTGCGACCATCACGACCAAGCGACACGAGGATGTGCTAATAATACCTAGGTAATGAGAAGAATGGGAAGAATCGAAAGCCCGATCGTTCCATGACAGCCACTCGTCGTCGGACAAGCCCCGAGCCGCTCGACTGCACCACCTGGGCTTCGATTGATGCGGCGCATACCTAGGTACCATGAATGAACGACTGATGAGACGCCGATGAGAGACAGGGACAAGCGCGACTGAGAAGTCGACGATGGGAGAAAGCGCGACTGAGCCTCACGGGGCGCACCCACCAGCGGCGCGCAGATAAATCTATATTTATTACATATACGCAGGTGCACACTATGATGAGCCTACTCCCGTCGCATCTGCCGTATGTGGCACCACCAGGTATGTACACATCCACATGTCCATGGATCCCTTCACGACCAGGTGAATTGGAGTATAACAACCACGACCTCGTCGACTCCGATAAGCTTGATCGTATGAAGATCAACGGATTCTCAACGGTTCGTTCGTCAATGGGTTGAAACATGCCCAGGTGGACCGGTCCGGCTGCCTGCCCGCGCCCCACGTGTCGTTGAACGCGCTACCCTACCCACTACTACCCACCAGATTGGAGCCTCCCGAGTCATTTCGCCCTGAAACCGGGCACCAGGGCTTTTTTCCCACACTGCTGCCGATCAGGGTCAGTAGCTTGGGGGCGGAGACGCGCCACAGCGACCAGTTCGCGGCCTTTTACAAGAGCGAGCGCTTTCTCATTGTCAAGATCGTTCCCGGGTGGCCGACGTCGCTCTGTCTCGCAACATCATTCGCACACGGCGCGCCAGGGTCGTCGAGCGCCCGGGCGGCATTACCAACCACATACCTCGGTTTTGGGTCATGTGCACGACGAAAGAATCAACGACAAACGAGTCCACACGTCATGTCAAGTCGACCGACCGCTTCGCCCGGGAATTCTATTTGAGAGTCACGCGCGCCCAGAACGACCAGAAAATCGGTGCGATCAAGACATCTCATGGATCGTGGTCGTAGGGCGGGCGCGGTTGGCTTTGGCCGGAAGTTCGTGGATTGCTGGTGTGGCGTCCAGCTCGGATTTGATATGCGGCTGGTCTCGCAGGTGAGCCACTGAGACGGTATGAATGGCGTCCAATTCGGACTTCAGCGGTGTGGTGTCGCCTGTCGATGAGCCTGACTGCGACGATGGGACAACCTCGGGGTCGTTCGGAGCATCGGAGTACATGTTGCCAAGGCTCGAAGGAGCTTGGTGGTAGCGATGCAGCTTGCTGCCCGAAGTGGATGCTCGACGACGCTTCCATATCCAAAACATCAGGCCTGCAACGAGTCCAATGCCGGCGATGGCGCCCACCACAACTCCGGCCAATGTGCTGGGAGTCAAGGATCCGCCGGTGGAGCTGTTGCTGCCGCTGGATCCGACTGTGATGATCTGTGCAGACCCTGACGGCCTTTTGACCTGGCCGAGGGTGAATACATTTTGTTCGTAGTCCGCTGTGAGGTAACTTTTCAAGGAGACGATCAGCTTTGCATTTGCCGACGCCCGAGCAATCAAAGGTACTTACGCCTCCTGGAGGAATGTGCGGCCGAGATAGTAACCCGTTGTCGAATTTGCGCGCCGTATAGGGAAGTACCTCTGCGTGCTAGATGCGTTTTTCATCCCTGCTACAGGATAACTTGCACTCAGATCGAAAGCTGCGTAAGGCAGAACGATATCAATCATTGCTGATGGGTTCTGTGGACTTCTGAGGGTGAATGTGAACGTCAAATTCGTTGATCGTAGAACCCGCTGTTGACTCTCGCTGATCAGGTACATCTGTGTCGTGTTGTCGTAGACCAGTCCAATTGCGTTTTCAATCTGGTCGCAAACACTGCCTGGCAACCAAATCTCCGGAATAACGGAATCGACCAACGCAACATTTCCCATCGAAATATGAGTGATATTGCCATTCGAGATTTTGATTCGGTCGACGAGCACGCTGAGTTCGAATGGATCGTCGCTGAAATTGACAGAGAGCGCTGCTGACATGTCCACACGAGCGGCATCATAGCCCCCGAGCGTTAAACTTCCAAAGTCTTGTCGATCCGTGTATGGCGCACCTGCTGTATAACCGTAGAACAAGCTGGGTATCTTGTCGGCAGACTTCAATCCTTGTAATATAGAGGTATAATTGGAATCTAGCCCAGGAACATGATTCATAATGCTGCGGAGGCCGAACATGCCTTGCCAAGGGTCGACTGCATTTATGCCGGCGACCAGTTGGGATGTGAGCGTGAGATTTGATACGCTTGGACCGATCGTGACAGCGTCCAGTCCGACCGCGGCAGGTATCATTCCGAACACTCCAAGGGGAAGCTCAGAATCGAAAGGAAGGAAGAAGTTTCGAGAGCCGTCAAGAGCAGACAGCCTGCTGGAGGTAAGACTCGTACTAAAATTGAAGAGCAACGGGCTACCACCTCGTGCACTCTCGCAAGCTGATACGGGCACGTTGACACATCCAGTTCGCATAATGAGTGTAACATAGCTTATCGATGTTGCTGGAAGAACCCTTAGCATCTGGGGTGGTGTGCCGACGTAGAGATTGAAAGTCGACCAGGCACCGTCATTGCCTTCGAACCGCTGACTGGGGGCGATGCTCAAGGCTGAAGACATAGCGAAAACGATCGTGTGGTGCAACAGCTTTTTCTACGCCGCGAGAGGGTAAAGACCAAGTTCAGGTGGGACGGTTGCTCGGTATATCAAGCAAAAGCATCAGGTGCAGAGAGGAGATGGGTGAGTGACTAGCATCACCCATGCATAGATCCATCACACCGGTGCTCTGGTTGCGTTTTATCCCAGGCCAATAAGATTGGCTATGGTATGCGATCTGACGTGTAGTATGTACCGCGAGGTACATTTTGGCGAAGATCCTCGATGGCATGCGTCCGAAGGAAGGGGCTCAGATCTTCACCCGCAGGAAGGACTGGTTCGGACTACAAAAGTGAATTCTCCTTTTCGTTTTATCTAGAGGCAGTCGTGGCAGTGCGGAACATCAGCACTTCCCGGGTTTCCTTACTGCTTACTGTGATCTACGTGATCGCTGCATAAAGCACGCTAGCGTCGACAAAGTACATGAAAGGATCAGGTCTTGCTGCGCCCAATTTGCGGGTTTCGGCCAACAGCAACGTGCTGAACATGTTCCTCTTGATACATGCTTGCAGCACATCGCAAGAAAGGCAGTTCAGGGCGATCTGATCTCGTCCTGGCGAAATGCTTCTTGATTGGTAGTGCTGTTGCTGCACGAGCATCTCAGTTTCGACTCCGCCACGTTCAGGGCTTCAGCAACATCATGATGAGCTAGTCAAGCGTTGACTCCGCGCGATTGTCGGAACGAATGGCGCATAAGTGCAGCTTGACAAGATGCTGTTTGGGCATAAAGGTCAGAATACAGTATGCCCAGGTGACATGCGATAATTCCGTTAATAGGTATACAGTAGTAACCCAGTCCAGCTTCGAGTAGGTCACTTTAATACATCACGTGATTGCGTGCCGTCATTTCGTGTCTGTTGCCTGAAGGCATCCGCCCTAAGCCCATTCAAGACGCGTCCCAACTGAGCCTCATTGCAACGATCACTTTACTATATGAACAACTGCGAATGATGGGAAGTGCAAGTTCATTATCTTGACGCAATTCCTAAATCGCAAAAATGACAACCAAAGAAGCGACGGTGTTTATTGTCGACCTCGGTGCGACCATGGGCGCCAGGCGTCATGGTCGCACCCAGACCGATCTCGATTGGGCACTGGAATACGTCTGGGATCGGATCACGACCGTCATTGCAACGGGACGCAAGACTAATCTCGTTGGCGTTGTCGGACTAAGAACAGATGACTCGGATAATGTCCTGGCAGAAGAGGAGCATTACCAACACATTTCCGTGCTCCAGCCAATCGACCAAATCCTGATGCCGCAACTCAGACAGTTGAGGGAGTCGCTGAAGGTGTCGGCGACTGAGATCGGAGATGCCATCTCAGCTGTTGTGATTGCTGTTCAGATGATCATGGAGAAATGCAAGAAGTTGCAGTACATTCGACGAATCGTTCTTATCACTGATGCGAGAGCACCGATGTTGACAGACGATCTATCCAAGATTCGTAAGAAGATTTCGGAGGATAAGATCGAGCTGCTCGTTTTGGGCGTCGACTTCGATGATGCCGAGTATGGCTTCAAGGAGGAAGCCAAGGATTCGATCAAAGAAGAGAATGAAGCGATTCTCAAAACGTTGTGCGAGGATTGTGGAGGAATGTACGGCACACTCGCGCAGGCCATCGAAGAAAGCGAGATCCCCAGAGTCAAAACGACGCGACCAATCGCTTCTTTCAAGGGGCTGTTGACGCTCGGGAACCCCAGCGAATACGAAACCGCCATGACGATCGACGTCGAGAGATATCCGAAAATCATGCTCGCGAAACCTCCCACCGCAAGCTCGTTCGTTCTCAGGGAAGGTCTTTCCGCGAATGAGGCGTCCCAGCTACTTCCGACGACCGGTGACGATGGCGCAAGTGTTCAGACAGGTGGAGATCTGACCGCTGTGAAGAATGCACGCACGTATCAAGTCGAAGACCAAGACGCACCGGGCGGCAAACGCGATGTGGCATTGGAAGAACTCGCCAAAGGTTATGAGTACGGTCGAACGGCCGTGCACATTTCGGAGAGCGATCGCAACGTGACGACATACGAAACGCTACAAGGCCTCGATATACTTGGCTTTATAGCCCAATCTCAGGTGAGTGCGGATATGCATATGGTTGAATTGGCATTTGCTGACAGTTGCAGTACGAACACTACTTGGACATGTCGCGAGCAAACCTCATCGTTTCGCAAAAGCTCAACGACAAGGCTTCAATGGCACTGTCATCCTTCATCCACGCTCTGTACGAACTCGAGTCATATGCCGTCGCACGACTGGTGATCAAAGAGAACAAAGAGCCCAAGTTAGTCCTATTGACACCTCACATCGAACCCGACTTTGAGTGTCTTTATGACGTCGAGCTTCCGTTTGCGGAAGACATGCGAAGCTACAAATTCCCACCGCTCGACCGCGTCCTCACGGTGAGTGGAAAGGAGGTCAAGGTGCACCGTACATTGCCCAGCGACAAGCTCCTGGATGCCATGAGCGATTACGTCGACAGCATGGACCTCTCAACCTTTGGCAAAGATGAAGAAGGCGCACCGACAGAATACATGCCTATGGATGAGACCTACAGCCCGATGCTCCATCGCATCAACCAGGTAATCAAGCACAGAGCAGTATATCCCGAGGCCGATGCACCACCGCCCTTTGAGATTCTAATGAGATATTCTAAGCCGCCATCGGATCTCGTCGAAAAGTCACAGTCCAAGCTCGATCGCCTCATCCAGGCTGCTGATGTCAAGAAGGTGCCACCTAAGGCTCGCGGGAAGCGCTACTATAAGAAAGAATCATCCAAACCTCTGTCCAACCTCGATGTCGGGGCGCTACTCGCACAGGATTCCGGTCGCACGCGTCGAAAGATCGACCCGAAGAATGCTGTCGCCGAATTCAAGCAATTCCTCGCCGGCGCCGACAAGATTGAAGACCTCCACGACGCCTGCAAACAGATGGAATATATCATCTTCGACTGGATCCGGAATTCCGTCGGTGATTTGAACTACGGCCGGGCTGTGGAAGCCATCAGAATCATGAGAGAGGAAATGAACGAACTGGAGGAGCCGGGCCCGTACAACGACTTTCTACGGGAGTTGAAGGCGAAAGTCTTGGGCGGAGAGCTGGGAGGCGATCGGAAGGAGATGTGGTATCGCATCCGCATCAGCAAGTTGACCCTTATTTTGAAGGGAGAGTGTGCGGGCAGCGAGGTGACCGAGGAAGAGTCCAAGCGGTTCATGATCCCGCAACTCACACGGTGATGGTTTAATGATGCTACGATGTATGACACTGTACGATTTATGAAGAAAAGCGCAGGATTGTCCCAATTAATCGCTGTGATATGAAGAGCGTTCACCAGGTTTTATGAGCCAACATAATATAGACTCGCTCGCCTCGCTCGACCCGGTCTGAATGAAAGTGGCTTTGCAGCAAATATCATGATTTGCCACGACGTCTTTGAGACATGGATTATTATGGTGAACAATATCGTGGCGTGTGCTGAACCGATGTCCCTGCGGCTCTAGGTTACATAGCAGAATGACGCCTCCGGGGAAAAGCTTGTGGTCAGCTTTGCAGCTCGGGCCATCTCTCAATGGCTCAATCGACGACCCACGTGTTGCAACTGGTGGAGCTGGAAACGCGGTCCAGGAAGATCGGCACGTCGAACATTCTATGGATCGACAACAGAATGGCGAAAGCTATCTTCGAGTTTCGCCTCACGACCGGCTGATATATGTAATATACCGAGTATGAAAACCTAGATCCTCATTGAATATCCTTACCATCTTCGAGTCTTGGAAGCTGGTATTCACCTTCCGACAAGATAATGAAAGCTGTCACAGCATCAGCGCTATTGGCGCTCATCGCCGCAGTCGAAGCGCATCCCGCACATCGCGCTCACCCCAAAGCCCGCGATGTCGATACCCGTTATCCATACACCGGGCCAGCAATTCCCGTCGGCGACTGGCTTGACCAGACGGTCAACGGCAACGGCAAAGGCTACAAGCGAATCGTCGAACCTCCAGCCGTCAAGCCCAAGTCGAGCAGACCGACCAACAATGTCAATGTCATTTCGACCTCGTTCGTGCCGGGAGGGATGAACATCCATTTCCAGACGCCGTTTGGTCTCGGCAAGGCGCCGACTGTGTTTTGGGGTTCGTCTACGTCAAGTTTGAAGAACGTCGCCACGGGTAGATCGACCACGTAAGTCTAGCGGGATGCATCTGCTTGACGGTCCCACTTGCTAATCGTCATGGTAGATATGATCGCACGCCTCCTTGCTCCGCCGTGGACGTTGTGTTGTGCAGCCAGTATTTCCACGATGTTCAGATCACAGGATTACACCCTGGAAGCACATATTATTATCAGATCTCAGGTGCAAACGGTACCACCACTTCCGATGTGTTGAGCTTCAAGACTGCTCGTGCCGTCGGCGACAGCGGATCTTTCTCCGTCGCGGTCCTGAACGACATGGGCTATACGAATGCGCAAGGAACCCATCGCCAACTCGTCAACGCCGCGAATGATGGTGTTGCGTTCGCGTGGCACGGTGGCGATATCAGCTATGCTGATGACTGGTCTGACGGCCTCCTGCCTTGCCAGCTTACTGGACCGGACTCCAACCCATTGTGCTTCAACGGCACCGACTCAACCATTCCCAACACCCCTCCTGCTCCGAGGCCCAAGGAATACAACACTCCCCTGCCGAAGGGTGCAAAGCCGAACCAGGGTGGACCGTACGGCGGTGATATCAGTGTGATCTATGAGAGCAATTGGGATCTATGGCAACAGTGGCAGAACGCCATCACCACCAAGATTCCTTACATGGTTCTCCCGGGCAACCACGAAGCGGCCTGTTCTGAGGGCGACGGTCCCGGAAATCCTTTGACTGCATACCTGAACAACAACCAGACAAACTCGACCGCCCCCGAGTCGGGACTCACATATTACAGCTGTCCTCCCACCCAGAGGAATTACACCACCTACCAACACCGTTTCCGCATGCCTGGCAAGGAGTCTGGTGGCGTGGGTAACTTCTGGTACAGCTTCGACTATGGTATGGCACACTTTGTGGCCATTGATGCCGAGACCGACTTTCCCTACAGTCCCGAATCCCCTTTCCTGCGCGATACAAATGGCCAGGGAAATAAGCCCACCAAAGAACAAACTCAAATCACCAATTCAGGTCCATTCGGAAAGATTGACAACGATCAATGGAAGAACAACACCGCCTACCAACAAATCCAATGGCTGAAGAAAGACCTGGCCAACGTCGACCGCAAAAAGACCCCATGGGTCATCGCCATGAGCCATCGACCCATGTACAGCACCGACGTGGCGGCATTCCAGGCCAACATCCGAAACGCCTTCCAGGAGATCCTGATCGATGCGGGTGTCGACATGTACCTCGCCGGGCACATCCACTGGTACGAGCGCAACTGGCCGCTCACCATCGACGGGACCATCGACCAGGCCGCGATCATCGACAAGAACACCTATGCCGTCAACCCGGGCAAGTCGCTGGTCCATATCACCAACGGAATGGCAGGAAACATCGAATCCCACAGCTTCCTCAAGAACGGTAAGAAAAGAAAAAAAAAGCCCCCCGTCCCCCGAAATCGCCAGTTGACCCATCATCACGCATCTTTCCTCTCTTACGTCCCTTTTGCTAATTCAATCCTGCTTTCCGTCGCTCCAGGTACCCCCATCCGCAACACCACCGCCGTCCTGAACCAACAAGACTACGGGTTCAGCAGATTGACCTTCAAGGACGCCAACACTCTGACCTGGGAGTTCGTCAAGGGGGATGGTTCCGGCATCGGCGACTCGTTGACCGTGCGGAAGGACAAGGCCACCCCTACCGCCGCCGCCGCTGCTGCTACGTATCCTGCACGCGCGTCCGGGCCGGCGATCTGGCAGTGGCCGTGGGGAGGACGGCGGAATTGGTCGATGTAGACGGGGAGGAACCGCATGTATCTCCCCCTCGCACACCCTGATTTTTAGCTTTTGGAAGAAGGGGGAAAAAGCGGTGGGGCGTGCAAGTGAGAATTTCCCCCGACGGGGAAGACGACGGTCTGGATGTATGTTGAATCGAAATTCTATATCTGCTCGTCCATCGAGAGCGATCCAGCTCTTCAGTCCTGTTCTCCTCCGTGGCAATCACATCATGTAGTCCGTAGATCCAGCCCGTTATGTTCGCTTTTGTCCCAACTTGCGCCCGAGAGAAGGGGCTTTTCCATCCCCAGCCCCCATCGAGAATCGTACATGGGACAAAGATTCAGTTCCCTATATCCCAAGCCTCTCTCCCCTCCCCCCTCCCTACCTCTCTCTCTCTCACGCAGCAGCAACGGCAACGGCCTCCGCCTCCGCCTCCGCCCTCTCAAGGCAGCCCTCCAGAAGCGCCCACAACTCCGGGATGTTCAAGGCCTTGGGGATCCTCACGCCCTGCTGGCCGCGGGGCAATTCCGTCGCCACGGTCCTCCCGCACTGCGAGGCGCCGCTCCGGATGTGCATCGAATCGCCGTGCTCGCCGTCCGTGACCACGCGGATCGCGTAGCGCGCGCCCTCGCCCTCGCCCGCGTCGCCGTCCGAGAAGAGCCCCGGCGCAAAGGCCGCGGCCACGGCCAGGGGGTCGTGCAGCGGCGGGCCGGCGGTGAGGCCGAAGACGTCGGCGTAGGTCGCGGCGAAGAACGTCAGGATCTCGTGGAACAGCGTCCTCGTCGGGGAGGGGGGGCGTCGGCCGGCTTCCGGGTCCGGGCCGTGCAGCACGCGCGACAGCACGTCCGGCGTCGCGAGGAACTGGTGGGTCAGGTCCAGGGGCACGAGGACGATCTTGCCCCGTGGCGCGAGCGCCGGGTGCTCCAGCACGGCCTGGGCGCTCTCGGGGTCCACGTAGATGTTGTATTCCGCCCACGGCGTCCAGTTGCCGAAGCGCTCGCCCTCGCCGCCGAGGCGGCCCAGGGCCGCGCCCGTGAAGCCCCCGCCCACGGCCCCGCCCATGATGCTCACGCCGCCGATGTGCTCCGCCAGCGCCGGGTGCGCGGCGAAGAGCAGCGCGATGTTGGTGAGCGCGCCGGTCGCCACGAGCCAGGCTTTCCCGCGCAGCTGGGCGGCCAGGGCGGCGTGGATGGCGGTGATGGCGGGGACGTCGGTGCGGGGGGCGAAGGACGGGGCGGGGAGGCCGGTGGTGCCGTCGAGGCCGGTGGCGCCGTGGATGTCCGGGGCGGAGGCCGGGCCCCGGCAGTAGGCGCGCGGGCTGCCGGCGTAGACGGGCACGGAGGCCCGGTTGAGCGCGGTGAGGATCGAGAGCGTGTTCCGGGTCGTGTCCTCGAGGCTGGCGTTGCCGTAGACGGTGCTCACGCCCAGGAGCTCGACGGAGGGGTGGTGGGCGGCGAGGAGGAGGGCGAAGGCGTCGTCGTGGCCGGTGTCGACGTCGAGCCAGATGGGAGTCTTTGGGGTGGTCGGTGGGGAGGACATGTTTGTGTGAGGTTGGGATGTAGCTTTGTAATTTTTTTCTTTCTTGGAAGCAGTAGTCTCTCTCTCTCTCTGTCTCTTGTTATCAGGCTTCAGGCTTCAAGCTGGTTGACTGTATCAATCTGTCACGGTTCATGCACTTCTCGTGTGTTTTCGCTCTTCAATCCCGATGACACGCCACAGCAATAACAGACCAAAGACAAATCGAGAACGTCGTAAGGAATAAATCTTGTGGAAACCGTAAGATTCGCGAATATACAAAATAACGTCACGTTGAAGTTGCCACTTCCGCTGTCTCGAATCATGTGGTCTGAAAGATCGAAATGCGTCGACGCGGCTTGGGCGCTGCCTTTGCGAGTCATCGGACTGTCCGGTCGGAGCTGGATCCTACCCCCGAAAAAACATCCCCCCGGAGAATCAAGATAAACTCAACAAGTATCGCGCGACGGCATCGGCATCACCTGTTCGCTCCGAAGAGATCTACGACGATTATCTGGATAGACGGGAAAGAACTATATGTGAAGGATTCCCGAGGGGGGAATCGGATTACGCGAAATATCTATGGAATGCTGGAGCTGCAGGAACGATGCTTCGATGCAAGATGTCTCTTGGACATCGCCAAAAACAAGAGCAAAAACGTCACCGAACATGATGGTGGTAGTAGTGTGGTGGTATCATATCCTTCTTTCATCTCCCGTCACTGCTGCTGCTGCTGCTGCTGCTGCTGCTGCTCGCACAATGGAACCCAAAGAAGGAGGGGGAAGCACCTGCCAGAGATGCAATCGCGAGTCGTCCGTTTCGGGAGGAGAATCCAGAAAGGGAAGAAGAAGAGGAAGGAAAAGGAAAAACGAGTCTTTCTATCCATGGATGCAAAACGCGATGCAAATGCAGCGATGTCATTTCCACACCAAAAAGGGAGAGGAAAGGGAGGAAAGGGAGAAGGAGAAAACAAAAAGGGGTTTCTCGGCGAGAGAGAGAGAGAGAGAGAGAGAGAGAGAAAAACCCAGACCGATGCCGCTCCCCCCCTTCAGAACCAGACCAGCCACTTCACGGCCCTGCCCCCGCCCACGACGATCCTCCGGATCGAATTGACGATGAGGACGACGAACCAGGCCCACCACATGAGGCTGAGGAGCATCCACTCCAGGCCCTTGAAGCCGGCGCGCCTCAGCCAGCGGAACTGGCGGCGGCGCTGGCGGAGCATCTGGTCCATGGCGTCGTCCGCCCGTTTGAGGTCCTGCGGCTGCTGGGTCGTCAGGGCGAAGACGAGGTGGTCCGCGCCGTCGCAGGCGCCGTGGACGCGGGCGGCGAGGTGCGACGCCGCGCGTTCCTGCAGCGCCGAGAGGCGGGCCGCGAGGGCGTCGGTGCGGGTCGTCCGGAAGGTGTGCATGCTGGACTCGAGGCTGGCGAGGTCGGCGGTCAGGTTGGACGAGAGGTGGCGGGCGGCGGCCAGGGGTTCGGACCGCCGGGGGACGCCGGCGAGCCAGCTGGTGCAAGGGTTTTGGGTGGTGGTGGTGGAGGAGGAGGTTGGGTTGGTCGGAGAGGGTTTGGAGGCGGTCGGAGAGGGCGAGATGCGGATGGAGTCGGCCTGGCGGAGGATCTCGCGGGCTTTGATCCCCGAGGCGAGGAGCAGGGCGCGGACGCGGGCGATGTCGCGGGCGGCGAGGTGGGAAGCCGTCGGGGAGAGGCTGGAGAGGGCTTTGTGTTGGTCGGAGATACTCCAGTGGCGCTTGGCGGCGTCGGCGAAGTCGGTGGTGTTGGTACGTCGTCGTCCTTGGGAAGTCGATGCGGTGGAGTCGATGCTGCCCGAGCGGAAATCGGCGATGCTGCTGGTGCTGGAGAGGGAGCCGGCGCTGGTGGTCTGGGCCGAGGTTGGCGACAGGAGAGACACGGTCTTGCGGGACTGCGGGCCAGACTTTGAAGCGGCGGTATTGACAGCTGGCATCGGAGCCCGCTGTGGGATGAGGCGATCGCCGGGAGAAGTGCGCTCGGGGTTGCGCATAGCTTTCTGTTGACGGCCGGTCGCGTCCGACTCGGGCGAGGAGTAAGTCCCCGCTCTCCGGCGCTCCTTCCCAGCGACGGGTGATTTGAAGCTGTTGAGGCTCGGAAGGTAATAGCGACTCCTCGATTGTCCTTGGTCCAGAGATGTGCGCGGGCTAATCTCCGTCTCGAGTGCCACGGGCCTGCTCAGAGGCGAATCGTTGCCTGCCTCGGACACATCAGAGGCCGGCGTCTGCTCACGCTGGCCACGCAGACGATCTCCCAATCGGGTGCTCTCATTGCGCACCATGGCCGAAATTCGGTTGTTTTTGAAGAGCCGTCGTCCGTTCGGGTCACCGTTTTCTTTGATGGCACCGTGGCTGAGGTCGTCCACGTTGGACTTGGACGAGCCTAGTCGGCGCAAGCCGCCAGTGACAATGCTATCAGCCGTGCGATGACGCCTGTGGATAGGTCTCTGCGGTGCCGAGCCAGGCCGGCCTTGGTCGTACACAGCATCCTGGCTAGTGTCGCCACTGTCGGACGGCATTGCAGCCTCCACGACAATGGCAGGCTTTGCAGGTGCGGTCATGGCCTTTTCGATGCCCTGAGGAGGCGCAGAGGGGGTGGTACTCGTGACAGGTCGAAGCTCGCTTCGTGAAGCATGTTTGCTGCCTGGTAGCGAAGAATTGATCGATGCGGGATGAGCAAAAGCTGGCATCGTGGGTGAGATGGGCGAGTCGGATACCATTTCGTCCATGGATGACAAACCATGGTCTGGAGAAGCAAGCCCACTGCGGTCTCCCTTTGCAAGACGGGCATGGGTGTCGATGACCAGTCGGTTCCTGGCGTTCTGTCTCGCTCCGCCAGAGCCACTGCGATGCCTTTTCAGCGGGAAGTGGGTATGTTGCGAGTCCCAGTGATCGGGCGAGATCGGTTCTGGAGAGGGCAATTCGCCTCTCGCATCTTTGTCGATCATCTCCCGCATGTGTCTCTCGAGAGGCCCAATGTTTTCATCGCCCCCTTCTTCCACGTTCTCGAACAACAACTCTGGTGGCTGGCGACCTTCTGGGCTGGAAGTGCTCGTCGTGCTTGCAGTATGACTGATGTGCGGTCTTCTGAGTCGATCGGGCAGGTGTAGCAATCGCCTTCGAGGATGGCCACGGGAATCATTCTCGGAATCCAGAAGTTCCTCCGTTCGTCCGTTGCCATGGCGTTCGTGTTCCTTGCTCACCCTCGGAGAGTCCGCTTGACTGCGAGCGGTGAAAATCCGTCTTCCGTGTCGATCTTCAATGATGCTTCTATTGTCTTTGGTTTCGAGCCAATAGGTATCAGCTAGCAGCTCTGCCGGATCGATCGACCATGCATTGGCCGTCCTGGTGATGACGGACTGGTTTGTGTTTGTCCGTCGGTGAGGCGGTCTTGATTCTGAGGCGGGCCGGTCAACGGGCATCTCGCCTTCGTATTGCGGGAGTCGCAGCGAATGCCCGTCGGATCCATACTGGGAATTATTGGAGTTCGCAGCCAGGTCATCGATCCACTTACGAATGCGATCGGTCTCTTGCCAGGTCTCTGGAGGAGCTGCCAGAAGCCGTCTCTCGCGATTGCGAAGGCGTCGATTACGCAGTGCCTGCAGAGGGTTGTATGCTCGACCCAGCTTCCCCGTCTGATCGTGAGGGTCGGTGTGATGTCCGTTACGCGCGTTCGAGATGGTGCCATCCGGACGCAGAGGGGGCAGATGCTCTAACAAGCGACGATGTTCGCTGGCCAACTCGAAATACTTCCTCGCCTTTTCCGCCCGGGAAAGGGTCGCGGGAGTGAATGTACATGTATTTTCCTCGCCCTGCGCCATACTCGTATCCACCCAACCAAGATTTTCCGATCCATACCCACGCGAGGACAAAGAATGCGGCGAACTGTTATCACCCAGACGACTATTCCGTTGAGGGGTTCTTATGGTGTTGTATCCAAAGTCCGAGCCGATCGACACGATCCGATTGCCGACATGCTGCGAAGCCGGGGCGCGCAAAGGAAGGCTGGTGATACGTGCCCTGCTCTCACTGAGACTCAAAGCCATCTGAACCAGTTGAGCAGGATCGAGAGCCAGAGGAGGCTGTTGCTGCTGCTGCTGCTGCTCCTCTCGAGACCTCTCGCTCTCAGACTGCGAGGGAGTATCACAGGAGGCATCGCGCGGCGCGGGAGAAGATCGCGGTGTCATTTCGGCGACGGGGCGTGAGGTCGGGGTCTTCCTCTGGGCCAAAGGTTGTCCGTTGGCGTGTGTCGGCTTCCCATCGACGCCCTTCTTCTCCGGCGACCTGGTTCGGCCATTGGTGACCGCCGCCTGTAGGATAGAACCACCCGACTTCTTGACCCGCCGTGCGATCGTCCCGAGACTATGCTGGAGGCCATCGGTGACGGGCGAGGAGCCGATGAGCCGGGTTTTGCTGCCCCGACGTTCTCCCGTGCTGCTGCGGCGGATCGCCGGGCCATTCGAATCGGAAGCGACGGCCGGATTGACCTCTATAGATTCAAAGGCGACGTCCGCGGCGGTCTTCCTTGGGGTGGAAGGGACGGCATTGCCTGACATGTCCAGCAAGCAGGCAAGCAGCCGCGAAGGTGTCCTCGAGACCCTACACGCCGGGTGTGGGAGGGGCTATATTTCCGAGACGGGTGGAAGGTTGAGATGCAGTGCAGGCATGGTGGAATGCAGCAAGCGGAGATATGTCGTAACGACGACCACGACGACGCTGGCGGGGAGGCACACCGGGTTGGCGGGCGAGGGAAGGGCGGGCGAGGACGGCGGAGATTGGAAATGTTGTATATGAATATGTTGGAGGATATGTTGGAGGCAACTGGAGATGCAGCTATGTATGCATGCCGAGAGAACGCCCGCGCGTAGACGACGGCAGTAGCGGTAGTGGTGTCGTGTAGTGACGGTCACTGGAGTGGAATAAGTGTGCAGGTGTAGCGCAATGGGAAATACGGTATGTGGAGTAGTAGTGTGCACGGTAGAGATGACGCGTGACCGTTCGGCACCGGCGAGTGGTCAAGATGATGATGGGCGGTGTCTGTCCACCGATCTACCAATTGATTGATTGATGGATGGATGGAATTGACGACGACGGCGCTTGCAAGGGTGCCCAGGTGGCCAGGTGGGGCGAGAACCCTTTTGGAAATCGAAGGTTGCTACGGCCGATTGATGGATGTCGTTTCAGGCGGAGCACATGTGAATTCGCATCAATTCGCATCAATTCACATCAATTCACATCAATTCACATCAATTTCCATGTTTGCTGCACACGATCAATACCTCTCTCATCATCCTCGCCATGGAGACAAGAGGTTGCGCGGGAGCAAATGATGTGCTGTACTGTATTCATCCTGTCGTCCTTCCCTCCTCTGTCGTGTCTGGCGTGGCTCTCTCTCTCTCTCTGTCTGTCTGTCTGTGTGTCTGTCTGTGTCTGTCTGTGTGTGTGCCTGCATGATGGGCCGTCCCACCACTCACAGTCGTCCTCCCAAAGCTAGATTCCCATTATACATTTCAAATGCACAAGCACATGCACATGCACGTCCGTCAACGAACCGTGGATCGCTCCGTCACGGATGGATCTCTTTCAAGGTTTATCATTAGTGGAGATGTGTTGTGCACGTGTTCGGGGACATGTGCCCGCGGTGTGACTTGGGTTTTCGTCTCTCCTTCCAGATTCATCCTCCTCCTCCTCCTCCTCCTCCTCCTCCTCCTCCTCCACCGTGGGACCAACATCCTTCCGACCGCAGCTAAGGATCTCCACAGTTTAGCCTAAGAGGGTATACCGACTGCCAGTATGGAGTGTGGTCCGGGTAATCAAAGAATCAAAGAATCAAAGAATCTCAGTGGGATCTCTCATCGAGGACTGCAGGATTGTCGGTGCTTGCAGCAGTTGAGCTTTGGTACGCGGCGCAAAAACGGGTTGACGGCCAAAGCCACCTTCTCTCCGCCAGGGACGTGCATTCACCGCAGAAACACAGGATCGATGGATGCAGGTGGATGGATGGATGGATGACAGGGGGATCCATGATGATCAACAACATATTCAGATCGATGTACATATCCATGTCCCTATCCATATTGCCCATGACGCGATGACGTCCCTCGGTCGGTCATCGTTATCGTGAAACAGGAAAAACAACGAAAGGTCACTCGCTGTGTAATATGTATATACTAGGTATGTATATATATACATATATCTATGTTTATATATATCATACATATATACCTAGGTGTCTAGTATCGACCCCGAGGACATGCGGCAGTACATCGGCGGTACAAATCCCAGGGTATCGAGAGAGCGGTCTGCACATGTGATGATGATGATGATACCGAGATGCCCACCCGTCGGGACTCGAGACTCCTTCACATGCCAAAATTCTCCACCCCGACAAATCCCCGGCGCGAGGGAGGTTCACTTCATCGATCGACGACAATCGCGGTGAGCGAGGAATTGATCCAGCATATGTGTAAAAATCAAAATCGAAAAAATCACAAACACCAACAAAGGCCATCGTGATATGAGAGCCAGGCCAGGCAACCACGTGAAGAGATGCCCGTGATTGACCACCCAAGAGGAACAGCCTCGAGATGGAGGAGACTACCTAGGTAACAATCGACGCCATCGTTTACACCACCGTCACCTTTTGAACCGATCAATTCTCCACCCTTGCAATGCCCCCATGTCTTTTCCCGCCATTCAATTCTTCACGCAACCGCCGGGCGGGAGGATTCCATATCGTGTGACTCTTCTCCAGAAGGCACGCATGGTCGAAAAGAAAAAAGGAAACATAGGCCATCATCATCGTCGCCGACCCTACCACCTGCTGTGGATGACTCCCACCCGGGTCGAAAGAGAGCAAAGAAAAGAAAGAAAACAAATCCCCATATAACCTTCCTCACGACGACGACACAACCCGTCCTCCTCCCCCCCTTTCGTGTGGCCGACCGACCGTAGCTTCCTGTACGCGAGAGAGAGAGAGAGACTTCACGGCCAAAACTCGCAATGGTTGCCTCTCTCTCCCTCTCTCTTTACGCCCTCTCTCCAATCCGGGGTCCCCATCGCCGCTCGTGGGAACAGGCCAAGACTGGTCATTCGTCCGCTTCCTCTTTGCGGGAGAGGGATCTAGCGAGGTGCACTACTGCTGTGATGGATCCATGGATGATATAATAATATATATTCCCCCAGATGGGACTAAAATAACCCGGGGAGCGCTTCGATGCGGGATCGATGTTCGCCCGAGGGGAGAGAGGGAGGCTCTCATGTTCTCACCTATTACTCTGATTCTTATTCTTCTCCAAATCGTTCGACGGTTTGTCCGATCCGTATATACCTACCTACCTACTGCCGTATGGCTCGGTCAAAACGTCGGCGGGTCTCACATTGCATTGCTCCTCTCACCGCATCGTCGTGGGAGAATAAAAATAAACGGGGACTCCACGGACGAGCGAGGGCGTTTCCCCACGGCGCCCCCGCTGGAATTTATATGGTTTCTTGTTTGATCACAGGACATGGCATGGCATGGCATGGCATGGTCGAACAGCCTGGATGCGATGTTGGCCGGAGCCCAGGTTGCCGTCACACCCAATGGCAGTGGTCTCTCTCTCTCTGTGTGTGTGTGTGTGTCTGTGTGTGTGTCGCCGAGCGAGCTTTCCTTGTAGTATGGATATAATAGGCACACATACACATAGAGAGAGAGGGAGGGAGGGAGGGAGAAAAGTCCCCATCGGATTTTGGTCATTGGAGAGAAGGGTCGATGTGATGACCAGAAAGCAATATATATATATATATATCTATGTGAGTATATATATACCTGGGTAAGTATATGACATCTGCCACACACACACACACACACATCATCTCCGATATAGCAACGGCGCAGTAGTAGTAATTGAGCAGTTCATGCCGGATAGCCATGTGGTCTCAACAGGTCATCGCATCTCCCCGCGTGAGGGAGAGTCTTTTTGATCTGTGCAGGTCCACACACACAGTCTGTCATCACATCTGATGAGGAGAGAAACATCCGCGATTGCCAATTCTATCAATCATCAGGAATTTTTAACGTGGGGAATGTTCAAGATGGATTTCGACACATGGAATACTGGACAGGTCGACGTCGTTCTCTCTCAATTGGAGACGATTGACGAGGTACATCGTTTGAAATTCGACACGTTGGTGATGGATCTTCTACTACCGATTTCAATATATCTAGGTGGACATAGAGATATACCATCGTCGATTCGCAGACCCCTCCTCCTCCTCCTCCTCCTCCTCCTCCTCCTCCTCCTCCTCTTCCCCTCCCTCCTTCCCACACGGATGAATGAATGAACGGCAGAATCCCCCCCCTAAGCCGGCGCGACGAGCCCTCCCACGATCGCCCCGCAAGGACCGTTCCCGACGGTGAGATAATCGTCGAAGCGGGTTCCCGGCTGGGTCACGGCGACCCACCTCGGCGGCGCGGGGCAGCTGAACGCGTTGAAGTCGAGGTACAGGTTGCAGCGGCGGCCCTTGACCGAGTACGTCCAGGCCTCGATGGGGAAGTCCGGGAGGCTGAAGGCGCCGACGCAGCAGTCGTACGCGGTCGTGGTGTTGAGGAGCTCGAGCGGGGCGTCGTATTCCCCGACCGATTGGAAGGTGTAGAAGGGCGCGCCGTCGTAGCTGTCGGCGAGGTTGGACGGCGAGCACGAGCGGAAGATGTCCTGGGTGGGCTGGGGCACGAGCGCGGTGGCGGTGACGGTGACGGTGCGGGCGGCGGCGGCGCTTGCGAGGGAGGCGGAGGGCGAGGCGAAGACGGTGCTGGTGGATGTCACGGTCTTGGTGGAGCACGAGCGGGACGCGGTCCAGCGGTGGCAGGTCACGGGGCCGGGGTACTGCTTTGGTGGTGGGCGGAGCAGCTTGTCTAGGAACGAGGACAGGCCGTCGTGAAATGGGAATCCGGCGGTGTCGGACACCAGGTTCGAGCCGAACGATCGCTTCTTTCCCTGCGCATCGAAGGGCGTCGGGCCGGAGACCGACTCGTTGTAGCCGAAGTCGGGGTGTGCGATCCGGACCGGTGTGAAGGTGGGTCCGGACGGGATCGTGGTGGTCGAGACGACGCCGGTGGTGGACTGGACGGTGATGGTCGTGGTGACGACGCGACCGGCAGGAGCAGACGCGAGGACCGTCTTGGTCGACACTCGGGTCGACGTCGTGGTGCAGGCTGTATAATGCGTCTTCCATGCTGTGCTGCAGCTCGTGGCCGGTTTGCTGGGCACCACCTTGGCGTAGCAGGATGTCTTGTCGACACCATAGCCCTGCGCTGCGGACGCCATGCCATTGAAGGCGCCCACGGCCAACAAGGCCACGCTCAGCATATGATTATACATCTTCGAAGGGAGTGATTAAAGTCGTCGATGTGGAGAGACAATTCGGCCATCGTGGAGAATCGTCAGGGCGACATGCGCATTTTATATCTTTCAAACATCATCACGGAGCCTCGAGGTAAGCCTCCAAGGCGCGCCTCTCGAGAACGGTATCAATGTTTATCGTTTGGTGACGACAATCCTTCCCTGTCGTCAGATTGAGGCGGAGGAGTTGTGGCCGACAGCAGCGACCAATTGAAGCGTCAAGCTCGGCGCCTCCAAGCCCACCGGCGGGGAAAACATCTCACGCCGGCATAAGCGACGGCAACGAACACCCTGGACCTGCAGGCACATCTGCAAGTGAGCTGTACCTTTTCGGTCGCATGTTGATTTCGTTGTTGAAAAAGGGGATAGCCTCGCGAGATTTGCCCGCTTTCGGACTTCTGTGATCAAGACGTGCTGACTTTCGACATCGATTCATGATGGCCGTCTGCGAATCTCCCGGGAGTGGACGCAACTTATCGCGCAACGAGACAAGATCGCAATGGTGTTGTGGCACGCAGTCAAATATAGCAGCCCGATGAGATCCGTTGTGAACTCGCTCGTCCAGCACGTACGAAATCAATCAAGAAAAATTGAACACGAGCTTGCGCTTTTTTCGGGGTGTATACATGTAGGAAAATTTCACATATCATTTCAATCATATGACGACATGTCATGATAGTAGCCAACTCGAGCGCGGAATATATGGAAAATACAGCGCCTCTCCTCTCTACGCCTCGGCCAGAGCCAACAGACCCTTCAAGTCAATGCTCTTGGGTCGCTCGATCGGGAGTCCCAACGCACGGTCCCAGATCAACTGTGCGAGAGGGCCGAGACCACGGCTGACACCGAAGGTCGCGGTATAGTACAGGGTGTTGTGGAAGCCGTAGTGGTGGAAGAGCACGCCCGAGGACGAGTCGACGTTGGGGTAGGGGTTCTTGGTCTTGCCGTGCTCGGTCAGGACCTTGGGCGCAATGTCGCTGTTCTGTGCGACCAGGCGGAAGACGGGGTCCTCGGCGATCTCAGGGCGCGCGCGGGCAAAGTCCATGAGGGCCTCGAATCGCGGGTCGGGCTTGCGCAGGACGGCGTGGCCGTATCCGGGGACCACACGGCCGGACTTCAACGTGCTCCAGAGGTAGTCGCGGACGGCATCGTCGCTGGCGCCGTCGCCGACGTGCTCGCGCATCTGGAGGATCCAGCGGAGAACCTCCTGGGCGGCCAAACCGTGCAGAGGTCCTGCGAGACCCTGCAGACCGGCGGAGTATGCCAAGAAGGGGTCGCTGAGAGCGGATCCGACCAGGTGGGTGGCGTGGGCCGAGACGTTGCCTCCCTCGTGGTCACCGTGCAGGGCGAGGTACAGACGGAGCAGATCCTGGAAGTTCTCATTCTCTTTGCCGGCCTTGCCGAGCATCGCGGCGAAGTTGTAGGACCAATCCTGGTTGAGGTCGATCTCTGCAGGTAAAGCTCCTCCGCCACAGTATGCGTTTTGGTGGATCTTGGCGGCGATGGTGGGTAGCTTGGCGAGCAGGCTGATGCTATCGTCGAAGGTGGGCTCCCAGTAGTCGGCCTTGTTGAGACCCTTCTCGTAGGCACGGGCGAAGACACTCTCGTAGTTGAGCGCAGAAACGGCGCAGGCGAATTGTGTCATCGGGTGCAAGTCCTTGGGGAAGTCGTCGAGCATCTTGTTGACGAACGCGGGAAGCTGACCCTTCTCGGCGAGCTCCCTCGAGAAGACGCGCACCTGGTTGGTTGTGGGCACCTGGCCGGTCAACAACAACCAGAACATGGCCTCCGGGAGCATCTCCGTGCCGGAGGTGCCCTTGGGGAGAACAGCCTGGCAGTCCTTGATGGTCTTGCCGTGGAAGCGAATACCCTCGTTGGCATCGAGGACGGACCCCTCCCAGACCATGGCCTTGAGACCGCGCATGCCACCCAAGGTGTTCTCGATCTTGACCTCGCCAATGGTCTTGCCGGCATGAGCCTTGACCTTCTTCAAGAGCTCACGCTTCTCGGGGATGACGCTCTTCAGCACCGTCTTGAGATCCGGCTCGGAGGTGGCATAGCCGCGCGAGGCATTGCTGAGGGCCGGGGCCGTCTGTGCGAGCTTTCAGACAGGGTGTCAGTGAGAGTGCTGTGAGAGAGCAGAGATTTGCAGAGGTCCGTGAAGTCAGGAGCATGTTCGGGCAGAATCCGGGGACCGCCTGTTTCGCCGTCTGTGAAAGCCAATGGCCGTGGGAAGAAGCAGCGGCACACCAAGGGCAGCTTGCAAATGACTTACCTTGGACGCCCGCAGGGCACGGAGAGCAGATCTGCTGGAGAGAGCCATTGTAGAGTGGAGATGTGGTGGTGGTGTGAGGAGTGAGAGAGAGGTGTCGGTAAAGAAAGCAGAAATATCAAACAATGTTATTATTCGAGCTCCACGAACCGACGGGCCTAAGCGCTGACACGACCAAGAGCTCACGGTTCCCTGCTAAATTTCGAAGCCGGCCTGTACGTCCGGTGGACAAGGCACAAACATGCTCTAGAGTCTAGAGTCCTGCGTAGTCTGACAAGTGTTTCCTCTCTACACGGGCGGTGGCATAGCACAATCCTCCACAGTGCGCGGGCAACACATGCCAACAACACTCGGCTCTCGGATGACGGGGTTTCGCGCCAATGGGCCATCCATCATCACTACCTACTGTACCGCCGCTAGATTTTTCCTGGGCAACGTAGCCCCTCCTCGCCCAGCGGGTGCATGTTTCGTCTCACCGTCCACATTCTATCTACCATGAGCGGTGTCGAGGGAGGAATCACAGCCTCCAAGCACGTACACATTGGCACCTAGAGTGACCGGGAAACAGACAATCAAACGACGAGTGCGGAATTGACCAGAGCCGTACAAGCTCCGAGTTCGCAGTCACAACACAGTTCTTATAGTACACTTGCAGGTGCTCGGTTGTTCCTGTAAGGATGACCAAATTCTGCAGGCAAACACGCGGGCAGCTCGCGCCGGAGTCCTAGTAGGCATTGGGAGACACAGGACTCTGAGCAGAGCTAGAAAGGTCCAGCTCGTTTGGAGCGCGCTGTCGTGGATAACGCGAGGAGGCGGTGCATTCTTCGACATCTGCCATGGATACCCAGGTATTCTACATCTTCGAGGGATGATAAGAATAAGAATAACAATAGTAATAATAATACTGTAAACGACTCCGGTGCAATCCATGGATATTCGGAAGATCCATCCTGTCAATCACATGCCCCACCAGATGGCGATTGCCGCCATACGCCCGTAGAAGGGCCATCGCGTGGGGATTTTATCGATTGTCGGCGACCGTTTTTTTTTGTTCCAAGGCCTTTTTTGCTGTGGTCCAGCTGAATCGGCCGTGCATACGTCACAGGCTCACAGCCCATTGGGACCGAGGCAGACGCCGGCAAGTACACCTGGGCAGTTATGGTTAAGTCGCATTGATTGAATCATCACTGCCCTGCCCAGGTGGATCACAAGCAGTAACAATAATAATAATACCTAGGTACCCTGGTGCCTGCCTGGGCAGATGCCCCAGTTGCCGTAGCTTATTACAGCTGTTACAGTATACGACTCGCCGCAGCTCTGTTCCTCTGCCTCCAGCGGTTTCTTCCCCACAGTCTCTCCGCTTGTGCCGCTCAGAGCCGCAACAAGACGAGACGAGACGAGTCGAGTCGAGTCGTCGCCCTCTGCTGTACTGTACATACTCCACCATCGGCGTCGGATGCCCGCTTAACTCCTTCTCCAGAGCTGCAGGCGGTGGCTGGATCCGATGTCGCTCGCATACTATGCATACCTAGGTATCCATGGACAGCATTGCACGGGTATAGAAAATAACCATGTAGCAATGGAAGCTGGTAGATATCTTAATAATGTATAGAAATGCAATTGTCGAGTGTTGAGATTTCGCGATCTATGATATCCCGACGCTCACGTGCTCTACAATAATAGATAACACCACCTGCATCCAAAGCGGTGGGAGCGTCTCTGTCCGGCTCAAGCAAAAACATCGTCCGTACATTCCCTGCCATCATACCACTTCTAGCATTTCGTGGAGGCTCGAGCATGGCCGCAAGATAGAACCTCAGCACCACTACTCTCGCTCGTCACTGAAATCCCCTCCAAAAGATCAACCGCGACATCCAGATATCAACATGTTCCGCTCTGGTCCCCGAGCAGTCCGTCACTTGCGACAGCTTCAGTCTAAACGTGCCTCGTTACCACATCTTCATCAAGCGACTCGCACGATCACCTCCAGTTCGATCCGGATGGCGCCGTCGCTGTCATCAGTCTCACCACCTCTACCTTCCTCTCACCCCACCGAAGCCTTCCAACTTCTGCCCGAATCAGAAAAGCCCGATGCCGAACAACAAATCTTCGACGAGCAGGTCAAGCAGGTCAAGGAGTGGTGGTCGAGTCCGCGCTACAAGGGTATCAAGAGACCGTACACACCGGAGGATGTCGTCAGCAAGCGAGGCACACTACAACAGGTCTACCCTTCAAGCCTGACCGCGAGGAAGCTTTTCAATCTCCTCGAAGAACGCTTCGCGGAGAGGAAGCCGGTACACACGATGGGAGCAATCGACCCCATCCAGATGACGCAGCAAGCGCCGCATCAGGAGATCCTTTATGTCTCCGGCTGGGCTTGCTCGTCCGTCCTGACCACCACGAACGAGGTCAGCCCAGATTTTGGCGACTACCCGTACAACACCGTTCCCAACCAAGTCCAGCGATTGTTCAAGGCACAGCAGCTCCATGATCGCCGCCACTACGATGCCCGGATGAAACTGACGGCACAGCAACGCAAGGAGACGCCATACATCGACTACCTGCGACCGATCGTCGCCGACGGCGATACTGGACACGGTGGATTGAGTGCGGTTCTCAAACTTGCCAAGTTATTTGCTGAGAACGGCGCGGCCGCCGTCCACTTCGAGGATCAATTACACGGCGGCAAGAAATGCGGGCACTTGGCGGGTAAGGTTTTGGTGCCCGTGGGCGACCACATCTCACGACTGGTCGCGGCTCGCTTCCAGTGGGATCTGATGGGATGCGAGAACCTGGTCATCGCACGAACCGACAGCGAGAGCGGCAAGCTGCTGTCCTCGGCCATCGATGCGCGCGACCACGAATTCATCCTCGGCGTGACCGAAGACGTGGAGCCTCTCGCAGACTCCCTGCAGAAGATGGAGTACGAAGGCGCGTCCGGCCCGGAGATTGACCGCTTCGAGGCCGAATGGGTCAAGAAGCACAAGCTCGTCACCTTCGACGAAGCCGCCGAGGCGCACATCACCGCCGCCGGCCGCGACCCAGCCGGTTATCTCCAATCCGTGCGCGCCAGCCCCAACACCCCTCTCCACCAACGACGGGCTGCCGCCGCCAAGGCCGCCGGCTCCCCCGTCGTCTTCAGCTGGGACGTGCCGCGCACGCGCGAGGGCTTCTACCACTACCGCGCGGGCATCGCGGCCGCGACCAAGCGCGCCATCGCCTTCGCGCCCTACGCCGACCTGCTCTGGCTCGAGACGAAAGACCCCAGCGTCTCGGCCGCCGCGGGCTTCGCCGCGGACATCCACGCCGCCGCGCCGGGCAAGAAGCTCGTCTACAACCTCTCGCCGTCCTTCAACTGGTCCGCCCACGGCTTCTCCGACGCCGACCTCAAGGGCTTCATCTGGGACCTCGCCAAGCACGGCTTCGTGCTCCAGCTCGTCAGCCTGGCCGGCCTGCACAGCACCGCGACCATCTCCCACGAACTGGCCCGCGCGTACAAGACCGACGGCATGAAGGCCTACGTGGAGCTCGTCCAGCGGAGGGAGAAGGAGTCCGGGTGCGATGTCCTCACGCATCAGAAGTGGAGCGGAGCGACGTATCTCGACGGCATCATCGGCAGCATCCAGGCGGGAAGCAGCGGGAGCCGGAGCATGGGTGACGGGAACACCGAGGGGAGCTTTTAGGGTTGGCCCGATGGTTCGGTAGGGTTGCTGGATTTCCTCTGCGGCGCAATGTTACAACTTGAGTGTCGTTGTTTGAAGGATAGAATATTTGTATATTTCCAGAGAAAGACGTGTTCTGTACACCAAGGCTTTCCTCGTGTTCTCCAAACTGCCCAGGTGGGGATGAGTGAAGTGTGTTCGCGTTACGGGCCCGGCGTCTATCGAGTGGGTCCGCTTCGATTGGGGTTCTGAACGCCTCTTTGGCTCAACTTGAGTGCGTGATGTTCGTAGCTCTACTGTGGAAAGACACGACGATGACGGTGAACTCAACTCGATGACGCTGTTGCAAGATCTGTGTCAATTGGCAGCCCCTCTGTTGCTTTACCTATGATTCGGAATCACAGCTCCGAGCTGGGCAGCATCCGAGAGAGCCCGATGCGTACGCGTGCACTCTGTACGGACAATGAATCGATGGCGAGAGACGAGAAGTGACAGTAGGGTGGTATTACAGCAGGCCTCGAGGCACTATGTCTAAAGATCACTGGAACATCCCAAGAGCTGCGGACCAGTCGAGGCTGTCCTTTCATGACGAGCCGGCTCGCGAAGAAAGAACATGGTCATCAGTCCCATGTACCGAGGTTCTGATCGTGCCATGAGTGGTCGTTCGAGTGCACCAGTGTCATCGGCGTTCCCACCGCAGCCTGATCAACGTGACCGGGACTGTTGTGAATGATGTTTGCGCTTGGCGCACGTGCTACTGTGAGATCGCCGTCGCCTGTCGCACTGCAGCAGCGGCGCCGCCCGGTTTCTTGCAGGGATGCGACACAACCGCCACGCCGCATCCCAGAGCGGTATCGCGTGAAGTCGTGCATCGCAACATCACCTCAGTCATAGTTCGATCGTGCTTTCTCATCATATTACAGTACCTCTGGTCTGAGTGCCTGACTGCCTTTGTGATGCCCGTATGGTCCTTCGACGGTTGTGGATGATCCCATGATGAATCTCACCGTCGACAATTCGATTGTGGTCACTCCTGCGCTTGCTTGGCGCCCTATCACGGACAAACCGAAGAAATTTCGCTGCCTGGCTCCGGTCTGCTAATGTTCTGCTGCACGATACAAGACCTTTGCAGGAGTCGACCTACGAGAGCTCACGACTTCACTACAGTTTCCGGGATCATCGCTGTTGGTCCGACCTGCGCGAGCGAAGGGAGGCGGACAACGAAGCTGTATGCTGCCATCGCATCACGTCGCAGACGCGCGTCGTTCAGGGAATGACATCGCATGGCGTCGCTTCTTTGACCGTCCAGGTGCCGACATATGAACCAAGTCGATCTGGATGAACGTCTATGCGGACATGTGAGCTATCGTCCATCCAGCCAAGCACTTCTTGTGATCGTCGCCATTGGTGCCTCGAGAACCCCATTTGAGAGATGACCTGCCTATGGCCCTATGGGCGCCTGTCCGGCATCGATTGGTGTGCCCAGGTGGTGCCCCATGCCTGTGAAGAGCTTGCATGCCATTACTGGATGTTCGGAAAGACGTTACAACATGTCGACAAGTGCAGCCAAAGGCAAGAGCCATCACGTTAATGTCAGAATAGCGCATGCCCCTGCACCATGCCGGCAAGAAGAATGCGCTCAAGTCGGAGAATGCCTGGGCGCAGGTACAGGATCAGCGGTCGACACTGCGACTATTCTTCTTCATCGCTTCGACCCGAACAAGACGGAAAGCAGCAAGCAACCATCGTCCATCATCCTCATCGCTCGACATCGCATTCATGGTGGCTGTTTGTCAACGTGGCATTTCCATGTCATGGTGCATGCAGGATCACACCAACGAGTCACATGGACGTTCTATCGCGCCAGCAGGCATTCACACGACACGCGAACTTTTGCGTACTTGAGGGAGGGGAACCCGACATGAAAGCTATATGTTGTGCAAATCTTGGTGTACTTCCATCAGGAAGAGGAGGGAAGGGGCAGTGGCGTAGTGGTGCAGTGGGAGGATGGTGCTACCCAGGGTGCAGAGTAGTGGCGAGGCAGGCCTTAAGTTCGACTCCGCCAGTTGCCCTCGCTGCTGCCCACCCTGGCAAAAAAGCAAATCCTGGCCTACCTGGGATTTCTCTGCCCCGAGGGGACAGTTCTTTTGCTTCGGCCAAGTCCTGATTCATTTTGTATGATCAGAGTGGTTGTCCTTTTTCACTCTCGCATGCCTACGACAAGCATGTGTGGCATGCCACTTCCGCGACCAAGCCGCAAAGCACTCGCGGCCAAGTACGACTTCGCTTTTGGTCTTGCGCTGACCCGACGTATGAGCCCAAAATCACTCGGCTTCAACAATCGCACCTTCCAAGGCTCTAAGGCCAGCTTGTCGATCTCTCTCCTCCGATGAGCGAGGATGTTACCGCAACAACGACTGTTCCTTCAGTCGAACCCACGCCCATTCAGCAATCAAGCCGACGGTTACTTATCCTGCTCCCGGATAGCGAGAGTGCCCGTGCCGCGGCAAGGACGGCACCGGTTTCCGTCTAACTCGTGCTGCCTCAGCGATCAAGCCCCTGTTATTACTCAGCTTCAGAAAGTAAGCAAGCAGCAGATTACTCATCGCCCCCCCCTGACAGTGCGAATCGCAGAGCAACCACGACTGCGCCTTCGGTCTGACTCGCGCTGCTGCAGCGACCAAGCAGCAACATCCTCCTCCTCTCTCCCACACAGCGTCACTGTCGCAGCAACTACGACCATGCTCCTCGTCTCACATGCACTACTCCAGCAACAAAGTCGCATAGTAGCCATCCCTTTCCAAGGCAGCAATGATGCCGCGGCTATTGCAGGATGGCCCCCGACCTGGATCTCTCTCGCGCCGCATTCGCCGAGGCCTTGCAAGAGTGAAGCTGTGTGTGCATGTTCGTGCACCCACGCGGGTGTGTGGGAGAAAGCCAATACGAGGAGCAACTATATAATGCGCGACTTCTGTCAAACTCACAGGCGAGACAAGGACGGATGGGCAAATCGTCGAGTGTGGCGTAGTGGCGTCAGCGCCGGGGCGGTCGTGGGCAAGAGGGCAAGTCGGGAGTTCGAACCCGGTCTGTGTCCGCACACTTCAAGAACCGTTTCCGTAATACACATTACTAGTAGATAGATAAAAAGCAAACCCCGCTGGACTTCGGTTGGACGGGTTTCTCTCCCCTTCACTAGAAGGGCAGTTCTTTTGCTTCCGCCGAGGTCTACATTCCGTCAGGAAGTGTTGCTTTTTTGCTCTTGGAAGTATTCACCAAGCACATGGTCTGAGTTGCCTCAGTGATGAAGCAGCCGAGCCGTTTTTTCGCGCCTCTCAGAGAAGGAGAAATCGCGACAATGGCCACCTCACGCGAAGTCCTGAGCATGTGCATCGAAGACAACATCCAGAGGAAGGGCACCCAGTAAGTTTCGAACTGTGAAGCAGTACTCTACTCAGGCAAGAAAGCAGGAGCGGTCAGCTTGGACCTGCGATCCTTGGAATGCATTTCAACTTGGAAGTGGAGAAAACTTTGCGAGCTCTGGCTCCACACTATAGGATCAGGTGCGCACATGAGCAAGACTAAACACGAGGTAAGTCCATATGGGCGCCCCTGTCTCCCGGCAGCCCCTCATGCGATTTCCTTTTCACCGTCTGCACGAGGTAAGCTTCTTTGTGAGGTTTCTTTGCATTTTCTGCCACGAGTGAGGCATGATTGCATCTGTCGAGTGGATTCCATTCTTCGTCCCCATGGAACCTTTTGCACCGCGGAGCATTGCACTGCACTGCCGTTGTGTAAATCCCTGCATGCAGCATAGTATGCTCTGCGCCGGTCTTCACCTGCCCGCCCGTCGCTCTTCGAAGCATGATCGAAAGATTAAGAGCATGGGTATCACGGTAGTTTTGGGATTACCGAGCAGTTCGACGATGTCAAAGACAGGTCCCTGGCCCATGAGCGCCGGGCAGAACATGCGACCGTCCCGTCAGAGAGTACAGGGTAAGAGGCTGTTCCGTACATACAGACGACACCGTGCCATCGCCTTCCGAGTGCAGAAGCGCTCAGAATCATGCAGGTATCGATGTGCGCCCGAAGTACGACCCTCCCGGTACGGTCAGGACGTCTGTCAGCGTGGAAGCAGTAGTCGCTCTTGGACGCACAAATTGCAGACGGAGTCGTTCAACGAGAATCTCGCTACGTGTAGAAGGGAGTATGAGGACATGCGTGGAGAGGCCACAACCTGAGACGGACAGATAGGGGGCTGAGTCCCTCCATTAGACAACCCATATATGGAAAACCCAAACTCTCAAGATTGGCTGAATGCGTTCGTGATCTGAACCGTGGCCGTTGTCATCGAGGTACCCAGATGTCTCCATGACCGCGCTTTGACGACTGTCATACGTGATCCCTGAGCACCTGGTGGTTCCTCACTGTACAGAGCGATGAACAGGCGAAGAAAAGTTTCCAGATGCTCGTTGACATCTCTATACGAAAGAAGCCTGTAAACTCATTCCTGTCGTCTATTCACGCTCCGGGGTCGAATTCGAGAGCAGATAACCATGACGACTGATTGATCGCGAACGGGAACATCCTCTCCACACCAATCCTTATGATATACACATGTAAGGGAGTAATGGTACGCACGATGGATTATCATTTCAATGTCTGTCTTTCTTTCCCGAGAGGTCTGCTCCACGCTGCTGCACTTCACCCCCGGAATCATTCCGACAGACGCCCGCTTGGACGAACGACTCTCAGCTCGCCCGGGCTTTCATACATTCCGCCGCGAAATCTGGGGGAGCGAGACACAGCACGTTTCCCCATTGATCCGTAGAGCTAGCTAGCGAGCTAGCTGGGACCCTGTGACGAGAGCCTCCTCGCGTTGCGTTGCATTGCATTACATTGCATTCGTGCTCTTCAATGCCATCGCCACTCCCTCACAGCATACATAAGTACATTCCAGGTCTGGAGTCACGCACGGTTCGCGATATACAAAAAATTCCGCGCAAGCTTGAGTTACGCCGAGACACAGAAGAACAACAGAAGAACACCGGGATTACTGCTGGTTTCCGAACGCCATTGAAAAGCTACCTACATACTTCAAATAATTTCCCGAGAGGCTGAGAGAGAGGCAACGATGGCATATCTTCTGCGCTCGACTCCACGAGCGCTGCGCTCAACAAACTCCCTCACACGCGCCGCACCCCTCCTGCAATGCCGGCTGAAACACGACGTCCACCACCCACCGAAAGGGACCCCGCCAGTCGCCGGGCGAGGCCCACCATCTCCGCCGCGAGAGGAAGCCGCGGCCCTCAAGGATGGCAACAGATCCTCCTCATATCTGGGGACGACGAAACGCCTGCCTGAGTTCAACCTGTCCGACCGCGTCGTGCTCGTCACGGGCGCGGCGCGAGGCCTCGGCCTCGTGCAAGCGGAAGCCCTGCTCGAAGCGGGCGCCACGGTCTACGCCCTGGATCGATTGGAGGAGCCGAGTGAGGATTTCCATCGCGTGCAACAGCGCGCTGCGGAAGAGCTCGGTAAGTCTGAACTCACGTGTTCGTGGAAGGTTGGACTGCCCCGAAGCTGACCCGTCTCTTTCTTTTTTTTTCCGGGATTCTGTAGGTACTTCCTTTCACTATCGGCAGATTGACGTGAGAGATGTCGAGGCCTTGAACCAGATTGTGAGGGACATCTCCGAGTCGCATGGGAGGCTTGACGGGTTGATCGCCGCGGCTGGCATCCAGCAGGAGACCCCGGCGCTGGACTACTCCCAGCAGGACGCCAACACCATGTTCGAAGTCAACGTCACCGGTGTCTTCATGACTGCGCAGGCCGTGGCCAAGGAAATGATCCGATGGGGCAACGGTGGCAGTATCGCCATGATCGCATCGATGAGTGGCACCGTCGCCAATAAGGTAACGCTTGACCCACCGATCTCCTTCCCTCTTCGCGAAGCTGACACCATCCTCTCAAGGGTCTCATATGCCCTGCGTATAACGCGAGCAAAGCGGCTGTGATACAGCTCGGCCGTAACCTGGCCATGGAGTGGGGTGTGCATGGCATCCGTGTCAACACCATCTCGCCAGGCTACATCGTCACCCAGATGGTCGAGGCGCTCTTCGAGCAGTACCCCGAGCGACGCCGCGATTGGCCTACGCAGAACATGCTCGGGAAACTGAGCATGCCGCACGAGTATCGCGGTTGTGGTGTCTTCCTGATCAGCGATGCATCCAGCTTCATGACTGGCGCTGATCTGCGGATCGATGGCGGACATTGCGCGTGGTGAGAGATCATATATAGTCTGAAGTGGAATCCGTCTCCGACAACTCTTATGCGTATCATGTCCTATTACATATGCATGCATCGGGCTGGTACCCCCTTCCACAGCTCTTTTCATCATCGGCCTCGTTCCGGTAAATCCTTAGCCAGTTCATCTTGTGCAGGATACCACCGGGTCTCGTCCTTATGGCCGCTCGATTGGGGCTGTCCTAGAATCTTCTGCTCCTTGCCATTGAATCGCCTGTTCCAGAGCTCATAGCTGAGGACGAGAGCGAGAGGGACCGACACATACAACGCAATCACTCGGCGCGAAACCTGTTTGTATGATAGTTTCGGGTTGAATGAGGCATTTGGTACAGCAGCCGGGCGTGCGGCGGGTTCAACAGCCGGGCGTGCTGCTGCAGCTGCTCGCGCGACATTGGCGAGAGGTTGTGTCGCACGCGCGGTCTGAGGAGGAAGGGGAGCTGGTGGCGGCCGCGATGGGGTGGTAGGCGGCATTCTGATCGCCTGTCGTATCAAAGGATGGGGACTTCTGCGGATGAATGGAGCCGTCGATTCCGTAGATGAGCTGCAATGCCGAGGAAAGAAGTACGTTCAGTAGATCGGGTTTCGAGACTTTTTCGACAGTTTACGTTCAGGGCGCGCGGAACAAATTCGTGCTTACGTCAGGAGCACGTTCACGATGACAGAATGACATCCAGAATGCAAATGTTTCCGAGGAGGCTCGCGATCACACGCGTTTGTATGCCCATGCCTAAATCCAAGTAGCCTCTCCAGATGATCAGTCAAACATGTAGTCGGACTAGAAATGGTGCGCATATAGGATAATACGACCCTCACATCTGAATACCGCCCAAATTTCGCGACGTTGAATGCTTTACCATGGATCGCGCTCTGTGCCGTCGAAACTTTGTCCAAAATTGGGCAGACGGCTCGCAATGGGCAGTGCACAATCATGACAAAGGTTGCCGAGGGATGAATTCACTCAAGAAAAACGGCTTGATCAACATTCACAGCGTCGTCGGCGGCGGCTCTCGCGGCGGTTCTATGACGATTATGGTAGTCGGCGTCCTCCGCAAAGGAACATATCGCGTATCGATTGGCGTGGATCTCCATCTAGCTACATGAAGACCATTCGTCCGCCGCTTGGAAAAATCCCATCGACGGGAGTCCGACCCAACGGAAAGTTGAGAACCTCGGAAGTCAACTGTATCGTTGAAGGGATGACCCCCAGCCTCAATGCCGGTAGCAGTCGTCCACTATAGATACTGAGTCTAAGTATTTCAGCTCCGAGAATAGAGTCTCCGTCGTCGACATCGCCGCGACACGTGCGGAATCTTCCACACGCCGAGGAAACAGCGTCCGCACCAGAAGCACATCGTCGTCTTCATGAAGACTTCTTAGTCCGATACCATCTTGAGCGGCGTGGAGGTAACGGTGCACGCCACGTCACTCAATGGTAAGAAGCATGTTGCGGATACCACGCGCAGGCACCGGTTGCTTGTAAGCGGGACGCCGATGCGACTGTCAGCCATGAACGAGCTCCATGGGAGATGATGATAGTGGCAGCATGGAATTTCGCCTGCCCGCTCTTATTGCCACGATTTACATCGCAACCTGGGCTACTGGCATCAATGAATGAGGGTGAGCCATTCTTCATGGCGGGCCGATGCTATGCCTCTCAGACGATGATGCACAGTCCTGGATCATTTACTTCTCAAATTTTGGCGACGATTGGCGGGAAGCGGGCATGCATCATGTTATCGGGGCTGCCGCTGACAGCGTGCCCGTGGCGGGGGAAGATGCACCTGCAATCTACCATGCGACGCAGATGGGCTTCCAAGAGTCTGAGGGGCACGATGTGGCGTTTGACGAGCATCCAAAACTGCTTCGTGCAATCGAGCGGTCGTATCCATGAAATATCTGCTCGCACAGCTGTTCCGTCTCACGTCGCTGCGCGATTATCGTTGGAAGTATATACTTTCGCTGCTACAGGGTGGCCTCCGGCACCTAGTCCTCTAGCATAGGAGCCGCGAGAACAAGGATCCTGCACGTGGGATGTTCTATCGGCTCAAGTGATCTGCCCGACGAGAAGGACGACCCTTCTTCTAGCGGCTGGGGGGGGTTGCGACCGACGCGTGTAGACGGGAGGTAAAAAACGTTCTTCTATATCAATCCATCTTCTTATCAGGCCCGGACACAAATAGGACTTTCACCCACATGCGTCACGATTGTGCCATGTGTAGCATCAGCACGTGCTTCTTGCCTTTGACCAGATCGATACTGATTGTGGGAGACTACATCAAGCTATGAGCAGTGCACATAATTACCATCCTCGGGTTTGGTTGTGAATAGATGAACGACTGTCGCAATCTACACATGGGCGCGCGTAGGCGAGCCATACTCACTCCAGCAGGAAAGGGAACTCTGGGCCGAGTCGCGTGGCTGCTCACCAGATGCGCGCCACTTGGCGCAAGGGAGAAATAAGATGAGGAGATTGAAGTATCTCCTGCATGTACTGTGCAGATTATTTGTGTTGCGTCTCGGAGCAGGCGAGGTGTGCCGCCGCCACAAATGATCCTTTTGACATGCGGGCCGGTCTGGAAAGCTTTCCCGAGGAGACGAAAAAGCGTTGCGCTTGAGATACAAAGACGTTCGTTAACGAGGTGTCTTTTGCGCGTCGCCGGCAACACTTGTTCCGAACGAGGCTCATCGTAAGCAGGCCAAAGCGCTGAGTTGTGCGTTGAGAAGCTACTGGACTGGACTGGCAGTGAATGGACTTCATCACAAATACACCACACCGATTGTTCGGACAGTATGCATGGCGCCACCAGTCCACTGGGCAGGTACAGTCAGGCACCGCGATGATCGACAACACCTACACAGAGCATGGTGGAAGAGGTCTATCGGCCTCATCCAGTCCTCGGTCGAGGATGAGTACGATAGGACCGCAAGATGGTGTGCTGCGTGGCTGGAGGTGGGTCGGATGAGCTGACGGGGGGCGGACGAAAAGGCATCGCGGCCACCCGAATCGGGCGTCTGGGTGGCTGTTTGTTCTCTCGTATGATATCGATTCTTTCGCATCGCCAACTAGCGGCGACACGCGGGTGGTTCGAGGAACGATGAGCACGCATGCAGGCGGAATCAAACGAGATTAGTCCAACGCGGGCGAGATATGGTGGAAGCAGGACAAGGTCGGGAGCCACGAAATGGATGGGATGAGATGACCCTGAGCTGGAATGTCGAAAGTCACAACAGGCGTTCGGGCTTCTAGTCCGGTTGCACCACCCATTCGTGCAAACCGATCGGCTAGCCCCGTCTCGGCCTTTCTTTTTCTCGCTTCAGTCGTTGAGGATGACTGCGGTTGAGGGTGTCGTCCCTGATGGAATGCAGGAATGCAGGCATGTGCATGTTCGGATTATCATTTGCGAGCGAAACGTTACTGACAATGAGAATGACAATATCAGATCCATGCATCGTCGTCTGTTGAAGATGTCATCTATCTAAATCCATTCCAGGTTCGTATGCACTTTGCTTGTGGCCGGAGAAAGCACCTCCACGTATGGGCAGAACAGGACTGTCTGTATCCATCCACTGCATGCGAGATTGGCCCCTGCGGCCATGCGATGGAGGAGGAAGTAGAAATAGAAGGCGAGGTAGAAGGATCTATCATCAGTAGTCGCAGAAACGGTTCCATCGTGGGCGCTCAACGGCGCGTCGCGGTAGACTTCGGCTACCTACACGACTTGTCTTTCGCAAGGGAGGCTGTCGGGCAGGAGCTGCTGCTGGTGCTGGTGCTGGTGCTGTGAACGACCGCGAACCTCGACGTGCTTGTTAAGTGATGATCACAACAGGCATGAGGGACGAACGATCATGCGAGATGGTGGAGGTGGACGCAGTGGTGGTGGTGGTGGTGGGTGGTGGTGATAGAGACGCAGCCGGTGCAGATCGTGGCCTGGAACTTGTCTCGCATCAGCAATGGATTTATTCTAGTTCCAGTATCACCAGATGTGCACAGTGCGCTCACACACACCCACACACCTCTTTTTTCCGCCGACACACCACCCAAAATCGATGAGCCGACTTGCATCGGACCTACGCGCTGGAATGGCTTGCGCGCCGGCCCTGCCTGGCCCACCCGTTTCTTCGTATCCCACGCCTCGACCTTCTCTCTCCAGGGCTCACACGTTTTCGATTTTGCTGCATTCGGCTGTTCTTTGATTAGTACTTTATCTTTGGTAGGGCATACATATGCACCTCTCTCTCCACACACACACACACATTCGCTCACACATCGCGGCACTTGTGCGATTGCTGGCATCGACTCAAAGACACGCTCGTCGCCCGCCTCAACCACTTCCTCGTCTCTCATTTCTCCTACTAGATACCACTGTCGTTCGCCATCTCTTCCTCCTCCCTCAACATCTCTCCCATCGCACCTCTTCTTCTCTCCACCAGTATCTCCCCGCATAACGTCACCAGCTCGCTGTCTCTGCTTGCACGCGCAACGGGATATCTACAACGACTGCGATTTCCTCTGAAGACAAGTGACGACCACATCCTTCACAATGGCCCAACCCGGTGGCCCAACCACCACGGCAACCCACACGCCTGGCCGAGGCACTCCCGAGAGCGAACGTATCGAACCGCCATCATCAAGGGTCAACCCATTCTCCTCGCCTTATGGCTCAATGCCCGCTTCTGCCATGGGCTCCACCACAGCCTTCCAGGCCGCGCCAGCTCCCAGATACTTCCACTCACGGCGAGTAGCCCGAGAGTCTGTTGAAAAGCCATGGCTAGCAAAGAAGGACCCGAAGGAGAAATGGGTCTGGATCATACCTGTCATTGGAATCGTCGTTGGTGTTGCAGTCACCGGTATCTTGGTCTACATGGGTCTCCAAGGGGTCAAGAACCACAACTACTGCCCGGTCCTAGACGAGACTTGGTCGAATGGTATCGATCCCAAGATCTGGACACTCGAGCAACAGACCGGCGGCTTTGGGTAGGTCTTCCACATCAAACATCACTGTGATCCCGCAATACGCAGGCGAACATACTGACGCGATGAACAGCAACGGCGAATTTGAAGTCACCACTGCTAGCGGCGAGAACGCCTTCATCAAGGACGGCATGCTCGTCATCAAGCCTACTTTGCAAGACGCTACGCTCATGGAAAAGGATGGCAGCACCATCAACCTCATCAACAACGGCTGCACTGCTCCTGGTCAGTCATGGGCCAACTGTGTGTCAACGACCAACTCAACCAATGGCACTGTCGTCAACCCTGTGAAGTCGGCTCGCCTCACCACCCGCATCAACCTCAACGATACCTCCAGCAAAGGCGCTTCCATCAAATTCGGTCGCGTCGAAGTCGTTGCTCAGCTTCCCGCGGGCGATTGGCTCTGGCCCGCGATCTGGATGATGCCGGTGAACAACACCTACGGACCCTGGCCCATGTCTGGTGAAATCGACATCATGGAGTCCCGCGGAAACAACTACACCTACGCTCAGGGTGGCAACAACGTCATCTCATCGACGCTCCACTGGGGTTTCGACAGCGTCAACGACGGCTGGTGGCAGAACAACGTCAAGCGCCCGGCTCCTCACACCACCTATCCTGCTGCTTTCCACACCTTCGGTGTCGAGTGGAGCGAGAAGTACATCTACACCTACGTGGACACCCGTCTCGCCCAAGTCATGTACGTCGGCTTCACGGAGAGCTTCTACTCCAAGGGGAAATTTCCCCCGGCCAACGCCAACGGCACCCGTCTCACCGACCCGTGGTCCTCTACCGGTCGCCTCAGCACTCCTTTTGACCAGGACTTCTATCTCATCATCAACCTTGCTGTCGGTGGCACCAACGGCTGGTTCGCGGACGGAGCCTCCAACAAGCCATGGACGGATGGTTCTGCACGGGCCCGCAAGGACTTCTGGGACAGCCGCAACCAGTGGTACCCCACCTGGGAGGCGAACAACGGCGGCGCCTTCTCCATCAAGAGCGTCAAGATGTTGCAGCAACAGGGCTACAACGGCTGCAACTAAGCGACGAGCTCGTTGACGGCTTTCATATCGCCATTTTTTTCATGTTCTCTTTTTACCACTTGACATTTTACACTTCTTTTTTGGATATCGGCTTGCGGTACAGCATACGGCGTTGGGGATACACTTTTGATCCGTGGCGACGGGAACGCATTTGGGATCCGATCGTGACACGACTTTTCTCCCTTTCCTCATCACCTCCCACTCTGCACTGCTGGAAAGACCATCATCGTCTGTTTCGCATCGTACGAAATATCAGTCACTAGAGATGACGGCGATGAATTTCGGGGTACCGGCGGCGGCGAACGGGGGAGGCTCGAAACGGACGCAAATGACATGGATGCAGAATACTCTCTCCACCACTTATAGAGACAGTTGATTGAACAAATTGCAATTTTTTCTACTTCGAATCTCCCTCGTGTCTTCCTCTTCGGATGCTGGATAGTCGTTGACTCTACTTGTATCCGATACGTTTCTCTCGACCGAATGGCCCTGGTGATAGCCAGCGCTATTGGGAACGACATCTCACAGATCGCGGGTCGTCTGCGCGGCAAGACTCATTTGGCCATCGCGACGAAGACGAGAAAGCATGGCCTGAGTTCGCCACTGATATACTGCTTGCTCCCCATCACTCCGATGCACGCACGGTTCAGTGGGCAACGACTCCGGCAACCATTGTCGATTTTCGAACCCGGCTAGCTGATCCTAATCTCTCCGATCCATTTCCCCACAGCGTCCTTGGCCTATAACCTCACCTTCTTGCCCACCAGCGCGTCCCAGTCCCGCGTCGTGAACGGCACGTACGAGTCGGCGCCGGGCTTCGCCCAAAAGATCGCATCGTCCCGGCCAGCGGTGCCCTTGGCGATGGCCGCGGGGTCCACGCCCTCCTTCCGCAGCGGGACCTTGTTCTGCTTGTTGTTGTGCATCGGCGTCGGGCTCTGCACCAGCCGGATGAAGACCGGCACCGCGTACTTGGGCAGGCCCTGGCGGGCGTGCGCCAGGAGGCCGGCCCACGGGAACGAGGCGCGCTCGTCGGGGCGCACGTACACGGCGGCGCAGCCCGCGCGGCCGTCGTGGCCGGGCACCTCGACGCCGTAGACGTTGGCCTCCACCAGGCCCGGGAAGCGGCCGAGGGCCTCGCCGACCTCGGCCGTGCTCACGTTCTCGGATTTCCAGCGGAAGGTGTCGCCGAGGCGGTCGAGGAAGTACCAGCGGCCGTCGGCGTCGCGGCGCAGGGCGTCGCCGGTGCGGTAGTAGAGGTCGCCTTTGACGAAGACGTCGCGCTCGAAGCGCTTGCGCGTGGCCTCCGGGTTGTCGTGGTAGCCGGCGAACTGCTTCTCGCTGACGACCGCGACGATGATCTCGCCGCCTTCCTCGTACGGCTTGCGGCGCGCGAAGCCGGTTTCGGGGTCCCGCCAGATGCGGTCGCCGTTTTCGAGGTCGATCTCGACGGGGATGTAGATGTTCTGCATGAGGCGACGGAGCAGAGCGCCGTGGTGGCCGACCGCGGCGGTGGTGAACGGTCCTCGGCTGACGTTGATCAACCCGAAGACACCCTCGGTCGAGTTGAAGAATTCGCATACCCGCGGGACATTGAAGCGTTCCTGGAACTTGCCGAACACGTCGGGTCGCATGCCGTTGCCGTACATGGTCTTCAGCTTGTGGGCTTTGTCGAGTGGTGTTGGCGGTGCAGCGAGCAAATACCGAGCTGTCTCGCCAACATAGACGAATGCGGTCGCGTCCGAGTCGCAGATGTCTTGCCAGAAATTCCTCACGCTGAATTTCCGGCCAATCGCGAGCTTCATCCCGGTCATGAGGGCACCGACCGCTACCGTGCAGCCGGTACCGTGATATAGCGGCATGCAGTCGTACCATGTATCCGTTGAAGTCAGTCCGGCTGCCCTCGCAGTCGATCTCCCCAGTCCATATGATCGCTGTGTCTGAAACGGGCAGGCTTTCGGCAAACCTGTCGTGCCAGATGTGTAGATCATGAAAATGGGGGACTCCAGCGTCACGACCTGGCGCATGCTGTCCGATGGTCGGGCAGGAGGCAGTTGATCGATATCCGCGCGCGTCGCCGCATCAAGGTAGATGATCCTCATGCCCAGCGCTTCTATCTGTGCCCGGACCTCCTCGATGCGCTGCCGGCAGCCTTCATCCTCGTCCACAATCAAAACCTTGCTCTTTCCGACCTTGAGACAGTGGATCAAGCCGGCACCTCCAAGGTTGTTGTTGATCATCGATGGTGCACAACCGATCGCCCAGGCGCCCATCAGATTGAACATGAATTCTGGGCTGTTGAGAAGATAGGTCGCGACCAGCTCTCCGGGCAGGACGCCCTGCTTGAGTAGGAACTGCGCATAGCGGTTGCTCTGGTCGTAAGTCTCTTGGTAGGTATATTCGCGAGTCTCAGATCCTGGGTCGAGGCGGAACCACAAGCAGGGTGAGTTTGGCGATAGCAGAGTCTGTTCCTCGAAGAAGTACCATAGTGATCGTCGATTTTCCTTGCCTGTTGTTCGCGAATAGGTTACATGGTCAGCAGTCTGTCGGCTGTCGATTGGTGTAAGTCAGCGGAAGCGCGTACCGCGTTGGGCCATCAGGGCCATGACCGCTCTTTGCTCTCGCAACGCAGAAACATCTTTGCCGATGTGAAATTTGGCATTCAGGTATGCAGCTGCGGCGCCGGCGCCAGCAATGGCCGGAACTATTCATGAGAATCTCGTCAGTCTGCACGATCGTGTGGCAAGTGCAATTGAAAGGTGGAGAGGCAGTTTGACTTACTCAAAGCCATGTCTCTGAAGAAACGTTTGTTTGGTTGTCCACCAGCGAAAGCGCAACGGCACTTAAAGAAACTTCACAGAAGATTGATTTATGCACGAGGTGATAGTAGGAGAGAAACAGTTCGGAAACAGTTCAGTTCAGTGGAAAGCAGAAGTACCACGACTCAGGCAAAGAGTCGACAAACGCGAGTGGTAGGTATCGGTGGGTAGTGGAGCAACTCGTGGAGACCTCGGAGCGACGCATAATGCGATTCAGCGGAAACACCTACATCCTTCCCAGAACCAGCACTGCCGTTGGGATGCATACGTAGGTGTACATGGAAACCTGGCCAGACAGTCTACTCTGCTACAGAGCTTAGCGCCCTGTAACTATGCGTGTCCAACCGGAAAGAATGTAGTATGTGATCTGTTGATTTTGCCTGTCTCGAAAGAGCAGAGGGACAGGGACAGGTGGGCGTGTTGACCGCCGCACGCAACGGCGTCGCGAACTGGCGGGCAAAATGTAGTGATCGGGCGGGATTAGAAATGCCTGTTGGGGGAGAACAGCCGGGGTAGTAAAGCTTAGAAAACTGGGGTGCATTGCCTAGGTAGTCGGTCCGAGGTCCGTTGGCACTTTGTTCCGCGCGCAGTGTCCTCTTCGAGAATGCTGGTTATTCAACTTAGCAATCAAGACATCCCAGAGCTCTATTGTATCTGTATATCGGCGCGATGCTCCACTCGAAGCTTTCCCATTCACGTTCTTGTCGTGCGCGATCGTCGCATTGGACTCACATCCCGGCTCTGGTATGCCAAAGGGTATCAAGGCACAGGCAAAGCATCCGTCACTACTTCTCCGGCCCGTTCACAAATGACGCGAGCTTCATTCTCCGAACTGAACCGCCAGCTGACCATGATCCGTGATCATTTCCCATCCTCGTTTGTCTTCGCAATATCAGACATGAAAGCGCCACCTAGAAGGATCGCCGGCTCCTCCAAACTATGGTGCTCGTAGCTCAACGTGCCCACTCCTCCTGCCTCCAAGATGAGGCTCGGATTGTCAGCGATGTCTTTATTCACCCAGCGGCCCGCTAGAGCACGTAGGATGTGGCCGTGGGCGACGATCAAGACATCGTATGGTCTCTTGATTTCGCTCTTTGGCTTCCCGATGGCATCGGCGTGGAACCGTCGTCTGATGTCGGCGATGATGGCGTCGAGGCGCTCGGTGATCTCTTGTGGTGATCTGCATATGGATGTGAGTTCGGATTGCATTGTTTGACCCGCATTGTTGAGGCGGCTTGAGACGCAAATCTTTTTCGCTGCTCTGTTGGCCAAGCGAGAGGTAGGACTTACTCTCCACCTGGACATCCATCTCGCCAGATGTTCCACACCGATTCACCCTTCTCTGCCCTCATCTTGTGGATCTCCTTGCTCGTCACGCCCTCGTACTCGCCATAATCCCACTCGCACACCCGCTCATCGATCTCGATCCGCGCATCGGTCGAATGAGGCGTGTCAAGAATCGCCTCGCCGTGCGCGGCCCACGGCATCGGCGCTGTGCAGCCCAGTCCGAGAAGCTCCAATGTCCGCTGGGCACGCTTGCGCGGCGATACGTAGATGTGGGCGAGGTTGCGCGGTACGACGAGGCGGTCGTCGCCGATCAGAGCTCGACCGGTGGCACGGATCCGGGCCTCGCCAGCCTCAGTCAAGGGTATATCGCTGGTGCCAGTGTGTCGGCCATTCAGTGACCATTCAGTTTCGCCATGGCGGATGATGAAAACTCGAGGAGTGGTCATGATGTGTGTGGGATCTCGACGAGCTCGTGGACTTGAAGAAGAATTTAAACGTGATGAGTAGCAGCGACCGTGTTCGACCTATGACCATTAGGAATGGAAATGAAGCAGTTGAATGTGAAGGAGCTATGTGAGGCGCAAGCTGCCAGCCAGATTCAAATTGCTCTCGTGTGTGTCGCGAAGTCGCCTGTCATTCTGGCACATTGGCTCAAGTTATATACAGTAACATTGAACCCTGCATGATATCATATTCGGCCTGGCCGGCAGCACACTACGCGTGTACGAGTAGCTGCATGTGAAGCGACGACCAGCACGGCAATAAATACTGTCGAGAGCCATCAACCCCTCAAGCATGTTCGGTGGGGCGCGCATCGCAGTGGTTAGGGTTGCCAGCTACAAAGCATCGCAACGGAGTCAACTTCTGAGCGTTCAACACTCGCACACCAGCACATCCATCGACTTGAGCTGGTCTTAGTGCGCGTACTCGCGAGGTGCAACGTCGGAGCACGTGGGGGAATCTCTGGCTGTAGGTAATTGACTCTCATCGTTTGGCCTTTCCGCGGTGAAGTATCAGCAAGCTTTGCCCCCGACGTGACTACGACCTGAAGAAATGTGACAGCCAAATGCAGAGTAAGCAATAGAGCTCGGCGTTGGCGACCACTTGGACGTGGCATCCGTGCTGGCGGATTCAGGGTGAGATCAAGTACAGAATCTTTGCATCGATGCGGGTCACCACGTGATAAAACTCGATTCGTAGAACTTCAATACCGGTAAACTGATCTGCCTAAATTATTCTGTGTATTGGTGAACACTCTAAGCTACAATAGTGGGACTGCGATACAAGGGGGAGCGGCGACGCTTTGAGCTGATGGCATAGATACGACAGGCGCTCGCCAATACAGCATGCAACTGTCTGAGATCAGTCTGTCGCCGGAAGACACTCGGGGGACTGATCGAAGCCGTCCTGTACCAGGCGAACGCGTCTCTACACGCAGCAAGGCGTATGGACTTAAAACTTCAATCGGACTTGTTGACGTTCAGATCAGACGATCGTGAATAGCAATGCCGGGACACAATGGTGCGCCGCAAGCTGAAACCATGTCCAACACTCAGTCCAACGATGGAATTTCAATTCCGTAGCTGCTGCGCGTCTGGCTGATAACATTGCCCATGGCCCTGAGGATCGGTCGCAGCGAGAGAGCTCTATTGTTGACAGCGTTTCGAGTGGGACCAATTGGAGCAACTTGCGCTGCTCGCCGGATAGAAGCGATTAATTATTTCGTGGTAAGTTCGAAGAACACCATATTCCGTAGAATCCGAGTATGTACGAGGATGCGAAGCTGTCTGATGCCGTTTCCGAATATGGAGGTACAAAGGGAACAAAAAGACAAAAGATGACAGAAAAGTCAATGCACAAATAATTGGAAAAGATATGACACGGTTCGTGTCCATCTATTCCGTGATGAAGACAATAGTCGTAAAGCGCTGCAAGAAAGCGTGTTGTAGTCGTCACTGCAGGTAGGTAGACCTGCGAGAGAAATGAATGTTCGCCTGTCCTTCAGCTGGCGAGCACAAGGCTGGAGAGTGCCATATGAGCCTGCGTATTGCTTGTCGGTGCAACAAAGTAGCGAGTATCGATCTAGCCAAATAGCAGTCGCACTTTGTCAATGTGCATGCTCGTCTTGATACGGGTTTGGCATGCACATCTCGGCAAAGGGATCGAGCTGTCTTGTGTTGCTAGAGGAGCGGATCTAGCGAACGGGAATCGGTGGTCGTGGGCCTAGACTGCTGCTTGAGCTATGCGCAGATGGCTCAGAGTCGAGTCGTGCGGATCGGTTGCTATCACCACTCCCCGCGCTAGCGCTTGCAGAACCTGTCAGACTGCGTACTTGCGGAGGCGGTCCGCTTTTGGGCGGGTACAAGTTGCTCACCCCATTGTGTTGCTCGATCTGATGCGCGGGACCAATGTTCGCTGGACCCGACATGTGACGAGGCATTGGTTGCCTGAGGCCTCCTGGCGGGCTCGGTCTGCCGTTGGGCCCTGGTGGATAGCCGTTCGGCGGCGATGGACGCTGAGATGGTGGGCGTCCATTCATGCCCAGGGGATTTCCGGGCGAATGACTCCCGCGACGATTCGCTGGATATCCGCCAGGGCCGAAGTTGCCTGGCGTGCCGTTATGTTGTAGCTCACTGAGTCGCTCAGCAGTGAGTGAATTGGTTCGAGATTCCTGTCCCATATTCATCCGGTCCACGTTAGCGTAGCGATCTGATGAGTATCCCACCAGTGGGTTATTCATCAGCTCTTCGCGCAGATTCGGAATCTCATTTATGATGGTTGCGCTTGTGCGATTCTTCACGGGAGGCCGTCTTGCTGGGTTACGAGATTTGTAACCGGGCCCGCCCATCATCTCTGGGTTGCCGCGAAGTTGGCCACTGCTGGGCATCTTCCTGGTCCGCCTCGAGGTGACACTCATCATGTCAAGGTTATCGGCATCTGCAGCGCTGACGTGAGGAACCGTCATGGGATCAAAGAAGTCCTCTCCGTCCTCATCATCGTCATCATAGCCTCCACCGCCGCGAGGCATAGATGGTCTCCCGCCTCTTGATTGTCTGATGTTCAGCTCTCGTTCTCGGAGTGCGAGCTCCTTCTGACGCAAGGCGATCTCGCGTTCTCTCAGTGCGAGGTCACCAGATGACGCGTTCACGCCATCGTAATCGTCTGCGAGATTGTTGTAGAGCACAAGATGGCTGAACTCCTCCAGATCGTTCCCTTCGAACGAGCCCCGTCTCGACATCTGTTGATGCGGTCCTCGATTAGGATGTCCGTGACCATTCATACGCGGACCAGGATACCCTCCGTTCATCGGGGGTGGTCCTCGTCGTCCAGGAGGAGGAGGCCCACCTGCCAATGAGGGAGCGCGGCTGCTCGGCCGGCTTCCTCGTGCCTGAGGTGGCGGCCCGCCGTTCCCATTCATGTATGGCGCGCCTTTTGACATAGCCGGCAATGATGACATTCGGACGCCAGTGTGGTGTGGTGGAGGAGCCGGCGCAGGTACCGACTGCTGAGGCCTTGATTGATTCAGGGTGTTCACATTGTGTAGTAATGCGTATAGTGTTTCGAGGCGCGGTGAAGATACACCAAGCTCCTGCGCAACCTTCACCGGCGAGCCGAGATACGTTTCCACTTCCATAGGCCTTCGGCTCAGGAAATCCTGATACATGACACTGTTTGCGGTCGCGGGTGCTATCATTTGCTCCATCGTCTTTTCTGCAAACCCTGTTGGAAGCTGACATCCTTGTGCTTTTGCAATGGCAAGCAGTTCGTCGATGATGCCCTTGATGAGCGCCCGCGCGCCAGTCTTCTCGAGAAGCTCGGCGTGCGAAGATGTTTCGAAGATCACACTGGTGGGGTGAAACGCGATTGGTCTAGAGCAGGTAGTGTCAGTCTTGTCCATCCCCGTGGTGTACTTCATCTGCTACACATACCCGATCATTCGCTCGTATTGCAATTGTTTGATGTTAGGTGAAACCACGCAGTTGACGTCTCCAGATCTGAGCGTCATCGACAGCGCTTCCGCCATGTCGTTCTGGATGGATGCGGGAATGGCTGGGTTCTTGTTTGCGGCGCCAACCCAGAGGTCAGAGGCGCCTTTGTGCTCGAACTCGCTAGCACCGAGCTGCGAGATCTCCACACATGAGATTAGAGAAAGAACGACATTGGTTGGAAAGCGCTGCTCCAAGTATGACTCAACACCAAATGTATGGGTCGTGTTGACGAGGATGCAGGTATGCTGTGGGGCAACAACTGATTCGATGATGGAAGCAAGGTCGTAGATATCCGGCAAGGCCTTGACGCAGAGAATGACATAGTCGTAGGAGGCGCGCGAAACGCCGGCAGCGTCTTCGGGAGATGGCACCACTTTGAGTTCGATTAGTATCTCTGTCTTGAGGATCCCCAATCCATGATCTCTTACCATGCCGTGGTTTAAATCGTTCATTTCCAAACTTGTCAGACCTGTGCGAGCAAAAATTAGCGCACATTTTGGAACAGTAGATGCCAATATAGATCTTACTTGAATGACACGCCGTACTGCCTCACCATGTCAAACCCATTCTTCCAGACCAAAGTCACGTCGCAGGCTTGGGTAGCAGAAAGGCGCCATGACAGGAACGCGGAAACCGCATTGCCGCCGACTGGAACAAGAGATTTTGTCAGCACTTCGCACGAGATAGGATTTTATGATTGTCCGGCATAACGCCTGTCCACCACGATGAAAGAAGCGACGAATAGCTCTTTCCGGATCGTTCCCGTACGTCCATCATGCTCGGGTGGTCGACGCACCTGATAAAATCCGCAAACGCGGTGTAGATGGAGGCATTGCAGTATCTGTGAATGTAGTGCAGCGTCGCACTGTCGTCGATGACGGCGGCGAGATGAGCGACGTGCTGAGGAGAGTTGCAAAGAAAGGCGCTCAAATGGGTACTCGTCGGAATGAGGCTCTAGCTGTGTGGCGTGAATACGACCTAGGTTGCAGAACTGGCGCAAAGCTGACTGCTGGCGGCGTCACTGTGTCGCGCTCGTAAGTTAATGGTGCAGCTCAAGATATAGTAGGCGCTCGGTGTGAAAAGAGGCCGAAAACGAATGTACGACGAGCTCCACAGGCCGTGGAAGACAAAGCGAGTGTGGTGAGATGACGGATGATGCAAGTCGAATAGTGCTCTGCAGTCTCAGAGTTGTTGTTTGGACTCCAGTCACACGTGCAGGCAAGAGGCGGATGTAGAAACAGCGACAGCGAAGTGTAAAATCACTTGGTGCGGTCGAGGTGAGAAAGAGAGAGGCGTCGCGCTTAGGCCGGGAGCGATCAAAAAAAGCCCATCTCCTGCAGACTTCAGCCCAACAGCTATTGGTTCAGGACAGGCGTGTTGGAGAGGTGCTGATGGTGATGGTGGAGGAGTGTTGGTGACGAAAAGCGGGCGATGGAAATAGTCGTGACGGAGGAAAGCTGCTGATGGCGGGCTTGATGCGGGTGGAATGTCACTGCCTCCACACGCGAGAAAGTTCCTGCTGCCCACAAATCGATTGCAGCTGGAGGTGTGTTTCGGGTGAGTGAGCGAGGCAAAGAGAAAGCCTGCGTGTCGTCGCTGCTGGAATAGTGTGAGCCAGCGAGTGGGCGGGCGGGCGCGAGAAACGAATGGGTTGAGGAGGAAGGACGAGGGTGCGTATGGACGTGCGTGATACGCGTGTGTGTGGTATAGAGACAGCACACCCAGGCGGGCAGCAGTACATACAGAAGGAAGAGTCAAAGCAATGAGAGAGAGAGGAGTGTGCCCGATGGTCCACGCGGCATAAGAAACCTGGTAACCTGCTTTGACTAGCACATGTACAGAACGCACGAGATGGGCAATGCGCCCGTACATTTACTTTAAAAATACGACCTGCACATTGGAGAAATCTTGGAATGGCGTACCTCAATCTGGTGAGATCTGCGCATATATACCTAGTAGCTAATGCTGGTGGTGATGCCTGTTACAGCCGTCCGACCAACACAAAAATCGTTCGTCGATGCAGACCTGAAAGGCTGCCGCGGATATTGGCTGTGGGCAGTGTGTGCATCAGACAGACGGAAACAGAAGCACTCCGGGCGGCGGAGAGGACTCACAATCTCGAGCGAGAAGGGGAGAGAGATGAGAGGATTGGACGGGTGAGCGAAAGCGTGTCAGCGTCGCACGCCTCTTGCCCGTTCCAGTTCGCACAATCTCAGACGGTTGAAGCTACCCGCATGCGATCTCCGATGTCTTCCTCTAGTTGGGAACTTTTCGGATCCAACTTGTGATAGAAACGAGCCATGCACGTCAGCCTCCTAGCCTATGAAGGTAAGAGATTGCTGCCGCGTGCCACAGTACGGTATTTCGCCTCTGGTCTGCCGGTCGTGGGCCCCATCATCATCATCATCATCATCATCATCATCCTCGCCGATTCATCAATATCATCCAAATCTTTCGTATGTCAGTGGTGCGTGTAATAATGCCCAGACTCCGGTAGGGACGCTTCCCGTCGAGGATAGACAAGTATGTACAGTATATAAGTATGGACAGTACCGTGTGTGGATACACTGCCTCAATGCAACCTGCTCGTGACTAAATCACAGTACTGTGTCGATAGGGCCGACTACTGGAAAGTTCGCTGCATTTTAGCCCCATTGCCTTTGCGGGTAGTGGAAACGACCTTCCCTCCGACCTCGAGAGCAACAAGTGCCGGCATTTTCATTGATGTATGGACAAACCCCGGTTGTCCAGCTCGGGTCGTTTAGTTAGAGCCCAGCACCTGTGTCCTTCGTCGTTCGGTACGATCTACCAACCAGTAATTTCTCGTCGAATCCCTCGAACTTCGTGCAAGTACCTGTGTAGCAACATAGTTCGCTTCTTGTTATACGCGTCAGATAGAGTCCCCTGATCAAGAAGGCCTTTGCCAATCGCTACATGGTCTCATCAACAGCAGAGAGCACACTCGATTATTGCGCCCATTGTCGTCCGAATGCGGGTCATGCCCATCTATCGAATCTGCAGGTTATAAGGAGTCATGCGGCTAGGCGCATTGGTCAACATCTTGAAACACTCCATTCCAAGAAATTTCATCACAGTCTCCGGGCACAAATCATTTTTCTTGGTGTATCATATGCGTGTTGTAGTCTCGTCCTAGTTTGAGGGTTTTTGGTCGAGGCATTTAACAATATGTAAACAACCAAACGGGTTTTCTGGCCGTTGATGCTTATCGTTCGAGAGCCTGGTCCATCGACGGTCCTCCGCTAATCCAACCGTTGAGCGCCTGTCATGGCCCGGCTGATCCAACTGCGGGCACAGGATGGACTGTACCGTCCCGTACCCTTACTAAGCTTTGGGGCAGTGGCCCCGAGTTTCCGAGTCGTTGATCTTCAGGTGCAGATGTTGATCACCTATGGCTGATTCTGGTACGACAACGTCAGCGACGTCACCAACAGAAAGAGGCTTAAATTCAGAAACAACCTTGGAACAATACAACGGACTGTCGCAGTCTGCACACAACTCCCTCGTGAGAGGCAGCCGAGTGAATAACCGATGTTCGAGAATGGTTTTCACGAACGGTAATCCACTTCCACTTACCTTGTTTCGACAATGCCGCGGCTTCAGAAGTATATCGTCATCACACAGTACTCGGGCGTGCACCCGACTGCGTATGTTGGTGTCAATCTCACGGTCGGACAAGTAATGTGCTCCCACATCAGCTTATACCTTACACCCGGCGCGATCTACGGAGCAACGTCGCCATCGCGCGAGCATTGCGTGAGTGGGAAATGCCGCAGTACCACTATTGGGCGTTGACTCTAGGTCCAGCTTTTGCGAAGATATCCATAGGCCCTGCATGTTTGTAGTAATTCAAGGGGCGTAGCAGCTTCACATATGTGACCAGGCACAAGGCATCGGGAATGGATTGTCGCTGTCATCAAGCTTGCTCTCGATAACCATTCGAGTGTGCAATTTGGCACAGAGTTCCGAAGCTCCCAAAATTCGCACGCTTGCGGATGGGTCAACCCCCGGGACAGAATTTCTGACAGGAAATCATGCGAGAAGCGGAATAATCTTCCGTGTGTTGTCTCACCACGCCATGTTGAGCTAGGCCACCACAACGGTTCTAGCGACGTTCGTCGTTGTCCCTGCTCCTGCTACGTGCTTACCCGGCAAAGCTTGAAATTGTCGAATTGGTTAGGAGATGTTGTGTTGATAATTGTCATTCTTCATTTCAGTTCAATCCTGGATCTAGTAGAGCTTAATACCATCGTTCTGGCTACTGTAGTGAAAATAGCCAAACTTTATTTCATCCAAAGTTGCGAACAGGGTCGAGAGTTGATAGTGGAAGACTCGAGGACCCGTCCTCATTCCCGCCCAATTAATTCTACGCGTTGATCTCACGTGATGACGCACACATCGCGTGCCCTCAATTGCTTACGTCATGAACACGACTTCACGAAGTCGCGTCGTCTCGATCGTGAACGCAAATATCGCGACTTGTCCGCAGGATGTTAACGACATGGACAACTTTCTCAAAGGCCTCAATGCTGCCCAGCTTGAGGCGGTCACTTCGTCTGCCTCTGTGTTGCAGGTGCTCGCCCCGCCAGGATCGGGGAAAACCAAGACCTTGACGGCACGGGTTGCCCACTTGGTCGTGGAGCAACACCTGCAGCCATGGAACATCATCGTCTGCACATTCACTGTAAAGGCGTCCAAAGAGATGAAGGATCGCATAAAGGCCGTCGTAGGCGAGAAGATGTCTAAGCAGATTTTGCTTGGAACTTTTCATTCTGTTGCACTTCGCTACCTAAAGCACTATGGACACCACATTGGACTAGCTAAGGATTTTACAGTGGCCGACTCGTCAGACACTAAAGCTATCTTGAAACGTATCATCAAGCGACTTGGTTTGTCTTTCGAGCCTGGTCAAGTCCTCGGACGAATCTCTGCAAAGAAGGCGAAGGGTAGCATCGCAGATAGACCAGACAATGCAAGCAAAACCGCCGAGCAGCAAGATTTCCTTACCTTGTTCGGCGAATATGAAGCGGCTCTAGCCGAATCAGACTTGCTTGATTACGATGATCTTTTGCTGCGCTGTTGTGAACTGCTTAAGTCACATCCGGCGTGCGTTTCGAACATTCAGGCTGTACTCATTGACGAGTTTCAGGATACGAACAACGTTCAATATGACCTCATGAGTCTCTTTGCTCAACAAAAGAATACAATCACCATTGTCGGCGACCCTGACCAGAGTATCTATGGTTTCCGGTCTGCTGAGATCAAGAATTTGACCAGAATGAAAGTGCAATGGCCGGAAACCATCACCGTCAATCTGGAAGACAACTATCGGTCATCTGGCGCGATTCTTCTGGCAGCGCAAAGTGTGATCGAGCAAGACGAGAATCGCCCGCAAAAGAAGCTGCAAGCCACACACAAATTTGGTTTCCGCCCCGTCTTACGGAAATTACCATCAGCTTATGCTGAGGCCGACTGGCTCGTCTCGGAGTTGAGGCGTGTTCAAATCATGTGCGGTAATATGTTGTTGGCAAGCGATTTTGCAATTCTACTTCGTTCAAGCGCACTGTCACGCATAATCGAAGCAGCCCTCGGTCGCGCTGGTGTGCCATACCGCATGGTTGGTGGTCTGCGGTTTTACGATCGTTATGAAGTCAAGCTCATCATTGACTATCTTCGTGTCATTCACAATCCTAGTAACAATGAGGCTGTTGAGAGAATCATCAACGTGCCTTCAAGAAAAATTGGTGCAGAGACAATTAAGAAACTACAGGAAGAAGCTCGATCAAAAGGCTCGACATTGTGGGATCTGGTGCTCGGTATTTCTCAAGGTCGCGTACAAACCAAGATAAAGATGAACCAACCCGCCCAGAAGGGCTTGGACACCTTCGTCAACGTCATCTTGACAGCACGAAAAAGGCATTGTGGTACGGAACAGCTTCCGCCCTCAGTGGTGGAGCTTATAACGACAATTTCGCAGAAAATCTCGCTCCAGGAGCATCTCAAGGCCAAGGATGCTGGTGATGAGAAGGCTTACGAAGCACGGTGGGCGAACGTGGAAGAGCTGATGACTCAAGCCCAGGACCTCAGCGCCGAGAAAATGATGGAGCTGGTGGAAGCTGATAGGCTGCCCGTCATCAAAAATATCGATCAGAACGAATCTGGAAGGGAGGACTTTCTGGCAATGTTTCTGGCGAACATAGCCCTAGCCAGCGCATCTGAGCAAAGATCAGAAACAGAGGAAGAAGTTCCGCAGGTGACCATCTCGACGATACATGCTGCCAAAGGACTAGAGTGGCCTGTGGTTTTTGTCCCGGCATGCTACGAAGGATCCATTCCACACTCACGCGCAGAAGATAACGACGAGGAAAGAAGGTTGTTGTACGTAGCCATGACCAGAGCACAAGCATTGCTCTATCTGAGCTGTCCTGTACAAAACTCACAGCATGGCGAAACAACTTTGTCCTCATTTCTTAGTCAATCTGGGTTTCATACTTTCTGCGAAGAACACGGCCCGTCTTTGCCACCAAATGCGGTTGTTGGGCTGTCAGAGACCTTGCACCGAATTGTACCAGATGCGGCTTCGCTGGCTGCGGCCAAGAAAGGTCTCGACAACGACGAAGACAATCACTGGCCGCTCAATGGCGAGCCACCTTTAGGCTCATCTGGCGAGTGGCGTGCAGCTTCAACGGATTGGTCTGCTCAAGGGGAGCATAGCATCAATCGACCAGTCGCTTGGACGAGCGCGAGATCCGTGATGAACGAAGATGCGCAGAGCTTGCCTTCAGCACCACTTGTCCCTAACTCTGGCTTTAGAAGTGCCAAAGACCGTTACGAAGACATTCGGAAGGAACAAGAGGAAGAACTGCTGCGAAAAATTGATCAGAAGGCGGTTGAGCGGAAGAAATTGATCGAAGCTCCGAAAGGCAAAAAGCGCCAGATGCAAGGCCACGATACCATCGCGAGTTTTTTCACGAAGAAGTCCAAGCTTGCAGTTGTTCCCGCAGATCACCAGCCCCCTCAACGAGCAGTTGAAAACTCTCGTCAGATGTCGCCATTACAGGACGTCACAAATACGCTTCTGGCGAATTCCTCAGTGACTTCATCCGTCTTGACGTCTGCCCCACTACTGCACAAACCACGAACAGCACCCAGACCACGCCAGATAGTAGTAAACGACGATGTTGATCAGAAACAAGATGACACTCGTTACGTGTTTCTCTCCAGCTCTCCCGTCCGTAACCGGGAATTCGACGAACGACCGATCGAGCCTGTGGCACCCAAGCCGGCACCGGTGGCAGGCTCCCAGGGTTTTCAAGCTGCATCAACTTTTCACACAACCTCGATGGAGAAAGTTGCACCACAACGAAGGACTCTTGGCATTAATCGAAGCTTGCAGGGTTGGTTACCCAAGCGAAGACCTTGATGCCACACGATCGCTGAAGAATCAGCCAGACTGGCGAAATTCACGCAGCTGAGATTCATTCGGTATTCATTCGTTGTTTGAACAGATATGCATCTCTCAGGACAATTGCTAAGCGGCATAAGGTTTGACCCAGCATACGATAGCAAAGTAATTCGAAGCATGGGAAGCGCGAGTTTTCTGTGGAGACAAACGGCGCCCGACACTTGAGCGAGATGAACCCCTGGCCTTGATCGAGCGTCACGAAGCCTGTTCTATATCGCTCTATCATACAGCGGTCATCCATGAGGGGTTGCGTAAGTCTATGGCATGGCTCATTTGGGAGGGAGCCACAAGCGCCTATCCGCACGGCAGTATCGTTGCTTGACACAACAGGAAATGGTGTCGTTTCCAGCTGTCCTGAGGTCTGCTCATTAGCAGCCTTTGGCCAACCACCTTTCCATCGGCTACGCTCCGCTGTGGCCTTACAACGACAACGCGATTGCGTAGTTGACAGCAATCTTGATGTCAACTCTTCATATCGTCGGCGTCATTTAACCATCATGCGCAATGTGCTACGAATCCGTCTGCACTTCCAGCATGTCCGTACACATCTTGCTAAACCGGGCTCGGTATTCGGGACTCGTGGTGGTCACGCTCATGGGGCCCTGTCGATCAAAGATATTATAGGCTTTGATGAGCCCAGTCATAGCCTGGGCATGGACCTTATGCTTGGACCAGAAGAAATCGAGAATGACAGCGCGGTAGACATACTTCCCATCCGCAGACTTGATGCCGGTACGCCACGTCTGAGGTTCAGGAGGGTTGTAAGGCGGTTTTGATGTGGTCGTTGAAGGTCCCGAGGCAGACTGTTCATCATTTGGTCGGGGTATCCGCAACAAGAAAAGAGAGTAGTCCACCGCGTTATGCTTCGCAAGGAAGGCAGTGTCCTTTTGGAGCTGATATTTAAACTCCTCTACGACATCCAGCGTCAGTCGAACTTTGTCGTCAAAATCGTCAGCGAGCTTGCTTTTTGTAGCTTCGGAAGCGAGGATGCCTCCAGCCACGTCTCTCTCGGGATAGAAGTAGCTCTGTGGTTTGAGGTCAAAGGTCTCCCATTCGGCTTCTTTCCCTTGCCGTTGATCCAGTGATTTGCCTCGTTGGATGTTCTCCATCACGATGTGATGGCTGGGCGCCAGTCCTATCATGGAGCCCATGCTGTAGTGACTGTACTGTAAGAAATCTGTGATCCGAACCAGCAATGATCTTGGATTGTTACGCATATAGTCCGCATAGGGGAGAAGCAGCTCGTTTTTGAAGAAGGAATGCTCGAAGCGTCGAGGTATTGATTTGACAATGTAATTCTCTTTCGCGATGAAGAACGTCGAACCGCTGAAGCCCATATCCCCTAGTGAATGAATCAGTACAAGATGGGGCATGCGTGAAGCAAGTGATGCGGCTCACCCATTGACTCTAAAGCATCATCGTGTGTCCGGCCGTCGGCGTCGACCCCGAGGCTTGCACGGTAGTTGAGCTCATCGAGTTGCCAGAGACCGCGGAGCGCTTTGAATAATTCGCGCTGCACGCAATCAAAGGTGAGCCAGTACGCATGGAAGAAGGCGGGAACGTGTCCAACGATCGAGCCAGGCTTATCATCGCTATGTAGAATTGAGTGAGTGATAGATTGCGCTATCACATCTTGACGTGAGGGCATGATTGCGTCGGTGGTTTCTTGGTATGGTAGGTAATCTTGTCTGTTGTGACGCTCTCGTGTATCGGGGAACGCAGTGGGCTATTCTACAAATCAATCGGTCTTAACACGCAATGAGATGTCAATACGGGCTTGGAATTGAACGAGAAGGTTCCCATGCACGCGGGTTGCGAACGGTGAATGCGGTTGGTAGACAATGTTCACGTGGGAGGCTGCATTCCCTCACGAGGTTCTTGGTCACAGCAATGTCGTCACTCTGATGATTCAACACAACCGAGTAAATCGAAGCAAAGTTGAGCCAGGGTTCGCCAAGGACTGAACATGTCTTGTTTCATAATTGTCATGCTTAAATACCATATGATGGAACTATTTGGAGGTACTACTGTCTGGGTAATCTCGTGTACCAAGGTATTTGACTTTACCTCCAGGATGGAGAGAACCTTGGAAGCGGTGCATGGTCCGGCATCGATCCATCAATCCGGGGTGTGTAAAGGCCCGCATTTACGGCGGCGCGTCGCGGCAACCCTTGCCTCCAAATCTTTGTAGCGCGCAGCTTTCGTCATCAAAATGTTCTAAGCTTCGCCTGAATATCCAGCGCCGTGCCTGAGCTCAAAAGCTTCTTTTCTTTCAACTTCCGGAGATTCCGTCTTGGGTGACCGATCCGCAGTCAATTCCCCGAAGATGATGTGAGCCAACACAATGCCTAAAGAAAAGTCAATCAATCCTGCGCAGGCGCAGCGCAAGGCCGAGAAACAGAAAGAGATCAAAAAGAACAAGCAGAACATACAAAGTCAACGCAATGAAAAATTGGCGAGACGCAACCCGGAGCGTGTTCAAAAGCAGATTGACGAGCTGAAAGAGCTGGAGAATCGAGGTGTGCTCCGACCAAAGGACAAAGAGACTCTTGCACAGCTCGAGCGCGATCTTCGTGGCATTCGCCGTGCGCGAGAAGCCTTGGGTGACTCGGCACCTAAGTTTCCCAGCCGCGAGGGACGCGATGGACCAGACGGTCGCCGAGAGCAAATTGACCGTCGTCAGAATCTTGGAAAGAGACGAAGGGACGAAGACGACGCGCATTCGAGCGACACTGATCCAGAGGTCCGCGATATCCCCATGCCGCGAGATACGCCTCCACCGATACCTTCCACAGCACGAAAGTTTGAGCCGAACGCAAAAATAGGTCCCGATGGAAAGAGAGTGCCCCATACGCTGCCAAGCAAGCCCGTGTCGACCATTGAGTCACAAGCAGTCTACAGTAGCGCACCCCAGCTACGAGATCTGACAAAGGAGTCGTTGAAATTTGTGCCATCTACAGTGGCGCAGAAAAAGAAGCTGGTGCAGGGACAGGGTCGATTACTCGAGCCCGAGGAGATCGAGAAGCTCGAAAGCGCAGGATACTATGCGGCTGAAAAGGCAGCAGAGCAAGCGGACAGTGAGGCCAAGTTGATGCAGGCAAATCTCGAAGTCAAAGCGAAGACGGGCAAAGCAGACGATTTTGAAGCCGAGTTACGACGGTTTGAGAGCGAGATTGATCACGTCTACCCCTCTACTGAAGCAGGTAATGCGCGACAGGTTCAGCTCGAAGACGCGTCTGATGATGGGAACTAAACCATACATTGTGGAAGGATAACGAAAATCCCACTCAAGCCTCACTACCTAGCACCTCGGTCTGCTTTATTTTGCCTTTCGAAGCAAATAACAATCCCAGCGTCGTATGTCTTCAGACCGGCTCGAGCTCAGCAGTCATCGCTCCTTCACTTCGGGTGGGGCTCCCAATGCGTTCATCCCACTATGATTTTCTTTCATTGATGAGGATAAGCATGGCGCTTAAAGCGCTTCGAACGACGCGCACTGCGTTTCGCAGTGCTTGGTCGACGGCTCGGAGCATCAACATTGTCCGGAAGCTCCTCGCCAAGCATGGTGTATTCATCTGCGTTGGGCCGTAGGAACTTCGTATCTTCGTATGCGTGCCATTCAGCTTGTAGCTGTCTCCTGGCCAAGGGAAAGCCAATGGTGAAAAACAGCGACACGACAAAGACAGGGACCGCTGCCCACATATACCAAGCTACCGGCCACGTTGATGTCGTGATTCCGAACAGCGAGGACAGGAACGATAGGGGCAAGAAAAGAGTTGCAACCGAAGATAGGAACTGCGAATTTTCGGACTGGGTGGCATTGGTGATGTTGAATTCGAGCTCGATAAGGTTGTTAAAACCTGAGGAGGTCAGCCTCATCAGAGCTTCTGAGACGGACTTTGACAAAAAGTATCCACTCACGATCTTTCATGCCGTCAAGAGTTGTATCGAATTGAGCGAGATCTTCAACGGCATCATCCATGTCGTCCCAAAGCAAGTCCTTCTGTTCACCGGGCGGAACATTCTGCTTAAGCTTTTGAAGCTTCTTGAAAGCTCGAGTATGGAAGTGGAGGTATTCCTTCTGCGAACCATCAGCATCTCGACAGCCGGTACGTCACAAGTCATCGAGAAAAACAAACGAGATTATACAGGAGCGCAATCTCGTTGTGCATTTGTCTTGTTCGAATCTTGACCGGTAGATGTCGGCGTTTACTGTTGTTCTCTGTCGCCTCCAGACGGGTCATGATCTCGCCGACAATATTCTGCCAATCGCTGAGCAGGTTGTACAAACGGGAGAATGTCCAGCAAATCCCCTCCTCGTCCTCGCGCGGCTGGTCGAGATCTTCGTCCTGCATGAATCAGCACAAGCCATGACGTGTAAGCGCCTCGGCCCAGGATACCCTATGCAAATAGTCAAACAGCAATTCCTTAACAATATGCTCCGCAAGCTCGGTCGGCCGCGTAAAGATGATAACGACGGGAATGTGATCGTTGTATCGACAGGCCCCATGGCCGCTCATCCAGACACCAGTACGGAATCGAAACTTCTCGATGCTCGGCAGCCCTTCTGCTTCCCATCCTGGCGGATCCATACCGACTGACCAGTAGTAAACTTGCGGCACGTTCAGGTGCTCCAGTATGAAGGGCCAGTACTGGCCGCTCTTGTGGCCACGCCTGCTGGGAAACTGCATCGTATTCGCGAATTGTACCTCTCGGTCTAATTCGGAGATTTCATTCCAGTAATCATTGATACACGGGCGGAGGATGTCGCCGAGCCATGCCTCGTAGCCGTTGATGGCGATGACCAAGGGGTCTCGGGGATGATCCTGGACTTGCTCGTCGACCATTCTGGCGAATTTGTCGGCATCGGATGGTGTGCCAGTCGCATCCATCTGGAAGAAGCGACGCGTCGTTTGGCGGGTGAACATTCGAATCGAGATGGGACGAGTCTCTGGTGACCAAACGGGTTGGCGCCGGCGACGACGGTGCTTGTCTGGCATGGTACCCTCACGCAAATGCAGCATATTGCTGATCTTTTCCATCGTGGTGAGAAATCTTGCTCTGCACAAGTACGCGCATGGCCACTTTGCTATTGCTGTTCCTTATACATATCATGAAGTACAATGCATGACCGCCCGCGTTGCTGTTTTGACAACCACTACTGCCATTCGTGGAAGAAACTACGCGAGAAATGGAAGTTGACGGTCCTGCCTTCACAGAACCTCTCGCTCCTTCATGCTGGAAATCAAATGGCCGTATTTGTGTATTAGATAATGGTTGCTCAGCTTTCTGGTTGGACGTTGTTTAGCTCGCTAACATCTTTGCACGGCACAGCAGGCCGCATCATTACGAGGGCATGGTTGACGTTTGCGTTCTGCTCATCAATGGCACAACACCCTGCAATGCGGTCAAAGAGTCTGGGCAATCTTGAAGCACAAATATAAATAGTGTCTAGAAAAATAGCTAGCTACCTAGGTACAGATATCTATCTAGGTCCCCGAGTAAACATACTAAAAGGAATATTTCAAACGTTTATCTCTCTAGAACTCAAGATATTTCTGATTGAAGGCGACGTGTGTTGGTGATGAAAGTGTGTATGGCGCACAATTTCTGACTTGTACTGCATAGGGCGCGACCGAGAAGTGCTAGGAAGAGACTATGTGATTGGACCCAGACGACTGAATTCCACCACCTTCGACATGCAAAACTTTGCGTTCAAGGTATCTATCATATAAAAGATCATGGCGCAGTCCCGAAGAGGTACGAGGACGGACAAGCAAGTCGTCAGCTACCCTTGAAACAGTGTATCTTTGTGGCCGGACCACTGCCTCATCTATACTTATCCTCGTCCAAACCGAGATCGCTTTACGGCTAGCCTCAAACCGACCATGGCGCTTGATCATCCATCCACCGTGGCGGTAACACCAGTCGCTATCAATATTCGAGAAGCCAACTCCATCGAAGACATCGCCGCCGTGGCCAAGCTCGGCAGTCACGTGTTCTATGTGACCTTTACACATACGTGCTCGGCAGAGGAGATGCGGGCCTACCTTGAGAAGTGCTACTCCGTTGAAGCTATTGCTAAGGACGCAGCGGATCCCATGAAGGACATCATCGTGGCCACGATAACGACTGCACCCAACAGCGTCGACGGCAGCCCGGGTCCGGCACCAGAGGAAGTCTTCGTCGGCTTCGCCCAGCTCACTCGGGGCACGACCAAATCCTGCCTCGCCCATGTCGAAAATTCGGTGGAGCTGCAGCGTCTTTATGTCCATCCCGAATATCAAGGACGGCGGATCGGTAGGCTGCTTTGCGAGCGTGTCGAGCACATGGCGCGCGAGGAGAACTTCCGGAATATGTGGCTGGGCGTTTGGGAAGAAAATGTGGCGGCACATCACCTGTACCACAAGTTAGGCTACAAGCAGGTCGGCCAGCACGTCTTTGATGTCGGCGGCAATATCCAGACCGACTGGGTCATGGTGAAGGAGCTGTAGGGAGGAGGATATCGGGAAAGACGAAAACGATGAATGTACTGCTGGGAATTAGACGGCCGGGCGTTTTTACGTCGGGACAAGAGGTGCGCAGTTCGGAGAAGACTTGGTCGCAATCGAGGATTATGGCGATGATATCATTCCACACAACACCTTCGAGACTGAAAATTAATAACAATGATTTCATGCTCTCCGACACTCCTCTCTAGAGAATCATCCTGTTGGAATAGCTTTGCTCAGAGGTTGTTGCGTTTGCAATCCGATGCGGGCGAGCACGTGGCATTTGACAGCCACAACTAAATTCTTCCGAAAACGGACATTTGCATCGTCGCAAACCTACTCAACACTAACGCGATTCAGCACAAGCTTTCCTGCTTGCACCAGCACAATTCACGCCAGACGATGAAAGCAGACCATTAATGTTCTCAAACCCGCGATGGACGTTGAGATGTACTGGAGCGTGGATTGCCCAATCTACCCGTCCGATTCACAATCTTTGGCGTGGCCAAACTTGCTCAGATGGGCTGTCTGATATAGTCTTTCGGTCTGACGATGGGCAAGTGAATGTAGATATCCCCCAAAACAATCTCAAACCTCGATATCGAGTGTGTATCAATCCTTCGCAAGCAACCAGTGTCCTTGCGCATCGACAAGCAGAATGGATTCGCATACCGCACGCGGCATGATAACATCAATGCCCATGGTCTTCACAAACGACCACTCCACTCCCCTATTCAGCTCACAATGGACACCGACTACCGCCGAAGGCTACGCTGGAACCTGCATATTCCTGATTGCACTCGCAGTCATCAGCAGGGGGCTTTCGGTCTGGCGACACGCAATGGAGATCCGATGGCAAGAACAACGCTACGCTCCAATCGCAGACGACCAGGTTTCGGACCACGAAAAGCAATGTGATTATGCCGCAGAGAAGAGCGATGAGGTCGTTGTTCTCATCACTCGCGAGCGAAAGGAAAGAGTTCAAACCTCCAGGATATCTCGCCACTCCAGTCGGTCGATCCCTTGGAGGTTAGGCACAGATCTCCCTCGGGCTTGCATTTTCGTTCTTCAAGCTGGTGTTGGATATCTGCTGTAAGTTGTGACGATACGAATCTCACTATGGCTTTGGACTGACCGTGTCTTAGTATGCTGGCTGCGATGACTCTGAATGTTGGATATTTTCTCTCCATTTTGGGAGGTCTTTTTCTGGGCGAGCTGGTTCTCGGAAGATATATGGTATCTGATGATGGACATCATTAAGCATTTCATGCTCTTAACGAATTTATGCCTTTCGGAATCTGTTTGAATATGGAATCGCTTGCATCGTGATTTGAGCTCGAGGTAGGATTCGGACATGTGATCGTTTCCACCTTGTCTTGAATGCCACAACGCGACTGAATGCAGTTTTTGCCATGATAAGTTCTTATCTACCTCTCTTGAGGGTATATGCATTCGTCCGTGAACCGTTTGCAGCCTCGAAAGAACAGAGTATCGGCTTACTAATACGTTACGCCCTTTGACCTACATGCGTGAAATTCATGACTTGTTTCCGAACATCCAGACCGCCGGAACGCCCTTGCCTCAATCGCCATTGCAACATACATGACAGGATAACCGAAATGAGCGACCGTCAAGTGCATATTGTTCCTGCTGCCGAGCTCGATCAGTATCTGCCACGACTTTACGAACTGATCAATACCGCATTCCGCTCACAAGACAAGTCGGCTTACGATGATCAGAATAACCCTTTCCCAGGCTGGCAGCGCCTGGCGAACAGTGACCAAATCAAGCTCGAGCTGGGCCAGGATGGCTTAGCCGCCATCATATTGGATCGCTCAGCACCACAAGACGTCGATCGTCCAGTGGCGATAGCTTGCGTGAAGCCATGGAAGGGTCGGGTCGTTGCGGGGTCTACCTTTGAGCAGGCGGAACGCAGCCACGTCGGGCCTCATGATTGGGAAGTAGCCTTGTGTGCTGCGGATCCGGACCCGCGCCATCATCACCGGGGACTCGTGAGCAAGTGCCTGGCGGCGTTAGTACAGCACCTACGGACGAGGGCAGAGGATGGATCTATGGTGCTGTGGATCTCGGCGCTCCTGGGCGTCGGCAGTGTAGAATACTGGCAGAGGAGAGGCTTCGTGATGCAAGGCGAGCCTGATGTTGCCGCAGTTGGCACTTGGGATAGTGTTGCGCCGTTCAGTATCGCGACGCTGAAGCGAGTTGGGTGATAATTCCTCAAACCATCGCGATCAGGATTGTCAAATTGTATTCAATGGAAGCCGATCTAGCATACTCGAGTCCCAAAGGGATTGCCCGCAGCTCACTTGCTTCCTGGGTCTGCGTTCCTGCTCCTCATTATTCGTGGGAAATTATGAGCGGCCACTTCTGATGAGAGATCTGGAAGCGGGCTATCAGGATGATCATAGATGTGGGCGTATCTGAATTTGCCCGACGCGTCTCCATCAAGTCAAGTGTGTGTGAAGTGCAGGTGCCCAGGTAAGGACCGTGTCTCAATGACTTTCTGCACCTGGCCCATTCCTCTTCACTCCATCGATGTCCTTTATATTCATTGAGTTTTCAGCAGATGATTGAATGTATTTCGTTCGAGACATTGCCTCCGGGAACTCTGATGCAAGTGCTTTGCGATCGACATTTCTGATGGTAGTGATGGTAATGACGATCGGTGTATATTTGCATCTGTTGCCGGCATTCGGTGGTGACATTGCATGTCGAAATGCCGACGTCGACCTGACCAATACTCACGATTGTGGTTGGGTTGGACAATCCCTCGTCAATCAGCTTTGTTCCGAACGCCAGCGGCGGTGATGGTCAGTGGTAGCAGATTGCGCTACGGACGCGCACAAGATGATCAGCTGCCCGCTTTGCAATGCATTTGTGCGACTTGATCGCGCTCTATCGCTGAATCGCCAGCGGAACCTTGATAGTGACGAATTCTCCCATCTGCGTGGCTGCTGCCATCGTACCTGACGTTTCATAGTCGTACTAGTGACACGGAAAACTATCGAAACCGTCTACTACTCAACCATTGACGAGACACTCGAACATGCCGCTCCATGTCCGCAATTCATGACTGGCGTCAACGACGTCACACAGTCTAGGCAATTCTCCAATTTATTAACATGTCGCTCACCTCGGGTCACGGGTTGTCAAGTTTCGTCACTTTGAATCGATACGAGATACAAACCTGCAAAGTACCAACGTCGCCAGCAGTCGACGGCAAGGAGCTCGATTCCAACCTCGCACGTCGCGCCTTCCCTGTTGTCAGACTGGGTTGGCACACTGCCGAATCCTCGAGCTCTTTACATCCTTGGGTTGCCTTCAAAAGTAGTCTGGTCTCGAAATCGAGGGTGAATGACTACACATTGTATTGGCAGAAAGCGAACCAGAAGGACGACAGTTGAACAACGACGCGCATCATGGAGAAGTTAATCTTGCGCGGTATCATGTGGGGTACAGACAAAGTACCAGACGCCTGGTTCGAGAAAATTCCGGGTGGGTACTACAAGGCGAAGCAGGACAAAATTGCCCAGTTGCCCAACGAGAAGCGGCACAGCCGTCATGCGAGCCACAGCTCCCGCGCCAATGACGACTACGGCGATCGCCAGTACAGGCTCAGCCACCAGCCTGGCTCCACCGGTGTTTCCAGCTATAATCACCTTGCTGAGACCAAAAGCCGAACTCATCAGTCCTCCAATTTTCCAAACATGCGCGAAAGAGATCAAGACGACTTCGACAGCGACGATCGTTACCGCAGATCATCGTACAGACGACCTGAAGATGACTACCGTGCTGCCGAACACGAACCCCCATATCCGGTATTTAACCAACAGCAATCCAAACAGCGAAACGGTCCGATAAATTCTGGCGCTGTCCATGGCGATAGGCTCGACCCAAGTCAATACCCATCGCCGCCACTATCTACAGCCTCGCCGACCCCGCAGACACGCGGCATCAACGCTGGAGGTTATGTGCCGTATGGCGACATTTACGGCCAAAGCGATCGTGATCGGCAAGCGCCCCCGGTAGCATCGCCGAGAAGTGAGGGGTCTTACGTGCGACCTGTCCATGGATCGCGCGCCGCTGATGATCGAGTATACAACTCGGAGCGCCTGCCGCCTGGCCAATACTCTGACTCTCAAGCAAGTTATGATTCAAATCCTCCCAGACGGCGCGACCCGCGGAGCGTTGATAGCTCACGAAGTTATCGCGACTACGGCCGAGACGCAGGTCTCCGTAGTCCTGATGGCTACGACGATTACGACGATTACGTGAGCGATCGTGGCAACAGTCGGGCGCGGTCACAGTCGACACGGCGAGGATACAGCCGTGATAGGTCTCCATCAGCCTTGAGCTACTATGATGCGAACGGTCGTAGGCGGGCGCGCAGCGAGCAGAGACACGATGACAGCGTAACTTCATCGAAAGCAAGCACCAAAGACAAGATCAAAGAGAAACTAGACACTTCGGAGAGTGGGCTCAAGTACGGCGCGCTGGGTGCATTTGCAGGCGGTTTGATCGGCAATGAGCTCGGAGGCATCCTCCCAACAGCGATTGGTGCCGCAGTTGGCGCACTAGGAGGAAGCGCATATCAAGCTCGGGAGAAGTATGCGCCTCACACCCGTTGCATCTATCGTTGAAACATCTGCTGACAACAGTATAGAAAGAAGGAGCCCCGTAAGCGCGATCCACTTCCTCCACGCCCGGAACCACATGTGCGCCATGAAGACTCCAGACGCTATCGAGATGATAGTCGATACCGAGATGATAGCCGGCATTACTCTGATTGATTAAATCAGTGATGCGATCCACTTAAGGGAAAGGTTCATAAATGATGTGTGCGGCGCTTGCTCTGCCTGCTCTCTTGCTCAGAGATTCGAAAGGCAATTTGTTACCCGAAGCCACGATTGATGATTGATGATTGATGACTTGATGATTCTAGGCGAAGTCTACATGTATTTGCAGCGTGGCCAAGGCATCCATGTTGTCAAGACGGCACGATGCGATTATATTTGGTAGCAGTATCGATCCCGATTTGGACTTTTAGTGGCCACTGGCAGGTTTGAGCATCAATTTTTGTGCACGGTCGACCCAGTCTTTGGCTACGAGCGCGATGCTTGACTTTGTCTCGCGTTCCACAAGCTGGATGACTCTCGTGCGTTTTCCTTCAAGGTCCTCATGCGTTTCAACGTGACGTGATTTGCGCCCAATGATGCATTGGTTCCGCGTGCTCGGAATGCGTAAGACATCTTGCTCAGGTATGAAGTCAACAGCTTCTGCTAGACTCGCCACATAGGAGCAAAGCGTAGCATATGCTGATGGCATTTTCTTCTGTGCGTCGGTCTTTTTCAACGAGCCTGTCTCTGCCGCCTGGTTCTTGGCGATGCCGTCAGATTCTCCCGGAATAACTTGCTGTTGTGGCAGACGAGGAAGTTCGCTAGCATCGCGCTCTGTTTTTATGCTGCGCACGCCCTTCGGCGCTCGGAATCGTGCTCCTGATAGATCGTGGCTACAGCATGGGATGGCGACGAAAGCTGATCCGCTGAGAAAAGCGAGTAATGGCGTCCATGGAGTCAGTTCATCAGCATGATTTGAGATAATGAATTCACCATTGTGAAACATCCCAGTGTGCCATGACTCATCCCCTTCCTGGTGGTTGGTCTTTTGAAAAACATCTGGCACCAAGATTCGCCTTTCGAGCTTCTCACGCGTGCTCTTGGGGAAAATCGTCCATGTCTTCCGCTCTCGGGCATCGAAGCCGCAGCCTGCGTAACCTTCGCTGAGTAGAATGTGGACTAGGATGCCGTTTCCACAACCTATATCCACGAAGCCAGGGAACACCGGCTTGGACGTCGAACCTCCCTCTGCTGAGCCAAGTTGTCCTGGTGTAGAGTACATGTCGCTCCAAAGTTCGATCAGGTAAGCTGCAATGGCAATGTCTTCAAAAACATGCTTGCCGGGATCCGTCACTTCGACCCACTGCTCCGCTAACTGTTTGCCATATTTCATTTTGAGTCTCGTGTAAGTATCTTGATATTTTTTCTGCGGAATGAGCTGGTCGAGATGCACACGCTTCTCATACCCTGCCAGAATGCCCTGCCCATGCTTGTAGATTATCTGTAATAAGCGTAGAGCGGTCCGAGATAGTTTATTGTCGAGGATCGAATTCGGGAAGAGACGATATAATATCGTGATTGTGCCGCTCTGTGGTTGATTTAGAGATGGTAGTGTCGCGTGCTCAAACAAAAATGCAAGTTGAGAGACCGCTGGATGGTAGAACGGCATCTCTTCTGCTGACTGGACATGAGGGACATACAAAATAAGAAGGCTCTCTTTAGCTCCATGGTCCCGGTCGTTAAGGTCGAGTTCTTGGTTTCGAAAGAAATGACAAGTTTGCACGAGCGACTTGTCAAGTTGAGGATTACGAGGAATCAACCTGCGCACTATGGTTCTGGTCTTCTCAAATCCCTGCCACTGTGCATCGATCGGCTGATATTCTACTTGATGTAATGCCGGATCGCCACTCGGTACAGATTCACTATCGCTGTCATAGAGAATATCTGCGCGGAACAGATGGCTAGACGTGATATTGGGATTCTTGATCAGATTTAGCATCACCGTGGTAAAGACATCAGATGTGAATGTACATCTGCATTGCAGTGAACAATGCCACAAGTCATCGGGAAAGACTACACCGGGGTACCCATCGTTCGGCACTTCGAATGGTTCAAACTTGTGCTTGACACACGGCTCATCGAGATCTGCCATGGGTGGTCAAAATCGGACATGAGCGCTGAAAGAGCCTTTTCTGAATTGACGTTAAAGGGTACTATTGCAGCTCCCCGAATGTCAAGAACTTATTGTGACGTGAGTGACGAAATCTTGGACTGTTACTGTGGCCCGTGCACGACGGAATACATTAGTTGGCGAATTTGTTAATTCCGCATTACGTACAGAAGTCGTTTGGGTAATTTCCTATACAAATAGAATAGATCGCATGCCGCCGAAATCAGATTTGTTCAAGGTTGAGGAGATTTGTGGCGCAGGTCGCGGAGTGATCGCTAGTCGAGCGATACCTTCGGGCACGATAGTATATGAGAGCGGGCCGCCTGCCTTTCATGTCATTTACTCGGAATATCGCAAGGAGACATGTGCGTCGTGCTTCACGTGGAATCGTGGTCGAACGCTGCCAGTCCGGGAGAATGATCTTAATAAGGTGTTCTGCTCTGTGTCTTGTCGAGAATCATGGATGCAAGAGCAAGGTCCGATCGGGGTCGCTGCGTGGGAAGCTCTGTCAAACTTCGTTCGACGGAATCAACGCAAAGTGTGTAACGAGATCGTTCATGAGGGCGACCGACCCAGTCAGCTGTCGATCGAGACGAGATGGAGGGAGGCAGAAGAACAAGCACGTGTGGTGAGTGGCCCTGAAGAGGAGAATGGATCAACGCGCGCGAATCAAGGTCCCGGAAAAGCTGCCCGTGCAATCATTCAGAAGGTGACATCTAAGATATATCCCGATATACTGTCGTACCTTCTATCAGCACATCTCTTTCGAACCTCACATACGGAGACTTGGATCGATGAGGTACGGTCCCTTGCGATGGACGACAAGCCATATCGTAGCCAGAATGAGCTAGAAGCGCATTGCAATAGCCTTCCGCAGCTTGCATCGTTTCTTGCTGGAGAGCACTCGACAGACTACCTCATAGAGGCCTGCGAGATGGTTGCGAAAGCAGATAACCACAACGCCTTCGGCCTCTACTCGGGAACGAACGAAGAAGAGAGAGAGGAATTCATGGGGTTTGCAGTGTTTCCGACCGCCAGCTATTTCAATCACTCTTGTCGCCCGAACTTGATCAAAACTCGCAATGGCCGCTCCTGGAGATTCGAGACAAATCGAGAGATTCCTGCCGGTACAGAACTTTGTATCACCTATCTTGGCGGTGCTGAAAAGGAGCTTGATGTTTTGCAACGGAGGGCACGACTTCAAGACACGTGGGGCTTTCAATGTAGCTGTGAGAAGTGTCTAGAAGAGGCAAAGGTGCATCAGCCCAATCTTGATTAGAGGGAGGCATCAATTGTAGCTCAATGGTTGGTGGTAACTTCATCACTTTCTGATGCATGCATGCATGTAGCTAGTCATGAGAGGTCACATCTACGCGACTTTATTTCTCGCTCCATTGGCCATTGGTCGTGTGAGCGCGCGATCAGAGAGGACGGGTGAAGCATTATCTGCGCGGGAAAGGTGACTCTTGAGAATTCATGTCGATGTGAGTTGAAACCTGTGCCTAGCTCGGCCCCAAGTCTGTTCTTCATGCGCTCACCATCGGTCGTTTGAATGCTTCTCGCTAGTGCAGTGTGAGTTGTGTCCAAGATATCTCGCTCTGGCACGGTAGGGAATACGTTTGCCTCACAAGGTCCCTATTTGCGATGGGCTCAGACCACATTGAACTTGACATCATGTGTTCCTGCTCTCTTGCAAAAACATTTGGAGGGTGCGCACATCGAGAGGCGCTAAGTTACTGCTCTCATGCACCGCGCGAGCGGAGAGTCTTCTGTGGAATGAATGTCGCATCGCATGGCAACTCGCACTTTCGAAGTTCTTCGTAAGTCATGATCACGCAGGTGGTGTGTCGTGGATCACAACTAATAGGAACTTCGCATCTACTGCTTCGTAAGTTTGGCGGCCGATTAGGACGCGGCAGTATGTCAAGCGTACCTGGAACTACAACGAGTTCGTTCTTCTTGGTTCGCACTCTCAACAACTTGGCCTCATCAGCACCTCCATTGAGTTGCTCGATCATTTCTCCAGCGCTCTGAATGAAGTTCCAGACCAATCTTGCAACATCCTCCGCTTTTCTCGTACCCTTCTTTTTCATTTCACCATCGGTACCGCTGGTGCCTGCAACAGAATCGCCATCGACTGTAACCTCCTCTTCCTCAGTTGTCAATCCCGACGATCGCACAATAGCACCGGTATCGCGCGACAATATCAATGTGCCCTGCACCCCTGGACGCTGGGATAAGCGTGCCAGCAGGTTAGCAGTTTCTTCTGATGGAATTGGTTGCTGCATGATCATGCAATCTGGTCACGATGCAGGTGGTGACTTGATCATACACATGCCTGTCGCAAAAATGGCAGGGTGTGGTCGTATTAAATATGTGCAAATGTTGAGGTGATGTGAAGGCTACACATCTGTGCACGCGTGCCTGAGCTGCTGGAAGACTGCTGGACATTCATATCTCTAGGGCCTTGTACACGTACAATTCATGCTGCACTAGTAAAGTACTAGCGTGATGCAAAACGGGCGTCGAATTCACATGACAGAGCGTCATGATTAAAAAAAATTGGTCCACAGCTCGATGACGATTTCAATATCTCAGCCTGTAAAATTGCAATTGATGTGAGAGCAGCTTTGTGGCACAAGACCACAAACTCGCGAAAGCATGGGATCTTCGGCCAAAAAGAAGCGTGAGAAGAAGCAAGACTTCCAGAAAACAAAACTGAAGGTCGGCAAGGCACGACCGAAGAACACCAATGCGACAGATACAAGTTTCGCAGCAAAGTCCATCGTACTCAAACAACAGAGTTTGACGGAAGCTGGACGCGATGCTGCAACTTTGTTGGACCTAAATCTGTCCCTCCTTAGTAGTCGCAACGATACACAGCGACGTGATGCGCTCATGTACCTGACATCAATTGTAGCCTCCAAAGATCACGATTTACCACGACCCATCTCTACGATACTTACGCGGTCACAGCCGCTGGTTTTGGATGGCAGTCCGTCTGTCCGCCAGCAGTTGCTGAAACTTCTCAAGCAGCTACCTCCCCATGGCTTAGGATCACTAGATCAGACTCTCTTGTATACACGCGCTGGGATGACGCATCTGTCTGCGGACATTCGATCGACCTCTCTGGATGTGCTGGACTGGCTTCTAGAGACCAATGGCGAAGCAGTCGTCAATTGTGCCGGTGGATGGGTGAAAATGCTCCAGACGTTTCAGAATTTGCTCTCGTGGAGCTCTCCCGATCCCACGCACGCAATCCTGAACGGAACATGGAGCACAACTAAATCTACAAACACCAAAATAGGCACCGACAAGCTCCTCGTGCACCAACTGATGAGTCTGGCCAGTTTCCTTGCGGCAGGTCTGCGGCGTCCTGCTTTGGATGCCGAAGCGCATACAGCTTACGCAGCGGCTTCGTTCCCAATTTGGCACACCGGACGTCATCTGATCACAACTCGAAGCAGTCCCTACAACCACCTGAATCTTTTTGGAATCCCCCGCGAAGTGGATAACGACGTGTATGACGACGTGGAAGATCGTGCTGATATCTTTTACGGTCTTGGAATCGCTACCGCGTTCGCACATGGCGTTAAAGAAGCGAAAAGCATGGGCGGCGAGGTCGGAAGAGCTGCGGCCTCCGTAGACAAAGCTCTGCACTTGGCAGCTCCCGGTCAAGTGGGCTGAGACAAACAAGATTGCCAGAATAACGATCAGGCGTAGGCCTGTTCAGAGATCCACGTTTGTCTGAGACTGCCAGACTATACCAGCGCAAGCTGCGATCGGGCTCAGCCCGCCAATCGCACATCAGTACACTCCTTCAGCGGCTGTTACATGCTACCGCTGAGAGCCTTGCAGGCACAAGCATTCGCTCTAGCTGATCAGCAAACCATGGCTGATCACTGAGTGCACACTGGGATGTTGAAATTTCCAGAGCCATGCGTCTGTCTACTCAGAGTGCTTATAGGCCCGAAAAGAAGTCAAAACAGGTCAAATAATTGCGGGCTGCTATAATCGAACCAAGGACTGCATGCCTAGGTATTTAGGGAAAAGTCGCGATCTATGGCGATTAATTTCGCCTCTTCAGGAACTTTTCCAAACGGCAAGCTACTCCTGCCATCCATCAGATGTAGGCCGATTATTGTTTAAGCAGGTACCTGCTTACCTGGGGGACATTTCCGTCTTATTAAACGCAAATGATGAATCGGACCTCAATAGCTAGGTACATTAATGATATGCTCAATTCATTGCGCGGTCCGCAGCAAAAGTAGATGCCGATGACCTTGTCGGCTTATTACACCGTGATGGCACATGCGTCCACGGGGTCTCGTTCCTTCACCCGACCATGTGCGCCTGCCGTGCCTGTCATTATGCATACAATTACCATCAAGGTCTCGCGGATGTGACACACACTCTCATCATGTCCTACGGAAGCTGCTTTCCTGTGCATGCCAGCTATACATGATAAATGATCCATCGTCGCTTTCTCTAAATGTCCTGAAAGTCGTGGCCGCCACTGAACGCGCAGGAATTTCATACGTCACCGCGACGCGCTTTTCACAATTTCTACGATTGCATTGCACATTGCACATGCTGTGTCGCCGCTCGCATTTCTAAGCATTCCCGCGTTTGACGTTCTTTTCATACGATAGAATGGCGATCGCCTGTTCTGATGACAATGAATTTGACGGGCGACTCGGACTGAGAATCAGCTCCATCTTCGTCATTTTCATAGGCGCTTTTATAGGCTGCTGGCTGCCCGTGCATGTCTCTCGCCATCGACATGTACAGTCTCCAGGGAGATTATGGACGTTTGCGAAATATTTCGGCTCCGGCGTCATTTCGGCTACAGCATTCATACATGTAAGTGGCAGATGTATCAGTCATCGTGGATCTTCCAGCTTCTAACATTTGGGATTCGAATAGTTGCTCGCTCCTGCAGGAGAAGCTTTAAACAATCCATGTCTCGATGGAGTCATTTCGGATTATCCCTGGACAGAAGGAATCTGCCTCATGAGCATATTCGCTCTATTCATTGCAGAGTTACTGATGGTCCGGTATGTCAAGCTTGGGCGAAGATCGAATAAGAATCATCAAGATTTGCCCGATGAGAATGGGCAAGCATATGGGACCGATCGATCGAGTGCTCAGGGACATACGGCGACTCCGGAGGCACCATATCAGGACAATCCGAGCCAGCCGTCGGTCGGCGCAGACATAGAGGCCCACTCGGCTGAACAGGCCGAATCAGACGACACGCACGTTCCAAGCAGTAGTGCTACGCTGGTAAATCCTGAGGAAACCCTTCATCTTCACGGAGAGTCTTATGCGAGTCAGATTACGGCCGTCATGATCCTCGAATTTGGGGTGATTTTCCACTCGGTCTTCATCGGATTGACGCTCGCCGTCGCAGGTGCTGAGTTCGTGACCCTGTTCATAGTCCTTACTGTGCATCAGACCTTCGAGGGCCTGGCGATCGGATCCCGACTAGCTACAATCGACTGGCGAGGCCGACAGCGGTCCACCCCGTATTACATGGCATTTGGATACGCGCTATCGACGCCTGTCGCCATTGCCATCGGCCTCGGGGTGAGGAGTTCCATTCATCCGCACAGCAGGACGTCCTTGATGGTGAACGGCATCTTCGACTCCATCTCAGCAGGTATCCTGATCTACACGAGTCTGGTTGAGCTCATGGCGCATGACTTTATCTTGAATGAGAGAATGCAGACGGCACCTGCGCGCGAGGTGTGGGGTGCCGTGCTGTGTATGATGCTTGGTGCGGCATTGATGGCTCTCCTGGGCTATTGGGCGTGAAGGGTTTTGAAATTCGGCTATCGCCTGGATTCATGGAGAGGACAAAGAGTGGATGGACTGCATTTTTTTTCGGGGCATTGTTATCACGGTAGAGGTTTTTCCAGCCGCAATTATCTCCACCTTATTTTACTGGCAGCGGCTCGCATTCACTACTTCCAGTAGAAGACAGCTGCCATGGACGCAACCCATCGAGGACGTCGTTGAAAGGCAGCATGTACACTATCAGCGTTACATCGGGTACTAAGAAGATGAGTGTAGTACAGAGAGGCGAAGACTATTATGAGGAGAACACGCATTATCTTTCTTTGCCAAAACACATTATTTAATCAAATAGGTACATCATTACGGTCGTCCGCGGGACGATTGCTGGGCTTGTCAATGGCCGCGGGCTGTCCTAGGGTATAAGCGGCATGACACCCTTATTATTTTTCCTTTTCAAATCTCCGAGGAAATTGTTTCCTCCGTCCATCTCATATTTCTTAGCTGATATGGCGGAATTTAAGCAGCGACGCGCTCCTCCTCGCGGCCGCGGATCTCCTCCTCGTCGTCGTACTCCTGGTTCTGGTGCTGGCTGGCGGGGATCCAGTGACCGGACTCACGGTCCTGGTCTTGGCCGGAGAGGTCGTGACCCTCAGCGTTGTTGCGGCGGCGTTGAGAGAGAGTGCGGGTGCGGGTGGAGAGCTTGGAGCTGACGGCAGCGTTCTGCTCAACCCAGTTGGTCAGAGCGTCCTCGCAGTCCTGGATGATAGCCTTGGAGGCCTCGTATCCGTCGTAGGCATTGCGGGTCTCGCCAGGGGTGACGGGGGTGTCGTCGACGAGCTCGAGAAGGTGCTTGCCGAAGCCAGCGATGATCGCCATCTTCTCACTGTGCTCGCGAAGGGCATCGAATTGGTAGGTGAAAGCAGCCTTCAGCTTCTCACGGGTGATGTTGGAAAGCTGGGCCTCGGCGACGAGGGACTCGGCCTCGGCACGGACAAGCTCTTGCTCGAGGACGACAATCTTGGGGCTGTTAGGCTCCTTGTACTTGAGCTGGGCGATCTGGTCGGTGATCTTCTGCTTGCCTAAGATTATAGTCAGCATGGCGAATCGAACATGTTGAGTTTTGGATGAGCGACTTACGGTCACGCGAAGGCTGAACCGAAGCCTCAATGTTACGGATGCTCTTGATGGTCACACGGTATTGGTCGTATCGGTCGACGAACTGGTCCTCGAGCTCACCGATCTCGTAGATGAGAACACCGAGCTTGTCGGTGACATCAGAGACATCGTCATCGCAGCCCTCACCCCAGATGGAAAGTTGTTGCTGTGCGACAGAGTGATTAGTGCAAATTCTGGAGAGGCTGTAATTCAAAGCAAATACTCACAGCAACCTCCATACGCTCACGGCCAACGAGCTCCATTGATCGCATGACGTTCTTCTCCATCTTGACGAGCTGAGAGAGCTTCTTCGCAAGATCGGGACCGAAAGCGCCGGGGTGGACGGACTTGCGGAAAGTGTGGCCTGTGGCGCTGCGGTTAGTTCGCACTCTCATTGACCGTCTGGAAAAGAGCGGGTCTTACTGATGTTGTTGCGACCGAACAGGCGGTTCGACTTGGTCGACGAGGATGGCGGAGGAGGGTTCTGGATTTGCGACGCGGTCGGGGCGCGCGACTGGCGCATAGAGTATGTGCGATGCATGATGGGCGGTGTTGGTTGGGAGAAGTGATGTGTTGTGTAAGGTGGTTGTGATTAGTAGGCAATGTTCTTGCTGGTGAGAGTCAAGAAAAGGTGAATGAAGGAGTACAAGTTCAGAGAGGAAATTTGGCTCCGGAAGAGAGCTATGATAACAATAATAATAGTCACAGCCACCTTGGAACGACAAGACACCAAGACACAACACACGCACGCAACAGTACAGCAATGCTACGTATGGAACTAATGCTTACAGCACAGTAGCATTGTTGCAGCTTTGGCACCATTTTCCCGCCCTGAGGATGATAAGTGGCACACTCAAGGAGTGACTGGGAGCACCTTGACGTCACGAGGCGGGCGGCGGCTCGCTCCAATGTCTGTGCACAATCGACATTCATGGCCTCGTCAAGCGCCCAAGAAAAGTCTTTCCCTCATCATCGTCGACTAACTATGGCGGTCCAGTCCAGTAGTGTTTCCTGCTATGATCAGTATTCCAATTAATCAAGCTCGGCACAGTGCTGTGCCCAATCTACTACATGCATTCATCACTTCTTGTGTATGGCAGAGAGTCGCTGGCAAGGCATTCTGTGGCGTTCCATGTCTCAGGCCGGTCTTTCCACTCGCCGTCCGCCGCAGCAGTTTCGGAATAATGAAAGTCTGGGAGGAAAGCTCACGGCGTTCAGAGGCACACCTTGCGACACGATATTTGGGAATTGGTGCCATCGGCGTCTGATGAGCGTACCTCCCCTACCAGGTATGGGTTGGAGAGCACTCGCTGCATCCCTAGGTATCACCATAAATTCTGTGTTCCACATTCAGCCGCAAGTATGTTTCCAAATGCTGTTCAATCGTACCGCTACTACCGTATCCAAGCAGCAGCAGCACCAATGACTTGTCTCTCACCCGGATCCTTGCGTGTGCATGGCACGGCACTTGCACGGTTGACTATGACATATCGCCCGCATTCTGAAATTGTGACGTGCATCGCCCATCTCCTGAGCAACCGTTTGTGACCAAGGTGAAAAGCCGCCGTTGACGACGTCATTTTGAAAGCTTAACCTCAAGGAGCCGTGCGCAGCGCCAACCGGCCCAGGTACCACCACCTTTACCACCTGCACTCCTACCTCCGCCCTTCATGACAGCACCACACTAGGTTATTTTGCTGGTGAGCCACCACTTGAGCTCAAGGATTTCATCATCAATGCGTGTCGGAGAATGTGCCGCGTGTCCCAATCCAACAGAGTTTGATGTGGTCATTGTGGCTCAGCCTGGCTACTAAAAATTCGCAAAAGATTCACCCGTGCTGTGTGTGGTTGAGAATCGTCATACGAATGATACTACCATCGCACACACAATTCGAATCGTACGAGCTTGAAGAGTATATTGCCATCGTCGCCAAGCGCTAGATGTCAGATCTGATCCTGTTGGTGTCTGCAGGATCGGTCGGCCGTCCATGACATGAAGGGTCTACTTTGCCGACCGAGGCACGCTTTGGAAAAAAGTACGGTTGACGATCTAGCTTGGAAGCTCATGAAGGTCGGGGTGCCGTGAATGCTGAATGCTACCTTTGTGCATAATAAGTATGTCGAAGTGGTACGGCGATGAACCTGGAACAAATGAGAAGCATTCCGACTGTGCATCGGCCATACCGGCCGTGTGTTGGCCTCAGGCAATCGCTTCAAGGGCGTGTCGTACTCCAACTCGTCCAACCAGTATCTCAAAATCGTCCGAATCTGTACGGAACGCAAGCGATCCGACGTCTTGAACGACCACGGACCATATATTATATATTCAAGAGTGGATGGTTTCTATGTTGCCCATGGCTGTGTTGATGCGCCAACGCTATCTAAGTACTCCCTCTAGATCCGAAGCAGCGGACTGTGGTCACGCCCGAGTTTACACATGCCCAGGTGTTGATCGCTTTAGTTTGCGCTGAGCCAGTCTATCGGGATACCCTTCGTCGTCAATGGCCCAAGGACGGCATGGTTCGGGGCGCAGGCTCACCGCGGTCAAGAAGTGATACATACTCCAACTAGATGCCACTTCGAATACTTCCAGCATGATGCATATTGTGCGATCCGCTTTCATTGACTATCTTCTATGTGGTAATGAAGATAGACACTACACGCGCAGCAGACTGGTAATCTATCGATAGGCACGAGTTTCGATGCCCGAAATCCTAAAAGTGTAGTGTCCTGCAAACTGTCCATTAAATCCGCCTACCAAAGCTCTCCCCTTTTTGATCTCTCATCATTGTGAGTCTATGTATGTGCGGGTATGTCGGGTGACATGATCACCACACAAGGCACGTCGAGGAATGCCCCACCTAGAGCTGCAGCAAGGCTAAGGACACTTGCATGACCAACGGTTCGGATGGAAATCTCAGGGTTCTCTTTCAGCTACAGATGGAGAAACTGCAAATCACCGTTCGCACAGAAGAAGATGGCGGTCACTCGTCAGCAACGCGTCTTCGTTCCTTCGTGAATACGGTATATCCGCAATTCGCGCCATACCGACCGTGCCGCTTCACGAACGAGAGGTCCCTTAGAACTGGCTGGAATCTATCCCGGCGAATCTTCCGGCGCTTAGTTTCCCACCGTGGCGTGCAGGTGTGGATCATTGCTCCCGCAATCCGATGCTGCTTGTCCGCAAGTAGAGTATGCGTTTGCTTTTTAGATGACATATCACGCAGCACCCTTGCATTGATCCACACACATGCCGTTATTGCCGATTCGCCTTCCTTGCCTCGATATGAATAAAGATCATGCCCTCGAGCTCGACTTCCGACATCGACTTCGGTTGATGGCAAATCGTCGAGCCCAGTGAGCAGGGAGACTCCAAACAATACGGCACCATGGAGTCACATTCAGCAGCATCGCTTAGCTCGCAGGCATTCCAACCCGATCGCAAATCGGAAGACGCATCCGATGTCACTGACGATCCGGCCGTCAGGTCCGAGTCTGCCGTCCATCTACCAACGAGGCTTAGCGTCCAAGGCTTGGATGCTCATGAAAAGCCTCACGACGCACAAGCCTCTGGCACAACAGTCAACGATCCTCACTTCAAAGTCGTGTTCGAGGACAACGACCCAGGAAATCCAAAGAACTGGAGTGCAGTTCTAAAGGCCTGGATTACCTTGCAGCTTGGGCTTCTTGCACTTGTCGGCTCACTTGGGTCCGTCTCAGTTTCCTGTCGATATGAGTGAGATCGATGCCGCTAATTACTTTGGCCTGTGCAGATCATCTATCGTCTCACCAGCATTCGATGTCCTCTCAAATGAGTTCGGGATCAGTAGAGAGGCGGCTGTGCTTGCAGTCGCGCTCTATATCCTTGGTTTTGCATTAGGTCCAATGATGTGGTATGAAATGCTACTTTGTGACACTTCTAGCTACATACTCTGACCATCGTCAACTTTGACAGGGGACCTATCAGTGAGGTGTACGGCAGAAAATGGAGCATGCTCCCAGCGATCGTGGTCCTAGCGTTGTTCAGTATCGGGAGCGCCACCAGTCAAAATGCTCAGAGCTTCTTCGTCACTCGTTTCTTTGCGGGCCTGTTTGTACGTCCACAGAGGTCCCGACCTCCGCCCTGAAACCTCTGAACCCATATCTAACGCATGACTCTCAGGCGAGCGCACCAGTAAGGTTGGATTGACCTGTCCCGTGCCTCGCGATTGATGTTGATGAGATTCTAGCAATGTTTCTGCGGCCCTGGGAGATATATACGAAGCAAAGCGACGCGGAGTTGCAATGTCTTTCTATTCGATCATGGTCGTTGGCGGCCCTTGCCTCGGTGGGTGATATGGCGCCATCGTGGCTATACCATTCTCTGACTCTGACTTCTTCCAGGCCCAATCATTGGCAGTGGCATCGTTGTCAACCCTCACCTCGGCTGGCGATGGACAGAGTACATTGAAGCGATCTTGGCTCTGTTTGTTGCATTTGTGACTTTGATTGGCATGCCTGAGATCTACGCACCTGTTCTACTCAAACGAAAAGCCCAACGAGTGCGCAAGGAGACGGATGATGATCGGTATTGTCCGTAACCATCTTTGCCTTTGCTGTGTCAACCCGTCGCTAATCATAAGTTCAGGGCATCCACACGAGGCTGTCAAGATCACGCCGAGAAACGTGGTCACGAAATATTTCAGCCGGCCTCTCCTGTGCGTAGCAACCCATGGACCGATTGATGTAAGAACTGACAACCATCACAGCATGCTTCTGACCGAGCCGACGGTCACTTGTATCGCCTTGTACGCCAGTTTCGTCTACGCGAACTTGTACCTTTTCCTTGAAGTGTTTCCCATTGTCTTTCAGGAAATGCGCGGATACGGCCCCGTGGTGTCCACTCTGCCGTTTCTCGGACTCTTCACCGGAGTAAGATGATCTTCGAGATCAAGGGGACGACAGGAGCTGACAACTATGCGCAGACTGTGCTCGCTATTGGTATCAACATCGCCAACCAACCAAGATACATAAAGGCTGTTGAAAAAAACAACGGCAAGCCTGTTCCAGAAGCACGACTGCCCCCGTTATTCGTGGGCAGCGCTCTATTCGTGAGTTTAGCAGTGTTCAATCCCTCGTACTATCACATGGCAATCAATGATCGATGGCTGACACAACTGTAGGCAGTCGGTCTCTTCTGGTTTGGCTGGACAGCAGACCCGTCATATTCGGTCGCATTGCCTGTTGTAGCTGCGGTGTGCGTCGGAGCCGGGTTCAACGTTGCATTTCAACAATGTCTTAATTTTTTGGTCGACCAGTACGGGATGTATGCAGCGAGTGCAACGTCTGCCAACACCATCCTTCGATCGCTTTTCGCTTGTGGCTTGCCCATGGCCGCAGGACCTATGTTCAGGAACATGGGCGTTGGACCAGCCACAAGCTTACTTGGGGGCATCTCGTGTCTCGCGTTGCCCATTCCGTGAGTCAGCATTATTCTCCGATAGTGCAAAATCACATGCTGACAATCCTTGATCAGATTCTTGTTCATGAGGTATGGCAAAGTTCTGCGGAAGCATTCTAGATACGCCGCAGAAGCTCTATAGCCGCGACGATGGATCTAAGCCTTTGTCGCAATTGTGTCAGGAAATGAGTATGACGAGTATGATAAATGAATCACGGGCCAGAATCATGTGCAAGTACTAAATCGTCCTTTATCGTGCAGTCGAATCGTATAATGTTGTCGAGTTTGAATATGATAATAGACCGAGTCCGTAGTGCCCAGCCACCGGATAAATCTGTACTTGACGCCCGCTGCGTAACATTCCACACGCGTTGCCTCTGGCGTTGCCCACCTGCCGCAGAGCTTTCGCCATTACTGTATTCGAGGAACAACATTCACCTGCCAATCTTATTCAACCCATCATCCGGTGCATTACATTCATCTTTCAGTTGCATTTTTCTGGGTTAAGTTACGACAATTCACCATCTGCGCGTGACAACCTCTTCACACTATTCCGAAGCTTGCGTCAGATCTAACGTCACTTAAGTCAAGCGCAAACGCGCGCCATTCAATCGCAAAATGCCTCCAAACAAGCCTGGGAGACCCGCAAAAGGCACATCAAAAGCCAAACCTGTCGCGTTGACAGCAGCAAACGAGCGGCCTCGTCGTGCTGTTCCGGCCGCAAAGTCAACTCCTGCGGTCACTGCCCCCAACAAAACTACCAGAACAGGTGAGTGGGGTTAGCCACGAAAGATCTGAAACAAAGAATGTGCTAATGCAATCAATTTCTATAGGCAATAAGCGAGGACGTCCAGCCAAGCAGGCTGCAGTAGAAGATGAGCCAAAAGCCAAGCGTGGTCGACCTGCCAAGGCGAAAGACGCAGACCATGAAGATGCGAAGGTTGCAACAGCGAAGAAAGCTTCCGCTGAGATTCAAAACAAGAGCGACGCCGCCGCTTCACCAGTAGATGTTAAGAAACGAGGACGAGGACGCCCACCCAAGGCAGCGAAGGATAGTGCTCCTGCTGTTCCAAAATCCGAAACTGCACCGCCCAAGAAACGTGGCCGACCACCAAAGGGAGGCGAGACTACGAAGATCACCAGTGATGACTCCGCCGCAGCCGACCAACTCGAGGAGGAACTCCAAGAGATTGCCGATGAGCCTGAGGCGGTAGAGGAGGCAGACGAGAGTGCAGCCGATGGTGCAGCCGATGAGGAGGCCTTGCGTAAGCACAGATCTGCCGCCGAACAGACCAGTGTCCGGAACGCTGCGTCCGGGAAGCAATTTTGGCTGATGAAAGCTGAGCAGGAGGATCGGGAGGAAGTGACGAAGAGCGGCAAGACATTCAACACTAAATTCACTATCGACGATCTCCACGCAAAAGGTGGACCGGAGCCATGGGATGGTAAGCATTCAAGATAGAATTTTGCAAGAATTGCGAACGGATTACTGATCTACTGACAGGAGTGCGTAACCCTGTGGCCGCTAAGAACATGCGCGCAATGCAACAAGGTGACTTAGCGTTCTTCTATGCAAGTGGTGGAAAAGCTGGCCGAAAGCCAGGAATCGTTGGCATCATGGAAGTTGTCAAAGAACACGAATCAGATCCGAGTACCGCCGATGATGAGCATTATGCATATGTCGAGAAGGAAGCAGATCGTGCGAAGTGGTGTGTAGTACACGTGGAATTTCGCAAGAAGCTCAGCAAGCCGGTTCTGCTCTCCGATCTCCAGAAGCACGGCAAGGATTCCGGAGTACTCAGTAACATGGACGTGCTCCGATACTCACGCCTCAGTGTAACCAAGGTGACCGAAGAGGAGTGGAACTTCATCCATGAGAACCTGATTGAAGGATACGAGAAGGAGGTCGATGCATTCCCTGCGTCCTCGGCCGTGCAAGATGCTGCAAGAGTCGTGCAGAAGACTGCAGTTGCGACGGTCGATGCGCTGGAATCAACTCTCACGACTATCACGGAAGCTGCGACAAACCTCGTCGAGAACGCCGCATCTATATTGTCGCCGGTGCCGACAGCTAGTGCTCTTTGAACACGCCTTGAAAATTGAGCTGGTTTGTTCTGACCTGACGCTCCTTTCAAATTTCCGGTCCCTCTCTCTCTCTCGACCATAGGTCGGCAATGGAACGCTCCTCACTGCGGGCAACGCGACTTTGTGCTCGAATGACTCTGATTGCTTTCCTTTAATTAGTATACCCGCATGATTTGGCCCGAAGTATGAGCATGTTTGAGCTCAGCAACAGAATTCAAATACCTTTCTATCTATTTTCATCTCACGAGTGATCCTTTCCGAAACATGTCTGTCATCTCACATATTTTCAATCAATTTCACATGACAATGCTAAGATGCTCAGGATCAAGTCCACTGACAATTCGACCGCCAGGCACAATCGCCTCTGATTCGACTCCGTTCTAATGTACAAAGGGCCATTCGACCAGGCCGCGCGCTTTCGGCGCATTGCTCCGCCCGGAATCGTCCTCGAATCGCGGACTTGGCAAAGTGCAACGCAATCTTACTCCGATTAGTGTGCCGCTTTCAACTTGAGCCACTGGGGTGAGATTTCCCGCCCGTCAGCCGCCGAACGCGCCTCATATTCAGCATCCGGCACAACCTCGATGATGCGGATCTTCCACTTCCCAAGCCGCAGTACCAAAAGATTGCCCGGCTGAGTGAAAGCCGCAAGCTCACTGACGCCGTTCCCGGTCTGCTTGATAAAGCGTAGTTCGGTGTTCATCACGTCTGAAACCGACTCGGACAATCCTGCGTCAGAAGCCAGCGGTGTGGCGGCGTAGAGTGTGCCTGCGGAGACGAGACGTGCTGCGGCGGATTTGCTCTTGGCGAGTGATGCTGCGTAGAGGATGTCCGAGGGTGATCTATTGTTTACGAGCGATTCGGGCAGTAGGATACGCTGCAGCGCTGCGGTATCGCCATCATCAAAAGTGGTGCTCCCTTTCTTGTCTTCGGCACCGCTCCGTCCCTGAGTCGATTCGGTTTGCGAATTTGGCTTGGGGGGGCCGGCCTGGAGAGCCGCAAGGGTAGGTGCGCGCATGGAACGATGTTCATCGCGGGTACGATCAGCGACTTCTTTCCCGTGGACGAGCTCGAGGACTTCGGATGCCAGGAGGTGCTGCGCTAGACGTTTGCCTGGATCCGCTGCATGATCTATGATGTGCTGTTTGATTTCGTCGGACGGGAGGATGGTGAAGAGCCTAAGGAGCTTTCCAACGTCGGCATCCGGCGTAGACAGGAGGAACTAAAGCGCGCAAACATCGATCAGTCTGTGTGGAGAAAGACAAGAAATAATTGAAGAAATTATGCTTACCCCGTACAGATCGAAGGGTGAAGTCATGGACTTGTCGAGCCAGACCGCGTTGCCTGCGCTCTTACCGAACTTCTCGCCACTCGAGGTGGTCAAAAGTGGTGTCGTGATACCCATGGGGGCTTGCGTTGACTCCAGTTTTCCGTCAGGTGTCAAGGCCCATGCAAGCTCGAAGTCGGCCTGCGTCGAATACCTGATAGCATCAATCCCTCCGATGATGTTTCCATATTGGTCGCTGCCTCCGATTTGTATCTGCGCTTTCCGTAAGGAAAACATGTACTTCCAGTCCCAACCTTGTAACAGTGGGTATGTGAATTCGGCGAATGACATCCCATCTCCCTTGGCGAGCTTGTTTTTAACGCTGCAGCTACAGTCAGCGGGCAATTCGCTATCAAGCCTACAAGTTATCTGAGAGGCAGCTAGAACTCACTCACGTGTCACGACCCAGCAGTGTACCAATGCGCACGCCTCTGCCCATATCCCGAAGAAAATCCATCAATGTGAGGTTTCCAAGCCAAGTAACATTGTTCAACAGCTCTCGCGTTCCTTCTTTGGATGGACTGCCGCGTCGCGCACTGTATGCCCGCATATTTTGCCACATAATGTCCAGTTGGCTGGTGATTGAGTTGATATTGGTCGTTTGAGTCGTGTCAGACATGATTTCTCGCGCGGTCAAGCGTCCGGTGGGATCACCGACTTGTACCGTTCCACCACCAACCAGAGTGACAACATGATGGCCATGGCGGAACATCCAGAACGCCAGCATGAATGGCAGGAGATGTCCTAGGTGAAGTGAAGGAGCTGTCGGATCCACGCCGCAATAAAAGCTCACGCGCCGGCTGCGCAGTATGCTATCAAGTACGCCATGATCGCCAGCAATCTGATTGATGAGACCTCGCTCTTTCAGCTGATCTAGGAGACCAGCGTCTCTTGTTGTAGCATCTTTTCCCTTTGCCGCATCGGAGTTTTCTGTTGCGTCGGACGAAGCTGTCGTCGAGGAGTGGTCGGCAGTGAGGCAGCGCATGAACGTCCGTAAATGGCCGCTTGTGACATGGCTAGGGCAACTGCGGTCAATTGCTCGCAGACACCATTGCGAGTTGCGAAGTTGGAGTCGTGGCATTGTGCCACATCAATGATATTGACATTCGACCCGAAATGACATTACATATTCATTCCGACCAATTGGAATTTCACAGGCCCTCCTGGCTACAGTCTGATGGGAGAATATAGGTCGCGGGAAAGCAGCTTGAAGTCCCTCCCAATCGGGCAATCGCCGCATTTTCGTGGCTTCACGAGCTGCGAAATGTGATTAACGCATGTACTATACAAGCACAACAAGTAACGCGTAAACTTGGTTCCGCGATGTGCTATTTCACGTCGCGCATGCAGCTGTCGAACGAGATTCTATAGATGATGACATTCAAATGCGATCATGATGGATGGAACTAGCATTATTTTACCCAGCGCCTTGCGAATGATGTCAAAGAAAAGGGTTCCGGCATCGCCATGTGGAATGTGGAACATCTCAAAACCATAATGCGTGAATTGATGACACAAAGAGACGAGATTATTGGCTGTTTCGAATTGTGCAGTCTTGATGTGCCAAATGGGGGGAGGGAGGTCAATTGTTTCTCCCGTTGTATGCTTTGTTCCTTCTCTGCTGTTCCTGAAAGCTAAGTCTGGGCAACGCACCTGTGAGGTTCAGTGCGACACCTGCGATTCACCCCATGAATGGCAAATCAGCTCTGCACGCGGCTGACGTGCTGCGTGGACGGCGCACTTTGGTCGATCTCAATGATTTCAGGTTGACTCGGCGAGAGCACGACGTCATGGGGATGGTGTTTCGGCACAGCCGAGTCTGTGCCGTCGACCTTGCTAGCATTGAAGTCCGGAATCGAGAATATGGCTTCACCCACAGAGGGCGCTGAAATCGAAGCGGCGTTGAGGGCGGTATTCATCTCAGTTACGATGTCCGAATTTGAAGGGAGCTGTTCCTTCCTCGTTGTGATTGGTGCAGATTGCGATGATGGTATTAGCCCATGCGGGCTACTGCCACCACTAGAAGCAATGACGCTAACAGCGACAGGTCTTTGCTGAGGAGAGGTCACGGCAGTTCCGGCACGTGGCGTTGCTTCACCGTCCTCTGGGATGGGAGCAGCAGACGGTGGCATTTCTCGCTTGGAGATGGGTCGTGGGGCAGGAAGCTTGAGGTCAGTGGCCAGGAGTGAGTTGCGACGAAGGTTCTCGAGCTGGGTCGCAGGATCCTGTGTGAAAAGCTCGAGTCAGCATATTATAAATCAAATCTAACTGCGCTGTGTAGCATTGACGATGAAAATTTTGCGTCAGAGCCGAGTAGGCAGTAGCTGATGGTCACTCGCCCTCTCCCTAGAGACAAAAACAACGGCTACGCGGTGTCGAACTCATTCTCGTCACTTACCCACTCGATTTGATTCGGAACTCCTTCAGCTTCGGGTAAATCCTCCTTGGCTTCTCCATCGCTACCCCAAAAATTTGTTCGTCGTCGCGGAGCTGGAGTCACTGGTAGTGATGGACGTTCTATAGCAGACGGGAAGTCCGTCAGTATCAAGCTCTCTCTCCGCCGATCGACCTGCTGGACGAGGTCTTCTGGATCAGGCAAGTTCGATGGTGTCAGAACTTGATCAGATTGCGACTGCGGGCGTGCGTTCGGGTTGCTGCGATCCTTTTGGTAGGAATTGAGAGCTCGAACATATCTATCGATACCAGCTACATCGTCCCACGCATTTCTGCTTGATGCAAAAGCTTGCCATGGATTATCGTCGTTCAACTTGATCATTGGTGGTACTGGATCGGTTGCAGTACTTGATTCCACCTCCAATTCATCTGCTAAAGCTGATACAAATTGATCCTCCGGCTCTGTCGTCTGAGGCTTCTCGTCTTCGATAAATCGTCGTGTCGGTGGCGCAACCTCGCGTTCCTCCCAGGGGAATATAGGTCGTGGCTTCTCTTTTAGACGTGGTTTCTCCTTAGGAACTTCATACCACATATCTTTAGGAGGCTCTGGGTATGAGGGTGGCGCTCGGAAGGGCTCAGGATCATGATTGAACTCATATATTTGACTGGGAAAGTGAGCAGCTTCAGGTCTTGACTCAATTGGAGGTGCACCGCGCGTGGCATCCCACTCCATTTGCGGAGCGGAGAACCGCCTTTGCTCCACAGTCGGTGTCGGCTGCGTGCGTCCTTGATCGAGATTCTCAGCAGGTTCGCCTGGGTCAGTCATGGGAGTTTCTGAGGTGTGCGGCTGATCATGATCCACTTGCGTTTGTGGCGCATATGCTGTTGGTGGTGGAGCAGGTTGTGTCGTAGCAGCTGGGTATCCTGTCGCGTAAAAGTGCTGGTGATCAGACTGCGGTTGATGATTCTGCGGCGATGCGCGGTAGGGGTCCTTCTGAGGCGGATGTCGTCGACCTTCAATGTAGTCAAATGTCTATAGGAGTCAGCTGATTATGAAGACGCCCATGCCTGTATATAGACTTACTGAGACCTCGAAGTGACGATCCCACACTGCCCACCACTTGGCCAAGATTTCCTGAAATGCGCCAGGCACTCCAGAAGCATCGCGTCCTCGTCGCCACGGCTTTTCGCTGCCGATGAAGTGAACCATACTTATATCCCGTTTGTAGTACCGGTATGCGGGTTCATACTGATAATTGGCGCTTGGTGTGGTATTGTACGTAAAGCTCAACCGCTTCCAAGGCTTGTGCTCATAGTACTGATTGAGCAAGCCTTGATCCGCTCCGTCGAAGCTGTCGCCAGCGTTCGCCAATGTGTGAAGCGCCGAATAGACGCCCATATTCGGTGTCAAAACCATGACTCCGCTGTTGAACGCATCCGGCCAGCCAACGTCGGGCGCAGCCGCGAAGTCTTCCTGAATATCAAACAGCTCTTCAGGCGCTCGAAGCGCGACAACATCGGCGTCAACGTAAACGATCTTTCGGTATTGCGTCAATTTCCAAAGATTGATCTTTGTGAATGTGTAGAGAAGGTCGGGGCGATTCATGAGATAGAGGTTTGCAGGGCTCGGGTTGCCGATCTGCTCGATTGGAATGACATAGTTGTAGAGCGACTATGGAAGAGTGATTAGCTCAAATAACAGCCGCGATCATGTTGCACAGCAAGTCACCTGAAGCTCTTCGACGCTGCTCGCGCGGAGATTATTCTGAACGATCATGCATGCAAGCTTCTTGGTTGAGCCAGCATCACGCAAGGAATGCGCGAGGACCGCGGCACCTGTATTCTGATGTCAGTGTCGCGAAAGCAGTATCCTGAACATACAATGGGCGTTTACCTGGAAGATAGCCATCGTTCAAGACGAGCTGCGGGTTGGTCAGAGTCTGGGACGGCTTCGAAGAATGGCTGTATTTGGCGCAACCAACTTACAGTGCAATAAACATCCTCATGTGCTGCCATTGTCCAATCGATTGGAAAGCAGAAGACAGACTATGCAGGCGTGTCGCTGCACAGATAATTACTATTCGTGGCGACGATGCATTCGCAAAAATGGCTGTGTCCCGCTCGACCGGATGATTGGGGCGCGCTGCGCGAGAATGCCGTGAAATACTGTCGTAAGAGGGATGATGGGGACGGCCTTTAGGGAGTCGATGGGAAGTCGAAGGTGCTAGGATGTTGGATGCCGCTGGATACTCAGAACGAAGAATGTACGAGAGAGAAGTGGGTGAGCAAGGAATCAGTATTGAGGCCGCGATGAGCAGGGCAGAAGCATAAGACAATGCGCTATGTGACTGTGTGTACGAGGATGCAACGATGCAGGTGATGAGAGATTGCAGGATGGTGGTCCTGCGCGCATTGGCGAGCCGCGGCGGGCAGCTTGAGCTCAGACGCAGATATCGTCTGAAATAATAATAGCGACGATGATAACAGTAAACCCTCCGGTAGGATCCAAGATCCACGTTTCTGATATCGACCAAATGCCAGACGAAACCCTTTTCGAGATGTGCATCTGTTCTTACGTTCAATACATATCGCTGTCTATAACCACTGAATGATGCAGCATCTCGATGATCGTCGTTGACTTTGTTTCCCTTCCAGTAGCTGTAGATATAGTTGAGATAATTGCATCGCACGTGGACGATGTTGTCATGGTTGGAGCTGCCGATGCACCCTGACGTCGCGCCCGCCCTAGGATCGATGCGATCCACTAGAAGACATCGGCCAGTTATGGTTGTTGGTTCTACGTGCTCCTCAATTGGATTCCACCGCTTGCAATAAGACCAATCACCAAAATGGCGCCGATGGCCGCCCCTCCACCGACTTGGCTGCAGCCCGCCTGTTCTCATATGTGTGTGGGTCTGAACTTGTCATGCACTCCAGATTGGTCATTCGCATCGGCGACTTCGATGGCGACAGTAGTGCCCTCTTCCCACGCTCTTGCCCTTGCCATCCATGGATATATTGAATTGGGCATCAGCATCATTTTGATACCTACCTCGGTAGATAAGTAATATTGTATTTGGACCCGCTGAACAGAGCAAAGGGCCGGCTCAAGAGCTAATCTCTTACTTGTGCGCCTGTGTCTAGTGGGCAATGATGACATGCAGCATACACGCAGCATGATCCGTCACAATAGCGATTTCACGCCCTGTCTATTGCGCCGTTGTCTTGTCTAATCTTCTGCAGGTGAAATTGCTCCGAAGCTGGACCGCTGGCACTGCCCACGTGGTCGCCGGAGTATTTAATCGGTGGTCTTGGTTTGTTGAGAAGCTGATCCATCATGTCTATATATTCTCCCAGATTACCGTTGCTGAGGCAAAGGCCCGGGTGCGGAAAACCTAACTCAGAGAGTGTGCCCTCATCTTTTCGAACGTGTAATGCCCGGCTCCCATCAATCTCGCATTCCAGGGTGCAGGCGTGATTCTCTTCAAATGCATGGACGGATAACAGCCGGTCACGTCCCGGTAGCGGCCGGTTCTGCTGTTACATCCAAGGTTGCGGTCATCTATTAACACGTTTACCTACACTACCTAGGTAGGCACTCACCATATGGATACTCACATACCTATGCAAGTATCCATGTGACTCCAGTTACAAACAGAACAGTTTGGATTCGCAAACGAGGCCAAAGCGTATTTTTGGGAAGGTGAGGAGGGCTTGAAGCAAAGACCAGTCAAGGCGACTACGGTTGCGAAATGAGATGGCGCAGTGTACGGATTATACAAAGACAGACGCGAATCGGTTTGTATAAACACGCCGACAACATCGCTCCGACACTGGACCCACGTGGTGGCTGGTGATCCGTTAATCCTGAACCTGAAGGTCCCGTGGTTCCACGGTTCTCCCCTCCTGAAAACAATGCTGTTGTGAGAGCCTCTAGGGCTCCTCGTGTAAGTTGTGCCTGGCACTGACTGGTCGTCAAGGGCCCTGCAGTTGCGATGAACGGAATAATAGGACGGATGGTCGGCACTGGTTTGCTCCTGTGCGCATCCACACATATGGTAGTACATACGGCAGATGCCACCAGATTCCCAGCTGGGGATCAAGGACGCCGCTGTGTTCTTCATAATCAGCGACAATATTCACGAGTCTGTTTGGTTTGATGTACCTGCATTCCTGCCCATATTTGTGACCATCGTCGTAGTCGGTAGGGTCCTATCGGTGCCGCAATTGAGGATCGCAACATTGCTGCGGCTGGCAAATGTGCGGGTTTGTTGAGAAGCTGCTTCATCGTATTTTGATATTACACTGGTGAGGCCAGGGTCCGATCCATGAGGGTCATGGTCTGCACTATTATTTGACCATTTCCGGGCTCCCAAGATTATACACGGCTCTCGTCAATATCGAGTTCCAAGATGCACGTGCCCTTCAAAGTCAAGTAATGCGCCGACCGTCCCAAGACACTGTACAGCAGGGCTCACAGCGCATAGACGCAATGGTGGCTTCTTCTATATACTTGTATACACCTACACTATAAGGTTGCCATTGTCTATAGGCGTCCTACAATTTTGGCTTCCACATTCACAGGTAGACTACAAAGTGCAGTTGCAGAGCAGTGGAGACTTGATGACCGCGAGCATTTTTGCGGAGGTTTCGAATTTATGGCAGATACCTAGGCAGGATGGCAAGTTTAGGCGTGAAGATCGACCATGACAACATTGGTTCGGGCACTTGCGATACGGAAGTGAGCACATATGGGGCAAAGCTGGGCCAAATGCTCAGCTGATGTATGGTGCATGATGAGGCTCGTCATAACAGCCACAAGCACAAATCAAAGCCAGGAAAGTCTTCCTTTAAAACGCACAGGCTTCTTTTTTAGACCGAAACTCTACACGCGGAGCAATCCGTCCCCTGCTGATCTTTTGGCTTGTTTCCCATCGACGTCATTATCAGCATCACGGATCACTTGTACTGAAAAGTACTAAGGCAACTAAGCATATTCTTTTGATTGAATACATTGTCGAACTCTGATGCTGTCGCCATCCCAGCTGTGGTATTGCGCCTTCGAACATTGTCACGCCGCCCAAGATACGTAGCCGATCGAGAGCCCCCGTGCAGCTGCCATGGCCAGTACAGATGGCCATCTCGCCGACGAGGCCGCACAGCCGCGCTCGAGGAAGCCCACATTCAAAGTGAACGTCAACGGAAATGAACAGACCGCCAAGTCGGTCCAAAGCTCTCACGACCGACTGAGTGTTTTGTCGAAAGGCAGTAACAGAGATCGATCTGGGTCAGCTCCACCCTCCGAAAATGCACCGCCATCAGTCAAGGCGACTTCCGCTGCGCGCCGCCAGAATCGACAGAAATCCAAGCGCATGTTTCCTACCATCGACTATGAGGCTCGCGTCTCCTATTTTGACCCCAGCTCCGACTACACCAACTTTAAGGGTTTCTTTGTGCTCTTCTGGGTTGGCCTGGCGATTATGGTCATTACTCAGGTGTTGCGCAATCTGCGCGAAAGCGGTACCCTGCTCAACTTCCGACAATGGCCGCTTTTCCGAGAGAATATCGAGGAATTGGCAATCACTGACTTCTTGATGTGCGGGAGCACGATGGTTTCATTATCGCTACAACTTGTCTTCAAGGACAGTCCTGGGATCTTGAAGTGGAGCAAGATGGGAGTGTACATTCAAAGTCTCTGGCAAGCGGCATGGTTTTCCCTCTGGGTCATGTGGCCGTTCCTGCGGGACTGGACCTGGACGGCGCAGGTCTTCTTCATTTTGCACACACTGTGCATGTTCATGAAGATGCACTCATACGCATTTTACTGCGGCCATTTGTCGACAACTCTCTTTCGCCTGAAGCAGCTCGATCTACCGATTGGACCAGCAACACCTACAAATGCGGCCTTCCGGTATCCTTTGGCACGAACACGCACCAACGATCTCACTGGACAGGAGACAGTCCTGGACGATCAGTCGGAGCACCACCAGGATGGGAACATCTCCCCCATCGTGCAACTGCGTGACGATTTGGCCATGGAGATCACTTCACCGCTTGGTAATGTCACGTACCCTGCCAATCTTACCGTCTCCAATTTTCTAGATTTCCTCATGGTCCCCACTCTCTGCTACGAGCTCGAGTACCCTCGGCGTCCCACACGCTCCTACCTCGAACTCTTCTGGAAAGCTCTAGCTGTGTTCGGCTGCGTCTTCCTGATGATCATCGTCAGCGAAGAGTTTATCATCCCGATCCTTGACGAATCTCAGGCGCGCCTCGCCGTCAGCCGGACATCCATCGACAACGCTCTCATCTTTGCCGAGACCGTGTCCCGGTTGCTGTTCCCTTTCATGATCACCTTCCTACTCGTGTTCCTCAGCATCTTCGAATATGTCCTCGGTTTCTTTGCAGAGATTACTCGTTTCGCCGATCGGAGATTTTATTCGGATTGGTGGAATTCATTAGATTGGCTGGAGTTCTCAAGGTTCGAAGCATTTTTTATGCGCTCATGGACACTCTTACTGACGGACTTTTCATCAGGGAGTGGAACATCCCGGTGCACAACTTTTTCCGACGCCATATATACGGCGCCTCTCGTGGTGTCAAGCTAAGCCGTCCCGCGGCCACCGGCATCACGTTCTTTATCTCAGCGCTTGCTCATGAGTTAATCATGGGTAGCATCACACGAAAATTCCGCGGCTACGGCTTCTTCCTGATGATGTTGCAGATGCCTCTCGTTCTGATTCAGCGCATGCCATTCTTGCGCAATCAGCAATTACTCAAGAACATTATGTTTTGGATATCCATGATTACTGGTCTGAGTTTGGTGAGTTTTGCATCGTTTACAACCTGGGCTCCGTGGGCTTATTGCGATGAGGCTAACGAAATCTTTCGTAGTTGTGTGCGCTATATGTGCTCGTTTGAGATCGTTCACGACAAGACAATCTACCTAGGTATTATGGGAAAAGAAGGGACAGTCCGAGCGTCCTTCCCTCCAAGTCAGCAATGAACAAGCGTGGAAAAGCACCACAATGCTACGAATAATGCGTGTGCGAGGTCCATGTTGGCTTGCGCTCTAATCGGTGAAGACTTCAGCTGGAGATCATTGAGATATTCTCCCCTACTGTACTTCTAATACCAATACTCTCAAGTTTTCTGTGCAGAATACCTAGGTAATGTCGATTTTGTGTGTGAATAGTAGCTGCTGTAGAGTCTCCCGTACCCGTTGGACCCTGGCGCATCCAACCGCCAGTCAGCCGTACAGCACGGCGCTCGCGCCAATGAGGCTGTCTGTCCAGATCATTGATTTCTCCCCGACAATCATCCCATCGGTCATGCTCAGAATAGTCACATGGGCGATCTTGATCAATTGAGGCCGTAGCGAGATGGCTAGCGACCCGAAAGAGGTCGAGCGGGATGTCGCGCCCGCTTCAGGACCACCAGCGGAGCGCCCGACTGCCATCTGGACGCGGCGTTTCGTGATTCTGGCTTTCTGGGCAGTCGTTGTTTGCTTAGGCTTGCCTTTATGGACATGGACCACGACCATTCATCGATCTGAGCTGCCATTGGAATCGATGAATGCTTGGGCTGAAGGCCATGTGAGTGGCACTCATTGTAGTCCTCGGAATCGAAATCGCTGCTGATATCTTCCGCAGGCTTGCAAATTCCATTTTCCACTGCAAATATCCCTGTCTGCTAGCCACCTGTCTGCAGAACTCCGAAGGGATGTGGCTTCTCGAACTCAAGACTTGCTCAACGGTCGAGGAACAGGCTCACTTCACACTTTTAACGTGAGCTTTGATGAAGCTCGCAATACAACTGCGCTTGTCGTCTTCTTGACCAACCAACAGCCAGACGAGCCACCCAAAGCGAAGCTACGTACCTGGGAGCCTGTCTTAGACGCTGAGGTCAACATCGACACTGCGGACGCAGTCGCAGATACCGCAATCTTCCTCGCACAACAAATTTCTGATTTGTTCGACGACGAGGGCGCCTTTCTAGCGTCGCTGCTCCACAGCAGTCCATTTGAGAGCTCCAGCCATCAGCTACAATCTTTCGAGCAACAGGCAAAGCTTGATGGCCGTAATACACGAGCATTCAAATATGCCTCGACATATCACTTGACCTTTTCACTCATCACGCCTCATGGCTCGCCCTCGGCATGGGAAATTGAACAGGCCTTGAGCGAGAGCATATCCAAGCTCATCAAGCCGCTTTCCGCGATCAGCCATTTTGTTGTCAACACCCAGGTTCAGCTCTTCGCGCGGTTCTCGCCATCCATCGCAGGTCCGACGTTTGACAGCGCCAACAACAGATGGAAGCTCCAACATGAAGATCTTTCAGGCTTTGTGAATGCTGCAGAGTGGCCTCTGAGCCCAAGCATCGGCTCAGGGCCGACCATCAACTTCATACTCTACGTACCAGCTCCGGATCAAAATCCTCTCTCCATCGGCGAGAGTGGACAAACCAGCTGGATCATCCCACAGTGGGGTGGCGTTCAGGTTCACAACGCGCTGAATAACACGGCAGGCAGGCTCACTGCACAAGACCTCGAAGATGACATGCTCGTGTTCGCTGAGCAGCTCACTACGCTTTTGGGGGTCCCGCAAACACCTCCGTCGCTGTCGCTGAGAATTTCAAGCCTTGCACGCGAACGGGCTACGTCCCTCATCCTATCGGCATCCTCTACTCTAGGCGCTCTCGCACGGCTAACGCTTAAGCTCACATCTATCGCCATTCCTGATTCCGTTGCCAAATCAGTCGACGCAACTATATACAGGCTCGATCAAGCCTGCCGGAATCTCAACGCAGGACAGTACGAGGAAGCTCTCGCAAACGCACGAATCGCCGAGGCTGAGGTCGAGCAGGCGTTCTTCGAGCCATCCATGGTGGGACAGGTGTATTTCCCGGAGGAGCACAAGGTAGCGGTCTATGTGCCTTTATTAGGTCCAATGGCCGTGCCGTTGGTCATGGCTGGGTTGAAGGAGATCCGGAGGTTACGAGAAAGAAAAGTGAAGACCTCGTGAAATCTAAGCATTCTCTCAAGTCCATATCTTAGTTAACAAAAACGCTGTATGACGGACCTCTGGAGAAGCTCTCGCTAATTTCCATCATCGGTCGTCTTGTCATCGCTCTATTCTGTCGACATGAGAGTGAAGGCTCGCGTGCAGAGGCTCTCGGAAATCGACATTGTAGGCTACCGACGGCTCAAGGTCCCTCGTACGCATGGAGGACAACTTCATGCTGCGGGGTTCCAAGCGCTCCACAACATGCTGGGGTCGACACCCAATGCTGGCCTGGAGTTAATTGCATTTTGCTCTCATCTTATGATAAGACTGCCCAGGTCTTCTTAGGGAAAATAAATTACGAGTTTTACTACCATCTGTGATCTCTTGCAGATGCTAGCGACATGGCCGCAATACTCCTTGATCACACACCCCACACAATCGAGAGTTTGCCCTACGGCGTCGTCTCGACTTCGGAGAGACCTGACCCACGATGTGCTGTGGCTATCGGCAACCATGTCATTGATCTGCTTGAATACTCTCGAGCAGGAGCGCTTTCGCAGCTCAAGAACACGGGCAGGAGGTTCGAGGAACTATTTGCACAGGTGGGCGACGAAGAGAGTGACATCGTTGCGAAGACAAGAAGCTGAGATGCAGCGCAAATAAAGCCGTGCCTCAACGAGTTCGCAGCTCTGCCTTGGGCGACACGGAAAGCAGTCAGAGCGCGACTTCAGCAAGACCTTCGATCAGGTAACATCCCAGCATCTTCTGTGATAGAGTTAGAGGATGTCACTTCTCATTTGCCATTCAAAATTGGCGGTTTCAGCGACTTCTATACATCGCTGGACCACTGCAAAAATGTACCCTAAGTGTCATGATAACCCAAACCCTAACGCAAGAGCTCTCCAGGGTTTCTGGAGTTTGAAGGCTAACGCTATATCACTTGTCCATAGTGCTCCGGCGAGCTGACAACAGCAGGCATAGCCAGGAATTGGTGGTATGCCCCATCAGTATACAACAGTCGCGTTTCCTCGGTCGTGCCGACTCCGACACAAATTCGTCGGCCTAAGAATGTATACTACACTCAAGGGCTTGACAGTGAGCCGGCGTACGGACCTACACGCAAACTCGATTTTGAGCTCGAGATGGGCTTCTTCGTCAGCAAGCCCATTCCTTTTGGCGAGACCATGCCCATCGATGAGGCGAAGGAACACATATTTGGGTTTGTGATGTTGAATGATTGGTCGGCAAGGGTGAGACATGTCCCCCGTTAGCCAATAGTTTCAAGCTGACCACAAAAATCTGCCAAACACTATTGCTGACCGGCTTCGTCAATATGCTGCAGGACCATCAATTATTTGAGATGCGACCGCTAGGTCCCTTCCATAGCAAGGGCTTCGGCACCAGCATCTCCAACTGGGTCGTCCCGATCGAGGCGCTGGAACCCTTCTCATGCGCACCTCATCTCGACCAAAATCCCAAGCCCTTCGAGCACCTGACATGGCCTACAGGCAATGATGATGGCGCGCTTGATATTAAATTGAAAATCAAACTTGTTCGAGACGGCGAAGAGCACACGCTGGGCACTTCAAATCTGAAGTATCTGTACTGGACGCCATTCCAGCAACTCACGCATCACGCTGCAAGTGGCTGTGGCATGGCGACGGGCGATCTCATCGGTACCGGTACCATCTCGGGTAGCGGAGTGAACGAAAAGGGTGAGATGGCAGAGCTGGGCTGTTTGTATGAAGCGGAGCGAACCAAGACGTCGGTACTTCCGCAAGGTACTGGTAGGTACCAGGCGGGCTATTTGGAAGATGGCGATGAGATTGTTCTTGAGGGCTGGTGTGAAGATGACCAGGGTCGCACAGTTTTTGGGTTTGGTCAGAGTCGTGGCCAAATCATCCCACCGAAGAGTGCTTAGGAGTCATCCATCGCAGCTGCTCTCCGAATAACGATCGATATATTTTTGCATCGCAGTGGCAATTTTCGGTCGATGCTCCGCAAGGCACAAGATTCGCACGGGCGGCCTTCCGCGGATCCGTTCGCCCGCGGTCAGCACGGAAGTATCCCAGATCTGATGTACGGTATCCCGGGACATGGGAGACCAATGACCCAAAAGAGTTCCTGCATTCTCCATTCTGTCAGCTGACCGATGCCGAGCTCCGTTCCATGGTTCTGGGTCGGCACAGACCCACTGATATGGAATTTGACTTCGATAGAAAGTTTGACCAATGAAGACGTCAAGATCACCAGTACCGCAGCATTTGTCCTGTGCATCTGTAGGACGCAGTACTCACAGCCAATCAAGGTAGCAGTTAAGCGAGATCTTTCGTAATTGCGACTCGGGAAGTCCCTAAGCTGGTCGGTTCATGAACCGTGTATCAGGCAGCGCTTGAGTACCCATCTTTCCCACTTCTTTCGAGTAGCATTGTCCGGCTGTATCCCATCATCGTTTAGGCTTTCCGCAGATTCCAAATGCACCTGGCCGTCGCAATTGCATCTTTGAACGGTTGACTTCGCCCCATCAGCATCAAGACCAGGGAAATCCAGCCGGCTGTTGTCGTCATCATCATCGTCATCGTCATTCTCATTGTCGGATGGCGATTCGCTTTCACCGTCATCGGGTAAAGTCATAGCTTCTGATTGTAGGCCAACACCAGGATCTGTCGAATCATCGTCTTCGTCGTCGTCATCATGATCATCATGATCATCCTCGTCGCTGTCCAGCCTGCCCGCGAGAAAGTCGTCTGGGATCTCAGATCCGATGCCTTGAGGGAGCCGAAAGGGTAGATATCCAATCCTTCTTAAGCTAACCCATTGAAGTCGAGGTAGCTCATTTCTTAGGACAGCGAGGACGTCTTTCCACATGCTCCCGTCCCGGAGGTGTACATCTCGCAACCTGAGACCCTTGAGATTTTTGTGTCGTCGCACAAAGGCAATAATTTCATGCGCATGCAGAATCCATGCTTGCACACCAAAGGCGTGTAGTTTGTTCCAAGTCACAGATTGGAAAACATCTTCCAAACCAAGCGTCAGAGGTCGATGGCACGGAAAGCCGAGGTGCAGCACCTGTAGATTCTGCGCTCGGCTGAAGACCAGGTGAAAGCATTCTCGGAGGTCATGCATGTCAGAGTCCAGATCATCGCTGTCGTCGAAGTGGAGAGTCAGACAAGTGAGCCGCTCTGCGAAAGCTGTCAGTATACTCGGAGGCATTAAGCGTAAGAGTTGTGCGCTTGCGGGACTCAGCATTGGCGAGGAAAATCTAGACCACGATCGATTGCCTGACTCCAGCAGAGCAGCGCCAATGGTCCGCGCTGCGTGCGAGCAGCCCGTCGTCCAGTCGAGATTTACATAGTCCCGGTGACCTGGAAATCTCTGCAAGAAGCCGAGTAGTGCGCGATCCTCTTCATCAGTGACCCGGAGTAGTTGTATCAACTGAAGCCTCGTGAAGCTCGCGATGGCTGTTTTGAGGATAAGAAAATCCTTCTGAAAATAGCAAATCTCTCGTTGAGCCACAGCCTTTTGCTCCAGGATGTGCACTGTCGATTCGCGTAGCCTTGATCCCCGCAATCGGGTCTCGATGGACTCCACGGGCTCCTGTGGCGGTCCCTCGCCTGTTTGCATGCGACCCGTCCAAACTTCATGATCTCGACCACCCTCGAAGAAGTATGGCACTAGGTAACTGAATTTCCTCACATAGCAGGCCAGATGATCCCACTCTGCCAACTGCTTCAGGCGGTCCAGACCTTTGTGCGAGAATCTCGTTGTGATGCGACTGAACAGGAACGGTGCACCAAGTTCTGCGAATCGCCTTCCAAGTCTCCTAAACTTGCAGATAGTGTCCACAGAGTCGTTGCTCTCCGCGGGAGGAGAGTCAAAACTCTCGACGCTGAGGAATCTTCGTTCATCGACTGTGCACGCCCGATTATTATCGGAGTCGATCTCCTTCAAAATGCTGTTCCATATCTCATTGGAAACACGTTCGATGGCTGGCACTTCCATCCTTCATTCGGCGGCTGATGATTTTAATGATGATGATGAAGGTGAGAGACGAGAATGCTTAGAGCAGCGAGCAAATCTACGAGTAAACATCCCCCTGTAGCTGAATAAAACTACAACGCTGAGGACATGGGCCGTCACGGTGGTACAAGGCGAGGGAGACGGTAAATCACTCGGATGACAACAGCGCAAAAAGCCTAGTGAGCGGCGATACCGTGACGAGTTCATGATGTTGAGGGCCCGTGTCATCGCCACTCTTCCGTGAGACAGTCCGAAGCAAGTAGAGCAGCCACCAAAAGAAGCCTCAGCAGGCAGGGCGTTAGCAATGAGCGTGTCTGTCCAATCTCTGTCGAAAGTCCCGTGATCGTAGCATGATGTGCGGGACGGCACGCGAGCTCCGGCGAGCCTGGCACCTGGTTTCCGACAGCATTTCCTTGGTGTGCTGATGGACACGAATCAGTTCACGAAGCTAGTTGTTACGTTGCATAGGCTGCTGCAGGCAAGCAATGTCCTTTAAAGTTGTTACGGAGTTCGAGGACTTCAATCCGTGTGGGTCGATTCCAGTGTTCGCGCCTTTAGTACAGTACCAGAGCGCAGTCAAGCTGACTTGCAGGAGGCAAAGATATTTCCCCACGACAAAAATGTAACTCCCGCCCACCATGCGAGGGTCTAAGCGCTTCAGAGAGTGGAAGTCCGCCATATGCGCTCGTGCGCGATACGGCGCGGTCCAGCACATGAGTACTGGCCGGCTTGGAATGCTTTCATGATCGCACAGTATCACGAGTACATGTGAAATTGTGTTGTCTGTCACCGCTCGAAGTCCTTGATTAGTCGATCACTTCCAGTGAACATTACGGGGCTCGTGCCCTGACATTCGTCGTGGTAAGACTAGAAGCTTGAAACGTGCGGGCAAAGAGCTTTGCTGACGCTGCTTATTCGTCCAACGTTGTAAGCTTACTCGATACGCTGTATGTCTGGTCTTTGCCGTTCAACGACGATCGGGAAGACAGCCGTGCGATTTGGCGAGATGGATGCGTTGATGAGCAGCGGATCCGATGTCCCAGAGAGCCCTCCGGCACCTGCGTGGATTGTGCCCGCCATGCGCCGCGCAAGCATTGTTTTGCGTCATGGTCCGGCCATTTTATTGTCGTGGTACGTGCTCTTTTGTTTTCACATTTCGGCCCGGACCTCCATATGCATGCATGGATGTGGGAGATGCATCGTTCTAAGAGCATTGATCAGGTAGTGGACTTTGATAGCTGCATTTGGTACCATTCTTTCATCACAGAAGTTCTGTGCTGAGATGTTTGCTGCTTGAGCCCAGCATATTCTGCACAATACAATATTTGCATTGCGGGACTGCACCAGAATTCTTTTCAGACTTCTTCGCAACACCGTGGTCCCCACCCGTGAACATTTTGATTGAGCAGTGCGGCAGGGGTATGCCAATGCAAGGTGGGATATCCAAATCTGCACCGCGCTCAACCTTCATCACATTTTGCCTTGAGTCTTTCGGGCCAATTTCTCTCGGATTGCCGAGCTGCTCAGCTTGTTATCGAAATTCGTCCTCGCATCATTGTTGACCGACTCAATTTCACCCGGGCCGTCTAACACGTCCACCTCGAAGACTTCCAGCCGATTCCAGCCTCGTTCGCTACGTTTCTCGTTCACAGCATTGCCACCAGACCTTGTCTCAGCACTGATAATTAGAGCAGATATCTGCTCGTCTGTGATTGTAGGTCCAAATGGATCCTGGATCTCAGTATGCTTGACTACTAGGCCGCTAGCATATGTAATGTCGATGGATTTACCGTTCGGACTATCATCGGACCTTGCATTGACTTGTGGCGGGCTATATCTGCTTGCCGGAGCGAAGTCTATCAAAGCATTGAGAAACTTGGCGACGGAACCCTGTCTCTCTGCCCAACTCTCGACGAGACCAGCATGCTTTTTCTTCACCAAAAGCTGATCGCCCGTAATCCCAATGGTCACGCTGTACGACGTTTGGTCTGAAGTCTGGTCAACGGCAAAGAGCGTCATAGTGAGAAGTAATTTGTGGCCGATGTGAAGATGATCGAATGTCCCTCCCACCGCGACATGGCGATGTCTTGCACCCGCGATCTCTGTTATAGCCGGTGTCGAGTCTTGACCGAGCTGGGCTGAGCTGCTTGGTTGTTGCTTTGCTTGGACGAATGCTCTCACCATGGCCTCACCATCCTCAGATTCATCGCCGAACGCGAAACGCCACGGTCTCTCGCCTTGGGCAAGGACGTCGAGGCTGACAGTGGGTCCGAACAAATTACTCGCCACTGACTCGTCTGTAGTCTTGGGAGACCACGCGACAAGCAGCACGCGCACATCGACACCGTCTTTGTCTTCGATATTGATGTCATTTTCAGTCGCCAGAACACAAATCAGTCGATAAACACCGGCCACCAGATCCTGTGTCTTTTTGTACAAACTTGATCGCGGGAGGCGTTGAGAATTTACCAAATGCTCGCAAGCCAAAGCTATCTCGAGCACGGCAGCATCAGAGGATTCTTCAGAGTGACTTGCGACCTCCTTGAGAACTTGAGCAACAGTCTTGCCGTATGTTTCTCGCAACAAGGCTGGGGTAGGAGGTAGGGATACTGGCGGGAGTAGCAATAAATAGGACGGCGCTTCTGTTGAACCCATTTTTACTTCAAGTGTGGGATCTTTGATGCAGTATCTCTGATTGAATGTAACTCAGGCGGAGACAGTCCAAGTTATATGGCTATGTTGAGAGAGCAGATCTTTATCAAGCTTCTTCAAGTTGAGCATGCGGGGAGGAGCTTGAACGATTAGCAGACCAAAGAAGTAGGTAATGGCTGTCCAAACCGTGCACCAGCGTAATGTTGATACGGTCGAGAGCCTCGACAACGGATCCTCTGAGCAGAAACGGAATCGTATGTCTGAAAACTCCACAATGGTTGCAGAGAACAAGACCGTACTTGATGCAGGGATCGCAATTGGGGAATCAGTCAGGCATGTTGGATCATCGACTTGACATCATGGGCAGCCCACCACGAACGCCAGGCGTGTGTGCGCTGTGCAGAGCGCGCCCGCCTCCATGGAATCAAAGTCTTACACTTGACGTCTCTAAGCGGGAACACTGCTCATGTATCATTGAGATTTATAGGTGGTCCATACACATAAAACTGTGATTTTACACAGACCGCAGGCGCCCGCAGGCGGGGCGGTTCTGAAGATCGCAGGATAGAAGCACGGTTTTTGGTGAACAAATGCTGTCCCAGTGACTCAACGGCAATTCTCTTGTAATCATGTTTAGACAATTGTAACCTGAACCGTTCTAAGGTTACCATCAAAACATCGCCTGCATTCCATCACCAACGTGGGCAGCGGGTAATGTCAGCACCAAGCCCAGGGGGATTGTTGCAGACGCGCTGCTGGCAAGCGGGGTCTTTCACGCTGTTGCTGTTGCTGCTCCAAACCTATCGAATCTTCGAAGGCTGGCCTCCACAACAAGCGCAGGGACATATTTGATCGTGCCATTGCCAGCTAGAGGACAGCAGAACATCGGCGCCATGTCGTCAGGATCAGCTTCGGCGCCTGCGAATTCGAGCGAGAGGCCGCAATCGCAGCAGCAACAGCAGAGAGCGCTCAGTGGCGCGGACGAGATGTCAGCAGCGCCAGCGACGGGCGTGTCCCGCGTGCAACAACTCACTTTCAATGCTCAGCGCCAACAGGCCTATCAGGAGCTTTCTTTCAACGACGGTGCGACGCCGTCTATCGGAATCCACACAGCACGAACGCAGGAAACCTCGCCTGCTGCGGGTGTCCTCCTGCCTTCCAGTCAAAACTCCGCCACGAATCCACTGCCTGGCTTGCTCCAGCTGGGTGGGTCCTCCCGATCTGTGGTGCCTTCTTCTTACATCGCGCCTACGACGGTGCCGACAATGTCTGCGCAAGGACTACCTGGTAATGCTTCACCATACACACTATCTCAACCGCCATCGAGGACACAAACACTACACAGTCATTCGCGTAGCAGCCCCGCCGGAATGGACAGCTCACAAAAGTACATTCCCTTCAACCAAACTCCGAATCAGACGCCAGTCACATCTAACCCAAAAGCATTCAATCTTTCCAATGCACATTCACCAGCAGCTGGCCCGGCGCAGAGCCCCTTGAATCTGACGGATATCCGATCGAGGGCAATATCGGACGCGAATGATGGCGTGCAAGGCAGCGCGTTCTTCAGCTACTCGGATACGGCCACAAACTCGAACTATCTAGCCCCCTTCCCGACATATGCTTTCGATTGGTGTAAATGGCCTGTCATGGGCGGCAATAGCGCTGGCAGAATGGCGATCGGGAGCTATTTGGAGGATCCGCATAACTTCATACAGATTTTGGATACACACATCAAGCCACAGGACCAGGGTCAGGCCGGGTATGGTCTGGAATATACAAAGTTTGCCGAAGCAACTTGTGCCTATCCAGTCACTCGGATACTATGGGAGCCACCGAGCTCGCAAAAGTCGGGAACAGATCTATTGGCAACGAGCGGAGACCATCTCAGGCTGTGGAGTCTGCCTTCGCCAGCTACACCTCAGCACGCCAGCAATAACATCAACCGCAGCGCGCATGCAAACACAAGGGATGCGGCGCCTCTGAAGCTTGCGCCATTGGCTCTTTTATCTAACAGTAAGACCCCCGAACATACTGCGCCTTTAACTTCTCTGGACTGGAACACCCTATCACCCAAATTAATAATCACATCTTCTATTGATACGACCTGTACTATATGGGACATCCCAACATTGACAGCTAAGACTCAACTTATTGCGCACGACAAGGAGGTTTTCGATGTCCGTTTCTGTGCAGGCTCTGTGGACGTGTTTGTCTCCTGTGGAGCCGATGGAAGTGTGCGAATGTTCGACCTACGGAGCTTGGAACATTCTACCATCATTTACGAGCCAGCTGATAAATCCGACAAATGTGAGTAATTGGATGCCGGCATGCACGTTAGATGGGAAACTAATCCCAGCAGCTTCATCTCCCGGTTCATCGTCACCCACCAAAAGCGGCGGACACACCCTGAGCGCAGCACCACCTCTGCTTCGCCTGGCAGCCTCGCCGCACGACTCGCATCTTCTCGCCACATTCGCTTCTGACAGCAATCTCATCCGAATTCTCGACGTTCGACAACCCGGCACTGCGATGCTTGAACTTCACGGTCATCAAGGAAACCTCAATAGCATCGAGTGGAACCCCAATCGACGAGGCATGCTTGCGTCTGGCGGTGACGATAGCCTGGTACTGGTGTGGGATCTTCTCAACTCACAAAACCAAGCCGCTGTGCCCTCAGCGAATGGTGGCCCGGGTCCAGTCCCTGGCGCGGCTACGCCTGGCGAAGTGCAGAAGAAAGGTCCATTCGTGTCGTGGAAGTGCGAGTACGAAGTCGCAAATCTCTCATGGGCGCCGCAGAGTCCACTCAGCACGCAAGGTGGGGACTGGCTTGGTGTTTGTGCAGGCCGGGGTGTTTGGGGTGTTCGGTTGTAGAAGAAATTTGACGTTCATCCTTACGAGTAGGGCTGACGATGGGAATATTTTGGTTACATGTATCACGAGATGCACTGCGTCCATCGCAGATGTTGATGAACATCGCATTTTGGAGGGGCAAAGCGAGGCGTTTGGCTGGCTGATACTTCGTGGTTGATTACACCGCAGCTTTTGTGGCTCGACGTTGGCCGCGTAAGCACCGTTTTTCCGAACCTTGGGACGAGCGGAAAAATATTGTGATTTTTATTTGTTGATTGTATGCGTCCTTCGCGTGCATATCTGACAGGTGTTCAAAATTAAGCACCTCAGTGTTCGCTGTGGCAACGTCGGACGACCACCTCGACAATGGCGACCAACGTTCGATTGATTATCGACGTAGCGGTCGGCAATCCTGCGAAATACAAAACCAAGTTGAGGTAGCGATAAGTTTTCTCCCTTGGCCTTGACCATTCCCACGCGTGCCAAGTCAAATTGCAAGTTGCGACTACCAAGCGACTCCAAAAAGTCAAGATGTATGGTCTCCTCGCCTTCGCGCTGTGTGTCCTAGGGAGCGCAGCCACTGACTTTACGTCTTCGGCTACTCCTCCGAGCATCGTCTCACTATGGGTGAGAAGAAGTTCTCGCCTTCGCGGAGCAGTGATTTGTGCTAATACCCAGAGTCAAGATACCATATCAGACGGTGACTGGCACGCCTCTAGCGACGATCGCATCTGTTGTACGTCTCCCAGCATGAACAAAAACTCGAAAATTGTATCATCATGAAGCTCATTCATGACCTCAGAATCCTACAGCCAACGAGACCGTATATGTCATCAGCTGTCCTACGGCGGAGCCAAAATGTGCCATTTCACCTAGCCTGTGCGTCACCCGCTCGACATCGCGCAGCCGAATATGACTTGTGACTGACTGAACACAGGAGACTGACCGATGGTGTCTTGACGGAGGGCAGCGCATACGTTGAATACACCACTGCGAATGCCAACGGGGAGGCTGTTGTGGGTTGCCGCATTACTGACGCCACCGCGGCTGTCTGCACCGAGCACGTGAGCGGACGTGATGAGATTATGGAGAAGGTGACAACCGTACCACCATCGAACATCGTGTACCAGGCCGTGCAAGTTGTGACCGCAAGGTATGTCAATGCTGCAATTTTGCCATACTAACCGAATTTTTCACTGACCTAGATTTGCAGTGGGGCGATGGAGACTTTGGTCGCTCTCAACGGCACCAATGGAACCATCTACTCCATGCCGAGCCCGGTCGCGAGTCTCAACAATGCAGGCGGACTGACGTGTCAATGGGTAGCAACTGCAGCAATTGGAGCTGGATTGATGATTGTGGCAGCGCTGTGAAATGCGAACCAATCTGAGTCGAGCGAGGAGACTGGTGGTTGTGACCATACGGCAGTTGATCGATTGAACAAGTTTCGTGTATTACTTTAGCATGGCCCTGCTGAGCACGCTTAATATGTCGGCTCCGAAACCCATTTCATGATCCTGGACTGCAACGTCGTGATAGCCCCTTCTTCTCGCCAAAAGTGACCTGCATCGTCAAGAGCAAACCATTGCAGTCGGCCGTCAGATCGTCGCGCCAACCTCTCAGTCCATTGCCGTAACCTTTTGGCAGATGTAAAGTTGTCACTAGTTCCAAAGGTAACCAATGTTGAAGTGAGAAGTGACATAAATCCTGTACCCTTGGCCTCGCTGGCGGCACTATCGTGCATGCCTAATAGCGCCAAAAGCGAGGGAGCTCCGACAGGCGGCAGAATGGTGCTGAATGGCACTAGGACGGGCGAGACTAACAAGTAGCGAACCTCAATTTCGAAGGTGATATGTTTATTGAACTTGACCGGAGCCGATGTCTCTGTAGCAGTAGATCTCATTCGAGAAGGGTTGCTGTGTCTTCGGATCGTGTGCTTGAGTATTTTAGGGATGCTACGAACATGATGTTCTCGTTTGCGGGACGGCGACCCCGTGTCTTCGCCACCCACAGTAAGAGGGCTTGCACGGTATGTCGATGACCGATCTTTATGCTGCGATTCATCCTGGTCTTTGTCTCGCGACTCGGCAGTAAGGCGCTCTGCTGAGCGAGTACCGAGGGTGAGTGCTCTGTCAAGAATCACCGAAGCAGAATCGCTCCGCTCTTTCGAGTCGAAACGCTCGACAATCTCAGAGACAGATGGCAATTTAGCAACTATCAAGGACCCAAACGAATATCCTCCCAATACAAGTTGATGAGCTGCAGAATGGCCCTGTTCGGCACCAACCACCACCGGTCTGTCGGGAACCACAGATGATTGACTGAAGCATTCGCTCAGGTGGTCCAAGTAGAAGCACATAAACCCAACAATAGAGGCATAGTCGTCTGCTTCAGGCCGTCCAGTCCAACTTGTTTTGCCCGCAGATGCGCCAGCGCCTCTAGATGGAACTGGGTCAGCATGGATCTGGAGTAAATCTCAGAGTCCCTACCTGAAGTTGAATGTTGCGACGATAAAACCTTGTTGGAGCAGACATTTAGTGACAGCGAGTACTACGAAGTCATCATAAGAGCCACCCAATGGACCATATGGATGTGCGAAAATGGCGCCCTTGATCGTTGAGGCAATCCGGTACGATGGATGCTTGGGGATGTAGACTCGGCAATCAATGGGAATGGCATCGAACAAGGATGGTATAGTGAAGGCATAATCCGGAGGAACCATTGCGGTGGATGATGGTCAATCCTTTGTCAATTCGATGTCCATCTCATGCCTAATGCGACGCTCTGTGCAGCCGGGACTTCACATTGAGGGATGATTCAGAGAAACGCGTCAAGGCATGGCCGTGTCCAGGCCAAGTCAGGCGAGGGACCTCAAGTGGGATCGTTCGAGTTTGACTGATTTGCGAATGATGTTCAATGCCTATCGTTTCGATATTGGGGTCGAGAGTTCTGCTCGAGACGCAACAGCATCCTTCTTTCATCGAAGACTTTCGTCGAGACCGCACCCCGACATCGAGACTTAGGGTTGTGTCAGGAGCAGTCGCGGAGCAAATGGCGACGTCACGTGGGCGGCGGGGTCCGCCGTTCACACGGCGCACGGAAACGAATTTCGTTGAAATTCGCACGCCAAGACTCTACTGGAAGACGAATTTCATTGTGAGATTCGTAGCTACACAATTGGAATCTCTCTGCGCAGCCTCACAAGAAGTCACACACCTGCCACATTTAAAAGGTAAGAAATTCCGCTTCTTATCAAGTCCTTTGTGTCTGTCGGCGGTCGTCCGGAAATCCTGTTAAAAGTACGACTCGAAGTGGAGATTGCGGCCGAAATCATGAAGAGATGCATAAGAGGTGTGGATCTGCGAATTGGTTATCTGTTCGGAATGGGGCGCACATGATACCTATGATGGGTCGAGCAGGGGAATACGACAATATCATCGACGGAAAAAATCATAGGCCGACGGAGGACAGCTCGCGGACACACGGCGGCTTGAATCACTGCTCAATATCCGCTGGTGATCTATTTGACACCGAGTTACGTTCAAAATAGACCATTGAACTGACATCCGAGCCTCATAGAAAGAGCAGCCCAGCATGGCCACTCCCGCAGCCCCAGCTCCCGCTCTCAGCAGCGTCAACATCTCTAAGCGCAGAAAGTTCGTCGCCGACGGAGTCTTCTACGCCGAGCTCAACGAGTTCTTCCAGCGCGAGCTTGCCGAGGAAGGTTACTCCGGCGTCGAGGTCCGAGTTACTCCCACCGTCACCGACATCATCATCCGTGCAACCCACACTCAGGAGGTTCTCGGTGAGCAGGGTCGCCGTATCCGCGAGGTATGTATCTGTAAAGTCAAACGATGCACGCACCTGTATTGACGCGATGTCACAGCTCACCAGCCTGATCACCCACCGTTTCCGCTTTCCCCCGGACTCTGTCTCCCTCTACGCTGCTAAGGTCCAGTCTCGTGGTCTCTCCGCTGTCGCTCAGTGTGAATCCCTTCGTTACAAGCTCCTGAACGGTCTTGCTGTTCGACGTGCCTGCTATGGTGTCCTCCGGTACGATGTTAGTGTGCTCGACTGAAATGGGATCACGCTGATTTAGACCCACAGATTCATCATGGAGTCTGGCGCCAAAGGCTGCGAAGTTGTCGTCTCCGGCAAGCTTCGTGCTGCGCGCGCCAAGAGCATGAAGTTCACCGACGGTTTCATGATCCACTCTGGTCAGCCCGCAAACGACTTCATTGACCACGCTACTCGCCACGTCTTGCTGCGACAAGGTGTTCTCGGTATCAAGGTCAAGATCATGCGCGCATCATCCTCGCCCAACGACCCGTCAGGCGAGAAGGCCGGTGGCAAGGGTCTTCCCGACTCTGTTACCATCATTGAGCCTAAGGAGGAGCAACCGATTCTGGCTCCTAGCTCCCAGGACTACGGTGCTAAGGCTGCCCAAGCTCAGGCGTTTGCGCAACAGCAACAGGCACAGGAGGAAGGCGCTCCAGCTGAGCAGGCGCCGGCTGGTGAGGAATACTAGATGCCTGCCTTTGTGTTGTTCTGCGGGTCATGGTCATGGCAATAAGGAGTTGGGCATAAGGAGTAATGATGTTCCTTTTTTTCTACCATTTTCCTCATCCAGGAAGCATGAATAAATCATACGAATGTGATGAAATTGCCAAAGCGTCATGATTCATCTGAAGTCCGCGTATTTTGGTTCAGGGGTGTATTGAAAGTGTTGCTTCCGGTGTAGTCACCAGCTTCGCACACATGGGCGGTCGGGCTATGAAAGTCGCGTCTCCGCGTCCGCCACTTTGATTGTACAAATTCATGGCAGGTCCACGCGACATCGCTTGATAAACAACAAACTTATACGCGCAACATTGACTTTATTCCCTACCGTCGCGACCATTCGTGTACATATTCGTGTGCAAATTGACACACGATATTCCTTCACCAAAGGGTTTCGCACGAATTACGGCGACATTTCGGAGGGCTCTGCCTGCTATAACATTCCACAAGCACAATATGCTTAGCAGTAGTTTCGCATTGCAACGACCGATCACAATGGCCATGGATAATCAGTGCAGCGCGACGGAGTCTTCAGGCCGCCGTGTCCTTGGCGATATGTCACCCAACGTCCGAAAAGTCGCGTCTACGGGCATTTTCAGCACAAATTCTGATAATAAGCCTATGGCGAGTAGTCCTCTGAAGCGGAGTTTCACAGCATCCATGGAAGGCACATCAGGCTTCAAGTACATCAAGAGGCGGAAGGGATCCATGGAGAACCATGTGGAGCGATCGAGAGAACGATCGAGCTGTGGCTCAAAGCCGGTACACGAGATGTTTCCTCCACCCCAAGTGAGTAGTGGCTCGATCAGCACTCGAAGTCACCGACACAGCACGCTGATTGCGTTTCCTCTAGGAGTTGGCTACGATCCAGATGTCACCCACAGAGGTCAACACACCTAGCTGCACAGAGGACGAAACGAACGAGCTAGAGGCCAAACGCCACCCTCCACCCCTGCAGTCTTTCTCGTCACTCATAAATTTCGATGGTCCATCATCACAGGGAACGATATCGTCAGAACAAGACGTGCCTTACTCGTTATTCTCAAGTCCATCGATGGCAGAAGTACTCAGACTACGCCTACAAGTTGCGATGTATAAGATTCGCACGAATCAGGTTGACATTCCCTTCGATGAACTTTGTGTAGAAGAAGACACAGAGGGCTCACGAGGGATGACGCGAAGTTTAACGCCCGAGTGGGAAGAGAGTGTGGAGGGCATGGTTGCGCGACGGAAACAGGAAGCGCAAAAGCTGTCTTTACTGGCGGATCCCCAAACTTCGATCCCAAAACTCACACCAGCACCTTTGCTGTTGCCCACAGTATTCAGCAGCCGCATGGTGTACGTCGACAAAAGTCTGCCGTCACTCTCCCTATCACACCACAGCTCCTCCGACCAGGCCGCTGGCGCGCCAGACACTTCGTGTATAAGTTCGGTCAATTAATAATGGACGAGACATAGTTTTGATATACATAGCAGACACAGAATTCCCAGTGCGTTCGGCCTTGTTAGCCTCGCGTCAGGTTGCAAGATGTTCATGTTTGAGCATCGATATATATGTACCTAGGCATGTTTCGACGTCAGAATTATGTCCCGCGAAGTCCACATGCGACAAAGCGCCACAGTCCGACTGTCACGTGCCGTCGCGGTCTGACGGAATCGTGGAATGCTCCAGATTCTGTTTTAGGGCAAAGCTCATGTGCCTTCATGACCACTCCAGGGATCTCTTCAAAACTTCTGCTGATCACCACCATCATCATCACCACTCCCTGGAAACCGTCTGTACCATTAGTGTCTTTGCTTTCATCTCCTTTGTTGTAACAACATCACAGCACGATGGTCAAATTCTTCAGTTGCGACTATTCATACGATTACGGCTTCAGCGCTGTCTCCTTAGCTTACTTCCTACGATATCCCAATCCATACAGCCGACATGTAGTATCTACGGATACCATCAGTCGATCATATGACCCCGAGACACAGCGCTTGACTACAGTCAGGCTACATGTGAAGCGTAGCCGAATTCCACCGGCAGTCCTCAAGTTCCTTCCCAGTGGTTCCGCGAACGAGGATGGCAGCACAAACAGCTTCATTCTCGAGACGAGTGTCATCGATGTGAAGCAGGGGTGGTTAGAGACGGAAAGTAAGAATCTTGACTGGAACAACATTCTTTCTGTCATCGAACGCCACTCCTATCGCCGACCGATGGACTTTAACTCATCTGCGCCACACGAGTCTCGCACTGACGTCTCTGTCAGCGTCACCTTGAAGAGCAGGATCGGCGAACAAATTCGGAAACAACGACAAAGATGGGGTCAACAATCGACAGCTGCAGCGCTAAATGATGAAGATGGGCCAGTGAAGCAAAGCTGGCTGGGTAGCTGGACATCGGGTGCGGTGCGCTTGGCAATTGAGAATATCGGTCTCCAGAGAACTGAGAAGAGCCAGCCAAAAGCTCAGAAGGGCATGTCGGTCGTTCTGGCGCGACTGCGCAGCGGCGGTTGGCAAGCTGCTCTTGAAGGCATGCAAGCAGACCGTGAGCTGGCCTGATACATCAACGTTGCGCCGATTCGAAGAGGCGCCAAGACTTGCGACATTACACGACATGAACCGAGGAAATTAAGCATCGGCGATATCTCACCACGGCCATACGCATAGCGAACGTTTTCTTATTAAGATTCTGTGAAAAAAGTTCATACAAAGCATGCGACATATCTAAGTAAAAAGGTGCGAAATATGATGGACAAGGCCCGAAAGAAAAGATAGGCACGGCAACTTGCACGCTCTGGCTAGTTAGAGCTACGCTGCTTTTGCGCGACCATGCCTTTTAGGATGTCCGCTTCAGCCCTTGCTCGCGCAAGCTCCAGACGGAGTTCGTCGCGCTCCTTGGTCACCGCCAGCAAAGCGTCTTCGACAGTGGAAAGCTTGTCGAGCTTACGTTGTCGATATCGTCGTGCGGCCTCCGTGTTGCGCTGTCGTTTGTCCACTCGACCGCCCTCGACACGGTGACTGCCAGAGTGAGAATGGGAATCATCCGAGGCCGGCGAGACGGTCTCGAGCGGCCCACTTGCTGGGCCAGCAAGCGATGTTCTAGAAGAGGGCCTGGAGCCACGGCTGAAATCTGCGCCCAGCGTGTTTGGAGTGGACGATGTCTGAGTGGGGTGTGCCGTTTCAAGGCAAAAGTTTGTTGGCATAGAGTCCGTCAAGGAACTCCCCAAGAAGTCAAGCGATGCCGTTTGCATTCCCAACAGCCTGGACATATGCTCCGAAGGCTGGTTAGACCAGCCTGCAGAGCATGCATCCAGGCCATCATCTAGCATGGCTTGGAATTGAGCATCGGTCCCCTCGGGGCCTCCGAATCTTTGTTCTTGTGTTGTAGGCAAATCGAACTGATTCGTCGTGGCGTAGCGCGCGGCGAACATCGATTGGTCGGCGATGGTGGTAGAGTTATGCGAAAAGTCAAGAGTCCAGTCGATATTGTCGAGGTCAGAGTTGTTCATGCACAATGGTTCAGCAGACGGATGATGTCCGTAAACACATTGGCTCCCGTTTGAGTCGTTGGACTCGGAAGGCGTCGGCACACATAACAGCAACCATGGAGCAAGAGAAGAGTTGTCGGCAGCCTCAGACACGGTTGAGGTTGACGGTGGGTAGACAAGGTGGGCGAGCGATTGACGCTTCGCTCGCAGTTGCGATGTTCGGTGATTGGGTTGGTAAGACAAATTGGAGCTGTAGGAAAAGCTTGAGTTATATATCCCAAATGCAACACTGTTTACACATGCTTAATCTGGTTTGAATCCTGGGCTTGATCTTGTTCGGATGTGCTTGATCTCGTTCGGGTGGTGGGCTCGTCAGGGCTGATCGCACCAATGCTGCGGCAGCGCCAGCGGATAGAGAGGGATCGGCGGAGTGGGCACTGCCCCGTCATCCCCAATGCGGTACGTGAGTCGAAATGAGTCATTTAAAGTTTTTTTACACACAGCCCTGAAGCGCGTGGTTGAAAGCAAGGGTTGCCCTCACAGTAAAATGCCATTTTGCAACTTCTACGCCCTGTGATTACCTGGCTATTGATCCTTCCGCCAAGAATTCTCTCGTCAGGAGCATACGTAACTGGCAATCATAGTTTTATCTAGATCCACTTTGCGGTATGGCTTGAGTCCATATTGAGCAAGTTATCGTGTGCTCAGCCATCGACGACCCTAGGTACCTGGGCACACAGTATCTGTGTGCCGCGGGTGTCGCACGTGTTGCGGCCCTTAATGTCATTACCGGCTGCCGGGCGTCAGGGCCTCGACCGCGGACATAGCCCTCCGAACTCTTCGCAATGTAGCAAGGTGCAGCGCATTCGGCAGATTTTCGGAGCTTCGCTCCCAGTAGTTCATGATACGGCTGGTGACACTATTGAGAACCAAACTGTACGGTGCTGTATGTATCTACGAGTTTCACAATGCTCATGATGTTTGGTCTGGCATGCTCAAGCATCAAAAATATTGCGCACAGCTAGCTTGCTTCTCATGTCTGTCTTCCTGCCCGACAAAATCTACCTTAATCGATGGATGGGCATGATTTCACTAGCCCAACAAAGGAACCCATGCCGCACCTGCAGACTGTAGTTAGACGTCACCAGTGCCGCTTGACTCGCGATCATAAAATCCAGCGTCACGACCGGCATTCAAAACAAGGGCCGGTGTGCAACTTCGCTCGAAATCGATATTTCTTAGCACACGATAACTTGCGACTTACTCAATTTTGTCTCTGGTCATACGTCAAGTGGACCAAGCTGAAAGCTAAGTATGATTATCAGGATACCGCTGACGAGAAAACCCTTTCGCCAAGGATCAATGTTAATCAAAAATGGCGTATCAAAGGTGCGGAGGTCGGAACTAACTTCGGACGACGGGCCTTATTTCAATCAAGCGCTGTCACGGTGTCTGCGGCTGTGTAGATGCCCGGAGTCGCGGTGACGTCCGCGTCTTGGCCATTCATTCTTGTTCAGTATGCCTAGGCATGCATGCAATGGCACAATGGCTTTCACGTGGCTTTTTACCACACGGCGGTATAACATTTCAACCAGACCATCGGTATCGGGAGATCTGGTTCGAGGGGGAGGCCGCGTCACTGAGCGGATCCCTCGAGTCATCGGAAATTCTTCCACGATCGTGTCTCGGGTTTTGAGGCCGTCCTATGTTTTGACCACATCACGTGTGTACACAGCAGGCGGAGTATCTTGAAGGATTCCCTTCCTCTTTCTGAATCACATAGATCTACGTCAGAGCTTAAGAGAATCGTAGCTTTTGCGCGATTTGATGCAAACATAATACATACTACGTAAGGGTGATGCGTCATCGTACAAAATGCAACAGTATCATCAGACGAGAAGACATTCGTAATGCCCAGACTGTCGGCGTAAGCACGACGAGAATCTTGTGATCCGCAATAAGCGCCCTATCCCAAGTAATCAAATGGCCCACTAGCCACGGAAACACGAAACTCCTGTGCTTGCCGCATGTCATGATCGGGCTGACAGATCGATGATCAACCTCGCGACGGTGAAAAATTTATCAATAAACATCAAACGCATCAAACGACTTTCTTTGAGTAACGAAAAGTGCGATCAGCCACACCTCACGTACGAGCCTTAGGCTGTGAGAGTGTGTTAAGTCGGTCGCGACTGATCGTGTTCGGCTTGCTGCCACTGCTTTTACTGACGTTGGCTTGCGACTTCGCAGTGCTGTTCAAAGTGCTCTTCGATGTTGAGGTCAACGCCTTCTTCTTTGCCGCTTCAGCAGCAGGTGTGCCCTTCTTTGGTTTCACTCCCAATGTAGGACGGCGGGCTGTTGGCAGGGGCTTCTTCGCAGAAGCGGTGTTTGTTGATGTTGGCTGAGCACGCGCGGGAGACGGTGTAGGCGCGCTCGGCTTCATGCGCTTCGAAGGACGGTCCTCCTCGGTAGCACTGTCGCTTCGGCTCGCGGCCAGATTGTTCTCCTTGTCAGACGTGTTGTTCACGTCGTCGCTAGCTGCTGTCCCAGCTGGGAAATTGCTCTCAAAGTCGAGTTTGCGTTTCTTGCTGCCAGTCAAAGGTGGTGCGGGAAGACTGATGACCAACGGCATGCTGGAAGAGACGTGTCGAATGGTCGCAGCCCTTTGAGGACTGGCAGACGCTTGCCGCGATGGACCAAAAATGATAGCGTCGCCCGCCTGGAAAGTGAAGTCCCGTGGAGTCGCTGTCTGACGACGCTTCTGTGGCGATGGGCTCAAGCTAAGTGCAAGATCCGGGTATGGCATCTCTGGTCGACTAGGTGACGCCGGTGCATTGGAGATACGCGATGTAGATGGCGATGGAGCTGCATTCATCTCAGGCTCGGGCGTTTTGCTTGCATCCTTTTCGCGAGCCTTAGTCGACGATGTGAAGTCTACACGCTTTTGAGTCGCCAACGGTGTCGAAACAGTCCGTGACTTTGCTGAAGCAGACTTGCTTGCATTAAATCGTGGCGGAGTGGCGAGATGGGTACCCGCTGCGACCTTCGACGGATCGTCTGAGTAGAGACGTTGCGGGGAACGTAATATGGATTTTACGGGCGATTTGCGAAGGAGCTGCAGCCTGTCCATGAGATTGGCTCCATTGATAGTGTCGGCGGTCTTCGCAGTGGCGCTTTCGACGCTGTCGAGGGGCACATGCTTCGAGGGCGAGCGCAAAAGTAGTGGTACAGTGGAAGGATTCGACAAGCTCTCGTTTTCAATTGTCGCTGACGTCTTGACAAATGGTGCCTTGATAGCCGATTTGGAAAACAAAGATGCTGGGTTGTCCTCCGGAGCGCGAGCAGCGACCGGGCCAAAGATTGAGCCTGTTAAGGCTCTTGTAGGTGACTGAGACAGGAAGGGCTGCGCGGATGTCCGGGTGATGTCGTTCCTTTCCGCAGGCTTAATGCTTTTATCACCGAAGCCAAATTTGGTTGGCGATCGAGAAAACAAAGTGCTCGTCATACGCGAAGGACTACCGAAAACGACCTCTGACTTCCCGATTACTGGTGGCTTGGCCGGCGATCGGGCAAGGAGTGGAGCAGTTGCCTTGCTATCGACGGGATCCGCTGCTGGTGGTCTGCTCATGTGTGATTTGATCGGAGTCAGTCCGGGAAGTCTACTCTTTTGAGCACCAATGGCGTGCGCTCCCGTCGAGGCGAGGCGAGAAGTAGATGATGGCGGGAGCAATCTGTTCTGGCGAGCGCTTGCAGGAATTCTCCGCGGCGTGGAGTATATTGGCCCGGCGCGATCGCTGTCAGACTTTTTGTTCGACGATGCGTCATCCGTGGCTGTCACCTTCACCCGCTTGGCCGATGATGAGAACTCAGGCGTTGTCCTCTTGAAACCGCTGACACCTGAGGTCGGCACATGGGTGCTGATAGCGGATGTCGCCGGCTGTAACAGGACGCCCACGCTTGGGAGAGTAGGGTATTGCACAGGGCTGTCGAGCTCTGCGCGAGACTGCTTCCGCTTGAGCTCTTTCACAGCAGTTGAAGGATATGTGGTCTGCATGGACGAGATATGCTTATTGCGATTAGGGTCTGCACGAAAGGCCGATGCATGGCCAGCGATTGAATCCATCTTCTCAAAAGCCTGCGTGTGCGCTTGCCCAAATCGACCAGACAAGCTTCGAGGAACAGCCATTTTCCGTATTGACCCGTCGCTCAAATGCTTCATGTCCCCATTTGCAATCATTTGTTCTCGAACTCGTGCAGCTTCTTCGCGCTTCTCGTGCAACAGACTCTTCGCCAGCGGACTCAGCTCGAGCGAATTCGCGCGACGGAAGGAGAAGGGGTGGCAAGAGAGATTCGTGTTAGACTTGCTATCTTTTGGGCGTGTAGGTGTTTCCTGCAGTGCGAAGAGACCCTGACTCTGTCGAGGCGGCTCTGTCTGTGGCACCATGTTTGAGAAGCCGAGATGTCGGGCCTCATCGCGCGGCTTCGCTGTGGATTGATAGTGGCGTTGAGGATGCATTTCGGCATCGCTCGGTTTAATAGGCGTTTGCTTTACTGGTGTGACTGCACGTACATTGAAATCTGCCAAGGGCGACGTCGAGACGGGAAATGAGCCAGGCATTGCGATGTCCTCTTCATCCTCGGCGAGCGTGGTGAGTTTGGTCGGTGTTTGCTCCGTCAGTCGTGAGATAACATGATCAGAAGAAATATCTCTCGTCGGCGTTGTGCCATTCCTCTCACGAATGCGCGCAGAGCTGCGACGCACCATCTTGGCCGTGGTCAAAGATAGATCAAGAGTGACGTCCGACAGGTAAACAGAGATGCTGGTTCAAAACCGTCGGGAGACCGGTCGAAGTACCAAGTGACAACCGCAATGGAATATGCACAAGGCGGGATATGCACGATGCACGATGCGGAATAAGGAAATGTGGTGGTGAGACGGGCGCGTCAATTTTCGAGATCATGACGTTGGGCGGACGGAGCGGAGCATTCCATTATCTGTTGCACAGAAAAACAAACAAGTAAACAGCCTTGAATATCGGCGCTGTTGTCGAGGCTACCCAGTCTTCCGTATACATCCGGGGAGGGCTGTGATTTTAATCTGTACGGAGCGCGGCACGCGGGGCACAAGTAAACAGTCAAATTTCTCCGAAATCTGCCCATTTCACGGTATAGCTACTTTGAACATTAATAATACAGTATTTCCCTTACTTGAATAGATATAATTGAAGCTGTTGATTAGCTATGCGATCTCTGTAGATATAGACTTTATAGTACAGCCTGTTCGTGATTTGTCTGTTTCTTTCGTCAAGACTCTTTAAGTGAGTAGGAGGAGACTCGTAGGTACAGCAGCAAATAGAAAGGGACTTTTCGGCAATCTAATTAGAAACGATGTTGTTCAGCCTTACCTAAGTTGCTGGGTAAGCGGGTGTATGGCATCTAAGTGAAATCAGCGGAGATCGCCATCTGGTGATTTATTACAATGACCCATTTGGTTTGACCGAAGTCTGTCATTGCACCGTATTAAACGTACCAGAACTCCGTGCACGGGCGACATCCTGTTCAGCGAACATCAAGGTTGGATGTATACTCCAATCTTTTCGATATGCTCGTGCCATCACAACGACATTACCTATCGATGAAGCACGATTGCAACACACCACCTTGAATTCTAAATCTCCCGGTGTGGAATCATTTCCAATTTGGAGTGTGCGTTAACGAGATTTCGCATCATGTTGTACAGTTGTAGAAGCCCAGTACCAACGATGAACGTTCAAAGATTCTCCTGCTTTTGGCATACATATAATATACATTACAATGTTCGCGATGTTGTGTTGGTATTACATGTCAAAGATCCTACCGCCGCATCTGCAGCTACCCTGCCTGCTCTGTGCTCGCCGTGGAGCTAAACATCTCCTCCTCGACTCATCAGTCAAGTTTTCTTAGGCGATCCGAATTGCGATACATAGCCCACGAGCTTTCCCAATAGCGATCCTGGCGCCCCCGCTCTCATGAATGGCTGTAGCTGGCGTCCGTTGTCCAACAGGCTACCGCCGTGCAAATCTAGCTTGATCCTGCCCACGCCCTCCACAGTGACAAAGACCATCTGGTCTCTCATGAAGCAGCGTTTTGTGTTCCGAACAAAACCCGAGGCTACTCCCCTCAGAGATCTATAAAGTGAAGACGCCTCACCCGCGGGTGGTCGCCACGTGTCTTGGTTGAACTCGTTGGACTGCTCCAGTGGAATGCTCCGGTAGGAAAACTTCTGTCCTGGCACGGCCGGAGAAATCGTGACGTTCTCTAAAGACGTTTCGAGGACGTCTGGCTTCAGAAATGGCAATCGTCGTTTGATCGTGAATTCAAACAATAAAGGCGATTGCCCATTGGCAGCAGTCGCGGCCTGCTTGACAATTGACGCTCTTTTGACAAGATTCGATGGAGCCAGAACGAAAACTGTTCCGATCATCACAACGCAGAAGGCTTCAAACATCAGCGCGGCTCGCATCAGGTAGCTGAGTTTCGCTTCGCCTTCTTTTTCTTTCAGGACCATACTAGTCCACAATGAAATACCCAAAATAAATGAGCCACCAATCGAGTAAGCGAACAGGTAAAAGGCGCCGTGGTTTCCAGACCTGTACAAAACGACTCGTTCGCCCCCCTTCAAATCCCTGGTGACGCGCGAAAGCGCCTCTAAATCAGACCGACCAGCGGGTGTTGCGCCTGCGTGCTTTGCGAGCGTCGGTTTTGGAGGCAATGCAGATCTGAGTGGCGCTGGAGGAGGCGGTTTGGATCCCGAGCGTTGCTCAGCGAGTCTCGCAACAGAGGCAAAAGCTCGAGACTTCCATGTTGTAATGTTGTGCGTCCGCCGGCATGGTGTCAATGCCAGAATGTACTCTGGTCGCTTCCAAATCTTCGCAAACCTTGAGAGAAATGACCCGTTCAAAGCCATGACCTATGACTGCTTGACTCACGATTGAGCTACAACCAGATGATCGCAATGATTGCCAGCTATAACTTTTGTTGACATAGGGCTGGTAATGCTCGTAGGATCAATCTTCAGTACTACCTCAAATTGCAGGCGCGCAGCCTACATACCTAGGTAGTATCGGTCTCATTGCGGTCAGTTTCGGAGGTCTGGCTTGGCGAACCAGCGGAGGAAGCCCAACGGCGCCTGCAGGGCCAAGCGCGTTCTGACGGCTTCCCAACGGTTGTTTCTACGTTCCTGGGCTTTCGCGATAATCCGTTCTTGTTGGACGACATCTCGTGTTGGATATTACTCTGTATTCTGCAAGCATTGTCGCTCAATATTTCCTTGCTGTTTTCAAAAACACATAACATAGTTCGAAATGGCGAGTGCTGCAAGCACAGTGCGGCTTACTGCCCGTATCGCTGGACGACATGCCTCCAAGATTACGTCACGGAGAGGTGAGAGCAATGAACAGTGCAACCAATGGCAATATCTGATCGCAGACCTTCGTGATAGGCTTCAATACGACATCATATCGGGGTGCTGCTCAGAATTACACCATGCCAGCATTGTCTCCAACGATGACCGAAGGCAACATCGCTAGCTGGCGCGTCAAAGAGGGTGACACTTTCTCAGCTGGTGATGTGCTGCTGGAGATCGAGACGGACAAAGCAACTATGGATGTCGAGGCACAGGACGATGGCATGGTCATGAAGATCATATCGGGAGACGGCGCAAAAGGAATCAGTGTTGGAACCCGCATAGCTGTGATGGCCGAGCCGGGCGACGACTTGAGCAACTTGGAGATCCCAGCAGAGGAGAACAAGGCAAGCTCGAGACCATTGGATGCGAGCGAATCAGCCCCCAAAAAACCCACGGTCGAGTCATCGGGAAGTCCAGGAAGCAAGAATAGCGACGCAGCGGCACAAGCGAAGGCCGACTCTCCACAGAACAAGGGCACGTCAGCAGAGAAGCCAGAGACGCCACGCCTCCAGCATCAATTATCAGCTGCAGTTGAGGCCATTCTGCATCAGAACGGACTTTCCGCTTCGGACGCAAGCAACATCACTGGAACTGGACCCAAAGGCCGCATTCTGAAGGGCGATGTTCTCGCTCACCTCGGAAAGATTAATAAGGAGACCCCCGCGAAGCTGCAGGCGCACGTTTCCAAACTCGCACATCTTGACCTTTCAAATATACAACTGAATAAGTCGCCCGCGCGGGCACCAAAGGTCGAAGCTGGGAAGGTGAAATCTCAACCGGCCGAGCCAGTGCAGCCCGTCGACGTCGAAGTTGCTATTCCAATTAGTCTGTCAGCCGTCATTGCCACACAAAAACGTGTCAATGACACTCTCGGAATATTCCTCCCATTGTCAACATTCATTGCTCGTGCAACAGAACTCGCAAATGAAGGACTGCCCGTCAACAAATCCGCAAAACCCACCTCCGATGACCTTTTCAACGCTGTTCTCGGACTGGACAAAATCTCAACCTACACCCGTGGCCACTTTTACCCTCATGTCGCAGGGATCTCATTGCCTGCTAGCGTAGGGAGGCGGAAACAATCACAAAAGCCTGACATCATCGATCTATTAACATCGAAAAAGGCCAACTCGAGGCCCAAATCTGTCGCACAGGCACCTCTTGGAGTCTCACCAAGCGCGAACCTGTTTTCAGTGGTTGCTGCGAACGGCGAGGAAAAGCGGGCAGAGGAGTTCCTGGCACGGATAAAGCTTGTCCTTGAAAAGGAGCCTGGCCGCTTGGTTCTGTAAACACAGCGCATTGGTCTCTCACATTGTGGGGCGCATGTTCATGTTCGGATTTTGTGATAATTTGTATTGGAAGTTTCGCCAACCAAAGGAATGGCATTTAGCAAGAGCCCTGATTGAAAGGACGTTTCATGGCGCAAAGGGAGACTCCAAGTTAGTCAAAACATACAGCTTCTGTTGCACGACATAAATTACATTACGCTGATAGTCTATCTGTAGAATGTTTCGAAGGAGCTGTGGCCGACTCTGTCAAGTATACAGCAAAGTGGACTTCCGCACCTTGCCATCTACTTGTAGCGCAATTGACCTCGTGGTCCGCGAGGTGGCAAGCTTTGGTAGAAACTCACCCCAGTATTGAGCGCAGTTCAGGGATGAGCTTTGCTCTTGCAGAGTTTCACTCGATGTAGATCGCAGTGAGCGTCGCATCGGGTCGGGACGGATGTGCGATGCTACATGGAATTCTACGGCTAACTCATGAACCGCACAGAGGACAAGCTGTGATTGACGTTTAGCGTTTGTGGCGCCTGCTGGACCGCTAGACCATGTGGATACGAAGCTTGATGTTGTTGCACCACTGTTGCTTCCGTCATTCTTCGAATCATGTGGCGCCCACTGGTGGATTTGATGCTTGGATCGACGCATTGCTGGCCTGGCTGTTTCGGTTCGATGATCGGCCCGCATAGAGCAAGGCCAATATTTTGTGGTCGCGACCGCTGAGTTGAACGCCCGATTTGAGCTGAGTGTCAGCCGTACATGTTGCATCATGCAGGTCAAAAGTTGTGAACAATGATCCCTCATTAATGAAAGGTTTCACTTTGCAAGATCCTCATAGACAGAGTCATCAGGTCCCATGCCTTTCCACAATCCTGGCGCACTGCATAGATCGAGCGATGACTGAGGGACGACCATGTTTTCCAGCTCGTCACTCCTGGTGATGAGCTGCATCAAGAGGCCTGCTTCAGTGTGCCATGAGACGTGGCAGTGGAATGCCCATGCGCCAGGGTTGTCTGCCACGAGACGCAGGAGTATCCATCCGTAAGCCTCTACCGCAGCAGTGTCCCGACGAAGTGGGTTCGTGAGATCGAGGCTGTCGTAGAGCGGTTTGAGGTTTCCTAATGTGAAGCCAGCGTTGACGGAAGTCATCGGCGGCGCGCCGTGGCCTTGCGCGAGGATAAAGTATTTGTAGCCGTGGAGATGAAGCGGATGTTCGCCATCATCAAAATTATCAATGAAGAAGTCGATGGTTTGAACGCCACTCGATTGTACGACAAGCTCTTTGGATGGATCAAAGGCTGCAGAGTTGATCGAGACTTGCTCAGGATGTAATGCGGCTTTGAAGGACACATTTCCTACCTTAAGACCATCGATAGTGCGGAAAAGTGATGGTGAGCTAACATCGGGCTTATAGGTACTGCTGTTGAAAAAGCCACGACTGAGGCGGTAAGCTCCTATCTCAAAGTTGGACCGAAGATAGTAAAAGGCATCAGGATTTGATGGTGGCGATTCGGCTTTCACAGGTCTGAGCTCAGTGACGTTCATATCTCGACATTCCAAGGCTAGCTGCTCGGTCCAGTCGACGGAGGTCGGAGATTGTCCTGTGGATTTGTCGTCGTAATGGACCGTTGCAAGCACATCAGCGCCAACAGTTTTTGGCGCATCAGTAAAGCACTTGGTGATCATGCGAGCGCGCAACCAAAATGGTCCTCCTTGCGGAACAGTGGCATTGACTATGACACTGTATCGCTGTGATGGATTAATGTCGATGCGATGGTATGAAATCGGTTGAACATCGGTACCATCAACCTCGGTCACGGCCAACTCGTGCTCATCCACCTGGACCTGAAACTCCGCGAATGCTCCAACGTTGATCAATCGGAGCCGGTGATTTTGGTCGCGAGCAAGGTCGACCTGAGGGAGTCCAACGTTCGCAGTGGTATTATCGCACCTGCGAGCCGGAAAGTCATCGCAATTTCGAATAGTTCTCCCGTTGATGAGACCACTGATTGGCACAGGTTCCGCATTTTCCTCGTCAGGTTTCAAGTACTGCCATAGCAAAGACGATGATAGATCGTGGTAGTGATCTGAGATGAGTACCACCCGATCAGTGCTGTAGCGAATCTTTTGCGCCTGTCTTTCGTCTTTAGCGTGGATGATGAGGGGCCCATGAACGCCATCAGATGATTGTACGCCTTGGTGTGCATGCCACCAATAAGTTCCACTCTGTCCAGAAACGGTGAATTCGTACGTGAACGATGAACCCGCACTAATGGGACAGCCAGTGATTCCAGGAGTGCCGTCCATGTATGGTGTACCCTTCTGGTAGATTCCATGCCAATGGATACTGGTTGCATTGACTGCTTCGTTTTTGACGTGCACGACGATAGTGTCTCCCTCGTTAACCTCCACGAGAGGGCCAGGAAATTGGTTGTTGACTAACATCATAGGTCTGTAGATTCCATCTGGATTGTGAACTATATCGCGGATAATCCACGAATATTCTCGCTTCTGCGGTGCTGCGTCGTAATCCCAATTTGAGTCCAAGATATAGTCGTTGGTTTGGACGTCTTGCGAAGACTCAGCGATTCTCAGCGTGCGATTTGGTAACATGAGTGCCGCAGACACCACAGCGACCAGGAGTAGGCCAACGATTACTATCCATCGTGGAATGCGAGTGAGTCGGCCCAGGAGACTATTGCGCGCAGCGATCTCATGCTGCCTGGGCTGTGCTTCGTCGCGGTCCTCCTTCCAGCCACCTAGCAGGCCTTGCTCTTGTTCCGCCAGCGTGCTTGAGTCAAATTGCCTCTCCGGCTCTTCATCGTGGTTTCGGCGATCCATGAGTTCATTCATTGTGTGGGCAACACGCTCCAGAAGAGCCGAGCTTGCAATCTTTCCTTACGGCCAACAGCTTGTGCGATAACTCGAACAAGATCGACATGTGCGTATGCGGTTGTTCCACCTTATGACGCCACACCACGTGAATTGCTTCAAGGAACTTTGTCTCCCCCACGTTTGTAGTCTTGAGGATTATCTAGGTATGCATGGATATCTGCTACCTGCTTATGATATTTCAAGTCGCCAATTCGGTAAATGCATGCTCGCATCGTAGACATCCATCGCTAGGATAACCGATCGAGAGTGACATTTGGCTTCGGTCTGGTTGGCACAAGATGAACTTCGTGGGCCATCATCAAGCTCCACAAATCCAGGGCCATGTCCGAACCTTGGAAGGATTGCAAGGTTCCAGGTGCAGATCATGTGCAGATCCGCCAATCAAATTGCGTGTAGGCGGCACGTCGTACCCTTGTTCGCTAAATGTTATGTACTGCTGTGACCCTGCGCAAGACCGGACGCAAGCGAAGCCGATTTAGCCGTGAAGCAAGACTTCCGAAAAGCTTCTGGAAAAAGCTTACGATCGTTTCGAGATGGTTGACCGCGCCACTTGCATGGGAGCCATCCAATGGCAGGAAATGAATTCTCGTCATGTTGTCCATACCAATATGATGGTTCCTCCTAGTCTTTGTCCAGCTCGACACTGCGCGACGGAAAGTGGGTTTACCATTACTCATCCGCGTGGGAGACTCTTCAACGAGATCCATGTGTGTGCACGTGTATTGAGTCGGAAACCTTAAGAACTCATCGACCCAGCAGACAATAAATTCGGTCGCGACCTTGTCTGCTGGAGATCAGGTTGGACAAATCAGTCGCTGAAAGTCAACGAGAGCATTTGGAAAGGCCATACGACAATTCATACATCTTCAATCATGGTCGGTCGTGTTGCTACTACCGCTTTGGCACTCGCCTCGCTGGCGGCGGCTCTCCCTCAGGCTTCGGCTGCTGTCAACTCGGAATCTCCTCAGCCGAACGTCAACACCGCCACTGCCACTGCTTCAGTCTACGCTGCACAGAAGACTGCCGCGACCTACAAAGGTAGCCCAAACTACGTTGGAGGCCAGGTCTTTGACCGTTTCGTCAACATCTGGTTTGAGAACACCGACTACTCCAAGGCTGCTGCAGACCCGAACTTCCAATGGCTCGCCAGCCAGGGTATCAGCTTGACCAACTTTTATGGAGTGACCCACCCTTCGCAGCCGAACTACATCGCAGCTGTTGGTGGTGACAACTTCGGTATGGACAACGTATGTATAGACCACACGCCGATCGCTCTCTTGGTCTCATATGACTGACGACAATCACAGGATGCCTTCTCCCAAATCTCCGCAGATGTCTCGACTATCGTCGATCTCTTGGAGGACAAGAGCATCTCGTGGGCCACTTACCAGGAGGATATGCCTTACACAGGCTTCGAGGGAAACGCCTGGCGCAACCAGAAGACCCAAGCGAACGATTATGTCCGCAAGCACAATCCCCCGATCATCTACAACAAGAATACCAGCCCTCGTCGTCTTTCCTACCAGAAGAACCTCACTCAGTTCTACCAGGACCTCAACTCCCAGTCGCTGCCTCAATGGATGTTCATCACCCCGAACATGACCTCCGACGGCCACGACACTTCGGTGACCACTGCTGGACAGTGGCTCCGCGGTTTCCTCGGCCCGCTTCTCAGCAACAGCTACTTCACTAGCAACACCTTGATTCTGGTCACCTTTGACGAGAACCACAGCTACACCATCGGCAACCAGTTGTTCACCGTCTTGCTTGGCGATGTCGTGCCTGACTCGCTCGTTGGCACCACCGACAACAAGTTCTACGACCACTACTCTGAGCTCGCCACAGTCGAGGCCAACTGGAACCTCCACACTCTCGGTCGCTGGGATGTTGGTGCCAACGTTTTCGACCTGGTCGCGCAGGTCACTGGAGATGGGTACCAGGCCAACACGGCCGTCACTGGATCCTCTCCCAGCGTCTTCCTCAACTCCTCGTTTGCGGGTCCTTTCAACACCGGCTTCCAGTCTGCTGCGTACCCCATCCCCAACACCAACATTGTCTCGCCTGGCACCGGTCGCACTGTGCTCCCGAGCATTGTCAACCAGTACAGCGGCAGCCAGACCTCTAAGAACATGTACTACAAGGCCAGCGCGAGCATCCCTGATGGCCAGCATCCGCCGGCGGGATACGCCTACAACAACGTGAACAACTAGATGGGAGATTAGTCACTGCGTATTGGAATGAGCTCCCTCCAGATCTGTAAAGGTCTGGCATTGTTAGAACCAACCCAAAAAATTGCATAGTGAAACATGCCACATCTCTCTATTTCCAAAGGTAAATTAGCCTCGTGCATTTGCTGGTGACTGAAACAAACCTTGGAATGATGGTAATTTGTTGTCCTGTCGTCCTGTTAAGCGTCCAACAAAAGCCCCAACAACGCGTCCCAAATCATGACATATTCTCGAGGACATCCACTTTCACATCACACGACCCGCTTCCATCTTGACTAGTCTGCCGTAATAGCACGCTGCGGAAGAATGTCACTGCATCGGTGTCGAAGCAATGTCGCGGAGTGTGGGGTTTGATAGACGTGTGGAATGACCTGCCGGATTTGTCGCTTTGCCCCGAAGCCAAGGCAAAGGCTTCGAAAGAAGCTTGCGACAGGTCATGCACTAGACAGTTTCCGTCTGCACGAGCAGGACAAGTGACGACGATGGGAAACGCCTCTTCTATTCGTCAAGTTGTCGGGTGCGTAAGCGGAATCGTGGGGCTTATGATTGGTGGTTGATGCATCTACAGCACTGTTCTTGTTCGCCAACCCGTGGGATACACAGACCGGCGACACGGCGTGAACGTGAACGGAGAGTGCTCGCTGCTCCTCCCTGCTGGAATTCCGGGCTTCCGACCGGTGGTGGGGGCAAATTCCCTCCAATCGCTCGCTGCCCTGATACCTGCCAATTATTCTAGCGAGGATCTGGCGCGCATCTCCAAGGGCTGCTCCCCTCCACGCTCTCTCACGCTTGTCACGCTTGTCACCTTCTATGCAAATGCTTGTGCACATCCCTCATGGGTTGCAGTCCGCGAATACTCGAGTGTGCCTCTCTCCAGCCAACCAGGCGTACGTAATTCACTCCGTGGCCGGGCTTCTTGCCGCATCATCTATAGAACGCCTGTTGCCATGTCACACGCATGCTTTTTCGTCATCTCTCATTTCGAACCGCTCCACAATTATTGAACATCCTCATTCATATCCCATGGCGACGTCCCAGTCCCCTCAACACCAGCAACACGAATGTCCCGAGGACACCCATACAATGGCGGTCCCCTTTATACAGTCATTGTTTGATCGAGGACATGATTATCAGACTGTTTCTCAGATCGAACGGGGTTTGCCGCAAAGCCCAACGCGGTTGGATAAGCGTTATGACGACAAAATCGATCAATCTCAAGAATCGTGCCCCAGATCTCGGATCAATCCCAGAATCATCGCAGATGTCACTATTGGTCTCTCGGATGGCTTGACGGTCCCGTTCGCACTTACCGCGGGTCTCTCCGCTCTTGGTGATACCAACGTGGTCATCTATGGCGGCCTAGCAGAGTTGATCGCGGGCGGAATCTCCATGGGTCTCGGAGGTTATCTAGGTGCGAAGAGCGAACACGAAGCATACAATGCAGCTCTCGCGGAAACCAAGAGCATTGTAAGTGCCCGTGATGAGCAAGTCATCTCGCAGATGGTGCAGTCGACTTTCGAAAAGTATCACTTTCCACCAACCATCCTTGATTCGATGACTAGCAACCTCCTGGCTCAGCCAGAGGAGCTGGTCGAGTTCCTCATGCGATTCCACCACAACCTTGCCGACTCCGACTATACCTCATCACGAGCGTTGATCTGTGGCGCCACGATCTCCGGTGGCTATTTCGTCGGTGGTCTGATTCCTCTCCTGCCTTATTTATTCTTTGAACACATACAACAGGCTTTCATCACAAGCATCGTTGTAATGGCGCTGGCTCTTTTCATGTTCGGCTGGCTCAAGACTTCGCTAGTCGGCGAGACAAATCGTTGGATTTGCTTGAAGAATGCGATCCAGATGACCTTTCTGGGCGGGATCGCCGCCACAGCTGCCGTCGAATGTGTTAAGCTTCTTGGCGGATGAACACTTCAGCTGCAGATCGTTCATTTCATACTACTCGGTTTGCCAGTTCAGGTCGGTACTGTCTCGCCAACAGCTCTGATATCGGACACAACGGTGCCCAAGATCCAGCAATTCGTCAAGAAGAAAACCGCGCTCGCCAGCCATAATCCAGGCACGAAAGTAGAACGCCCCAGCATCTCGAGCTCATAACCCTGTTGAAGCCATAAAGCCTGGCCGAAGATCCACAAGGCCAACGCAATAAGGCCCCGACGAGAAGACTTGAGGAGGGACGACGAAGGGAGGTAGAATGGTAGAAATACCATGTACCACAAGAAGTACTGCATCGTGTTAGCGGAAGCACGTGCTCGACGAAACGTGCACGCACGAGAAAGAAATTACTCACCTGACTTGTGCACACTTTGTTGAAGGTGACAAAGGCGAATGTCTGCGCAAGCATTGCACTTGCTAGATCCTTCTTTGCGAGCAGCAAAGGTATTATGATAGTGGCCAAAAAAAGCTGCGGCACAAAGGCGATAGACTCGATGCGCAGACCGCTGGTCGCAAGAGACGAGCTTTCGGCGGAGCCGAGATGGAGGATCGTGTTGTAGATCGAGAAGTTATGTCGATGGTCGATACGAGTCAGATGATATGTGTAGCTGTGTTCAATGAATGGCGCACCATATCTGCAATCGTTAGCTCATACTTCGGATCCACCCTGTCGATTGGTAGCTTACTCGTTGTACATGACCATGTTCAATCCCATGAAAGTCACAAAACTCGAGATCGCCAAGATGATGCGATCCCGGTTGAGTGAATGCCTAACAGTCGACCAAACCGACCTTCGCGCGTCTGCGTCACCGCGCGGTCCGAGCCAGATGAACATACTCGCCGCATAAATGAACGGATAAATCTTGAAATGCACCGCAAATCCCAGCAGACATCCCGCCGCGAGCGTATATCTCGCCAAAATAGCCCACAGCAACGCAAGCACAATAACCGCCAGGAGGCCCTCCGAGCTACCCCTCGTGCTGATATTCGCAACCATGGGATTCAACAGCCAAATGCTCGCAAACTGCAGCGCTCGCGCCGGCGGCATGCCGGTCGTCCGCAAAATCCGCAGAATTAAGAATCCCGCGACGACATCGCCCACTGCGAACAGCGCTTTGCCAAACTCAAACCACCATCCGCCCCAGCTAGTCGGGAGCAGAATCCATGCCAGCAGCGGCGTATAGCGGTATGTCGCGCGGTCATAGGGCGAGCGGTCCTGCGCGACGAAACGCGCGGCGTCAGTGAAGACGAGGTAGTCGATATCTGTGTATTTCAGGGGGCTGTTGGCGTCCTGCCAGCGGCCGTAGACGAGCAGCACCAAGCGGAAGATTATCGCGGCTGGGAAGATTATGGATGAGCGCCAGAATTTGCTTGCTGGGGGCGCTTCGGGCGGAGAATTTGGCTTGGCCATTTTGGCTGCCGGTCTTCTAATGGCTTGGATGATAGATAAGCACGTTTCTGATGATGTTTTATTTTCAATGCGTTAGTCAAGGTGAGGACAACGCCGACATGTCGTGAGGTCTGTGCGCTCTTGCACCGGCAGCAGCCGATCTGACGCTTCCAATGACAACCTGGAAACCTTCAGAACGTTGCATTTGGCAGCAAACTGTTCTTATACCGCAAGGACAATTTTCGGAACAGTTACCCAGAATCCTTGACATTCGCGGAGACCCTATGTGATAGGCGTAATCATGGAGCCAATCATGACAAAAAACCAGACCGAAATGGATACGATGGCGATTGGATCAAGCTACGTGTGGAAACATTGCAGGAGATCAGGAGAGCAGATGCCGACAGATAGTCCACTTCAAACATCTAATTCGTTCATCGTGGCTCGATTCTTCAAGTATAGGACATCCAATCTGATTGCACACCATGTGATCCAAAAAGAGACTAAACTAGATACAAGAAATTCTTCCAATCGCCGTTATATGTGTAGAAGGCGTGAGCCTAAGTAGGCCGTGAGGCCAAAATGCGTCTGATCCGTAATTCCTCTTGCCGTGACGACCGGGCTAAATCAAAAGGACCATGTGTCGCTCAACGAAACTCCCAACGGACGAGCATGTCGTGACAGTCATGAAAAATCTTTTACATATCTTGTGAGTAGCACTTGCGAAACGAGAGTACCCGTGAGGAAAAATGCAACAGATGGGAATCGAGACGCGTCTCGTAAAAATCAAAAATCGCTTGCTAAAAGTGCTTCAAGAAATCGAAACAGGAAATGACAATCAAATGCAGACTGATTGTGAGATAACGACTTCCATCGTTTGAAAAAGGTGAGTAGATGACTGGCACACGTTCGACTCCCATCCCAAAAAATTGATAGTAGGTCCAGCCCATGAGTAACGTGGAATCATGAAGAGTCGTGAGTATGATGCATATGATAGACATGAAGGTCGCGGTGAGTTCCAGTCGGCCGATGATGAATGCTTGATGATGATAGTTGGAGTGAGAAGGGATCGCGAGGACCACAGCTTATACGCTGACAGTCCGGCGGCGTGGCTCGGAAGGTTTTTGTGCATGGCAAATGAGCAAGCGGAAGCTTGTGCCGTTCCTTTCGCACTCTTGCAATAGCGAACGATCGCTCCAGATGGTGTGCTGAATGGTGTTGTCGACCTGTTCATAGCACGTGGAGTACCACCAACGACCGACCTTTGCCACCATCTTGGTGATGCTCTCATCGTTGGCTCCGTTGCCGGGCACGAATTGAAGAGTTGCAGAGTCGTCCAGCAGGTCAGCAAAGCTGAATTGTAGGTCTTCGCTTTCTTCGCCAGATTTCTGATAACGGCGCAACGGCCGAATGGCGTTAGTCAAGTCGTCAGAGCTGGCGCTGCTGAGATCCTGGCTGCGAGGAATTCGGCCGACGGCAGGCACGCCAACGATGCAGCGCTGAACGTCGTCGAAACCCCGACGGCCAATCAGGCGAATGAGAACGTCGCTAAGATTCTGAAGGCATAAGTTTTGGTCACGTCGCTGGATTCTTGTCTTGAGATCGCGGACAGCCTTGCGCATATTGTTGCCCATGTTGACGAGGTCTAGATCCAATACAGCGACTTCCAAGAAACCGCCAGGTCGGAGCACGCGTTTGCATTCAGAGACGAAGAACTTGTAAGCGTCCTCTGAAGCGGAGATTGGGAATCTGAACACCACAGCGTTGAAAAAGCCTTTGGGAAATGGAATAGGCGATGCAAGGCCAGAAAAAGGAATCTGGAAGTGGTTCCGCGGCGCCTTCTGTTCGGGATCCGGCCAGCTGCTCGTGGGTGAGCTTAGACTATCTGGACAAAGATTGTAGACGGAAGCCATCTTGTAAGTCAGGGCTACATAGTAAGACCAATCGCTTCCGAGGCCGTCCACGATGAGTACTCGCGGCTCATCTGCTAGTTGCAGCTCGTGATGAGCAGGGCTAAATAGCACGCGACCGAAGGACAGCCACTTGCTTGTCATCATGGCCCCATATCGAAGCGATTTACTCTTAGCGGGATCAATAGGCGTGACCTCTGCGATATCTGCAAGCTGAGTCGTCGACGCATGGATAGGTCCTGAGACACTCGATCGCGAGCTGCGCTTGAGGACCTCAGGTAGCGACGATGCTCGAGAATGCCCAGACAACTGACTATTGCGGGAAGATGTAAGACTTGCACGTCGGATGCTTGTTGTGCTTGAGCGTCGGGGTTCGGGAACGCCAGAGGTATTGGCGCTGACACGATTTTGCGGAGGGTAGATATTAGTTCCCGCGGCGCTGTAGCCACTGATGAATGCCGAGAGCGATTCAGAGATGAGTGGAGATAATGACGGCTGAAGGAACCGTGCAATCTGATGAGGCATGCTCATGATGTTTGGGACGGAATTTGCGCTAGGAGGTAGAGGCAAGTCAATTGATGGCGGTGCACCGCTGATAGGCGGCAAATAGTACGGCGCAGAGCTGGAGTCACCGAAACCGTTGTAAGGTTGAGCTGGTCGCTCGAAGGATGATGGCATGACGGGAGTGCCACGAGGTAGGATTTCATCCATGAGGTCATTGTACTCATTCCAGATATCGTCCTGTTGCTTGGATTGCGCATGAGCGGTGATGTACCAAGATTGGCTCCCAGAGCTCGTCGAATACGACTGATCCGACCCTTTGCGAGACGGAAATGCTAAGAATTCGTTTTGTGCGTGCAGGTCGACGCTCGTGCGCCCGGTGGACAGACTAGGCGCACTGGTGAACGTGCCACTCTTGCGACTCTCGATGGTGCTCTCGGACCGCCCACTCGTGCTGGATATGGGGTGAGAGACGCCTTCCACAGGGCTCGCCATCTCGCGAATCTGATTGTAGACTGAACCTGGAGGTTTCACGCTGGGTCGAGGCTGGCTCTGAGCGAACGGACGGGAGAATGAGTTGTCTGGCAGCTTGCGATCGCGATCGCGCTTGGAAACGACCCGAGGTATCCGGCCAACTGGCGATAATCTCGGTGGTCTGGGTGAACTCTCCGGAGCTAATTGTTCCGGAGTAGCGACTAACACCCCTGACTCAGGCGTATTCATGTTGGGTCGCATGTCGGGGGTCCGGACGGCAGACGTCCTCGCGTCGCGGCTTGACGACTTCTGTACAGGTCTAGCTATTCCTGAGGTACTGGCTGCCTTGCGTGTGTGAGTTCTTGGCGCATTGATGAGGACGGCGCCTTCGGTGGGCCGCTGGAGCTGCACCCTGATCGTTGGTGTGGTTGTTGACTTGACAGATCCATCACCTGAAGCCCTGCTCTTCTCAGAAACCGGCAAATAGCTGTGACGACGCGACGGCGGGAATGCGCTGCTGATCGAAGTTCTCTCCGAGCTGGATGCTCCAGGAGACATTTCTCCCTCTCGGACCATGCGCGCAACTTCTTCCAGTCCCACAGGCTCTACAGTCTCTGGCATACCGTAGTGAGCCACGGATGTCAAAGAAATAGCCTGTTCACTAAAACTCAGGGATGCTGGAGAAGTGGTGACTTTATTCTGATCTGAGCGACGAGGCGAAGATTGAGCTCTTTGGAAGAAGGGAAATTTGCGTGATGGCCTCTTCACCGGTTCCGGAGGTCCGGAGCGTAGCCAAAGGCCTTCCTCTCCATGACTGTAATTGTTCGATGCGTCAACTAGATTGGACGTCATTGATCCGATTAAAATCTCATCGTCGTAGCTGTCGACTGAGCCTGGTTTCATAGGAACACGTCTACTGCCGACGCTGAATTCACGACCCGGCGAGGAAGCGGTGCTTGTTTGAGACAGACGATAAGCAGCTCTTCGGGTCCCTGAAGGTCGGAAAATTGATCTTGAGTCATCATCGGAAATATCGGAAGACAACCTCCTGTCCAGTGTGGGTCGTTTGCTTAGTGACGTGCTCTTCGACTTTTGCATCGCGGATGGGAGCAGCTGCGGCTTTGCATAGCTGCTGCGGGGTGATACATTCGTCGACGCTTGTTCTGATCCTGGCTCCTGCGGAGTGAGGCTGATTACCGTTGAAGCCACGGAAGGAGCGATGCCACTTCCCCTCAAGACCACTGGATTCAGGCGTTCGCGCAAAAAGTCGTCCAGGTCTGTGCTATCCTTACTACTCATGCTGATATTCCTTCGCGCTTGAGCTGTGGGCATGTTGCTGACATTGCTATCAGTACTAGGCGATCGAACTCCGATGCTGCTAAGAGAACTACTGCTTCGACCTCGGATGCCGAATCTGCCGTAACCCTCATGGCCAGTCCCAGCCGCCGGGCCCTTAACAGTTGGTCTTTTCGGCTTCTCAAGCACCTTGGCTCCTTCAGATTTAGACTTGCGCGAGAAGAATCCAAAGCGCTGAGACTTGGTTGAACTTTTGCCAATAGAGACTGCCGGCGAATCTTTGCGTTCCAGATGCAGATTGTCGTTCGAGGCGTTGTCAGACGTAGAACCACGGTTGAATGGTTTGGTCACGGACTGCGGTGACATGGCAGAATCGATGCGTGGAGAGTCATTTCGTATAGATGATTTGGACGAAAGACCGAAACGGCTTCTCAGGCTCGAAGAACCGGCCGACTCGGGAGTGTCCTGTGACGGAGTTCGTTTGTGATATCCCGTGTAAAGTTTTGGCAGATCGCTTTGCACAACCGGAGCCGGTCCGCCGATATCAAGGATGCTCGAGGTACCATCTCTACTTGGCCTCGCAGGTGCAATGGTCTTGCCTTCTGACTTTGACGAAGTATCAATGTCGAGATGAGCGAGTTCAGGCGGGTTTTGCGCGTTCCGCTTGCCCGCCGATGCTGAAGGCGGTTCTTTGACAAGTCTGTTACGAGAACTCTGTTTACGCAAACCGCCAGTCTTCGTCGGTGAAACTGTTGTCGAGACCTTGCGTGGTGCACTCTGCTTGGTGGGCGGAGACTTTGACTTTGAGGTTGAGGGTCGGACTGTCTTATTCGATGATGATGTTGAAGATTCCCGCACAGGCGCCAGGCGCAATGTCTCGTCTTTTGATGCACTTCTAGCACTCAACGAAGGTCGGCGTTTTTGCGGACTCGGCATGAAGGTATTAACAGCTGAATGGCTAGTTGCAGCAATGCTGGATGATATTGAAGAGGCCGAGCTCGGTGTGGCGACGTGACTAAAAGGCGAGTCCGTGTAACGAGTTGAAGGTGTCATGGAAGGCGCATACATCGCAAGTGGTGGTGTGGCATTGAATATGACGCCAATCGGAATTTCTTCCTCGTATGGAGAAACCGTATCACGTGTACGCCCTCCTGCGACGTGCTCGCCAAAGAAAGTCCCAAACACTACGTCTTCGTTCGATTCGGCATAAATGTCAGCATGGCCACGCAGTAAAGTTCGATCGCCATCGTTGATCGACTGGCCTGCCCTTTTCTGCGCAGCATAGTGGTCAATTGCACTGGATGGCTTTCGTCGTAGAGCGCTTGAGCGTGGGCTGTCAAACGTCGAGACGGAGGACCCCGACACCAGCGATGGAGTACGGATTGTTGGAGGCGGTGAAAGTAGACTGAGGCGTTGTGGTGCTGATGTCGAGACGGCAGTAGTAGACCTGTCGTTTGATGATCCTGCTGAGCCATACTGGGCGGATATCGGCTCTCGTGGGCTACGCGAACTCTTCGTCTGGATCTCTACAGGCAACAAGCTGCGACTCGATCGCTTCGGAAGTCGCGATACATCTTGTGCTTTGCTTTCGCTCCTATTACTGGTTCCGATGCTGCTTGGCTTTGTTGGTATTCTGCTGGTTTGCCGCGACCGGAGTGCTTCTCCGTTCAAACCATTATGATGAGGCCGAGGCTGAGTCCTGGAGGACATGGCTTCTGCCAGACGTTGGCGCAACCAGTGCGCCGGACCGTCCAAATTTTTATTGAAAGACTCCCGATACGTGCATGAGATCGATTAAAAAGCGCATTCAAAAACTCCGGTATGCTGCAGCTGCCAGGCCGTTAGGTATAATCTCGCGAGTGTAGCTATGAGGTCGTCAGCGGCCAGCGCTTTGAAAGATTATTTTCGCAAGTGAACAGAACAATTGAGGAGGACACGCGACAGTGAGGAGGAAACTTTGGAGTATGCACCTTTTGTTCCGTGACGTTTTCCAGAAGTCTGTGGATATGCGCCGTTGCACAACGTGCAGCGGGCGAGCAGCGTGCATATGCCGGCGCGGGTCGCACAGCCCACAACGTCTGTCGGAGTTGCCGTGATTCGCACAGCAGCAAGATTCTGAGGCCGTGTCGACACTTCAGAAACGTGTATCGGCGTGATTGGAGAGTTTCTGGTGGCGACGCAGCATTATAGCAGCTGAAGGCGAATATTCTTGGCTGGCATATATCACCCTGCTGTCCTCGTGCTGATCTGTGGGATCCGTGTCCCAGTCTTGCGCACACCAAATAAGAACGATATTTCGTCTCCTCCAGTCGTCCACTCCGCGCGCACATTCATAATAAGTCGTAATTCTGAGTTCGCATTGACATCAAGTGAGCGCGTGAGATCAGCGTGAGAGAAAAAAACAAACGTGAAGAAAGAGAGAGGAGTATATCCATCACAAACCCGGTGGGACGGCTGTCAACATGCTCTCCAACGAGGTACCCAGCTCTGGTGTGCGAGTCGGCGATGGACGCGAGCACTGGCGAGCAAATGCTCTCAGAGTTGAGAAGCCAAGCAGAGAAAGCACGCACAGCACGTTTGTGCGCAGTGCATGCATCTGCATGAAGGGCCAGGATGGCGATAGGCAGCGGGATGGAACCGGCAGACCACTCACCGTCGTCTTTTGCTGCGACGGGGCGCTATTCGTTCGCAGGAATATGCAGACTCAGCACGGTCCACCCACGCCTCGCCCGAGTCGCCCGTGCAGACTAAATAGCGATACCGGCCCCGTCCGGTGGATGGCCCTCTTTTAGTATGCACACACCTTTCGTGCCTCTTGTGTATTCTACTGTGCAGGCAATATACCCGCGCGCTGTTCGCAACATATGCACTGTAACGGGTCGTACAGATACTTATCCACCATCAATGAAAAGAGGCTCACTCACGGCAAATAGAATGTCCATGGTGCATGGATGGGTGGCATTCGCCATCCGCACTATCACCGTCAGGCATCGTGTTGCGCGTCTCGACTCGGTCCAGCACAGGACCATACAAAGCACTTGATAGAGGAGGATCGACGCCCCTGCAAAAATCTTCACACACGCTTGTGGCTGCAAGCACATTTTGGTGTGGTGTACAAACATTTCCATCGTAGGACACAATACGACGACCGAAGTCAATAAATCCAATCCTGCGGTGTCCATGGCTTGCGGCTTGTACACCACCAGGACCTGTTGTGATCGCATTGTCCGTGTGCCACATGCGGACCCACCTCCCCCAACCGTGAACCTCCAGGGCTGTTCCCTGTCGTTGTACTGCAGGTGGTCACATCCCGCACGAGCGTTTGATGGGTTTCCCATGAAATCCGGCAAGGGCAGCGCCTGAACCTATCGCACATCATTGAGAAATAAGATGCTGAAAGCGTGCGAGGAAATATTTTGCTGGTCCGGTGCAATCTTGGTACAGTAACATCCCGATCAAACGATGAGCAAAGGACCCTGACACGTGCCGTCTCACCAGGAACCAATTAGGCCCGTCGAAAGCTTTGCCAACCTTGGAACGGTTTCGTGGCTCGCATGCGCAGCGTGGTTTTGAAACGTTTTGAACGGCCATTTAGCCAGCAGGCCGCAATTTTTTGGCCCTTCTAGCGTCCTTACGCAACATCCCGGCGGCGTCGAGAGAAGATGTCGTGAGCTCCAATCATTGCCAAATGCAACAAAAGGTGAGACGACGCCGTAGAGTGGCGTGCAATTAGGACGCGACTCGCGTCGTCAACAAAACATGACCGAAAGCATCGAGGTGCAGATGCAGGCACACAATGCGCAACTACGGCAACCACTTGTCACTTACGTCAGGACGGCTTATTACAGTCATGTACCTCTTGTGTATCCAGGTTTGAAAGCCGCATCTGTGCGTGAATACTATATGAAGTATTGTGTACATTCATCGAGGATGCCGCATTCTTGCGGGGGCAGAATATCCCCGAGCCGAGCCTTTCTGGCGCGGGCGCGATGGCTTTTTGTCCACCACACCAATATCGATCGTGATAGAGTGTGACATGTTGCAGGCCGGCCGCATGTACTCGCCGTCACGAGATCTCAAACTAGCAGCTTGAAATACAAGTCTCGGACCCTCTCAATATGCCTGCAATAACTCGGAAGGGTGTATGATGAGTGATTGGTGACGAAGGTCTACGGACTCTCTTGTAGATGGCAACCAACCGGGATGCTGATTGGAGTGTCGTCAGCGAGGACTGCGCAGCTTTGAAGTCCAATTGCTATGATTACAGTGTTCCTGTTGAGCATCTGCTGCAAGCCTGCAGAATTGATGCATGTAACCTGCGATCCAAAGGTTTGATCCGGATGATCGCATGGGTCAGCGATTGGCGGAATACGTTCGCAGGTGTGTTGCTCTGTATGGTACAGCTGTTGCACAAGAACATGGTCTTCGATTCGATACGTCTGTGCTGAAGGACTTGTGATGAGACTCGTCACAGCAATGCATCAAAGACTTCGAGCTATATTTCACACGAGACAGGGACCAAGCTTGCGACTGGATGATGATAGTCAATGCAATCGTGTATAATCAGCCTGCGGCATCCTGAAGGGAACAGAGCACAGAAAATGCTGTACTCTCGGTGTGTGCCGCTAAAGTCGTGGAGATGTGCCAAATGGCCCTTGCGTTCCCCAGATTCTCCAATGTCGGCGGCAACAGCACAACTGCAATTGGAGAAGGGATCGCGTCATCACAGCTCGCAGGTTCTCGACGCGACTGACGTGCATTGTACATTGCTGGAAACCCAGCTTGAGGCCCGACGGATGGAAACTTAATGATCTGCACAACATCACGGGGTTGAAAACGCACTTTTCGCAATGCTCAAGGTTTGCTAGCGCGCAAGATGCGGCGAGTGGTGAGCGTGAAATGCGCACGTTGAGCGCTCGTGCTGACGAGTTCACCAGTAGCGACGCACATTCATGAAGACATACATCACAGACTTGAAGATGTTCGTTGTGATAGAGGGCATGATCGAAATAAGCTCTACCGATCACGGACTCTGAAATGTGTCCGTGATTTGTTCCTCGCAAAGCTCGCTGCCAATATGTAAGAAGGCGGGCAGCTCTGCGATTACGCACAGTCCGTACACATCTCAGCGCTTTTGATGCCGTCCGAGCTCGATCCTTGCGTCACGCCCGGCGGTTTCGTGGTTTTTGAGGAGATGGAAGGTTTATCAACATGCCCAAGCGATCGAGCGGGATCAATGTGATCGCGAACTCTCTGTTTCAGTATCTTGACGTCTGGAAACCCTTCAGTCTTGCGGTCCCACAGAAGTACCTCCTTGGGGCTTAATGGTACTGTTGTATCATTGGACTCTGACACATCCGTAGGTACGTAGGTTAGATGAATCGTGAAGACCCCTCCCGTGGCTGGTATGAGGGCGATCTCGCCTATGCTTGTGTTGAAGGTGGAGAGCAACTCTTGGCCAAAATAGGCAGCTCGCAGCATCCAACGGCATTGCGTGCAGTACGCGATAGCGACACGCGGAAATCTAGCTGAGACTTGATGAGAAGATGGCTCCATGGTTTGTGTCAATCCGACAAATGATCGTTAGATGAAAAGTTGCTGATCTAGGTTCGTATCAACAAGGATGACATCCTCTAGAAGCTCAGTAAACACCGAGAAAATCAAACTCCGGCTGTGGCTGTGGTGACTAATCGGTGACTGTCGTTTTCAATGAGTAATCATTTCTCCCATACCGCTGTACGTTCAAGACGAAAATGACTGGCGACTACCATCAAACTTCAGCCGTGAATGGGGCAAAGAGACCTGGAAATACGGTATTTGATCTATCATTGCTATGGGAATACATCTTGTCTCCAGTAATCCGGGGCCGAAAAGCCCTCCTGCCTGTCATTATCTACTCAAACATCCATGAGACGCCTGCCCAGGTGTTCTTGCTAACCATCATGAACAAAATGAAATTTTCCAGTCACATGCTTTGCTCCCAGCCTCGTCCCTCTCAGGTATTTCACGATGCAACAGCTTCATCGCCGTCCGCTTCGTAGAAACCACTGTCCTGCACACGCTTCTTCTTCACTCGCATCTTTCTTCCCGCTGGCCTGAAAGCTTCAGAATGCGATTCGCTTGTGGTCGTTTTGGTCGTGATGCTGATCTCTCCCATATCGGCCATTGATTCGATCTCTCCCATGATCTGGGCGCTGTCATTCTCATGCTCCGCGCCTTCGTCATCGGCTACCTTCTTTGCGGCTGTCGTGGCATCCTGGAGATTGGCAAAGCGGACCTGTGAGCGACGGACATAATCAGCAAACTTCTCTTTGATTGCGGAGAAGTTCATTTGAAGTGTCGTGATTGTCTGTTCATTGGACTGTCCGCGTGATTGTAGAGCAGCGATATCTTCTTCACGCTCTTCGAGGAGCGCACGGTGACGACGATCGGCTTCTTTGGCCTCCTCAACGATGAGCAAAATACGTTCATCCCGGCCGAGGATGCCCAATTTCAGCTCCTCGATGGCTTGGTCCTTCTTGGACTGGATCAAGAGCGTCTCGCTCGCCTCGTTCTCAATCCGGCGTTCAAGCCCGGTCACCACGATTTGAAGTCGATCGATTTCACTCTTGTGTTGATTCACGTCACTGTTGAGATCAGCAATGCGAGCGCGGAAGTCCTCCGTCTCAGAGTTGTGCAAATTGGCAGTGTTGGCGGCTTCCCTCTCGAGCACAGCAATAGCGTTGTTGTGTGCGACGATAGTCTTTTGCAAAGCTTGCATGTTCTCCCCCAGCTGTTCCTTCAGCTGATCGCGCTCCCGGCCCAATCCATTCTTAGAGAGCAGAACTTCGTCGAGTTCCAAGCGAAGGCGAGCCTCGATCTCACGTTGCGCAACGAGGTCTCGCTGGAGCACATCGATCGCGTTGTTCCGTTCGATCAGGAGTGCGGCCGTTTCGGCCTCAACGGCTATTATGCGCTCTTCCAGATCTGTAATTGTCTGCGAGTGAATCTTGCTTTGCTCGATCAACTCATCACCGCGAGCGACCTCGGCTGCATAATCATCGCGCCATTTCCCTTCACGTTCCTCGATTTCCTTTTCAAGCGTCTCGACCTGGGTTTTAGAGGCCTGTTGGATTTCGAAAAGCTTCTGTCGGAGTTGATTGGCCTCGATGCCTTTGGCTTCGAGCTTGTCGTTGAGGGATTGAATCTCCTCACTACGAGTGTCGAGCTCAGCTTCCGCATCTTCACGCTGCTGACGTTCTGCAACATTCACACGGCGGAGCTCCGCAAGGTCAGCAGCATGCTGGTCGAGTTGCTCTTCAAGCTTTTGTACACGACCTTCAAGGTCGCTGACTTCCTCGGCTTTCTCTTGTAAGTTCTCTTCGGTGGCTTCAAGGGCATTGCGCTCTGCCTCGTACAGAGCAGTGACGCGCAGCAGCTCGGCCTTTTCGGTTTCAAGATCACGGTTGATGTCGTTGATGCGTGCAGATAGTTCCTCGATTTTCGCTTGTCGGCCATTTGACTCCTCCTCTGCAGAAATGATGAACAACTCGAGGCGGCTTTTCTCTGCTTGGTAGTCTTTCAAAGAGTCGTTCAGGCGTACGATATTCTTTGCATACTCGAGATTCTCATCGTAGAAACTTTTGCTTTCCTTGATTTTGAGTTGAAGCTTCGAGTCTAGGTCGTCCCGCTCCTCTTCCAGAAGTTGGAGCTGCTCCTGCATATCCTCGTTCTCCCGCTCTTTGTTTTCATTGGCTTGGTCCACGTCGACGAATCTCTTGTTGAGGTTGTGGACACGTTCTTCCAGGGTGTGAAGCTCAAACTCCAACTTCTCCTCGCGGGTTTTGGCCGAGGCGAGAAGGTCCAGCAAACCATTAATCTGCCGTCCAAGATCTTCGATGATAGAGGTACGATCTTGAATCACTTTGTCCTGCTGGCGAAGGCGATTGGCGAATTCCGTAACGTTGGCCATAAGAATTCGTACCAGATCCGCATTTGAATAGCTTTCCTGAACTTCTCCAGGTAGAGTCTCCTCGAGACTTTCTCGAATCTCTGCAAAAGTCTGTCGAATACTCATCAATGCCAACTGTGGATCCTCGAGATCATCAGCGGCAAGTCCGAGTCCGATCAGCTCCTGCTCCAACAATTTCTTCTCTTCTCGCGCCTTTTCGGCCTCAGTAGACAACGAGAGAATAGCATCCTGAAGCTTCCGACGCTCTGACTCGGGAAATGATTCAACTCGATTGGATGTGCTCCGAGAGAAAGACGAGGTCATGAGGGCACGCTCCTCTTGGCGTTGTTCAATCTGAAGACGTGGGTATGTAATTTCTTGGCTTGCCAAAACCGCGAGGCCGTCACCCCTGGCGGTCGCCTCAAGGTACTCATCGACGTCAATTGCTTCGTGGTGCTCAGGCATCAGTCTCGAAATTTGTTCGCGGATCAAAGCGGCGCCAGCATGATCTCCTGTATCTTGATTCAAGCGGTACTCGTCTGCCAGGCTCTCAAGTCGTGCAAGACGCTCCATCCTGGGCTGTAAAACCTCCTCGTACGGTGCATATTGGAGAGTCATCTCTTCCACATCGAAAGCACCATCTTCCTGGGAAAGTGAAGGGGGTAGTGACTGGCGGCTGGTCTTGACCTCAACATGCTTGGCGAAGCTCTTGACAGGGCCGATCGAAGTTGTGACTCGGCGTTTTAGTGAGAATGTTTTGCGTGGATGAGGGGTGATGTGTGAAGCGGTGGTTCTCGTGAATTCTGTTTCGGATTCGACCTCGTCAAAATGTACTCCTTTTGAACTGCTCTGCGTTGACTGAGCGTGGTCCATCTTCTGTGAGATGGCATGTACATCTCCATCTGAGGTGATGACGGGGTACGAATTCGCATTGTTGCCTTCGTCAACCTCAACCACAGGTTCCACTGCACTCTGTTTCTGCTTGCGACGCTTTGCTGGTGCAGAAGCTAGGAGTTCCTGTTGTACGGTGTGACTTTGTATCGATGCATTCGAGGCATCACTTTGCCGCCTTTTTGTTCCACGGGTTTGGCGGGTAGGTTGGTCAGCCGGAGGCTCGAATTCACGCTGTGTCCTGCTCTTCTTAGGAGCCATGACTGTCAAGCTGTGACTGTCAAGCTGCGGGATGGCCAGAAGCGACGCTGTTGCGGCAGAATCACCCAATGTTAAGCAATTGCGAGCAGCGACGTGAGTGAGAAATGATCTCGACGTGGAGAATCCCAAGAGTGCATACAGCAGCCAAGTTTGGCGGGTGTTCAGTTTGCTCTGAAAAAATGAGGTGCCAACACTAAAAGCTTCAACCATGCACTGAGGCAGCTCTAAAAGTTGAGAATTTGTGGCTGGGAATGACGTCGCAGCTGCCTAAGCTTTCTTCGGTCAGGAGCGAGTGCATAGACGCGTTGTGATGAGACGCGGTTTCGGAATCCTTCCAAGAATCCAAGTCTTTTTTGCTATTTGCAGGTGATGATTACGCCGCACATCTATCGTCGTATCATGGCATTGTGTGACGTTCGGGCGCCCGCATGGCATGTGCAATTCTTGCTATACAGTACATTGTTGTCCGCGGTCGTGTATGATGTCAATACCACAATAATGCGACAGCTTATTTCCCATGGTTACCTACCACGTAGTAGATACTATTACATGCCCACCTGGGCAGATGCACAAAGGGCTTCCGATCGTGCGCTCTCATCCACTCCCATTCTAAGTCAGCGGACGATAGACATCATACTGGAACATTCATTATGTTGCCCGCTCGGGGATGATCTTCCTCATTTCGCCTTCTCCGATGAAGTTTTGTTTGCAGGGTGCGGTTTGACAAGCAGTGCAAATTAGTTTTACTGTGTAGCAAGCTGTGCGACTGCGGTCCGCTTACTCCTCCGTTGGGCTGCAATCTCCTCTACATGCGCGGATGGCTGTAATGCATACATCATGATACGATACAAGCCTGGAGGCATACCTCTCTGGAGCTCACTATGCACCACCTCAAGTTTAGCCTGCTTGAAAAGATTCCGAAATTTTCGATCCGTCCGAGTGATGGTGTTGTCGGTGTCGTCGTAAGCATCTTCCTCCGCCTCGTGTCTCACAAGATTTTCCTTGACCACGATCCAACCTTTGGGGACGAGTGCAGCTTGTACCCGGATCAAATAGTCCACCACTTGCGCATCCGTCAATTGACAGAGGCACCATTGATTCCAAACAACATTGTAAATTCCTAAGTCGCCGATATTCCATTGCTCGAGGCCGACATTGAAGATTGCACCAACATATGTTTCTCCCTTTATTTGGTCTGTGAATGCTTTGACAGGCTCGACAATATCGATTGTGCTTGCTAATTTGCATAGAACCCCCCGGGTGACACGTCCGATACCTGCGCCACAGTCAACGAATCTTCGTTGCGGTCTTACTTCATCGCTGGAAATTGTCGGTGTTTGTCGCAGGAGCTTGGCCAGAAACAAGAAGGATCCGCGCAGGTCTGCATTGCTTATCTGCGGATGTCCACCGAGAACACTTGCATCTGTCGCAGGCAATCTTGACCAGTAGGAGATGGCAGCGGTGGCATCGATGCGTGTGTCTGGTACGGAATCAACTCCGAGATTTTGCGGCGCAGTCGATTTGTCGAATCCCACGTGCGTATTTCTTGGTTCTGCATCTCGTGCCTCTGCCTCATCACCATGTAGCTGTCCCGTGTTCATGACGTTTGAATATTTCGATAATCTATGTACCAACTGCCGAACAAGCAGACACCCCGGGTAAACTCATCCACTCCATGACCTGGGCACTCAAAGTCGAGGCTACCAGACCAATACAGTCCGCTGACGCTCTGTCACGTGATTGGGACCCTAGTCATTTCTCGTCTCTGACCTACAGGACAAAGCCTCACGCACCTCGACCACCATTAACAATATCACGTCCTTCATGGAGACACCTCTGGACCGCGGACATGCGTTCGAAGCGGAGGATCTTTGGCGTGATTCATGCTTCGCGACCACTAGTAAGCCAGTGGACAGCATATTCGGAGAAATCAATACCAAGCCATTGAGTCCGGTATTGTTTTCGACCGCACCAGACCAGTCACTTTTTGACTTGCAACTACCTTCTATTGACAACAATGTGGAATCGCCCGCAAAGTCTGTCCATGCTCAAAAGGAGTCTGTTGTCGCATTCTCAGATCTCAAAGATGACAAAGTCGTAGATACACCAGTGTTTGACATGGATCCCGACGATCTTGAAGTAGTGCCACTCCCGCCGTTTTACACCTGGGAAGCTCGCGCCGGTCTACCTAATGACGGCACAGCGCAGCCTCACTTTCTGTCTGAAGCTGGACCGGCCACCTTCGATGCCGCTTACAATTTCAAGGGCGAACAGGCTATTTTGTCTCGTGACTATGCTTTGCAGGCGCTTAAAAGCCTTGTCCTTGGAAGATCGTCAAGTCTTTTCCAATGGAGTCACGCAACGCGGGCATTCCAACAGATCGCCGGCAAGACGACCCTCTCCGGAACGAGCCTGCCATGCTCTCAAGATATCATCGACGAACTTTGCGCCGTCGGTACTGCTCTAGTTGTCTTGCGTGACTTTGCTGTGCCTCATTGTCCACGAAATACACCATGTTCAGCTTTGGTTGCACTGCAAAGCTGTCTTTTGCATATCCTAGATGCTATTGAAGAGGCTATATCTGGCCAGCTGACCGAAGCTCGTACGATCTTACAATTACAATATGCAATGACTCGACCACGAAACCTTTTACGACTGATGGTCAGGTTGAGAACGATCGTCAAAGTCTGCACTACTAATGAGGCGATCATCTCTGTTGTGTCTGACTTTGTGAATGAAAATGCAGAGCTGGTCCCGAACTTTTGTCATATCCTCCGCATGGTTCTTTCGCAAGTCAGTATTCCGTGGCTTGAGCAGTTAGCTTGCGATATTGGATTTCATAGCTCCACAGACAATTTGGCTGGGAGACCCATAGATGTTGAGAGCCAACATATCGATATGAGGAAATTCTCCTTTGTTGAGCCCAGAGATGCAGAAATCATCGAAGCAACAAAAAAAGCTCTCAATATCGTTCAAACGCATGATCCGAACAACGCTCTGGTGACATGCGTGTTCGGGCACAATGAGTCGCCGCACGCCAGCTTCGTTGATCTGCATCTCTCTCGTGCGCGCATCTCTGCCAGAGCTGCGAAGTATAAAGCTCGCATGCTAGAAAGTATCTCACAGCAGCGCCGTCGCCGAGTCGAATCTGAAAACCCAAGAGCTACAAGCAACCCTTCTACGAGACCAGATTACAACGGCGAAACAAACGCGCAACCATGGCAGTTGGCCAACATCGATGAGCTTGAGGTTCTAATGTCCCGAGAGTTAGGAGTTTGCGAAAACGACTCTTCCTCCATCTTGGGCCGAACAGTGTCCTTGGCCTTGAAGCAGAGCTTTGATGGCGCTGTGATACATGACATTTTTCAAACGACACCGGCCCCATTGGAAAGGTTGCGACCATTCCTCGAGATACAGCACCGTCTTGTCAGTGGCGTCGTCTTACGGCAAGTATTCAGAGCACACTGTTTCATGGATCATCTGAAACTCCATCGCTCCTTCTATTTGTTCGGCAGTGGCGACTTCGTCGCGGAACTATCGGCAGCACTTTTCAGCCCTGAACTTCAGTCCGCAGAACGTAAGCGAGGGGCGATCCCGACTTCCGAACAGATTGGTTTGAGACTGGGCCACGGAAGCGGAAACAATTGGCCACCGGCCAGCTCTGAGCTTTGTCTACTTTTGATGGGTGTTCTCAGCAGAGTTGCCGGCATGCAAGCGGAACAGAACAGGCAGCATCGTCTGGGCAGATTCGACGTGCAAGACGGGCTCAACTTCGCCGTACGCGAGCTACCAGAGGCTGAAATCGAACAAACTTTAGACATGCATTCGATACACGCACTCGACTTCTTGGGATTGCAATACAATGCGCCGGCGCCATTGGATCAGATCATCACACCGGAAGCATCGAAAGATTATGATTCCATATTTCGATTTTTGCTGATAGCCATGAGGCTTCTATATATCACAGCAAACCTTGCCAGAAGTCTTGCTGAACCTAAGGGGGAAATGCATGATGATGGTGCAACACGTCCTCAAGAAGTCATCAAATTCACCCATATGGCTCACCACCTAGTCACAGTGATTCTGTCCCATTTTATGGACGTAGGAATTGCCGCGCCATGGCAAGATCTCCTCAATACTATTCAAAGTTTAGAGCGCGACCTCGAGTGGGAAGATCAGCGTGGCGATTACGGCGCCAGGGTTCATGTCGGACTCGAGTGGCTTCATCAAACGCATATCGCTTGTCTCGTTCGTATTAGAGGCAGGCTTTTCATGAGAAACAAGCAGCAGAAAATACGAGTCGCACTTGAGCATGCTTTCACAAGTGTCTTGAGCTGCAACCATGTCTTGCAGGAGGCCGGAGAGAATCAAGAGCTGGATTTCTCGGTTGCCCACCAAAACTTCAAGGATCGCTTCGAGGATGTTTGCACCGTCTTGCAAGAGAGCGTAGACAAGTCTATCACCAGCAATCGCACGGCGGAGATTGAAGAGATGGAGGTTCACAGGATGCTTCTCACTCGACTGAAATGGCACACATGAATTTGGCGCCACAGAGATGGTTATCAATGGTATTAGGCTTAATTACTCGCGCTGCAAATCTCTCGAAAGTAAACCGCCAATGGTATCACCGATGCTAACGCCAACGCTGTGAACAAAAATACAACAAATACGATGCAATGCGAAGTTCGACGGAAGTCTCACACCCCCCCTCCATCGCCTCACCGGCCAGCAGATCCCTTAGAGCCGTTGACAATGCGCACTTCGTCATTATGAGCCACCATGCGCTCGGTTTCGGCTTGGATGGCCATGACCCAATGGTCTCTTTCGGCACGACTCCGCGCCTTGAAGACAACACTGCGACCCGTGGCGCCAAGCTGGCTCACCCTAGTGAGCTTCGTCTTGACCTTCCCAGAATCAAGCTGTTGGTCTTCTTGCGTGCGCACATCGTCGACGTAGTTAGCGCTCTTGAACCACGATTTGCTGTTAGCGTGCCAGATGACGAAGGTGGTCATGGCATCTTCGTCGGTGCTTGTCCAGCCGTCTTCGAGATAAACGCGGGGGAGTGAATGATGACCTGGCATATTGGAGTCAAAAGTTTGGTTCTGGTAGAGGAGGTCGCCCTCGGTCAGGAGGCCGGAGTATAAATAGGAGTCTTGAAGGGATATCGAGCTGATGCGCTCGTGGTGAATATGACCGATTGTTTTTCCGCTGCGTTTACGGAGAGTGTCTTGAAAGATGAGCATGTGGCCATGCGAGAGGATGACATGGCATCGGCTGAATGTGGAGTGCTTTCGGGGCTTGCGGAATAGCGTGCCGGAGATGTGTATGGGTCTGCATTCTGCGATACCACACATGTTGTAGAGAGACGGCGAGGCGAGTGATTTCTTAACTTCCCACTTGTAGGCGAATTGTCCTACAAGCGCTTCGGCTCTCTCGTCGATCCCTAGCTGCCGAAGATTTTGTTGACGAGTGGATTTGTATAGATCCATATCGGCTTTGATGCGCTCAGTCCAGTAAGTCACCAAAAGTTGTAATCGCTTCATCCATTCTGTTCGCGCAGCTTTATTGTAGGCTTGTAGACGAACAACCAAGTCGTTCTTCATAACAAGCTCGAAAACGCGATCTTCGTCTAGCTCAGTCGTGCCGCCATCAGCATGATTAGTGTCTGGCAGTTCTTGATGGAAGTCGACCTCGGAGCCATCTTGAATGTCTTCGTCCGATGCCGCCGCACCTCGCCGAAATTTGCGCACAATTTTGACCTCGCACAGGTTGATGAAGCCATCTGCCGAGAGCAACATCTTCAAATTCCGCTCAGCTTCATCCTCGGCAATCTTGTCGTGGCCAACTTGAGACTCCTTGGGCTCAACAGCCTCATCACACAGCCACGATATCTTGTCATCGGCGAGCGGATAGGGATCGATTTCAATCGTCAGCGGAGCACCGCTGTCAGAGTCCGTCAGTCTGGGAATGCTGGTGGATTGTGTCATCTTAGGTTGCTCTGGAAGCAGCGGCGGCAACGCTTTTGTAGGGCGAAGAAAAAGTAGGTATTGGCTCTGCGACGTGAAGTATAGGCGCTTGAACAGCAGTCTGCCTAGACTTCGTTCTTGACCTTTCTGAGATGTGAGGCGGATCAAGAACCCTTCTATGGGCGCAGGTTCCTCCACTGATGTTCCGTCTGCAAGTCGAGTGTGGTCTGGATAATGATCCTTGGGCCGAAGCTCCAGGTCGTGTGTCCTCTGCATGGCGATGGTACCGTACATCTTCTGTTCAACGGCTCCGTAAACCCATTCGAGTCGATCATAACGTTTCCATGCCAGTCCAATTTTCTCGTGTTCTACCCATTCGCGAAGCACATCTGACCATTCGGGCATATCCTTGAGCATCTCCAGGCATCTTGCTACGATAGCGCCAGCAACGCTCTTCTCATCAACCATAGCTTGCATCAGAGCCTCTTCATTTCCCTCTGCCGCTTTCGACAGCGCGTCGGAAGCCTCGAGCAATGAGAATGGATTTTCAAGACGAAGACTGACACAGAAGTGAGGTATATAAACCTGTAGCGTTTGTGCGCGGTCGTGTCCGAGCAAGTTCTCAAGGGAGGTGTACCACTCCACGGCAGAGGCACCACACTGAGCACGTAAGTAGTATATTGTTGTCTTCGATCCCTCTGCATGCCACACGCACAGTGTCTTATCCAGGGAAGAATAAATGTTGACTTTTGTCCGCTTCCTGCTCAATGGGATCTCTATCTTCGGCTTGGATTTGACCTTTTCAGTAGCAGACGCGGCTATCACGCGTGATTTGTAGAGCTGCAGCACTGCCGAAGCATCATCTTCCACATGGCTGCGGGTGACAACCATGAATTCACGCCAGTCATCCGTGCTCCTGGTTTCAACTCCTTGACTGGTCCTTTCGTCAAATCCGTTTCTCAAAGATTGTTGTGTGATCTCCACCCGCACTAACATCTTTTCAGCCTTCAACATCTGGCCTTCCTTAAGGGTCGGAGCTCGGAGAGTGCCTCGAGCGGCGAGTCTTTGTGCTCGCGCCCGAAATTGCAGTTTGCTAGCTTCGCTGAACCGTACTTTGCGGACAGGCACTGACGTGGTGGCACGATCAAGAGAGAATCTTTCCGCCGTCGTCCTCATATCTTGCCCCCTGTTCTCGTGCCGTTCGTCCTGTATCCGAGTCTTAGCTGGAATTGTTTGCACCGGCGAGGCGTCCGGACTGGCATTTTGGCTGTGGAGGAGACTGCGTGTGCTCGCTGTCGTATCCGGGAAGGCGCTCCCATCAGTCAGATGGCTTGATGATCTTCCCACTTCGTCTGTCCTATTCGTGGTCGTGTCGGGCTCTGCACTACGGACTACAGCTGGTTGCGCTGCCGTAAATGTTGGTGCCCGTTTGGTGGAGAATGCGAATTGCTTGTACCAATGCTTGCTCTGTCCTTTGAGCCAGCCATCGGGAATCGGTCCAACAAAGGTACGATGCGTAGTTTGGTGCAGATGCCTATGCGTCGCGTGTTCAAGCCGTCGAGCTGTGTAAGATTCTGCGGCTAAAGGATGTGAAGCCATGATAGGCGCTTCAGCGGAAGCTTAGAATACTTAGGAGAACCACAGGTTGCGACCATGCGAAAGAAACATTGTGCTTGCTCGTTGCTACAACTCCACGCTCGGCAGATCGGCGTATGGCCACTCATCTCGGCTTGACAGTTTCCCATCTTGCTGGCTGAGCACATACAAGCTTTCCCCATGCCCGCGTTTAAATGAGGACCTGCACTAAATGACGTAGGCACGACCGCCTGTGCTGATCGTTGGAAGAGTCCACGCGTGTCGCGACCGCCCCAAAACTCGCAGACGCAGGTACCATTTGGAAGGTCTCCGTGTGTCTGTTCCATGCGCACCCAAACCCAACGAACTCGACAATTACATGATGGATCGATAATACAACCATGCTATCGTAGTATGCAGGAGCACAAAATAGCGAGCGGCTTACTGCAAGATAAGGTGATGTCCGAAACTGCGAAAATGTAACGTCTGAATCAGACTGTAGATTTGTGAATGGCACAGTACCTGCGTGAGAAAGGAGCAGTACAACTCAGAAACCATCTCCCTCTCTCCAATCCCGTCCTGATTCGAGAGCGCGCTGCCGAGGACTATCGCCCGCCACAAATGCTGCCGCGAGTCTCTCGTCCATATCCCGCGTGTATATATCGACCAGCCTCTTCGCCTCGCCGATTTTGTCACGATCTGGAACGCCAGAGAGCTCACCTAAAAGTGCTCTCGCACCCGGTGCTCCAAAAGACACCATGCCTTGTGGATGATCCAACATCTTCTGCCACATCCGCATGGCTTCGACGTACCCGTTGCGTTTGTATCGGAGTTCGAACCAGTAGTCGAACTCCTTTGGATTGCCAAAACAAATTCCGTAGCCATCACAGTAGCATGCGCTCATGCTAGGGCAGGTCACGGGGGACTTGGTGAAGATGAATTGCCAAGTGTACTCGAATACTCGACCGGAGAGATAGTCGGTGAGAGCCGTGTTAAGCAGCCATTCTCGCAGAAACATATAACGCTTCTTGGGTAGTTCCAGGATCCGATCTCGTGACACAGCGAATTGGCCACAGCATGGCTGTGCAAGTACCTCTGGCAAAGGTTCTTCGGGGAATAGTTGGCTCCAATGCTGTGCGATAACCAATTGCTCTTCCTTCGCTGGGTCAGGTACAGCCATATGCGGCTGCAGCCATGCGGGACAGCCTGGTACCCAGTGACAGCGTAGATTCATATAGCCCTCTCTAGTCACCCTCTCTGGACTTAAGTGCTGGATCATTTTGACAGCGTCCCTCTCCAGCAGGTCGTCATTGTGCCAGGTGTAGCGATCCGCGTGCATAAAGATCGAGACATCAGGTAAGGCATCATAGTTGTCAATGATGTATGTCAAATATACCATGGCCTCATGACCTTTGTTCTTGGGCACCCGTGGCTTCGCTCGAGGGTTATCGACGACATAGATCGCGGTAGACAGGAGACCTGCCTCTTGCATTTCTCCAAGATATGCATCTGCCCACGCGGTGTCTTGTTTCTTAAGACTTGCAATGACCAAGGCTCTGGTATAATTCGAACCTGCAGGCTTTGTCTTGCCGATGGGATACGGACTGGTGGAATTAACCACTGGTTCCTTGAACTGGTATTCCTGCCGCCCTACCCTGAGATCCGGAAGGATAACTCGCGACGCTTTTCCATGGCTCGCTCGGTTTTGCACGTATCTGAGACTGCATAATATCAAGACAGCGCAAATCAGGAGCGTGCTGGTGAACTGCAACCTTCGTCGCTGTTGCAACATCGTCAGGTGACCATTGAGAGGCGTGCTGCATCAGCGGAATGTCAAGTGAAGACCACTTGGCGCGAAATGAGGAGAAGTCGCCAATGCGGCCTGCTTGGTGGTCTGACAGAACGACTGCCAAGTAATAAATGCCGACGATACATTGCAAGAATGCCGGTACATGATCTACGTCTGCTGCGGCATGAGAGTACAACAAGCTTCAGTTGTCGCATACCCTTTATCATCATAAATGCGTTGTGTACAAATATCGCACCACGTGCTGGCTCAAATACGCTTCGACACTACATCGTCGTGCGCGGAAAACTGTGTTCTCGGCAGAAATCACATGAAACGTGCGGTTTGCATTGATAGAATACGTACCTAGGTACTGTATTTATCTTATCACTTGACAACGTCTGAACTGTCTTCATCAGAACGACGAAGCTCCTAATGAGCAACATAACTAACAAAGATCCGCACATCACCGCCATTACCTACACTGTACCTCGCATACTCACTGTCCAACGACAAGAAGGCTTCTCTAGCATATTGTTTATTCCAGGCTGCCCCTGCTCGACCACCGCTCGAATTCGCGGTCTATGACAAGGTTTCCTTGGCTGACCGATCGAGGTCAAACAGAAGATCACGAAGCACGACTCACCTTGCATCAGCTACGTTCGAGGTACTGCTCCGAGCTCGGTAACACAGGCCCTTAGAAGCAGTCTGTGTCGGGTTTTCTGAAGCCGCACGTATTCGCAGGCGTCCATTGCAAGTGCCAGGCACAGATACACCGCTTCTGGAGACGACACATGGGTTTTGCGAAGATTAACAAATCGAAAGTGACAAGTGACATCGTGCAAGTAGTGCATTGAGGTAATGATCCTGTACAATAGTCAGTAAGCGATCACAGAGTTTGGGATGAGGATTGCAGGTATAGTCCTAGGATACAAGCAGACATTGCAGCTGAGTATGATGCGCAATGCCTAAAGTATTGGCGCTGGGTGCGTGACGTGAAAATGGCGTGACTTCGGTTGATGATGTCTAATTCAAGGGCGCGAATACAGCGGCATGAGTGTTGCAGTGCGACCTTCTTCAATTCGTAGTCGAATCTGAGGGAGAAAGTGACGTTGACAGAAGAAGGAGGTGAAAGAGTGTCGAGTGATCATTATGCTAACGGCCAATGTCGAACAGAAGACGGAAAGACCGGGTTTGTGCATACCGATCTGTTCATTTGCGGGCTAGAAGTTGGACGGTGAGCCATAACGAGGTGCACGAGAAAAGTTGACAGATCGATTTATTTTGTTTGCCGAGAAAGGTTGTAGGAAATAAGCTGCAGGGCTTTTGCAGGGTCGTATCGAGCCATGTTGCATGGCGCAGTCTCTCGTGATCACCCCCGAAGCCACTGTGCTTGAAGATGATGTTGCGCCGCCGCTAGTAAAACAGAAAGCTGCCGCAAGTTGCACCGAGAGAATCAAAGCTGGTAGTAGTACATGGAAGTGCCGAATCCCAAAACTCCCCGGGTACAGTCTGTTCGTACGAATGCATGGCTGCTGCATGCTCAACAACACCTACAGGGTCAGCACGGACGGGCAAGAGTAATAGCCACCTGGCTTAATCGTATCGACGACGATCGTCGTAGCTGCGCGACGGCGGTTCACGGCTTGAGTCACCGTAGCCACCAGGCTCTCCGCCACGGCTTGAGCGCTCGTAGCCGCCTCCATAGCCACCACCACGGCGGTCGCTGCTGTATCGGTCGTCGCCACGGGATGCATAACGATCAACACGAGGGCCATAGTCGTCACGACGGCCATAGCCACGGTCGTCGTAGCGGTCGCGGTAACCGCCTCCACGACGGTCGTCACGTCGTCCGTAGCCTCGGTCCTGTGAGAAGGTCAGCTATAGCCCAATTGAGTGACACACGCCTTTACTCACATCATAGCGGTCGCGGCCACCACGGGGCGGACGGTCATCTGTTCAAAATTAGAATTGATAGACATACTTTGCGCCCGATCGCAAGATCCTCTGGCAGACAATTGCACGGGTTGTTTGATGTACCTCGTTTCGGTGGTCCAAAGTATTTGCCAGGAGTAGGTGTGCGAGGACGAGCGCGGCGAGCCTTCTCGATGCTCAGTGTCCGGCCCTCGTATACTTCACCTTGCAGGGCTTCCTTTGCCGCATCGGCCTCAGCGGCAGTCACCATCTTGACGAACCCGAAGCCACGGCTCTCACGAGTGTGAGGGTCACGCATGATGTTGCACTTCTCGACCTCGCCGTATTTCTCAAACAAACGCGCGACTTCATCTTCGGTAAGACGAGGGTGGATGCCGGTCACGAAAAGGTTGGAGCCGGGATTGGCAGCATCCTCGTCATCATCGCCGCCTTTAGGTGGTGGTGCATCGTTGCTGGCGCAGGTATTAGTGAGAGATACTCGCTTTTGATAATGACACCAAAGGTTTGCATACCGGTCACCACGACCACTCATGGGCTCATCACGGATCCTGGAGTCAGCATCACGTTCACGTTCACGTTCGCGCTCGGGAGATCGCGAGCGATCACGAGCGGCATAATCGCGGTCTCGATCGCGGTCGCGTTCGTCTTTTTTCGTATATTAGCATAAGAACAGCGTGACGCGTCCACCGGACGATGATGCACTTTGGTACGAGTGAGCATGTGATGTTGACTTACCGTCGTAGCGACCGTGATCGGCCTGGTCATCGGCGTAAGTATCGAGATCCGCCATCTTTGCTGCTGATCTGATGTGAGTGTAGTAGGATTGTTGAAATGGAATGAAAGAGAGGGATGACGATATAATAAGTGTTGAGAGTGAGAGGGAATGTTGGATCGACGGGGACGCCGGGGAACAAGTTTAGTGCCAAGTGACAGGTCGGTCGATGCGTTGCGGCTGCACAAGCACGGGCGTCTCGCTCTCACTCACTCACAATTTGTTATTGCAAGTAGACAAAAGGAAACCGCACAAGACACACAAGAAAAGGCAGGCGAGCACGATGGATGAGGCGTCACACTGCACGGGCCAAATGCCACACGGCTCAGGAGCCGCATTCCAGTTTTCCAGGTCGCAATTGCATGCGCTGTACGACCCATAGACCTGACAGGGTCTGGTAGAATACAGTCAGTAAGGACACATTCCACAGTGTATGTACTAGGGGACACACAACAGACTGCAGCCCAAAGGTCTAACGGTCTCATGTTCGCATATCCTGTATATCTAGCCGTTGGAGTTGAAATCATTGTGGTCATCGCCAGCTTTTCGACAAAGCGCACAGTACTGTAGTTGAAGGCGTCGAAAAGTATTGCGTACGCTCTGGAGAGCTCCCTCTATGTACATTTGGCTGCATTAGCTCATTTCCATGAGATGGACGAAGATCGTGTGCGCGCATCTAGCTCTAGTATGGAGCATATCGATTGAAGGCCATTTGCGCATCAGTACTAACTGACTTTGGCTTGAAGTTGGCTTGTTCACATGCTATAACTCAATCCAAGATTCGAACAGTCATTTGTTGGCCGGTATGCCCATGACGGAACCCTTAGGTGAGCCACGGTAGGAGTGCTATGCAAATCCCGGGAAGGAACTACAACACGCTTCGACCTTGGATGATTGATAGTGATGAACGGTGTATAGCATTATTATTTATGAAGATGCGTAATTTCTGTCTAGGTGCCCGTACCACTGTCTGCATCATTATTATTGTTATGTTCCAAGGTTGTTGGCAGTGCTGTCGAAGCGAATGAGAGAAGTACTCAGGCATCATGGAATTCCTACCTGAGGCAGCAGCCGAAGCTTCGAGCGAGACGACCGCGGCGATTCCCGCTTAGGCTTGTCTCGTCTCGTCATGCATATCTGCATCCGTCTGGGAATACTGAGGTCATCCTAGTCTATTCGCCTCCTCTGTTCCTCTACACTTTCGTTCGTCAATCCTCGAGATAGATTCACTGCCATACGCAGGCGCCAAGGCGCGCATCGAAGTAATCAGACTCATCTGATTTCTTCTAACTCACACCCACCAGCTACAACTATGGCGAGTCTTCTTCGTCGCCCACAGAGTGTGGTTCGGTCATCGCGGCAGCTCCTTGAAGCTGCATCGCTTTCCAGCACATTAGCTCTTCGGCCAGCGTCGATACCGCGTCCGTCATACGCGTGTGCTCACAGCAGGAAGTATGCCACGAAACCCGGGAAGCCGAACAAAAGCGATGGCAAAGTTCGAAAGCCCGGCAGCACACCTGCTAAGGGCATGGAGCACCTTTACAGCAATCAATCTCCAATGTCGCCAAAGCCAGACTCGTCGCAGAACAACAGTGATGGCGAGACCAAGGGCCCTTTGCCTGGCCGATCGGAATTGACACCAGAGGAGGATCAAGCTTTGAGTAAGGTGTTTGACACGATCAAGATTGGCATGCCGAAATCTATGGTGAAAGACGTCGAGAAAGCACTTGAGAAGCTTCGGGAACAGGGAATGCCTGATGAGCTTCGAAATGCGATCAAGGAAACCTCGGAGGAGGGCATGTCGCCTTCAAGAGCTGCGAAACTTTTTCGACTAGTTACACATCTCGCACGTCAGAACGCCGAGGAAATTGTGGCAGAGAAATCCAAGGAGCAAAAGAAAGCCAGCTCATCACATGAGTCTTCCAGCGAATCGAGTACGTCCGGCAAGGATAAAACTAAGCAGGAAAGTAGTGATGGCAAGAAGAAGGACAGTGCACCGCCGGTGTACGAATTCAAATTGGATCTCTCCAATATCCTGGTATCGGCATTTGTCTCTTATCTGCTTTACAGGTTGGTGGTACCGAGCGAGAACAGTCGCGAAATCACATGGCAGGAGTTCCGTACAACGTTTTTCGATAAAGGACTTGTTGAAAACTTGGTCGTCATCAACGGCAACCGCGTACGCGTCCATCTACATCGCGAATCTGTTGCTGCCACCTACCCGGAGTCTCCTGCCGCCCAACCAGGCTTCTACTATTACTTCAGCATCGGATCTGTCGAAGCATTTGAGCGGAGAGTGGATGAAGCACAGAACGACTTGCGCATACCAAGTTCTGAGCGGATACCAATCTCATACCATACCGAGGGAAGCTGGTTCAACACTGTGCTAGCGTTTGGTCCTACACTCCTGTTCATTGGTGCAATCTTCTATCTGTCACGTCGTGCCGCAGCCGGAGGCGCAGGCGGCCAGTCTGGCATTTTCGGCATGGGTCGAAGCAGGGCTAAGAAGTTCAACCACGAAACCGACGTGAAGGTCAAGTTCGCCGATGTTGCAGGCGCAGATGAGGCGAAGGCCGAAATCATGGAGTTCGTCAGCTTTCTCAAAAAGCCTGATATCTACCAGAAGCTCGGGGCGAAGATCCCTCGTGGCGCAGTCCTTTCAGGGCCACCTGGAACCGGTAAAACCCTTCTGGCCAAGGCTACTGCTGGTGAAAGCGGAGTTCCCTTCTTCTCTGTCTCTGGATCTGAATTTGTAGAAATGTTCGTCGGTGTTGGTCCTAGCCGAGTGCGAGATCTCTTCGCGAATGCTCGTAAGAATGCTCCTTGCATCATCTTCATTGACGAGATTGACGCCATTGGAAAAGCGCGTGCCAAGCAATCATTTGGAGGGGGCAATGATGAGCGAGAAAGCACGCTCAACCAAATTTTGACAGAGATGGACGGCTTTAATACTTCGGAACAAGTCGTTGTTCTAGCTGGTACGAACAGAGCTGATGTTCTTGATAAGGCGCTAATGAGGCCCGGCCGTTTTGATCGGCACATCGCAATCGACCGACCGACAATGGATGGCAGAAAGCAAATCTTCAAAGTACATCTCAAGAACATTGTCACCAATGAGGAAGTGGAACATTTGACAGGTCGACTCTCTGCACTCACCCCTGGATTCGCTGGTGCCGATATTGCAAACTGTGTGAACGAGGCTGCACTCATTGCTGCCCGGACACAGGCCGACTCTGTCGTGATGCAGCATTTCGAGCAGGCTATCGAACGTGTCATCGGCGGTCTTGAAAAGAAGAGCTTGGTCCTATCTCCCGACGAGAAGAAGACTGTTGCATATCATGAAGCCGGCCATGCCATTTGCGGTTGGTACTTCGAGTATGCGGATCCTCTACTCAAGGTCAGCATCATCCCTCGTGGATCTGGCGCGCTTGGTTACGCACAATATTTACCTGGCGGTGGTCGTGATGAAGTCCTCATGAACGTCAAACAGCTTATGGATCGTATGGCCATGACACTTGGTGGTCGTGTGAGCGAGGAGCTGCATTTCGACACCGTGACCTCCGGTGCCAGCGACGACTTCAACAAGGTCACGCGACTGGCCACTGCCATGGTCACTAAATGGGGCATGTCAAACGTTGGATACATTTACTACCCTGACTCCGGTGAGACCCAAGAGACCCAACTTCAGAAGCCATTCTCCGAGGCGACCGCCCAGGCCATCGACGCTGAAGTCAAGCGCATTGTCATGGAAGCCTACAAGCAATGCAAGACTCTCCTCGAGGAGAAGAAGAAAGAAGTCGGCATCGTTGCGGAAGAGCTCCTCTCCAAGGAAGTCCTCAGCCGCGACGACATGATTCGCCTGCTGGGTCCTCGGCCATTCCCTGACAAGGGAGAGTTTTCAAAGTATTTCGGCGGCGGTTCTAAAACTGGCCCAATCATTCCTCCACCTGGTGAAGCCAACCCGGGTGTTGCGGAGCCACCTGCTGGTGGTGACCTGCCGCCACCACTTGGTGGTGGACAGGGAGCCCCTGCACCTACCATCTTCCAACGGCAGGAGAAGTGAGCATTACATCTCGGGGATGGGTGCTGTGAGCAAGCTGAGCGAGACAGGTCCGTCTGCTTTCCACCTCGGAGAAATAGGTCTGATCTTCGGCCGTGCCATTATGGGTAGTTGGCAAAGGGACACTTATCCTTCTCGCGGTGTCAATTGCCAGGATCATGTGAACTTTTCTGTACAATGTGAGACATAGATCTAATCGACGAGCATTTTTGTACTGTACATAACGCAAGGTTTGGAGCTTGGAGTAGAGCAGCAAAAGCATAAGAGTCGCAAAAGGAGGAAATAGCGGGTGAGATCTCTCCAGGGGATTCGTGTCCACGTGGAGCGAAGCGAAGAGCACAAATCGGCTCGAAGCTGACAAGCTCCTGGCGTCATTGGGCGAGGCGACTTCGCTGAAGGCAAACTGCTTGAAGGTAACATTTTATTTGATTTGTTTATCGAGGGTAGAAAAGAGAACGGGAAATGCAAAACTCCACTATTTCACACCTTGCCTTTCCATATCATATGTTACAGCAATACCTATGCATGCTCATAGCGATGTAAAAGACGGCTCTCTATGCATGCGCATTACCACAGAGGACCAGCCTCTATGTAGTTAATCGCCAGGATTCTACAAGTTCGGTCAGATCACGCCTGATCACTTGGCGCCGATTTGCGTTCGATCGATCCGCCCTCTGAGGACGAATCAGAGCGACTTGAAGTCGTCGAGATCACGACCGCATCGTCCATCTTCTCGGTAAATTCCAGGTTGAGATCGACAATCATCAAGGAAAGCAACCCAGCAAGTAGCGCCATGGCAAGAAGAAACCACCAAAAATCCTTCAACGCATTGCTGATTGCGGCGAGAAGCGCGGATACTTCATCCTCGGAGGTTGCAAAGGTCGAAAGAAGGAATTTCGGAGAGGCCATATGACGGGTGACTGCACCGGCGTTTGTACGAAGCCGATCGAAGGACGACTTCTGTAGATTCCGTTTCAGGCCGTTTTGGATGATCGAATTGCCAGCTGTGATGCCGATTGCTTGACCCTTAGAGCGTCTCATATTAGTAAGTTACTCGTTTCATCATGCGCTTTGGACAAAATAGCTTACCAGAGCACGAACAAAGGGCGTCAGGGCGGCTGCAATGGCGATATGCTCCTGAGCGACATGTGCTTGTGCAGCCATCGTCAGAGCAGTGAAGAGAATTCCGCCGCCAAGACCAGAGGCAGCTGTGATGAAGATCCATTCCGCGGTTTTTGTGTGAAGGTCGAGCAGCTCAAGGAGACCACAGCCGAGCGCAAGGACGGTCCAACCTGTAAGGACCGAGATCTTGTATCGCCCTGCCTTTGCGATGACCATGCCAGTGATAGCGGTAGAGAGTCCGGATACAAGAGTAATTGGCAATAGTGCCACGCCTGAGATGACGGCTGAGTACCCCTGCGTGTCCTGTCAGCGCTAAGGCGTATGATGAGCATGTCGAAGAGGGCATTAGACGTACCTTGACGACCTGATAGTACAGTGGAAGATAGAAGACCAGTCCGAACTGAATTATCTGGTTATCATTCAGCAAGTTGTACCGGAAGCTGAAGGCCATGAAAGATACCCACGCCAATCACGAAAGTGCCCAGTAAAGCACATGAGGTTGTTCGATTGTTGAATAGAGACAATGGCACCATGGGTTGGCTTGGAAAAGTATGCTCGTACGAGACCCAGCTGGCCAATCCGACGAGTCCAATTACAAGCGGTACGAGGGTTTGCCAAGACTGCCTGTGTCGAGGGTCAGCGATAGGCATCCACGAGTTTCTTCAGTGACTGAATAAACCTACCACGGGAACATGATACCTCCCCATGACACCGGAACAAGAAACGCGGTTAAGGAAGCGACAAGTGATGCCACGCCAATCCAATCGATTCGTTTACAAGCACCAGGTACTTGGATTCGTAGTGTAGGACCTGTCGTTGTCAGTGCTACTGGAAGTCAGGGCACTTCAGTGGACGTACAATGCTTTTCTTCAGGTTGGTCTGAGTTATCCTTCTTTGATCCCAGGAATAAGCTCACCAGAACAAGGGATATGACCAGTAGCGGTAGACATATCCAAAAGATGCTGCGTGATGTGTCAGCCACTCGTTCGATTTTCATGAAGCAGATTTCCAACATACCATCGCCACAAAGCAGAAGTGCTCAGCAGCCCGCCCATCACTGGTCCCACAGCAGCGCCCAACAACCAGACCATCCCATTGACGGCAACTGCCACTGATCGACGTCTTAGAGTGAAAAGGTCGGTCATGATCGTGTATGTCATCGCAAGAATTCCACCTCCACCAATCTAATGCGAATCTCAGATCAGCTGTTGTTTACACACATGTTTAAATGCAACAAACGTACTCCCTGTATAGTTCTACCTGCTAGCAATGCAGAAATCCCTTGAGCAGAACCACATACGATCGATCCTAGGATTAGAAGCGACAAGGCGAAGATCACGACAGATCGTCGTCCAAACGCATTGGAGAATGCTGGAAATAGCGGTTGACACGCTGCGGAGCTGAGGACAAATGCAGTCCCAGCCCAATAGGCCTGTATGCTTGTCGCTTGGAGTTCGCTCGCAATTGTGGGCAATGCAACAGATAATGAGGCAGCATCAAGGGCCGCAACGAGGTTTGCAACCAGGATGCCCGCAAAACCAATCAACGGGCGGTACATGTTGTTGAGCGAATGTGTTGTGGGCGTAACGAAAGCTAGAGGCACGGTTTAAATACGAGGTGTCGCGACGTGGTTGATTGTGGAACACGCTGTCGATCTTGAAGATCGTTGGAGTATTTCTTTGTTGGACTGGATGATTACGAGACAAGCGAGCTGTCTATTGACAATGACAAAGCTGACATCGGACTTGCTATGGGGCCGGATAGGACAGGTAGGCACGACTCACTTGCAAAGCAATCCACAGCAAGAACGCACCGAGATAGCGATCCTTCATGGTGGGTGAGTGCGCTCAGTGCCCAGGTGTGTCAGGGACCTCAACTTGACTATTCGCTTGGTCGTGTGCGACCCAGCATTGCATCTTACAATTTATAAGCGAAATTCTCACGTTGGCCGATCGCATGATCGGTCACCCGGGTGAGCAATTGGCTGAGGAGTAATGCGGCGACATCAACACAGGTACCTAGGTAAGAATGGTGGCCATGGTGCGAAGCGAAGTGCGTCAAGCCGAAGGTCTCCGAGCCAGGCCAGTATGAAATGGTGTTCGCTGTGTGACAAACAGCCCGATCTTGAAGAAGCGACCGAAGCCCTGGAGCTTGATGGAGTGCGCGCAGTACTAATAATATGGTGTTTCGCACAAAGGACACGAGGAAGCTACTGCACCTGATGTGGACATCAGGGAAGCCACATTCGTGGGTCGCCTTGTAGCTAGAAAGAAGGAGTACCTACCTGGATAGGTGGTGATGAGGGTGGTGGTGGTGATGGAGGGAGCTGGAGGATTGCTTTTTCCGGTTCTCACTGCATCAGACTGCGGCCCAGTCTCGATGCGGCCCAGTCTCCACAATTTCTATTGGCCGGCATTCACAACCGCGACATCATCTTCTTGCCCGTCTCGGAAATATCTCGTTCCTTCCTGGGCATCTGTACAACAACACTTGTTCGATGACAATACCTGGTGTTTACTCGATGATCAAGAATTGCAAATACACATCTCCGTCGATCAGGGTGAGATTCCCTCCAATGAACGAGAGGGTGGGCGACTAACTATACCTTCACGACCAGGTCTGTACCTGGACTCAACGTCAAGACGAGCTCGTTACATTGTTGGCCGTGCAACATGATCTGTTTCGAAAGTCTGACGGAGCAGCGGAGGTCGCGCCCAGTATAGATTTGTTGACAGGCTGTGGCGTGTTGACAAAGATATCCTATTCACTCGAGTGTGTCTCCATTGACCGCACGCGAGCCCCAAGCGCGTTCATGACCAGCATCATGGCATATACATGGTGGCGCCCGTGTGGCCGAGCTCGTCCGCTCAGCAGCTTTGTGCGTTTGAACCATCGGTAATCGCTGCAAGTCCAGATTTCAGCCGAATGAGGTCAGATTAAATGAAGGATCGAGGGATAATGGCTGCACGATCAAACATGAAACTGTTGGTCGGAGGTTATTTTCACGTCTTGCGGGTTGCCCCAGGGCGTTGCTCTGTGGTCGCATCGCCTCGCAGAATGGATTTATGTCGCAGAGCAACCCCAAGGAATCGAGGAGATTTACAAGGTGTTCGACCTACTCTCTGCACATCCGCTTCATGATACACCATTGAACCATAAGCCTGGAATCATACACGCACGCCAAATTGAGCTGAATATCGCTCATTATGATGTATTCCCTTTTCTTGGGAGCGTTGCTGCTGGCAGCATACTTTATCACAGCGATCGTTACATTTTGGCTTCGACAACGCCACTTTGCTCACTTCGTCCGAAGGTCGAATATAGCATACGTCAAACCCATGATCAAGAAGCACGGACTACCATTTAGTATCGACCACAAAATTCGCATGCTGTTCCGAGAACCTGAAGCCCTCTTCGGGCAGTATTACCTCAAGAAATACGATGTGTCCGGACCGACACATGGCATTTATGACTCGCTTGGTGGTCTTAAAGCGGTCCATTCGATCGACGTAGAAAATTTAAAGGCCGTCTTGTGTACTTCATTCGGCGATTGGGTCGTATCCAAGGCTCGACGTCAAGCATTGAAGCCACTCGCTCAAGGAGGAATCCTGACGACCGAAGGAACGGAATGGCTCCATAATCGCAAGTTCTTCCAGCGACATCTCAATTCGGTCAAGTCGCGCGACATGCGTGATGTGGAGGGCGATATTCAATTGTTGTTTGTGGCAACCGGAGAGGTCAACGACGAAGGCTGGACCTTGCGAGAAGTCAACATGTCCGATCTGCTGCAACGATTAACGTTGGATGCTTCGACGCGATTTCTTTTCGGAGTCACAGCCGAGGCACAGGTTTCTGGAATGCTGGAGTCCAGCATGTCTTACTCCCCGGAGAAGCGCAGCGACATGCAGACCGCCATGGCCAAATACACCGAAGCGCTACAGTTTATTCGTACCATGGTCACAGCACGAGGTGCATTAGGATCAGCGGGATGGATGGCTGACAGTTTCAAGGTAGGATCGTTCTCTGTTCGGTATCGTCGTGTGTGAACAGGTTTGCTGACGTTCCTTTTCCAGTATCGCCGCGCATGCAGGTATTTGCAGCAATTTGCGGATCTGCTCATCGAAAACGGTTTGAAAAATGCCGAGTCCGCAGGTTTGATCAATCAGATGTACGTTGAGCTCCGCGATCCTATTCAAGTACGCGACAATCTCCTCGAACTGGTGCTCGGAGGCCAGAACATGACCTCGTCCATTCTCGAGTGGGCTCTCGCGGAGCTCGAGCTTCGCCCGGACGTGTACAAAAACTTGCGCACAGAGATCCTCGCAACTTTCGGACCAGAACATTCCATGGAGAATGAAAAGCTCTCTGATCAATCGCCCAAGGTGGAGATGACATGGAATAATTTGAAGAAATGCGAAACGTTGCAGAACGTCCTCAACGAGACATTACGATGCTACCCGACGCTTGCCAACATCAACAAGGCCGCAGCGAGGGATACGATTGTCCCAAGGGGTGGTGGTCCCGACGGCAGTCTGCCAGTCGCTGTGTCCAAAGGTGCAACATTCACATGCAACATCTTCCTCATGCATCGCCGCAAGCAGATATGGGGCGAAGACGCTTGGTAAGTCAAGTCGTGGATCTTACCGTCAGCGCTGAATTCAGTCCAACATCTTCTCATGCGTCAAAACAAGTCTAACCGCAACGCCACAGGGAATGGAATCCCGAACGTTGGATCAACCGCTCTGTCGGCCCGGAGTTTGCTGCTTTCGGAGGCGGACAGCGGATCTGCGTGGGCAAACAAATGAGCATCACCCAGATGTCGTTTGTCCTCGCACGTTTCGTTCAGCACTTCGAGGCCATCAAGGCTCCTGATGATGCCAATAATTTGGCGATGCAATATCGACCTGTGCTGGCTCCGAAGCGGGTACGCCTCTTTTTGAAGCGCAGTTCATAGATCTTTATTGCAGGAGAATAGACTGCGTGGCTTGAGTAGGATCGCTTGGGTTTCTGAACCGGTATCCATGCGATCTCGGCAATGGGAGGCGTCTGTCAGCGTTTTTCGTTTGATGTTTTATTTCAAGTAATGCTATTATAACGCTGTTAAAGTCCCGAGAAATTCTGCTGTCTGCTATCCAAGTTACGTAAAGTACGTCACATTCGAAGCAGGCACAATTAGCTCCGGCCGTCCACCATTGTCGTGCTGTTCAACGAGCTGCATACCCAAAATGCAATGCATCAGTGATGGGAGTTTCCCGATCATCCTTCTTTTGTGCCCCAGTCTCACCAATCCACGTGTGCGCCTTTGAACATGTACTTGAAATCTTCACCGGGCTGGATATCGTGGGGCAGCTGCGTCTCACCCTTGCCATGCATGGCCCATTCATAAGTCCACGGCTCCCCAGGACGCATGGAGACGAATTGGGTGCCCTATTTGCTCTCGTCTCCGACGTGTGTAGGGATCGGAGGGAGATCGATGAGCATGAAGCCGTCCGGGCCGTCACAGCCCTATTGTCCACTCCATGAGAAATTGGAGCGTCATGCTCAGAAGTGGTGATCCGTCCCTATTCACAATTAGCTTCCAATTATGACACAAGAACACGTCGAGGAGGAGGAATTTTGAGCACTACCCACCCTCGATCAGTCTGATCCAATGGAGGCGGAGAAACTCGATTTCGGCACCCTCGCCATATATGCTCACCTTGATTTACTCGAATCAAACTGGTCTCGTCAGTGATCGCTGGCCGGTCTGGTCAAGGCTCTGCCTCCTCTACGGCCTTGATTAAAACATCCGATTTAGAACCGATGATCGATCACGGCTCTCGGAGATCTCTTGCTCGCCGACTCGTGATTTCGCAACCTGTGTGATCTTTTACGGTTCCCCATTCCCACATGCTCACATCGCTACCAGACCAATGTAGACGAGATGTCTCACCGGCCTGGAGCTGATCCCGGTAACGCAGAGGCAGAGGACATTGAACGCCCTTTTCAACAAGGCCTTACCTCAGGCTACTTGTGGGTCACTGACCGGAGCACGTTCAATCCTATCCAGTCCCGATGAGTCATTGAACCTCGTCCGAGTATTCGTCCGGCTCGAAGCATTTGACTGTACATGTACATTCAGATGTCATGGGCTCCCACGTCTCGATTGGTGGTCTACGAGCGCATGCTCCAAATCAGTGCATTGATCGCCTGGCCTGACACAGCCAAGCTGACAGTCAGTTAACAGATCGGGAATATCATTTTCGGCCGTCGAAAATGTCTAGATGCGGCTCCATGTCCATGGCGACGGAGCAATTTGCATGTTCGATTCAAAGTACTCCGGGGCACGCAGGGCTACAGGCAGGTCAAGGGAGGCCGGAAGCTGGCTTTTCCGTGTTCCGGGCATCGTGGAGAAGTCTCGACTGCCACGCGGACGTCCTTGGCTCGCTGACCGTTTCCCCCAAAGTCAAAAATCTCAATATCTTTAGGGCTTCGTGGGCTTCGTGCCCAGGTGGGCTTCGAGAATTCCTTATGGCCGACGGCGGCCGTCCGGGATGTGCCGGTCGATCATTCATCATCATGAGATTCACATTCCAAGGCTATCAGCGACGAGATGCGCGAAAGTACCAGAGCTGGGCTAGCTCTCGTTTTTCAATCTCAATCGTATGTCCGACGGCGCAAGATATGTCATGGGCGGTTTTCGACCCGAAGAATGTTCTAGGCGCTCGCAGTATTTCCTTTTGAAACGAGCCTAAATTGCCTGGTAACATCTTTGCCTACCTAAGTATCTATACGAGACTGCCGTGACTGCTAGGGCGGCCAACGGGATTGTACTGTAATAGTACGCTCCATATAATTTTATTACAGTTTATTGGAGCCGTAGTATGCGTGAACGGTCTGAACACAAAGATGATCTCGCTGTGTACATAATTCTGCCCAAGTGAGCAGCAGAGATGATTGATACGCGGTCATCATTCAAAGTCTGACGTGGGGGAACGTGATTCACATTTGTCCGCCACCCGTAATAATAATGTCTCGCTAGACGATGGACACGGTAGCAATGCGCAGCATTGAGGTAGGCAACAATGAAGATTCATCACCGTTGGGCCCGGGCTCACATCGAAACTACCTACCAAAACAAACTTCGCCACGACAGAGCTTATTGCTGTCGATACGCGAATGGTTACTGTACAGACTTTTTGCAAAAGCGGTCGACATGCAAGACGCATGGCAATGGCAATACCGGGGATAGGACTTTTCTCCAAACCGAACCTTATTACTGTACAATACCTAGGTATTATCACGCACCAGACGACGACGATGATGATGATGCATGCATGCACTACCACTACGAATGATGCTAATGTACTGTACTGCACCGTCTGTTGCTGTAGTGCTGCCCACACACACACGAAGCACAACAGAAACGCACTCCGAGAGACGGACACTATTGCCCGCCACTCCACGCGATCGCTGCTTATTATCATCACGCCTGTCCGAAACCGAGCCGATTCTGGCCCACCTGCAGGCACAGATCATCTCCTGTCGACATCATACGATAGACGGCTTACGAACTGTACATCTACATAGCCGTCTAGCCTTCACGATTTCACCTTTGCCATGATCAAAAGGCGACCACTGTACAGCTTTCGTAGGCTCAACTCAAATGTCAATGAACGAAGTGCTCTTCTCCGCCACCGACAGGCTGGCTCGTGGTCTTTTCCATGTTTCTGTAAATTCGTGCGGGCATACTGTAAATTTGTCACCATCGGTGAAGGGATTTCCAGCCGTTGCAGCACATGAAAGTAGTGACACGCACCGTTGACCCCGAATCCTCACGGAGGGGTCCATCCGGGGGTACGTAGGATTGACTCCGCCAAGCCGGCCGCAATCGTCCCATGAATGGGTTGGCCTTTCAATTGCTGACCAAGCTCCGGAGCGAGGTAATAGGCTCCATGCATGCCGGCATCACCACTCCTCTAACAACTTCTACTTCTTGCACGTACGCTTCTGTGGACTTGGACATTCCGGTATCGCAACCACCGCTGGAAGGTCAGCTCGCGACAACATGGACGGCTCTACCAACGGCTCGTCCCGTCGAGGTTCACAATGGCTACCGCAAGCTGACCTCGAATACTCATATGACGACAACGGCCAAGACGACGACGGAGGCAATGGCGATGATGACGGCGACGGTGACGACGGCGATGGCGGTCGCGACTCTAAGCGCAGGAGAATCGCGCGAGCATGCGACATGTGCCGGAAGAAGAAGATCAAATGCGATGGCAAGATGCCAAAGTGCAGTCACTGTGAAAGTTACAAGACGGAGTGCGTCTTCACGCACGTGGAAAAGAAGCGGGCCCCACCCAAGGGTGCCAAATACATTGAAGGTTTGGAAAATCGGCTAGGCCGTATGGAAAGTCTGCTTCGTCTGTCAGGATTACTGGCGGAGGACGATGGTGGGCGGACTGATTTGGGAACCCTGGAGAAGCGACTTGCAGAGCGGCGCGCAAAGGCTGACGAGGCCAGTCCTCTGTCGCCACCGGGTGCGAATAGCTCTAGTAAGGATGGAAGTACTCCCACCTTAGCAGGAGACCCGCGAGACAGACAAGAAAGCACTACCACCATCGGCACTGCCGGTCTCTCGGGCAGTGCGGAGTCCAACAGCGACGGGCCGACGAGAAAGAACGGAAAGGAGGTAGACGCGCTCGCCGATCAGATGTGCAGTCTCATAACCAACCAGTGTGGTGAGACGAGATACATTGGATCATCTTCCGGTTTCAGCATTTTTAGTCCAAAAGGCATACAATGGGTCAACGAGAAGACTGGTGACACTGGCTTTCAACACATGATCGCTTCGGCCAATGACGACCAAAAAGGCGGTTGGGATCATTGGAAACCGGAAGTCTTCGACGACTTGTTCGAGCGGAAAGTCTTTAGAGCGCTGCCTCCGCGCCAGGAATGCTACGCACTACTGAAGGACTATTTTGAAAATTTCAATTGCATGTTTCCGCTCTTCCATGAGCCCACTTTCATGCATCTAGTGGACAAGCAGTACACCCTCCAACCGTATGAGGGCTCTGGGTGGTGGGCGAGCTTGAATGTGGCGCTTGCCATTGCGCATAGGTTGCGCGTGATGAGCAACGTCGTCAGCCATGAAGAAGACGAAGTCGCCTGGGGCTATCTCAAAAACGCCATGGCCGTCATGTCGGAGCTCACATTGCGCAATACCGATCTCTTTTCCGTTCAAGCTCTGCTCGGCATGGCATTGTTCCTACAAGGTACACCTAACCCGCAACCGTCGTTCTCCTTGGTCGCCGCAGCAATCCGCCTTGCTCACTCGATCGGTCTCCACAAACGCGGCTCGGGTTTCAACCTGAACGACGTTGAAAACGAACAGCGCAAGCGCGTTTTCTGGATCGCGTACTGTCTCGACAAAGACATTTGTTTACGGTCAGGGCGACCACCAGCGCAGGATGACGACGACATGAATGTGGAACTTCCCTCCGAGAATCCGCCAGACAATGTAGGAAACATTCCACTAGCCCAGGAATCAGAAGGCCGCCGGACAATGAATCTTTTCCGATTGATGTGTAGATTCGCAGAGATCCAATCGCGGGTCTACAAGCAATTATACTCTGTCCGGGCCAGTCGACAGACTGATGGGCAACTGCTAAACACAATCGGTGACCTGGACGCGCAGCTTGAGGAATGGAAAGACAGTATTCCGTTGGACTTTAGGCCCGAGCACGAGATCAAGGCCGCTCACACTCCGCTCATCTTCCATGTGGTGGTCTTACACTTTGCCTACTACAACTGCCTAACAACCATTCACCGCATGAGCGTACATCACGGTTATTGGACGAGCCGCCTCAGCGACTATGCATTGCAGGGTCTCAACGCGCGACCTCTGAATCCACGTGTCTTCATGAGCGCTGCACTCTGCGTGAACGCGGCTCGGACGAGCATCGGTCTCATTCGATACACACCACAGGGTGACTATGCTTGTGTCTGGTAAGTGACTCGACCCGTGAAGGTTGGTGTTATGAAGCATTCACTAATGTGTCTGACAGGCTCATTCTTTACTATCCCGTCTCTGCACTCGTTACCCTCTTCGCCAACATTCTACAAAATCCCCAAGACGCCCGCGCACGATCAGATCTGAAGCTCATGAGTAGTGTAGTGTCATTCCTGACTATGCTTGAACGCGACATCATCGAAGCCAACAGCAACGTGCGACGCATGTTATCTGTCTGCGCCGAATTCGAACGAATCGCGAGCGTCGCGCTCGACAAGGCAGAACGTGAGATGCGCGGCCGAGGCAAGCGGAAGCAGGCCGAGCGCGAACGAGAAAAGGCCATGAAGGAGGCTGGAAGCGGCAAGGTAGCCATGGGTCTAGAGGAAGGCAAAACGCTTGAACAGATGCAGATTGAGACCCAAGCTGCGTACCGTCGACCAGTGGACACCGCAAGTCTGCGAGCAGCAAGTGCTACCGGCAGTGTCAACAGTGGTAGTCCCGCGGCCAGTTGGCAAGCTGGTTCACCAACTGGCGCTGGGCCGGAGTTCTTATCACCATCGCATCCTCCGCGGCATCTTCAGACCTCGCCGCTGCACCAACACAGCGGCCAACACTTGAATGGCAACTTCATGCCACCGCAACGACCAAGCTCGAGTAATCCGCCGCAACAGCAGCAACAGCAACAATCATCACAGCACTATGGCTTCTCCCCCACACAAGCCAACATGCCTACTAATGGATTTTCACCCCCCGACTTCAACACACTTCCTTCACAGCCGCATCAAGCACAACAACAACGTTCCAACGGCGCACATTTCCGTCCTCAACAACAATCACAGCCACAAATCTACTCGCCCACTTCCAGCAACACCGACCAGCAAGTCAATGGCAGCAACGGCGAGCACTCCAATAGCAATTTCGGCATGACCTTTGGCGCCTCACCCACGATGGGCAACGGAGCCTTCCAACAGCCCTTCCTACCTCAGGACCTCTGGCAAATGCCTATGACTCTTGAATGGGATTGGGCGGAGGGCCTGGGTCTTGGAAGCTTCACTCCAGGTCCAATGTTCGACGCCCCGAACCCATATCATGATGTCGCCGGGCAGGGGATGTCGGATCTATCAGGATCACATCTATCGGGACAGCAACATGGGATGGGACCGCCGCCGCCGCCGATGTAATCGGTCGAATTTCGCTTTACGGGAAGGCAATGTTTATGATTGAGCGAGCGAGCGAATCGGATTTCTTTTGTGGCGTTCATCGGTTGGGCTCATGACTTGAAAGGAAAGGAGAATGCAGCATCTCCGGTCTATGGATGCGATACCGCGTCTGATTGCTTTTTCTTGCGGTCTGGTGTTTCGCTGTATCAATGCACAGTGTGGTCTCTGTATGAGGAACAGATTATCGAGGGAAAGTCTTCGCTCAGTTTCACGAAAGATATCTGGCGAGGTCGATATCCTAGAAGAACTCGCCATCCTTGAACGAATATTATGACTATATGTACGATCAATCCACACTCTTCACAAAATTGGTCTTGATACAATCGACTTTCGCTAGCTCGCGTCGTCTTCGCGGGACTGTGAAGATGAACGTACTGTGTTGATAAAGATGTACGGAGGGCGATTTGCAACGCCAATAAAGCCGGTCAAACAATGGACGTGTGCACAAGTGTTCTCGGCTGCTCAGCATCCAGTAACAAGCTGTAGCCGCTTTACCCACAATCAGATCATATTCTCCAATTCTCCCTTAACATTCCCAGCCCTAACCAAGAAAAGCGACCGCTGATATCATTGGCGTCATCTGGCGATCGTACGACGCCCCCGGCTTTTTTGCGGTATATCAACATTGGTCAATTGGTTGCTGTTGTGCATAATAATTATCATCATCACTGACCGCATCAGGAGTTGTTCAGACCTCACCCTTTTGCGCGACTTACATCTCTCACTTTTATCCTCATCATCTCTTTGGTTTGGCGAGTTCTCATTTGTCTCTCTTTCACCGCCGTACACAGGAGCGCACGCGCTCTCAAACAACAAGTATCGTTCTCTTGAGGTGCATCATCAAATATGGCGCCTAAGAAGTCGGCGAGCAAGGAGCAGGCCGCCGCCATTGAGCGAGCCAAGCTCGAAGAGCCTCATGGTTACGAGTTCGGCGGACCGTATGTTACTCTTCATCCTGGCCTCCGTGGCTCCAGCAAAAATCGCCAATAGATTAACAGCTAACTTATCCGTACCCTACAGTATTGGCGCAGCACTCATCACAATCGGTCTTCCCATCGGCTGCTATGCATTCGCATTCCTCTGTAATGACGTCTCAGGTTGTCCGGCACCGTCCCTCCTTTCGCCTAGCAAGCTCTTCTCTCCGCCAATTTTGTCCAACAAGACTCCTCTCGTGCATGCGCTTGACACGCTCAAGGCCGAAGTCGGTTGGCCAGGTTTTGCTGGCCTGATCAGTGTCGAGGCCGCTCTGGGCACGTTCGCCTGGTATGCGCTGAGCTTGCTGCTCTACGTCATCCTTCCTGCTACCGAGGTTGAAGGTGTGGAGTTGAAGAGCGGCGGCAAGCTGAAGTACCGCTTGAATGGTGAGTCGTGTACCTTGTGTTGCAACGATTCTACATCGAATGGACCCTGACAGCTTTCCTAGCATTTCTCTCCGCGGTGACCACGCTGGTGGCTTGTGCCGCAGGAACTTTCGTCCGCGGCCCGGACTTCCAAGTCTGGGAGTTCATCAACCGAAACTACTTCCAGCTGCTTACTTGCAACATCCTCATCTCCTACGGCCTTGCCACTTTTGTCTACATCAAGTCGTTCACTGTCAAGTCGGGCAATGTTGACAAGCGCGAGCTTGCTGCTGGCGGTCATTCTGGCAACATCATCTATGACTGGTTTATCGGTCGTGAACTCAACCCTCGCGTTTCGATCCCTCTCGTCGGCGAGGTTGACCTCAAGAGCTGGATGGAGCTACGCCCTGGTATGCTCGGCTGGATCATGCTTGATCTTGCTTTCATCGCCAAGCAATACAAGAGCTACGGCTACGTGACCGACTCCATTCGTACGTGTCTTCAAACTATCCTTAACAACGCAAAGTTCGTTGTATGCTAATCAAGATCGCAGTTATGGTCACTATCAGCCAAGCCATCTACGTCCTCGATGCCCTCTACATGGAGCCAGCCATCCTCACTACCATCGACATCACAACCGATGGATTCGGCTTCATGCTTGCCTTTGGTGACCTCGCCTGGTTGCCTTTCACCTACAGCTTGCAAGCCCGCTACCTTTCCGTGCACCCCGTCGTTCTCGGCCCGCTCTACGTCGCAGCAATCCTCAGTGTGCAAGCCGCCGGCTACTGGATCTTCCGCAGCAGCAACAACGAAAAGAACCGCTTCCGTACCAACCCCAAGGACCCCAAGATCGCCCACCTCAAGTACATGGAGACCTCGGCCGGCTCCCGCCTGCTCACCAGCGGCTGGTGGGGTACCGCCCGTCACATCAATTACCTCGGTGACTGGCTCATGAGCTGGGCCTACTGCCTGCCCACGCTCCTCGCCGGCTACAAGCTCACCGACAGCATCATGTACCCTGGCACACGCCTCGTCTCCACGGAGGGCATGAAGGGTGCTGCCATCCCTATCACCTACTTCTACATGCTTTATTTTGCTATCCTGCTCATTCACCGTGAGATGCGTGATGAGGAGAAGTGCCGCAGGAAGTATGGCAAGGACTGGGAGGCGTACTGCGAGAAGGTCAAGTACCGCATCTTGCCGTATGTGTACTAGGTCAGGAGAGTGTTCATCGGTAAGAAATGCCGAAATCTTCTTGAGACAGCTGATATCTAGAGGGTGTGAGGGTCATCGGAGACGGAATTGAAGGAGACGAGGAGTGTATTTATAGGGTTTCGAAATCGTCGCTGCCCTTTCTTGGACATGCAAGAAATTAATTCAATCTGCAATGGAGTGGATGCGCATCCCGGATTTCACCTGTAAAATGCTTAATAGTCGTGACTCGTCAAACCCGGTTTGTTGCTGCTTCAAACAACCCCTGCTTCCACTCCATCACAAGTTGCACAGGCTCTTGGTCGCACAAAAGCACGACGTAGCAATCGACACATCCGCCGTCGCCGCCGCCACAACCAACAACTTATCCACAATCCTCGCCTCCGCCTCCCTGCCCAACTTCATCAGACACGTGTGAAATCCCTTCAGCGCCCAAACATTGTTCGGATGCTGCAAAGCCCTCGGCAGAGTCTCATCGAACCCCAAATCCGCACTAAACACCTTCGCCGCATCCTCCACATGCCCCTGCTCGAGCAACAGCGCCCCCAGCGCATGCCGCGGCGGCTGCATCCAACCCCACGGCTCATCATAGGGTAGATCATCACTCAAATGCACGGCCCTCCGCAGCGCCGCGAACGCGACCTCGTACTCGCCACGACGATACTCCAATTCCCCATCGAGCATCGCTGCGCCGACGGCGAGGATATCGCGGCAGGTATTGTTGAAGAGCGTGCGAGTCTCGAGCACGCGGGCCATGGCTCGAGTGAAGAGTTCTCGGGCCTCGCGGGCTTCGTCGATGCGGCCCAGCGCGGAGAATGCCATGCCCCGGCCGTAGTACGTCATGGCCGTCGTGACGCAGTAGAGTGTGCGATCGGGAGGGAATACGATCTCGAGAATCTCGGACCAGCGGCCGAAGCGGATGAGGACGTGGATTCGCATCGACAGGAAGCCTTCTAGCCAGTCGGCCATGGGCGGCGATTGGATCCGCAGGAGATCCTCCGGTAGAGATGCTTCGAGCTCGGAGACGGTTTGTAGGGCTACTTTGAAATTTCCGGCGAATTTGGCGGCGTAGATTCGGAAGTGGTAGTCGTGGGAGCGGTATAGGGAATAGAAGTTGAGCGCGCCGGCATGAGCCAGGTAGCGTTCATCGGCTCTGATGGCGTCGAGATTGGAGGTCATCGCCTGCCGGTAGTCTCCACATAGGATGTCTATGTGTGTGGACATGTGATTGAGGTGGCCGGCATCTGGACACAGCATTCGAAGTGCATCGGCCGCCACGAGCGCCTTCTCAGGTGTAGGAGACATTTCCATGAGATGAATGTACAGATGGAGGATTCCAGGATGCCGAAGACCATCTACGTGGGCCATGGCCTTTTCCAAGACTGCCTTGGTTTCCGAAGTGCGACCACCGTCCCGAGGTTTACCGGTCTTCACGTTCCAGAGACTCCAGGGAGTCAAGTTCATTAATGCATCTGCGTAGAGAGCTGCTATGTCTAGGCTGTGACCATGAGTTTCATACACCTTCTGCATAGCATGGGCGTAGCCTGCATCCCATCTCGAGTGATCCGCCGCTGCATCATTCTCCGGATACCGGTATTCGAGGGCATCGATGAGTGCTCGCTCAAGAGGGGTTGCACTGTCTGCAATGGCTTGCTGTTTGGCCTGCTGGCCAGCCTGATGTGCCCTTGCAACATTTCGTTCTAATTCATCCCGATCGAAGATCTTCCATGGCTTATTATAGTTTGGTCCTAATGCGTATGCCAGACCCCAGAATGCCATGGGGTTCGCATCCGCCTTAATGCTATTCTCAAAGCAGATGATTGCTTCTTCGTGGTTGAAGCCATAGCACCAAATCAGTCCACGATTGAACCATGTTTGCGCGGATGCAGATTTAGTCGTGATTTTCCATTCATATGTTCCTAGATTGAAGTAATTCTCGTGCGTGATAGTCGACGACATTGGCTCCGTGGCCGACCAATATGCAAGATGTCAACTTATGGAAATTTGCGAGAAACGGGATTCATGTCCGAAGATGCTCTGTCTTGACGAAGTTTCGAATGGTCGGGCAATGTCACAAAAATAAGAAGTTCAGATTCGAAATGAAGGTGAGGTCCAATGCGTCGTCGGAGCAGGGTCCTCGTCTGTTGTTGTGCCCCAAATCGTACATCGCGTGGCTCTGTGATGTCACCGAAACAGCTGCACGTCACTACAAGTCGCACACATATCTCTATTCGCTCGTCCACGTAATGCAAGCGTCCAGATGCATACTGGAATCCGATTAATTTCTCGACACTTCGCCTTCACGACATTCAATCGTAAAGCAATAAATTGTACAATTATCGCGACCCGCTCAAGATTTTCAACCATGTCATGGATGGACTCATGGTCAAGGCCATCTGCCAATTCGAAGATCCCAGCACCACTATATCTTTCCCACGAAGATGTCCCGTATTGCCACACATGCGGTCGTGTAATGAGCTCCAAGAAAGCGACCAAGAAACAAACAAACATTGTCAAATACTGCTCAGACAAATGCCGCTCACGCAAACCCGGACCGATCGACCGCAAGATCGAACGGACCATTACCGCCTTGCTCAATGAAGAAGAAGATTCTGGAGTTCAGAACACGGCTTACAAGTCTAGAGTGGTGAAGGGCGATCACCGTGTCGTCGTGACCTGCGATGAGATTGAAGAAGCCGTCTTTGGCAGCCGCTTCGATCCCGAGAAAGTCTACGGACGACGGAAGAATCGTAAAAGCCGTGCGATCGGCGACCCCAAGGCCGAGTGGAAGAGCGTCGACATGGACTCGGACCACATGACTCACAGCGAAGAGTCCGAAGATGACCGGGACTACGACGAGAACGACGCCGTGCTCGGCGTCCGCGTGCGACCTCCCCAAGCGGAATCTGAGGTCAATTTCAGCGTTGGCGGCGAGCGCGGCAAGGCAGAGAAGATCACCGAATCGAATGATGATCGAGAGAAACGACTGCAGGGTGCCAAGCGTGCTGAGGAGAGAGAGATGGTCCGGCGGGCGGCGAGGCGAGGGATTGTGTTCGGATTCAAGGTTGCAAAACGCCATGACTCGCCGCAGAAGCCGCAGCGGCGGTCCAAGGCGAAAGCCGAGGCGAAAGGAAGCGCTTCCGAAACTGAAGATGGGGATGAGGAGACCGAAATTCGCAAGGCGGAAGCGCTGATGAACGGCACTGTAGTGGAGCCATCGTTTGCGAAGGGTGACTGGTCGATTCGATGGCGAGAATAGCGAGATGGGATTGAGTACTCACATCCATCTCCTCTCTATAGTCGAGTGGATGTATAGTACGAACAGTGAGCTGAATCGTTAGAACAAGAGCGTGATGAATGGCGCCTTTCAGCGCTTTGGTCCGGCCGATTCTTGGCCACCAATATCAGTGTATCAATATTAAGGCAGAAGTTCTCAGTGTCCAAGCACAGCCTTGGTGCTCCAGATCGGTAAAATCCGAACTCAATACATCACCATAGTGGTCGAAATGGTTCGGGTCCGACAAGTTGCTTAATCGACAACCAGTTCGATTGACCAAGTAAAATACATGTATAGAATCCAGCAAGACCCAAATATGAGCACTCTGTGATATGCGCCAAATACTCCGTGCGTACCGCGCTAAATGAATCAATGCCGATATTGGGCCACTGGGTACTGGCAGCACTGCTGGCTAAATCAATCATCATCGACGAAGCTCCCTCCGTCTCCCACGAAGCTCCCATCATTGCTTTCTCCTCTTTCCATCTCTGCGGCGGTAGCTGTGGATTGAGAGACAATGCTAGTCGTGCTGGCCACTCGTTGGAGCTTCTGCCGTTTTTTGACATGCACCTCATCGTCGTCGTCATCTTCATCTCCACCGTCATTCAACTCGTCGCGGTCGCGCTTTCCATCACCTGTTCCTGAGGGCGCTGGCGATGACCGAGCGCCATTGACTCGTGACGGCGGTGCCAAGCTCTTTGGTATCTTGCCTGTTGCTCCGCCACCTGGTGTCCCACCCACTCCTTCCTTCTTTGCTTTGTCTTTTAGACCTTTCTTCAGCAGCTTTTTCCGCACGCCACCTCCACCGCTCCCAGCTCCTGACAGACCTCCATTGCTCTTCGATGATAGCGCCGCATCGTCGTCATCATCGTCGGCCGCATCTTGACTGGGATTTGGTGTACCTCCGCGTGATCCTGCCGGTGTTGCGCCGTTGTTCATCTTCGCCATCGCATTCCGACTCGCCGCTCGTCCGCTCAAGCCCATGCACTGCTCGAGATGTTTCGCGAAACGAGTGATGAGCAGACTACGCTTGCAGCTAGGGCAGGTATGCCATGGAACGTACTCTCCCTTTCGGAGCTTTTCGTCAATTTTGCTGGCCTTCTTCTCGCCCTTTTCCAATTTCACAGTATTATTGGCAGCACCGTTGCCATCCTCGTGTGAAGGCGAGCCTGGGTTGGCTCCATTCTGGTCGTTCGCATCCTCGCTCGCGGGTGTGCCCTCTCCCTTACTGTTCTTCGCTGCAGCTTCACGCTCTTTCTTCGACATAGGACGGCCGGTCACGTCGGATTTGAGGAAGGGGTTACCATAGATGTCGTGACCAGGTCGGCGGGACCAGGGCCGAAGGTCGCAATAGATGGTGCTGGTTGGTGGATCACTGGTTGCGCCGCGGACTTTCGGCGCGAGTGGTGGATCGAGTAGTCGTGGGAGTTTGCACGTTTCGCAATGTGGTAACCGAGTGCTGGGATCCAGTTTCGTGAGCATCAGTTTGTGTTCATGGTGTTTGCGGATTACGACGTCGTGGATGATATTATGTAGTGTATCCTCGAGAATGCGCTGGGCGATGCGCGCCAAGTTGGAATCCGATGACTTGGACATGGCGAGATGAGCTCAGTCGCGTTACTGAGCGCGCGCCCGAGATATCGACGATCGTGCCTGCTGTATCATGTGGTCGGAAATGTGAGAGATCCCCTTGAAGCTATCTTGCATGTTCGGTCATATCGGCATGGTCCAGCACAAGTTGTGGGGCTTCGGATCTGACGCCGCGGCGGTGCTTTGCGCGATATGAATCCGAGTATGGTCTGTACTTCGCAGCAATTGTCTGGAAAAGGCAGGAGGGTGTTCGCGCGTTGCCGGATGGGACAGCCCTTGCGATGCGACAAGATACTTACTTGTCGTATCAAACAAAATTTACGCTGCAATGGGCGCGGGACACGTCCGAAATGCGAGCGATCGGCTAGATGTCACATCACGGACGATGGATGCAGGGTCACGTATGTAATGGCCGTTGACGGCACGCGATCTGTCCGCGACCGCCAGTCACGTTAGGGTTGGTCTCTTAGGTTTGGGGTTGGATCAATTCAGTAAATCTCGTCGACCTTCTTCAGGGGGGAATGTATAATAATAAGATTGATCAATTCACGGCGACTACAGTGCATACATGATGTTGCAGTGGTTCCGCCTAGACTGGCCTTGTGCTCATTGCTCGCGGAATCATCTCACCAGATTGGGACGGAAAGCTTGCGACCCAGCTCGTGGATCAAACATGCAGCTTGCCCAACAAACTACGCCGCAAAGTATCGTGACAATGTTGTCAGCACTAGATACGTGGGTCTCAATGAGTCACTGTCAATACCTGACGCACTGCACTTGGCTCTTGTAGAGGAAGTGATCTGCTAAGAGTGTAAACTTTCATGAACTGTGTGGCACAGGCAGGTGTTATGAGACCGGAGCCACACGCTGTCAATTTCAATCATTTGTTGACGCCCAACACTGTCCAACGACTCCTACTGAAGAAGATCTAAATCCTCATTCGCAGCCACCACCTACCTAAAAGGAATCTTTGTCGAGAGCACCGGGATTGAATTGACCTAACGACGAGTCATCGCGGAACTCCAACATGAGTGCCTTCACCGAAGCCAATCGAAAAGCGTTCAAGTAAGTTGGGTCTTTTCCAGGCCATCTACACCCACCAAAGCAAGTCATGTCCTGACCACTCCAAGCGACCTTTCCGCGGAGTACGACACGAAGCCATGGCAGCACAAGATCGCCAACCAGGTTGCCGAAGCTCTACAATCCCGGAAAGATTGGCTCGGAGCTCGTCTGATAGATCCTGCGAAGCCGATTCCTTCACCCGAAACTCCTGAAGTCCGCCTATTGGATTATGCTTGTGGTACTGGCTCCATCACTCGTGCATTAGGACCCTATGTGCACACGATCCGCGGCGTCGATCTGAGTGACAACATGGTCGTCGCGTACAACACCGCGGCGACAAAGTCCGGATTGACGCCGCAGCAAGCTCGAGCCGTAGTCGGAGACTTCTGCGGAGAGGAGCAGCCAGCAGCCGGCTCGGAGTTGCAGGGCGCCGAGTTTCACGATTTCGATATCGCAGTAATCGGACTAGGTTTCCATCACTTCGAAGATACGACACGCGCACTGCGGCGTCTCAGAGATCGAGTCAAGCCAGCAACGGGCGTGGTCGTGATCGTAGACTTCCTGCCGTCCGATACACCCCAGCACGGACATCACCATCATGGTCACCATCACGGAAATCGTCACGCGCATCATCATGGTCACAAAGAAGCCCACGAAAAGAAACCAGGCCAGGAGTTCCCGGAGATGCAACATACCATCAAGCACGATGGGTTTACCAAGGAGCAGCTGCATGGCATGTTCACCGCAGCTGGACTGGAGGATTTTGATTTTGCGGCTTTAGAGGAACCGTCTGTGATGGAGCTTGCGAGCGGTACAGTGACCAAGACGTTATTCGTGGCCAAAGGGCGACGCGCAGCAGATTCAAATTAGCCATGGCAGTAGTGACACCACAAATTCAGTGGGAGGGCCGAGATACAGCCCTGCTTGGTAATGCTAGTCTTTTCGATACGACATTGTCACGTCCCAAGCCAGCGTGAGCAGATTCGCTCATGGCGCTCGTGATCTGTATCATCTCAAATTATCTGCGACCCTGCTTCATCAAGATCACAAGGTTCCGGGCCCGTGGCCAACGTGCTAAATGACCGCATTCGACACCAAAAAGTGATAAACAAAGTCATAAATGGTCGGTCCGGGATTACTTATCCACACGCAGGTTCTTCGGCGTACAATTCGCGATCCCCAGAGTTTCCCCCGTAGACGCCACCATCCAAGATCCACTGCTCATTGTCATCTTCATCCATCTGTACACGACGCCAAGTTGTTCGTTTCTCCCTCACCGTATCCTTGCCCTTGGCCTCTCGTGCCACGGGCCGAATCAGACCCGATGCCAAAGGATTGCGGCTGAATGCGCCACCACCACCGGTCGTTTGGACCGGCGCGGCATAGTCATCGTCATCCTTGCCGTCGTCGTTAGAGTTGAAGTCAGGGTTTTCGACCTCCGCCATACGCTTGACAATCCTCCCTCCAACCAGATCAATGCTAGCAACGACTTTCCTTTTCTCGTACTCAGGCCGTGCGTTCCATTCGATTTCCCGTAGTGCTTTCTGCTGTTTCTTCAATTGCTGTGCGCGTTCCGCAGGACTCGCCCACATGTTTGTGCCGGCGGTCGGGATGTCGTAGTCGGCCGCCTCGTCCCGGATGTGCGTCCGGCGCGCATTGTTCGCCTGGAAATTGAGAAGCTTGTCTCGATGGGCTTGTGCTTTGGCGCCAGCTTCGTCATCCGAGCCTGCTGGTGTCGCGGCAGTGGAGGAGAGTGGTGATGGGGCGGCGGAACTTCGTCCGGATAACGCGGCGGCGTTTGCGAGGAAGTCCCTTCCAGTGTATGCTCGTGCTTTACCTTGTGCGACGTCGGCGCGCTTGTGCGTGGCGTTGTTTGCTTTCATGCGCTCTTCGCCACGCTCCTCTTTGAGTACCCTAAGAACCTTTTGGATATCGTCGGCATTTAAGAGCGGCGTGTTGCAGAATGTGCATGGCCCTAGACCTTGCTTGATGCAGATGACTTTCCCACAGTTCAGACAGTTTGGTGCCACGTCAAGCAAAGGATGTCTTGTAGCCATGCAATTACACATACGCTCTTTATTATCTATGGCTGAAGTAGTAAATGCAGGATTTGTTTGTAACTCAAGACTTCGAATTGCAGAGTCAAGATCACTTAAAGCAGTAGATGCGCCATGCATGGCTGTACCGCCAGTGATGTTGACTTTGGTCTTCGTGGCAGGCGCCGAGGACTTGGACGATTGTGAAGAGCCGCCTTTTTTCGATGATAATGCGTCTGATATCAACGGACCAGCCGCGGATGGAGGAGCCTTGGAGGTGATTGGCTTCGTCGTCAGCGAGGCATCGTCAGTGATGAGCGGGAGCTTGGTTGCATCAGGCTTTTGGCGAAGTGCAAGATTATCTGCAACCTGGTCTTTGTGCCTTTGGCGTGCCGCCGTGGGCATGTAGTCGTCCTCGTTTCGCTTCTGGTAAGCCCCAGCAACATCACCGGAATCTGCAATCCGTCGCGGCGGTAATGCATGGATTTGAGGCTTTTTCTTTCGCGGCTGCCGTGCTTGGGACGGACCTGGTCCGGCAGGTTGCGGAGTCGTGGCGTTCGTCGGGGCTTCTGATGGAGGTGTCGACACGGAAGGCTCTTGTCTCCTCTGGTTATAGCTTGTAATGAACTCTAGAACTTGTGGTCTACCACCCATGAGCTCAGCCAGATGGTCGGCAGCAGCCTGTTTTGATAATGAATTTGTATAGGCAATGACCGCTTGTGCCGAGTCCTGATCCAGCCCGAGAATCTGTGATAGTCGTGGGACTGCCCATTGTTCCACAGATGCAGCCATGTTGTCGACCGAGCCTTTTGACGAGCTTTTTTCAATATTTGATTTTTCTTACCAAATCAAATCGACTGCGGTCCTTCCTACCAGTAGACTGTGACTCAGTTGGTTTCCACCGTGAACCAGAATTCTGTTGTAATTTGTACGAGGTTCGGAGCAAACAGCGGGGTCCAGATATCTACGGATTCCTACTGCTTTCGAAAGTGCTGACGTATGTATGATCGCGGACACCTTTCCCGGAATACCTTTTCGAACGCTCTCTCCTTGCACCTCTAGTCCGTCAAATCCATGACTCTATTCTTCGTACATCTGATGACGGACATCGCGGGAGCGCGCATCGAGTCACGGGCCGGGCCCGGAGGGAAAAACGACAACCGGGTTCCGATCACTAAGAACTCTCCAGCGCCTTCGGAAAGGACCGTACCTTGCTCACAACGTCACGTCTGAAATGGATGCTCGGTTAAACATGCAGGCGTGTTGAAAGCATCTGAATTACGATCGAACGTGGAGTGTGCGGCGATGGAAAATGCGCAGAGTTGCAGAATTTCAGAAACCAAAATTACATTCGCACTGAGTACAGTCTTGCGCAAAACACGCTCCGCTACGAATCACGATACCTCCCTAGCCGTTTCGTTGCCGAATCCTCTCTTGATCATATGATAATTCCATCTGAAAGTAAAGAAAAAAGAGCTCTCACATGTTAGCTCAACGAAAATGCTCGTCTGCCCACAGATATCGCTGACAGCGAATCTGCGGTGAGCAAGTAGAAAACAACGAGATTGTCACCCAAACAAGAATACAGTGCAGTAAAGACAGTCGCTGACCCCTACTTTAAGCAAAGCAGCCTCCCAGTGATCGCAAACATGAACAAGTCAAGAACTTCGCCTTTCGTGGAAATAATGGCGAAAATGGGTGCGCGAATGTTTTCTTGCAGCCCTCATCATCCACTCAGGTCAAATCCCGAGTCGTGCCAAAAGGCGCATCAATCACATTCTACGCAATCTGCTCTCTTGGCTGAAGCTGAAGAAGGAAGTCGTCGGTCTGAACTCCGACATCTTTCGTTTCGTTGCGATAGCGGATTTCTTGGGGTCGATCCATGGGAGGAACGCCGCCTGGGATACCGCCATTTTCTGCGAGTTGGGTTAGCAAATTCATGTCAAGCCCGAAGGATGTGATGATGGGGGAAGAAGTGCTTCGTCGTAACGGCTGCCGAGTTTCGTAATGCGGCAACGAGATTGTGGGGTTGGAAGCCACAAGACCGATTGCTGATCAGTCGCTTTGGTGCGCCAACAATGATAAGGCAGGTGTTGAGAGATACGTAGTGCCGTGCTTTAGACGAGTAGGAAAGACAAAATGCTAAACGCTGAGCAAGGAAATAGCAAATAACGTACCAATAGCATTCATGCCAGTCGGGTCGGGATACGCGTAGCCAGGAGCATCACTTGAACCACGAGAGCCTTGTGTCGCAGGGTTAGGTGGCACCATGGTAGGCGTGTGCGGTTCATCATTGGGACGCTTACGACCAGGTTCTCCAGGAGTTTGCTGTTGCGGCATCTGGCCACCAGCTTGAGGTTGCCCATACATAGGTGGCGGCTGGTGATAGCCTTGAGGCGGTGGCGGATACTGGCCCGGTTGCTGCTGGCCTTGCTGCGGTTGCTGCTGTTGCTGTTGCTGTTGGAATTGATCGCCGCGACCGTGCGAAGGAAGCGGTTGACCATAGGCGCCATAGAGCTGTGTATTTGCTGGTGGCTGTTGTCCACGCCAAACAGTGTGGGCAGGCACGAAAGCTTGAGCCTGAGAGCTCACTGGAGTGAAGACACATTCCTGCGAGAATCGCTGACAGTTGGTGCAGCGACCATCCTCAGATTGATCAAAGCCAGAACAACGAATCTGTACCTCGCGCGTGAGTTACACATCTCTGGAGTTTTAGGTTAGTTGCGACGGGCTTACCTTGCGTCTCCGACAGTAACGACACGCGATGGCGGTCCTCTGACGCGGTGCTGGTTGCGCGGCTTGATACGGCATCTGTGGTTGCGCATAGTGAGGGTTGTAGATGGCCTGCGGCGGCGGGAGCGCGCGATATTGATCGGGATGTTGCGGTTGCAAGGTCTGCATGGTCGGCGCGCCTTGAGTCATCGGCTGTGAAATGGGCGGAATCTGTTTTGTGTGATCGACATTCACGTTAGAGACGTCCGCAGACAGAGCAGGATCGATAGAGCTCATGATGAAGCGATGCGATCGGCAGTTTCGCCGCGATGGATGATGATGATGTTGATGAAAAAGCGCGATGAATTGTTGAAGGGTGTGTGTTGTTGTGACGTGTACCAATTTGTTGGCAGCGGTGCAAGTTTCGAGGTGGTAACAAAGCAGGCAGAGATGAGGGTTTGGAGGCAAGAAGGCAAAATGGAATTGCGTGGGCGACGCGGAGTATGGCAGTATAAAAGGCCGGGGGACACGGTCGATGCTTGGCGGGGTGCATGCATGTCATTAGGAAATTCCGGACTCACCTGTGCATTCGCTTGTTGATTCTGCCTTGGCGGGTACTGCGCATTGGTTTGTTGCGGAGACCATTGTTGAACTCCTTGGTTTGGGAACATCATACAGCGAGTCTGAAATGAGTCTGATGTTTATGATATACTAAGGATATCCAGGTGTTTTCGATGTTGGGTTGACGCGCCGAACGGGAGGAAAGGGCCGGGACGGACGCGGACTTGAACGAGACGACTATGCGACAAGACTGTTTGATGGTGCCACTAGGTCCTCTGTCCGCCTCAAGGCTCCGTCGCGATCACGAATTGAGATCGCGGCAGAATGCTGGTCGGCGTCGTGTTGGCGCTTCGTTCTGTATTAGCAAGTTCGTGTCTGAAGGTATGCGCGCGCGAGCGGCTTTGTTGCTCGCTGAGGGGAATGCGTCGCGCGCGACCGCAGTGAAAGCAACAACGACGAACAATGTCAGCAGTATTCGTCGCGGGTACAATGATCGACCGTAGCTGCGTTGGATACAGTCGACTGGATGTTGATGTTGCAATCAGATCTACGCGACTGATAAGAAAGTAGGTATGCGCATGTGTGTTTTTCCTCTCACTTCCTCCTGTGGACGCAGCAATAGAAGGAAAAGAAGAAAGGGAACAAAATGCAAAGAAAGAACAAGAACCGCAATCGACAATTTGCTTTACGCGCTGCTCCTCGGACTGGTCCTCCGAGCTTGCGACAGCTATACAACGTGCGACTGAAATGTGAAAGAGAGAAGATCTGACGGAGCGGCTCTTGATCAAGGACGGGCGAGCGGACGGCGTGTTTTAGTGGGGTAGAACGGGCAGTTTATTAGCATCAAGGCAAATCACTTGCGACACTTCCGTCGGTATGAGCAGAGACAGTCCGGGATAGTGGCAGCAGCCTGTCCGCCCGAACTTCCAGATGCTTGGCCCTCAAGGGTAGGGGACGATAGTGGAAGGAGGGATTGCCAGGGCAGGATCTGACGTGTGACGAGCAAATTGAGAGTTTGCTCGTTGGCAGGCAAATCGCCGGTGGCATTCTTGTCTTGTTGAGCAAGACAAGTACCTTTCTTCCATTACCGAGGAACGCTTCATCTGCCCGAGTCGGAGGACGAACAGCGACGACGGCGACGACGACGACAACGACTACTACTACATTCTGCGATTTACGACAACCATCACCAACGGTGACGTGAGCTACCACCTGCACCTTGGGCAGCGCGACCGCCCTTTTTCCCGCGCTGGAGAGTGTTCCATAGCGGATCGTATCGTATCAGAGAGCGGGAGGGAGGGAGGGATGGGATGGATGCTTCGGCTCGATTCTAGGAATGGGAACCGTTGGTGTGAAGTGTGTGGTGTGAGCGAGCCGAACAGCCAGAAACGTCACGCTGCCCGTCCCGCAGTGACCTGACACACCAGTGGACGGTAGTCAAGCGATGCATCACCTACGTCGAGAACTGGAGCAGCGTGAAATATCTGTTCCTTCGCAGCGCGCGTTTTCCTCAGCGACATGTGGTCCATGCGCTTGGTGTGAGAGGAGGATAGGCTTCGAAGGTCCGGGGAGGTTGGTGATGCGATGCGGATGCAGGTCAGGTCACGATTCACATTGTGAAATAAACGAGAGCTTGTACTGTGCTACATAATTCATGTGAGGGAATGCACGGCTCCGCACACCTGCACACGCGCCCACACACACATGCATACCACAGACTTTCACTCTTTGGTCATCGTTGGTCTTTCTCCACCACACCCACAAGTTGCAAACATGCTGTGTATGTATGCATCCTGCACGCCCGCCTAGCCACGGGCCCGCAGATGACTCTGCTGTGCATGGCTCACCTATCATTCTTGCCAATGAACGCTTGCCACCTTCCGCCCGCCTCTTTCCGATGTGCATGAGGGTACGATTTGTGTATGCGCCAGGACAGGAGACCTGGTCATTTGCAGATCCTGAGAATTAAAAATCTGCATTCCATATTCCCTCACAAGCTGAATTGACAACGCTGTTTGATTGGGCCTGCACCGTATGTTGGGCGTTCACGTTGGTCTGTTCCCCGATGCGCGCCGTCAGACGATGGCCAGGGTAAATGCACGCTGCCGTTCCGCTGACGGACCGAGGCGACCGCACAGGTCGACCCAGCCATGTGACCGTTGAACTTGCCCGGATGGAGATTTCAAGAGACATCAACGAATCGACGAAACAAAGACGACCGCAGTGGATCTCGAAAGAGAATTTATGCTGGGCTGACGATCAAGCATGCCACAAAGATACCACATGAGTGACACGGATACTGTCACCTGTGCGCATCACAAAAAGATAATGCATGGGCCTCGCAACTCCTCCCACGCCTTGTACCCTATAAAACAAGGACACCTGCACTGATGTTGGGGTGCGGCACACACACGTCACTCCAGGACGTGTTCACCGAATAATTTTCTGCTGTCGCCGGGTTACTGGAACAGACAGCCGGGGATTGCCGTTTACGGTTATGGGCAAGGCTTTTCAATCTCCGTCATCATTGATGTCCTGTTACTGTTGTGCTGTCGGATGAATGTGAAAACGTGAGAGCGTCAGGACGCGCACCCACTACCTTGTCCAAATCGTATTTCATATCTTTGAAGCTTAGCAAGCGGCATCGAAGCTGGCATCGGCCCGCAATCGTATGGTGAAACGACGATGCCCAAATGTTGCGTTGCTTAACGTTCAATGTGCCGACGGGACAATTGTGGTGATGAGGACCCGGTAGGTGCTCCTCGAGTAGCTTGTACTAGGACGAGACGGCGTGCCAACGCCCAGCTAAATCTATGCCGACATTACGCAGATCAACTTGAGACTGAACCTCCCGTGCCTCGTGGCAAACTATGTACGGCGTCCTCATCCGCAACCATTTCTGCCCGACGCGACCAGCGCATGCGTGAATCATACCTGATGTGCTCGCGAGCGAACGACTCAGCTGCGCCGCAAGCGGGTCCAGGTTGCTTCGACGAGGATCGCGGCATTGCCGGACGGTCGCTGGTGAACAGGCGTGGAAGTGCGGCGGATTGTGTAGGCGGACTTCAGAGAGACTGCCGAGACCCACGCGTCATTGTGATTTATCCTGCACCTTGCATCGCATCGCTTGGGCTGAAGGAAATAGGCTGGACGCCTGTAGGATGTCAGCACGTCCCGCTCGACCGGACGTCCGTTGGAGGTTCTCGAGCAAAATGAGCGCACAGCTGCGCACTTGCGTGGAAAAGCCAGGCGCCTCCAACCAATCAGCTGAATCAGCCCCTCCAATCAGCGAAATTGCAGCGGAAATGATTTTCGGGGAGAGCCGACAGCTGCAGCTGAACGGCGGGCTAGTCGCTCACCGTCCAGGCCGTGCTGGGGCTGTTGGAAAGTATCGCCATCTCAGCACTCATCCACGGCATCAATTGTGTTGACCGTCACTCTCAGAGAAATTGTCAACAATTGTCTGTCCGCTCACAAGAATGCTTCTACGAGGCAAAGCTAACGTTGCGATCCCGATAAAAACTTGGTCGTGCGAATTTACGTTCCTCATGGTCAGAATCGGCTGATGGCAACGAAGAACGATTTAACCTGGACCATATTTTCTGCCAGCTCTCCAGGCGGCAAAGGCACCAGGGTGAGAGTGATGGCGCGCGACTCTGCTCGGCGCCTATACAGTACCTGCATGAGAAATCAAGCTGGCTGGGCCCGCAATTGCAGTCATGCAGTGTGTGTGATCAAGATTCAGTGCTACCATTTGAGATTACGATGATATGAGCATGATGTGGATCCTTGTTAGACTGTGGGCCCAAGGACTGCAATCCATCTTTGTTTTTGCCCGCATGGCGAAGGCTAGAATCAAGGACACAATTGCTGGCTTAGATGTACAGCTCTTTTGCTCGAGTCCATGCAAGGCACAGGAGTTGCAATATCGAGAAAGCAATTGGCCGGAGTTGGAGAGGCGTTGAATATCCCTTTCAGCCCTTCTCCGGGCCTATATTCTGGAAGAGGGAGCAAACTGGCGATCAGCGCAAATTCGCAGCTTTAGTGATGGCTGCAAGGAACATTGATGTCGCAGCGTTGCGATGCATTCTATGCATAGTATGTGCTATCGTGGAAATATGTTTCACACCCTCTGACAGTAGTGTCCCGGCGATGAGGCAGCTATCTTTCCTTGCCGCTGGGCTATGATGGGAGGATGATCTTGTTCATTCCTTCATCAACTGCTGCAGCCAGATGGCACCGGTCGCCTTTTTCCCCGATTCGCGAGGGTGTAGCGCGTCTCGGACCTTTGTGCACATTGACCCAGGTAAGCCTAAACGCAAGACTACCCTGAGCTAGAGCGCAATTTTGACGAGCAAACAAGTCACTGAGCACATCCAGAGTCTTTTCGTGTACTTTTCTTGGATTTTGAGAAGGCATCCGGACAGCGAAGCAGACGATTGCAGTCGCTTCTGGGAGAACAGAGCTTGTGACACATGCACTCCGAAAGGGAAAAGAGTGAGCGCATTGGCGTCTACATGGGCACTGCGAATGCACATTGCTGTGCCGCAATCCTCCGGCCGCCGCATGTGAAGATACCTACCTAGGTAGGTACTCAAGGTCTGGACCTCATTCAAAATTGCGCTACATGATCTCAGTGCCTGATCACTCGGATAATTCTGAGCACAGAGGTAGCAACTGTGCTTCATAAGGATGCAACGCAACGTAGATCTGCCATCTTCAAGACCTAACGGGAAAGTCGGATTCTTCCAAAACTGCCACGATAATGCGTACTTTGCTACAGCGAATGTCTCCACTTGTATTACTCTGATGCGATTGCTGCACAGTCCTCGCACAACTCTCGTAGGCTTCAGAGATATCGCATTTCTGGGATAAGATGTGACGGCAGTCGGTCCTCAGGAACGGTCGTGCAAAAGTAAAAGAGTCAATTAAGGCAGACGACTGGAATGTGAGAGTGCAGACGCATCCTGCAGTTGCAAAGTATCCATCAAATCCCAACGTTCGTTTGACATGGAGGGTGACGCGGACTCGCTATGCTGTCACGTGATACTAGCTTCATGCGTGCGCGGGAAGACTATCCCTCAAGTACGAAAGTCAAGATGCTTTGCTGCCCGCGGATACGGCATTCGATCCGGAGTCGACACGGTTGCAAGATCATCAGAGTGTTCCAGGAATGAGTTTCGTGAATTGGTGATCTGCCGGTGACTACTGCGGTTCAATGCGCAGGTACACTGATGTGAGATTGTCTCCATGGTTGCCCAACTGGACTCCTCGTTATTTCCGATAATGTTCATGTGACTGCGAATATACAAGACTGTCGAGCGTGTCGAAGTCCGCAATATATACAGTATTCACGGAATCTCCGGAAGAACATCCGGAATTTTTCCTGGCGCAGTTCATCTTTGTAGCGAGACACTCGCCATCCCACATGGAACCAGACTCATCCCAAATCGTGAATGATCTCATTCGGAATTCTCAGACTCAGGCTCATCGTCGCCGTCATCGTCGCTTCCAGCCTCGCTCTCGCTTTCTTCTTGCTCATCTGGCATCACCACAGAGTTCAAATAGGTTATCTGACAAATTGTTAGCCTCGGGCACGTGTGGTGGCTGTCGCTGCGATGAAGAAAAAACTCAAGACGGAGCCACTCGGAACGAATTGAGTTAAGATCGATTCCAAAGAGGTAACCCTCGTCTCCGAGCGTTTTGCGACCGATGTGTCTCATTTGTGAGACCATCGTAGTCAGTTGTACTATTTTCAAGCGTACCATGGAACGACTGCGACGCCGACCAAGCTTGCGACCGCTGAACCAAACATTTTGAGGCACACTCACCATCGGCTTTAGGCATGCCAGTAAACTGGTGATTCGCTCCATTCCAGCTGTGCCGAGGACCTCGTCGGTCGAGAGCTTGCGTCCTACGACATAATTTCTGAGCCGAAGCAGATCGATATCTGGGTGGTCACCATTAAATCCCTGTGAGAACGTCGGTTAGCCCTCAATGTATTGTGGTGTGGCGCTTCTGCTGCGCATTTCAGTGCAGCTTTCATGAGCGCAATCCCTCCCTTCTGTCCTTCGTCGCTCAATTCGAGCTTGTGTACGATAGAATGCGTCCACTCGACCGTACACCCTTCTCCCGATTATAATTGCTTTTGTCTTGCTTTCGGTCTCTCTGACGAACCCTCGAGAGGCAATCTACTGCAAACTTATCGCACATGTCTCTTGCTTACGAACCCCTAGCACAGCTTTCTTTCTGCCGATTGCCCAAGCTCGTCATGCGTCAAGCCGATCTCACAGAAAAGGCTGCCTCATCCTGCCAAGGCTATGCCAGGGGCGGCAGGAAGCAAGCATAGCTTCGGGCAGTCCCATTAATCTAAGACTAGGCGCCACTGTTTGTGCACTTTCAGATTACAAACAATGGACATCCCGGTACCAGGAGTACCACTAGAGGGTCTTTCCGGGAGGCGACTCCCTAGTTTTGATTGCAGGGTCTTTTGCTCTTCTGTACCCATGTTTGAGCGATTCCCGCACCGCAGCGTGTATTGTGATGCGTGCGGCCACCATTACTTGCGCTTGCGTCACTCTAGAGAAGAAAAGTCACTCACCTTCGGCTTGGTCTTCAGCGCGTTCTCTGAGTTGGTCTTGACAAAAGCTTTCACCACCTGTGCATCAGTTTTGCCCACGTTTTCGAGAAATTCCCGGCGGATGCCTTGATCGCGCAGGACCTCCTTGAACCTTTTGGGTGCCCGATCGATGGCGCGGCGCAACGCAGCCAGAGGATCTGCATCTGGATGCCAGATTCCACCCCCTATGTTGATTGGGTCAGCAATTGAGCACGGCGCATATAGGTGTCGCAAGAGCAGAGACAAGTGGCTATGAGCAAGAGCTGGAACGGATATCCTCTGCTACACTGTGCGAGTCCTCAATCAAGAGGCTGATCAGGGGTTTTGTGTGCAACCAAAATATATACTGCTTTGCGAGATACGCGTTGTGCTGGTCGTTGTAGAGTGCTGCACTGTTGAAGGATGAGGACCACCCCAGGAAACAGCTTAAGTGGCTGACAGACTGAGCTTTGCGCGAGACTTGGCCATCAAAGTTGCGAAGGATGTCTCTCTCGAAATTCTCGAGGTCGGTGGTGACAAGAGCTCGCAACTAGATCCTTGCAACTGGACATACCAGTCGCATCGCTTGTACAATAGTCTCACGTTTTGCAGTGCTACACGATGGGTCCGCTCCGAGACACGGGCTGGGGGTCTCCGCGTGTCTTCGTCGTCACGAGCCAATATGTGCATCTCTCGGCCTAGGTGTTGCTGAGCTCAATGCAGCTGTTGACATTGGCGGCGCTGCGCGTTGAATACACTGCAGATGCCTGCACACTCGGGCTTTCAGCCTTCGAGAGCGTTGCAGCGCGTGAATTTTATACGCAAATGGATATCAAGCGTCAACGCGGCTCTGTACACCACACAATCAAGCCTAATGCGATATACTGTGCGTGATCGTGTCGCAGCCGGGACCTAGAGTTTGTAGTCCTGACGAGTGAATCACTTCATGTTGGTGAAGCGCACGGACGTGTTCGGCTGATTGTTTGGTTGAGCTTCCCGCTGAGGGCCGGGCCAGTTGCTCAAGCCTCGACATACCATGTCGTTCATAACCTGCTTGCTGTCCTGATACTTGCTGCTGTAACCAATGATCCTCGCGTTCTTGATATCTCGTTCATACGCCATTGGCCGAGTTTCATATAGCGTTTCTTGTCCTTTGTGGGATGTTCTGTTGTGTCATTCCAACTGACATGTTGGCCTTGGGACGTGTCAAGCCCTGGCTCAGGCCCATCGACGGGCCTTGGTGATGTATCCCAACGACGAACCAAGATAGCCTTGTGCAGCGTCTGTGTATGAGAAGCGCACTTGAATTCAGTTTCCAGCAGTCAAGTGCTGATGTCGTCCTGACTCCGCCAATGACCAGTCATTGCTGCAAAAGTATCGAACACTTCAACATGAATGGCAAGCATTGCTGAACTTCATACGCAAAGCGACAAGACATAGGCGGAGCCGCCTGATGGTGCTGAAAGAGCGCCCAAGCACGAGAAAGAGCCAGGAGAATTGACGCGTCGGGCATCAAGAGCAGACTGGCAATGGAGATATATATGCACCGCTGACCGCCTTCACCGTAATGGTCGTTTGGCGCGATGAACTGGCGCTCCTGCGCTGTGCTCCAATACTAAGTGGCTGCGCCATTAATTTGAGCGTAGTATGAGCACATTGCGCGGACAATGCAGGAATCACATCGTTGTTGGACCACTCCGCCTCAGCACTTGACGGGCTTGATGAGCAGGTCGACGATGCGCTCTAAAGCGGCGTAGACGTTGATGCTTGCAGACGACCAAACCTTACTCGTCACAGCTCACATGCACGATACTTCGTTGTCTGCAGCACCACAGAACCTTGACTCACCTATGTAACTTTTGTCTGCTCCAATCTGCAAGTAGTAATGTGCATATGGCGACTTTCTGCCGGCTCGCGACCTGTTTCCATTAAGTTGTTCTGTTAAATGGGATGCTGCAATGAAGTTGGACCTACCAAGCAACAGAAAAGTACGGCTGATTGCATTGCATTAGCGGGTGTTTTTCATGCAGCCAGATATGCAGCTACTCAGATGGACTTCAAGCTGGTTTGGAACCGCCGGACCGTGCATCACTTATCGGACATTGTCCGATATTCGGCATGCCGCAATGAATCATCATGAGTGGAAGTATTGAGATCATACGTACTTTGTATGGCGTCGGGTCCTTCGAAAATCGGACGTCTCGGTATATCCGGAAGATCTGCTCGGGCGAGTTCATATTTACCTAATCTTGGGACGGCATAGAAGTAAACATACCACGTCTTTGACTGGAAGCTCTGGAATAGAGTCGTCGACCTCGATGAGCTTCTCGGTAAGTTTCTCAACGAAGCTGTACCAATCCTTTTCAGAAGCTCTGAAATCGGCGTCATGCACTGTGTGTGTTTGTTAGTAGACTTGCACAACCAATATGAGTGCCAGTGTCATCGCTGTGATGTCAAAAATACTGTGATCGTAGGGTGCTGTACTCTTTGTACCAAGGTGTATCAGCCTCAAAGTCGAAATGGTCGGTGGATCATTCTGACCCATGACGACTTCTCTTTGCTTGTGAAGACACACAACGGTGTAATGTCATGCATCGAGTTTTCTTCCTTCGTGCGCCTGAATATGCACATATGGACATCTGGCGGGATATAATGATGGCATCCCCATGAACTTACTTTTCAACCACTCGCGATTGTTGTTGTCCTTTAATTCGTCTAGAAAGAGGAGGGTGTTCGGGTGAATCGTAGCGTCTTCATACGGTGTTTTCCCTGCAGGTCTTGCCTTTGGTCTTTTGATGATCACCTCCCTACCAGGACCAAGACCGGTCTTGACACCACTTCTCCAGACCTCGCTCTCACTGGCTCGCAAAGTACCAGGAGAAGGGTTGCCTTTACCCTTGCGCTTGCGAGGTGTCGGCTCGTCATCACTGTCGTCGATCTCGCCTTCCGAGGCACTTGCATTTTCAGATGCTACCGATACGCTCTCATCCACAAAGTCTGATTCATCAGGATCATCGTCTGTCGTTGGTTGCTCGATGCTTTGCTGATCTTCACCATAATCCGCGCTTTTGTCATCATCCGAGTGGAAATATTGGCTTTTCGTTGGGGTAGCTTGAAGCTTTTTGGCTTTCTTGGAGCCATTTGCTTTGATTTCGGTCTGTGAAGCAGCTCGCTTATGTGTCGCAACCTTTTTCGAAGGCGCTGAAGCAGATTCTTGCACGTTCGAATGGCGACCTGATCGTCTGACCATCTTGACTTGCTTCCGAGGAATATTTGAGATATTCAATGATCGGCGCGGAAAGGGCTCAAATCGGGGATGGATAAAGCGGCTTTTTGAAGGGCGCTCGGTCAGAGTCAGTGACTTGGATGTTATTTTCCAGTATGGTTACAATCGAGATTCTCTTTAAAGGTTCGTATTTCATTGCCATGATCCATGCGTACGATCTATGCAGCAGATGACGCTTCATGCGCGCTGCGGAGGGCCGTGCACCTGCTGGAAGGGCATTGTAGCTTCCAAAGACAAGATGCGAACACCTCGACCTTCACAGACAGACAACCCTGGAGCCCTGGAGACATGATTTACAGAGACAAATAGGAAGGTGCGCAGATCAGAGCATTTCGGCACTCCACCACGGAATCTGTGGCTACAAGGTGCATTGCTTCAGTTTCGGCTGGTGAAAGACAACGTCTGGACCCGCATGAAACAGATCTTCATAGCTATTAGTTGCGCTTGATGATAAGATCAAAATCAGATCTATCTCCAGCTGTAACAGGGGCTTGCTCGCCGAATCAAGCTCGCGAAATATAAATTAAGATTCTTGACCACCATATACAGGACGCATGCGCCATAACTCCATACCTAGGTACCTGATCAAGTAACCTCAGAGTCCCGACAGTGCCGCCTATACGCACACGACCTACCGCAGTCGACCGCATGAATATCCGGCAGTAGTTCTATTTCTCATGCCCTTTGAATGAATTCTGTCCATAGCTCCGCTCCCTGATATCTAGCAATTACATCCGCCCGAAGCACCTGCTGTGTTGCCGGATTCCTGTCGCGAGCCGAGATCAACACCTCCCGGTCGTCCTGCTGCGCCTCTCATGCCGCCACGCTGGCTTGCTTGTTCTATGGGAAGCTTTTTGGCGATCGCTGTGAATAGTTCCTTCACGTTCTCTGAAGTCTTGGCGCTGGTCTCGAAGAAGAGGAGATTTGCCTCTCGTGCATAAGCCTCCGCGTCGGCGGTCTGCACTGCGCGCTGATCAGGATGTTCCGCGACCAAATCGGCCTTGTTACCGGCGAGTGCGATGATGATGTTCTCGTTGGCCTGGCGTTGTAGTTCTTTCACCCAGGCTTTAGCTTTGTCTAACGAGCTCTGCAGATGTGTATCAGTCATGTTCATGGCTACAGCCGGTATTCCATCGTCTTACAGCTTGTGTAATATCGTAAACCACAACCGCGCAATTTGCATTTCGGTAATACATAGGCGCCAGCGACTTGTATCTTTCCTGTCCCGCGGTATCCCAAATCTCGAACTTGACGGTCGTCTGTTCGTCCAGTGCGATAGTCTGTGTCAAGAAGGCGGCACCGATCGTGGATTCTCTGTAGTCGTCGAATTGATCCTGTACCAAGGCTATCAGCTGGCAGCTCTGAATGATCGCCGACATCGACGCCCTGTCCGCTGTCGCACCTTTACAAATCGAAGCACCAGTGAGCTCTTTCCGACAGCCGATTCACCTGCATATCATCAGCTACAGAGTCATTCTCCGGCGCGAACAAAGCATTATACCCAGTAACACGAGCTTGAACTGCGCAAAGCGGGCGCCGCCTGGCCTTCCGCCTTGCTGCATCCTGGCGGCCATGTGTGGGAGTTCCGGAGTGTGAGATGATGTAATAGTCGATTTTCAGACACGATCGCTGTAAGTAACAGTACTTTTGCGACACTGGATTTGGAGGCGATATAAGTTGACTTTAGAGGTTGTTGCAACAGCAACCGTCGCCAGCCTGGAGTTGAGTCGCAGAGGCCGCGCACGTGCCGGATGGACGTGCGTCATCTTTGGTTTGTCCCGACTGGCCAACCAGGGTCGAGATATGTCCTGGCTGCGCAACTGTACATTCCAAGTCGAAACCAGCCCCGTGCACACTTATTTTACGACCTCAGACTATAGCGAACAATGCGATAAATCTCCGATCTCTCCCATTTATCGCAGGACAAGAAACTTACTTGCTGGCGAGTGAAGTTTCTACGCCATATCAAGCCGGGAGAGCACCCCGAAAAAAGCCGTCAATTAGCAGCAATGGCCTCCACAACCGCATTTCGGGACATCAACGTGCACGCGGCGCCAACATATTATGCCTTCTCATCGCCGACATCCCCTAACGCGCCGACGTTGGTGATCGACCGTCCGTCTGGAAATGTGCGTCTGAACGACAAACAATTGCTCGGCGGCAACCGCGTGTCTAGCATCTCAGGGATCCTCGGTATCATCAAGTGGCGTCTGAACAGCTATGTGATCATCATCACCAAGTCCCAAATCGTGGGGCGCTTGAAAGGCCACCAGATCTACAAGGTCGTATCAACCGAATTTCTTCCCATGCAAGAAAGACAAATCAAGCACCCTGACGAGGATACGAGCCTCGAGTACCTCAAGACTCTACTGCGTACTGGTCCCATGTACTTTTCCTATTCGCTTGATATTACCAATAGCTTCCAAAGACAGGCGCAAAGTGATCAACGAGAGCCTTTGTGGCAGAGGGCTGACAACCGATTCTTCTGGAACCGTTACATTTCATCGACGCTTATTGATTTCCGGCAAGGCAAAACTTCATCTCTACGAGCCACGTCAAATGCACAACCCGCTGTTGACCCGTACATTCTACCCGTCATGTATGGTATGATGAGCATCACCAACACATCCATCAAGGGTAACGCTTTGACTTTTGCCCTCATAACCCGACGATCGAGATTCAGGACTGGCACTCGGTACATGACTCGAGGTATCGACGAGCAAGGCAATGTTTCCAATTTCAACGAGACCGAGCAGACGATCATTCTCAATGACGATGCATCGGGTGGTTTGACCAGCTATGCAGGTGACCAAGGCTTCGCGAAACCAAAGCCCGTCAGTGGCAAAGAAACCCAGGTCCTGGCTTATGTTCAGACTCGTGGTAGCGTTCCCGTCTTCTGGGCTGAGGTTAACACTCTGAAGTATACGCCAAGGCTTCAGGTTCGAGGCGTAGAAACAGCAGCCAATGCCGCGCGGAAGCACTTTGACGAGCAGATCTCAACCTATGGCGACAATTACCTGGTGAACCTCGTGAAACAAACCGGGCGTGAGGTGCGCATCAAGGATGCGTACGAGCAGCTGGTCAAGATCCTCCAAACTTCGCCGCAAGAAAGATCAGAAGCCGACAGTAGGACCCCCGAGAAGTTCAACGTCATCGAATCCTCCGATCGTCGTAGCTGGTACGATCACTTACATTACATCTACTTCGATTTCCACCACGAGACCAAAGGATTGAAATGGCACCGGACCCGACTTCTTCTAGATCAGCTCAGCAACGGCCTGGTGTCGGGAGGCTACTTCCATGGCATCGACACGCCCTCTGGCGGCGTAGACATGCGCAGGAAGCAGACCGCGGTTGTCCGTACCAACTGCATGGACTGTCTTGATCGCACGAACGTCGTCCAGTCCATGCTCGGTCGGGAGATTTTGACTTCCATGCTCCAAAATGTCGGCGTGCTTCGCCCTGGCGAAACCGCACAGGACGACCAGACGTTCGAGCATCTCTTCCGCAACGTGTGGGCGGACAATGCGGACGTCGTATCCAAAACATACTCCGGCACCGGCGCATTGAAGACCGACTTCACGCGAACTGGCAATCGGACTCGCGCCGGCATGTTGCAGGATCTGAACAACAGCTGTACCCGATACGTGTGCAACAACTTCGCGGACGGACCCCGACAAGATGCCTTCGATCTCTTCCTCGGCAACTACTCCCCCGAATCGACCGGCTTGGGTGGAAGGCTACAATTTGCCGATCGGAGACCTCTCATCATCCAAGCCGTTCCCTATGTGCTTGGTCTTTGTGTGTTCTTCGTTGGTGTGAGCTTGAGCACAAGCCGGCTGCCCGATTCCACCGTCTGGCCTCTACGCGCCTTCACTTTCCTCTGTCTCGGCGTGGCTGGCTATGCAGGTCGTTTCATGTGGAACTATGGTAGTCTCTACGTAAGTTTGTTTCCTTATCAGCCATTCGTCACTGCAGTGTGCATTTGCTGACAGGACATACAGGTCAACTGGCCGAAGCTCAACACTCCGCAGTGGGCTGTGGAGGCGTATCAGGACACCATGGACAAGGTGGGCAAGGATCCGGTCGTCGGTGCCCTGCTCGGCTCGGGTAAGACTGATTCTCGCCTTAACATCTTGGAGGAAGGCAAGAAGCGACGCGAGTAGACGATCTCGTACCTGGACAGTGTTTTGACTATTCGGACTCTCTGGGTTCGGCTTTCCTGTGTTAAATAAATAATTGAATAGACCCAATAGCTCCTCCATTCCTATACCCTAGTTTGGCTCAGCGATGCTTGTCACTGGTGGACAGAGAATTGACTATTCCGGACACCCTGAATCATAATTTCGATGTGTCTATATTCACCATGACAGCAATTCCAACAGCCATTGCTATAAAGTTATCTTCTTATGCGTTTTAGTACAGATGGAACTTCGACCTCGAACCGCCCACCCATCGCAGGGTGAGTAACCTCCTGCGACATCCACTCATCGTCCAGCCTTCTCGATGAAAGCCTTCTCGAGCTTGCCGACCTCGGTCTTGAAGTTCTCCACCTCCTGCCAACAGTCCAGCGGCCGTCGGTCGTTGGTCCTCAAGCAGGACACGAGCTCCTCCTTGGCCTTCTCGACATTCGGCGGCAACTGCTCCAGCTTCTTGCGACTATCCAGCTTCGCGCGGAGGGCGGCGACCTCCTTGTTCACGCTCTGGTTGCTGCGGTTCGCATCCATTTTTTTCTTGTTGTCTGCCGCGGATTTCTCGCTGTGGTCCTGGTAGAAGGGGGAGCTCAGCGAGGCTAACAGGCCAGTTCTGCTGCTGGGCTGTTCTTCGGTGGGAGAGTCGGGGATGGGCGCGGCGGTGGTGAGGGAGTCGGTCAGATCGGCGAGTTGTTTGGCCTGGGCGTCGCGCTTCTCCGTGAGTTGGGAGGTGACGCGGGTGTGCTTTTCGAGTTCGCGGTCTTGGGCGCGGGTGGAGTCGGTCTTTTGGGCACGTTAGTCATCTGCGCTGGTATGTTTCCATTTGCAGACTTTTGGGCGCATCAATGTCTTTCTTACCTCCGGGTTGTTCTGAAAGGAGTTCAGGACGGATTGGCTGAATCTCACGGGCGCATCACTATTAGGAGTTTCCATCAGCCGGGAAATTTCCAATGGTTTGATCGGTGTCGCGTTGCTGCGATTGGCCACTCACGGGTTGAACACCGGTTGCTCCTGTTTAGAGCCACTGTTTCCCATTGCCGATCTCGTCGAACGACGTTTGTTGGAGGTTGAGATGAGGATCGCGAATTGTGATATCGTGGTCTGCGCGATTGCGCAACATTCAAGTTTCTCACCGTGTCGGGCGGCTCAAGCTCGGCAGCTCCGCCGAGGCGAGCTTTCCAGTGCGGAAAACGTCACTGCCAGTCAAGATCTATGGCATATCGACACGGGACAGTTATCTACCACAATTAAGCAATTTCATTCTGCCTGCGTTGACATGCTGTATCATTGTCATGCCACAAAGCTCATTGCTTAAATGGCTATCGACTGATAAAGAGTCCACCAAGATCGAAAAGTCCGCGCCGGCCTCTCAAGAATCACACGAAACCCGCGAGGGAAGCGGTGTTTCCCCTCCACCCAAGCCTGTAGACCACGAGAAGGAAGCTATTCACGAGCAGGAGACGAAGACTGCCAAGTCAAATTCCAACAAGCCATCCAGACCATTACCCTCGAACATAGAACTCCGTGCCTGCAGCAAAGATGACATCCCCGCGCTGAAGCGCATCACAAGCCTCCTCCTCCCCATCCCGTACCCGGAGAAATTCTTCCGCGAGATCCTCGACGATCCGGTCACGAATGACCTGACGCTGGTAGCCATATGGCACGAAAAGCGCAGCAGTGATCCCCATGAAACCTCCACTTCAAACAACCCTGGTGGTGATGGTGGAGGAGGAGGAAAGGCGACGTTAATCGGCGCCATTCGCTGCAGACTGCTCTCATCCCTACCAGGCACGGCCGGCAGCAATATCCTCGGCGACGAGGCGCCGATGTTGTATCTCAGCACCTTAGTTCTGCTGTCGCCATACCGCTCGCTTGGAGTCGCGTCGCATATGCTGCGGATTCTGGTCAGACGGGCAATCGAGGACTATGGTGTTTCGAGGGTGGGCGCGCATGTGTGGAGTGCAAACACGGAAGGTTTGGAATGGTATCAGAGACGTGGATTTGAGGAGATCTCCCGTGAGGAGGATTATTATCGTCGACTCAGTCCCAGTTCTGCAGTGGTTATGCAGCGGTCTTTTGAGGCTGGGGATTGCGAATGATGTTTACGAATGAATGAATGATGCACAATAAATTCACGACAAAAGTTGTAGCGTGACGTTAACATCTTCATTCATATGCGTTGCTATCTAACCAATGCTCGGCCTGTTCTTCCACAGACATTGAGTAATTTTGTTCCTTCCAATAAATAAATCAAAGTACAGGGTATCGCCGTAACCACATCCACCGAATCAACCTTCATTGTGTTCCATCGGAATGTTCCGATCCACATGGTCCATGCCTCATCAAAACCGATATGTCATTCTCATGCCCATCCTACAATGCGCCAGCGTAATCAATAATATCCAAAACTCATTTTTAAAACATGATTCCCTGCTCCTCAAACGTAGTACTGCCGGCGGCTGCTCGACCGGTGCGTGCTGGTTCCACGGTGGCTGTCCCGCGGTCGGCCGTAGTCGTAGTCGCGATCGCGGCTGCGTCGTGGATCCCGGCTGCTGGAGCGGTGCCGGCTGGACTGACGGGTTGTGCGGTACTCTTTCTTAACGATTACCTTGTCGTCATCCTTGTGATGGTGGTGTACGAGTAAAGCGAGCAACTGTGAAGGAACATAAAGGTCAGTCGAACTGTCAAGATCGCATCGAATTGCGCATCGTCGTGACGCAGTGGGCAGGGACTTACAAAGGTGAGGAAGAAGGCTAGAATGTTGAGGATGCCGAACGCGAAGCTCGCTTTCAGCATTGAACAGTTCTTGTTGATGTCCGCGGCATAACCATTGCCCGTCTGGTATCCAGGAAGACCGAACGGTCCCAATTGGGCCCACAGAGGCGAGTTGGCGAAATCGTTGTTCATGCAGCTTGTCTGTGTGATTTGTCGCAACACCACGACACCCGCAATCAAAGCGCCCACGAATCCCAGATCGACCAGTGCGACGAACAAAGCGTCGTGACGTGCGCGCAGGTAGCTGATTGTTGTGAAGAACGCCCATACTAACGCCAGTGTGACGACGATGAATAGGACGAGCACGAAGTTCGGCGTGAGCTGGTTGTTCTCCACGAAGCCGTGGATGAACCATGCGAGCATGCCGACGGGCGGGAGCAGCATGATGATCTCAAAGAGTCGCCATGAGATGAACAGAAAGCCTGAGATCGCCATTGTGTCGAATCAGGTAGTAGTGTATTCGGATTCTTCTTGGTTTACGATCGGGAAAGAGCGGAGATCGGCTCGAAGCAGGCAGTCGATCTGCCAGGTGGAGTTGGTTCTGTGACAGACTTGGGCAGAGTTGACCGGTGAAATGCGCTGCTTGGTTCCAATCGCAGAGTATCCGGCGGAATGGTTTGTGTATGCGCAAAGGCTTGTTGTATATGTTCAAGCGACGGTGATCTCGTACGAGGATGCCCTGCAGGTGCTACTGCATGCAAGTCGAAAGAGAGTCTAATGAGACAAAGGTGAAAAGACGGTGGTGAGGGAGTGGAAATCGGCCGGCCCAGAAGAGTGCCAGAAGAGTGATGAGGGCGATCGTTGCTTACCTGCGTCAGACTTCGAGCGTTGCCGCGGAAATCGTGGCTGGCGCGGTTTCTTGCGCTGTGAATGGCCTGGTGGCTGGTAGCTGCCCCGCTACCACGTGGGAAATCCGCGCCGCGCTATTCTCCGTCGTCATTTTGGAGCGTATTCTAAAGCTGCCGCGCGCTCGCAATTGACATACAGCACGCGTCGGAGGCATTTCGTGGAGTGCTCCTTCATGATGATCATTGATGTTGCTTACAAAGAGACTTCACCGAGCCATTTCGAAATAGTAGCATTGATATCATACTAAAGTCATAGCCAGACGAAGCGTTCCCGCATTCGTAAGCCCCCTCCCGAAAAAGAAATTCCCGATGGAAAGCGACAGTTCACATCGAGCGCCGTTACTCGAAAGAGCACGCAAGCGTTTGCGACAAAACTGTTATTGAATCCAATCAACCCAGTCTGTTTGCGCCGCTCGCGAACTTGATGCCCGCTGGGACCGCGATAACCCTATCCACAACCGCCCACGCCGCCAACACTGCTCCAAGACCGCTGATCAAGCTGCCGCCAAGATTGATCAAGGCCCACTGGTCGAGCAGACCGTGAACAGTTTCCTCTTGAGCGATGCCTTCCTCGAGCTTACTGTCTGTGAGAGAAGCTCCAGAGAGGTCCTCGGCCTTGCGATCGAGTTTCTGGACGATCGGACCTGCGAGCAGTGCGGTGTAGGGAAGTAGCAACGCAAGCAGAGAGGCTGATGTCGTGTAAAGGTAGCCCGTCCTTGATCCGCTCGGCTCTGTTCGGTGGGTCAGCTATATGGCAATGTTTCGTTCACGGCAGCCGTCACGCCGGTCCTGGCGTGTTAAGGCAACACATGGAATCAAGCTCACCTTTGTAGGCCAGGTAGCCGAATACACCGGTATGTATCAGCGCGACGGCAGGCGCAATCAACCTGTCGCTGCTGGTGTTGTTTGTGAGTCTACGCCATTGTCTCGCGAGGAGCGGGGCTGGCGCCTCGAGCAGAGCAGGTGTGGCGGAAGCGCTCTGGGTGAAAGTCTTGCCTGTGAACCCGCATATTTGTGTCAGCGAACATCGCTCAATGTTTTCCGAGAGCATTTGACTCACCGGCAAGGAAAGCTGTGGTCGTGAGGCCGATGACCTGAGCGGCACAAAGACCGGTAGAGATCTGCTCGGTGTAGAAGAGTCCCGGAGTCGTCGACATGGCTGAGGTGTTGGATGAGAGCGCAGTTGCGAGATGATGATCTGTTTGTAAGGATTTGGTGACTCCCGTTCGATGCGTAACGCGCGGGAGGAAGAGGATGAATGTTGATGGGATCTGAAAGGACAAGGGAGCAATATTCAGGGAAGCAAAAGTATGATGGATTGACGGCGATGTACAACAGGGAAAGAAGGTAGAGCAACCAGGTGTCACTTGTTATGTCACATGCAATCGTTGCACTTATTACTCCATACCCAGGGCTATCGCTATCGATCTCTCTACCACCTGCGCCCGGGCAGTATGAGGATCACTTTCTTCCACAGTTTCGGCAAGTATGGATTTTCCGCTGTCTTCACTTTCAAGATTCATGCATTCGGCCCTTTGTCGTTGGCTGTTGTGGTGTACCTGCAAGCAAGATGCTGCGGGCGGGCAAAATTGAGAGCTGCTGGCGATGACGTGGGAATGCGTCGCATTGCTGCTTTCCCCACAGAACCGACTTCACTGCCCAGTTTCGCCTCATCCCAGCCCATCTTCGCTGCTTGACTGCATGACTGTTCGAAGGTATTGTGAGTGGCACCTGCATAGAGCTCTGTCATAATGACCGCCATGGACTCAACGGAATACTGATGTATGCTCCAGAGTGTTGACTGATGCAGAGAGAGAGAGAGAGACACACACACACACACACACACAGATGGGTTCGGCCTCTGCACATCTAGCACAGGAAGGAGACGTTTCCCTACATTGTTGTCATGTCTACAGGTCTACTCTATGCGCGCGTCTGGTTGAATGCCCAGCACCTTGTGCGCTGCCAACACTACTGGATGATGCTGCTCCTCCTCAAACAGGTACTCCCGCAACCTCGCGCAAGATCCTCCTTCTCATATCGCCAATCGTCATATCATGCTCTTCCGTCAGAAGCCTCACCGCCTTGACATAAGCATCCGCAACGGCATCCGTCTCGTCTTGGGAATAATCCTCCGCGCGCGAGGCGAGTCCGAATTCCAAGGTGCCGTGATCCGCCATCGAGGCATGGCCTTCGAAATCACACCGTAGATCTTGCACGACCCGAGTGGGACTGATGTCCATGTAGCCGCCAGCACTGGAAGCATCATCGCCGTTGCCGCCCTTGTCCGCTGCAGGTCCTTGCTCTCTGCGCCCATCCACCGCAAGATGGTGGCCTTCCTTCACATTCTGGAACATGAAAAACGTGCTCTGCCTGTAGAAATGCTCTTTCGACTTCCACGTGGTACAGTGTTTCGCGATGGTGTTCGCGCCGAGATGGGCGTGACTCGCGCTCTCGAGGAGTTGCTTCTGGACTGCGGTGAACAGTCCGGCTGGCGTGAGCTCCTCGCTGAGTCGCACGCGAATAGGAATCTCCGTCACGCAACATCCTATGATCTCATCTGCGCGATAGCGGCCATCCTCGTCTCTGCCGTGCATCAGTGCCAGGAAGAGGATATCGTCGTGGTTGTCGGCAGGACGCATGGCGGTGAGAATGCAACGCAAGGTCAACGCCCAGGCACTCATAGATAATACGGCGCCACTGACGGCCTTATCTGGGCCCGTTGCTTGTTGGAACCCTGTAGGTTTGCCCTTCTCACGGGCGAAATTTATCAGTCTGGCAGCCTCATGCTCGGGCACGACACGATCTGCAGTGATCGAATTGAAGGCGTCTGAATCTCTCCGAAGTCTGGTCGGTGTAGAGTCTTTGAGGAGCCTTGACCAATATTCCAGAGACTCGGGGTCGCGCCTTATAAGACGTGTTTCGAGGTACTGGAGATACGATGGGCGCTCTTTACCAAGGTGGCCATGTTCGTAAGCGAAGATCAAATCGTCCAGGATGAGCGACCAGAAAATTCCATCGAAAATAGCGTGATGCATCCGGATCAACATGGAGATATGGCTGTCGATCGAAGAAGCCTCGGTCGGACTGCGTTCCTCATGTACGTCGCTGTGTTTCAGCACGAAAACTACAGGATGGCGGAGTTTGTCGTGCGCTTCCCATGTGAGCATTAGCGGCGGAGCAGGGTCACCCTTGCGCTGTACCTGACAACGCAAGAGCAACTCTTCTTTTGTGGGAGGAAACGCCTTTTGCTTCAGCGGTGCCTCGGTCTCGGCGCTTTCGTGCACAAACGTGAGACGAAGGGCCTCAGTCTTTTCAATCAGCAGTCGAACGGCTTTCTCTAACCGCGCCAGCTCAAAACTGCCACCGAAGCTAAGGTCGTACTCGCACACGTATCCACCCGAGACGCCCTCAGCTCCGCGCAGATAGTGCTGTTGAAAATCAGTCAGTGGAAACAATGCAGCTGAGTTCTGTGCAAGAGGCTTTGAACCAAGTGTGTCAGACATGTTCGGCGGATCGACATGCAGCTTAGGATTGGCAGTGTGTCCTCGACCACTCAACTCTTCCAGTGTTGTGCCCGATAATAGGTCTTTTGTGTTGATGGCATATCCGGCAGCGCGTGCGTCTCGGACGAACATCATGGCGACAAGTGAGTCTCCCCCGAGGTCAGCCCAGCTGCTCGACGCTGTAATTACTGCTGGCGGAGTCTTGAGGAGCTTGCTCGCTAGTGACTTGAAGTTGAGGAAATCGGCGCTATCGATTGGCACTTGCTGCACGTCCGTTTGGGATCTAACGCCCTCTGTGTTATCACTCTGCTGGGTTGGAGACGCGTCCCTGGTCAAACTCAATTTTGCAGAATGCTTCGCTTTCAGCGTTCTGCGGTCGAGTTTACCTGTTGCTGTTCGAGGAAACGTCTCAACTGTCTTGATGACTGAGGGTATCATCCACCTGGGTAACGTATCTTTCAGCCGTGAAGCCATCTCCTTGCGGAGTTCCCGTTCGCTCAAGAGACCCTGCGGCGGCCGGATGGTCACAAAGGCAATGAGCTTCTCCACACCTCCCTCGATTGTCTTGTCCACAACCACTTGACTGATCTCCTTAGCGAAGGCTTGTAGGATGTGATGTTCTACTTCAGATGCCTCGAGACGTTGACCATTAATCTTCGTCTGAGTGTCCTTGCGGCCGAAAAGGTGAAGCTCCCCATTTTGCTGATATTGGACGAGATCGCCTGTCTTGTACCATCGCCTTCCCTCGGTCCCGGCACCAAACTCAGCAGCCCAGCGCGGACTTTCTATGAAAGCTGCGGATGTCTTCTGCTCGTCATCGTAATAGTCCAACGCGATGCTGTAACCCTCAACTATCAACTCACCGAGTGCTCCAACCGGCATCAACCGATGATGGTCCCGTGGATCAACAATCCAATAGCGTAACCAAGTACTACGACCAATACTTCTGTACGCCGCCTTGTCATTCGGTCTGAGTACGACCGTGCTGTTCATACTACAGGCCTCACTCTGACCGTAGCCATTGCGAACCACAACCTTGCCTGATGCCAGCCAAGACTCGGCAAGCGAGCGCGGGATGGCCTCCCCGACCAGAACGAGTGTTTTGATGCTGGACACTTTGGTTGGATCAAGAGACTTGGCTAGTGACGGCGTCAGACACGCGTACGCCGGCTGAAGTCGACGAATCGCGCCGTCCAGGTCGTTCATCCTCTCATCGTTGCCAGGGATACAAATGGTACCACCGACGAGGAGAGTGGAGATAGAATCTACGACGGAAATGATGAAGCTGTACGAAGAATACTGGAACACCCTGGCGCCTTGTTTTATGCCGAAAGTAGGGATATTTGCTGTATTTCCTGAACACCAAGCATAATGCTGCAACCTAATGGCTTTTGGAATTCCACTAGAACCGCTGGTGAATATCACAAAGGCGATATCCAGAGGATCGACCTGTGGCAATGTTGATATGGCCCCAGGCTCTAACCCGTCTATTTCAGACTTTACGATATGAAATTTTCCATATTCACGGCGAGCAATAACGGTGGGGCTGAAGGCGCAAGCCCGCGACGTGTACTCCCGTGCGGCGACAGCATGGCTTAGCGAGCACTTCTTGGCCATGATCTTCAGTCGTTCTTGCGGGAGGGCTGGGTCCAGAAGGAGAAATGCGCCGCCAGCTTTGAGGATGGCCAGCATTATGACAGGCACCCAGATGGACTTATCCATGACGACGGCGACAGTACATCCTCTTTTCACATGTGCACGGGCAAGAGTGAATGCGAGCTTTTCTGACAATTCGTGTAGCTGCAGGCGAGTAAAGCGGCCATCCCAAGCTTCAATGGCAACGCTGTTGGGATTTCGATCGCAGACTTCTTTGATCGAGTCATGGATCGTTCGCGCGTCCAGTTTCTGCGGCGCAGAGTTCAAGGCCTTGATCCACGCCATATCGGACTCAATATGAACAACAGTCTGTCTTAGAATGTCGTCTGGCTTCGATGTCACGATGGATTGCAAAGTCGCCGAGAAATTCTGCACAATCTTTTGGGCATGAAAGTCCGTAATGGCGGTCTCGTTGTACCACAGAACGAATCGAGCTTCTCGACCAACACCGTCTACTTGGCCGTAAATCTGCAAAGGTATCTCATCAATTGGTCGACATGATTGCAGACTGCTCATGTGAGGCACTTGTATGAGCACGTTGGAGGGAGAAGTACTGTCATCAGAGAACGATTGCTTCGTGTTATTGGTGTACTCAACAGCCTGCTTTATCGACAGCTCGTCGCTGATGCACAACGAGTGCGTATACGAGAGAGTCGTCTCATCTAAGAACCGCACGAGGAAGCAGACATCCTGCTCACCTGTATGTGACCATATTAGACCTGCGTATGCAAGCAAAATTGCGGCTTGAGGATCCTCAATGTTACTCCGATCTGTCCTGGATAATATCGAGGAGAAAGATATGGAGCGCCATTGCCCTGCCAGATGACTTTGCGAATCGCCTTGTAGACCGGGAAATGCGGTCAGGTCGGACATGATGATCCCGTCGTGAGAGTTGTGCCGAAATTCGATGAGGTGTGTGCTGTTCGGACAGGCATAGCAGAAACCTTCGTCCTCCCAAAGGTCAACAACGCCTTGAATGGCATTAGAGGATGATTGGGTCTATCAGAGACTCATTGTCATCCTCCATCAGAGATTCAAAGGACACATCGGATGGCCCGGGCCTGCCTGCGTCATAGTCTCGCGCCAACTATCCATTGGCGCAAGACGTGATCCACAGATCGTGGTTCGGAGCCGCCAACGCAGACTGCAGGTCGATCGCCTCCCGGTTTCTGCTCCGTGCTCATTTTCGGTGGAGGAAACTTTTGGCAACAAATTCTGCGCTGTCGCTTGGTTCTCTCTATTTCGCGTCTTGCGGGGATCGATGCATGGCCCGATCCTCACTCTGCTGTATTAGAGACTCGAAGGACAGAACGAAAGGCGTTCGCGCAGGATACACCGAACCTTCTTCGTGGGGATACCCGTACGTCAGACTTTTGCAGATTCCCACCAATTCGGCAGTTTTCCATCATTAGTTCCGTTGCCCGACGGATCGTATCAATTCTATCCGCCGCTGGCTTCCTTTTAGTGCAATTTCCTAATCGGGCCGGGACGATTCCAACGTCTATTGTGCTTCTTATGAGACACCGTCCGAACGTCACTTGCTGCTCGCCCCATAGTGTACCCACAGGGCTCAGAGTCTTCCCGATGAACAACGCCTTCATGATCGAGCATGTGAATGAGCATTTTATGATTATAGCCACCAAGGGCTTGTTCTGTCAAGCAAATTGAGTGTTGAGAGTGAGGCAGCAAGGGCGCTCCGGGATTATAGATATGAGGTGTGGAGCAACGAAATGATCGGATTAATAGATGAAATAGCAACAGGTTTGGTATTAGGTTCCTCACAAGGCTGACTGATCTATGTAAACAAAAACGAGAATTCTCAACATCGTATTCGGGGCATTAGTATACGGGCCGTTTCTTCTTGCGGGGTAAACATTCATCAAGCATTAAAGCGAATTCATGATTCAAACATAATCATCAAAGTAAATCCGACCAGGTCGACTGGAGTGTATATTCATCGGGTATCCTCAGCATTCACCCAAATGTATTCGGGGAGGTTTTGGTGCCTGTATTCTGAAAAGAGTGTGTCGCAGACTGTTCACGAAAATAAACAAAAGGAAATAATGTCGGGTGTATCTTGTTTGATCCAGATCTCTGCGTATTATGGTCGCGAGGATCGGACACCGATGGAGTGCACTGTATCGTACGTGATCGCTCACAAGTGGAGATCCTCGAGGGTGCCGGCAGCGGCGTGAGCGACGTCAGAGACGAGGTGGCCGTCGACTGATACAGGGACAATTTTGCCAATGCTGGTGGCAGCGACGTGGGCTGTGTGGGAAGCGATGTGAGCGTCGAGGTTGGTGGGAAGATCGAGGTGTGCGTTTCCGTTGGCGGCGACCTTCTCGTCGAGGTGAGCCTTGCCGACGGTACCGTCAAGGACGACAGAGGGTTGGACATTCCCGCTGACACCGACCTTACCGCCGTGGTGGGCGTTTCCGCTGGCGCCAGCCTTCTGGCCGACGTGGACGTTTCCGTTGACACCGACCTTCGGGGCGACGTGAACCTCGCCAGCAGCAGCGTCAACAGCGACAGAGGGGTGGACACTTCCGCTGACACCAGTCTTCTTGCTAACGTGGACGTTCCCGTTGACACCAACCTTCGGGGCGACGTGGACCTTGCCAACGGCGGCGTTGACGGCGACAGAGGGGTGGACATTTCCGCTGACACCAGTCTTCTCGCTGACGTGGACGTTTCCGTTGACGCCGACCTTCGGGGCGACGTGGACCTGGCCAACAACTGGGGCATCAAGGGCGACAGAGGGTTGGACGCTTCCGCTGACACCAGTCTTCTCGCTGACGTGGACGTTACCGTTAACACCAACCTTCGGGGCGACGTGGACCTGGCCAACAACTGGAGCGTCAAGGGAGACAGAGGGTTGGACGCTTCCGCTGACGCCCGACTTCTCGCTGACGTGGACGTTCCCGTTAACGCCGACCTGCGGGGCCACGTGGACCTGGCCAATTACAGGGGCGTCGAGGGCGACAGCGGGCTGGACTCTGATGGCACCACCGAGGTCGAGGCCAGAGGGGGCAGAACGGACGATGTGCTCGTTGGCAATCTTGTGGAGCTTGTGGTCAACAACCTTGACGGGCGCGAGAACAACATCGACAGCGTCGGCTACAATGTGGAGAGGGTCGACGCTGCGAGCGGCAGCGTGGTGGAGCTCGTGGTTGAGAACCTTGACGGGAGCAAGTACAGCGTCGGCCCCAGTGGCAACGAGACTGAGCGGGTTGATGATGGTAGAGTCGTGGTGCTTGTTGTTGTCGCCAGCAGCTTCGTGAAGGGCGTGGTCAAGGACCTGGCCAGGCGCAAGAACAGCATCAGTTCCTGTCGCAAGGATACCGAAGACGTTCAGCTCGCCAGAGGAGGAGTGGCCCTGGGGGTGCGGCTTGGGGTGAGGCTGAGGGTGACCTTGAGGGTGAGGCTTGGGTTGACCGGAAGGGTGAGGCTTGGGGTGTCCTTGTGGGTGAGGCTGAGGGTGAGGCTTGGGGTGGCCCTGGGGATGGTGCTCCTTGGTCGATACGTGGTCGTGTAGAGCGTCGTTAATGACCTTGATGGGGGAAAGCACAGCATCGACACCGGTAGCGACGATGTCGAGAGGGTTGAGAGTACCTGCCTTGGCATCCTTGTGGAGCTCCGGGGCAATGATGTTTCCCGGCGCCAAGACAGAGTCGGTGCCGGTGGCGAGGACGCCTATGGGGTCGACAGATCGAGGGCGCTTGTTTGCGTTCGCAGCAGCTCGGTGAAGAGCATGATCAAGGCTCTCGCCTGGGGCCAAGATGATATCGGTGCTTGCAGCCAAAAGGTCGAGAATGTCGAGGGAACGGCTGTGCTTCGAGTTCGCAGCCCGGTGGATGGCGGCCTCAACAGTCTCGGCAGGCGCAAAGATGATGTCGGCAGTAGCCTCCAGGATGGCCTTGGTAGAGGCTCTGTGAAGAGCCGCTGCGAGGCTCTCGCCAGGAACGAGGACGTCATCGACACCACCGGCCACTGAGCCGAGGACATCAACGGCACGCTCTGAAATCTTGGCTAGGACATTGTGCTTGTGGAAGGGATGCAGAACGGTCTCATCGACCTGGGCTGCGACGGCAGCAGGAGCACTCAGAATGTCAGCGTTGGCTTGGAAAGAGTCGACAGTCTCGACAGAGTTCTTGACCAAAGGAGCAGCATATGCAGCGCTGGCAGCGAGGAAAGTAAGGCTGGTCTGGTAACGCATGTTGATGTTGGAGGTTGTCTGGTCAAAACGAATGTGGTTGAAGCGATCGGGGATGAAGAAGAGAAGAGAAAAGAAGAGAGAACTCTGTTGCTGATGCTGGAGGATGATGGAGGATGAGAATAATCCAGATGGGTATCGAAAGCACGTTTATATGTGATTCCAAACGCGCAATCCACAAGAGACGCTCAGCTGTCAGACCATGACCGTGCCATACTGAAAAGCTTCTTTTTGCGTACAGCCGGGAACATCACAACGGCCTCTCCTGGTGCTGAACTCAATCTTGTGGTATCGGTCGTGAAACACCGTCATTTCGATCGACCTCGTCTCGAACAGCAAACTGGGAGTCCGTGACTTTGCCTTGGTGGGCAACGACGATGCTAGAATTCGACCAGAAATGGATATAAGAGGGGAAGAATAGACTTTCTGTTGACTTACTCTCATGCAGGTCTTGGGCGAGCGATTGGATTCTCTGAAACTCGTTTGCACGACGAGGTTCTGAAACCATTCAACGGCCACGTCCACGATTTCGGTCAACCGCTTCAACCGCTTGGTCGGGGCCCTCACCGTCACCGAACGACGACTATCGTTGGAGAACTAACAATCATCTCTCAGAAAGTAAGTTCTGGGCGAATTCGTCGCACCACCACACTAATCCCAGCGCATCGTGGGAAGACTCTTCTTCACGCACGATGATTCGATTTTTGTCTTTTCATCACCAAGGGTCCCCACAGCGATCGAATCTTAACGATCGCACGGATGATTCCCCGCGGAACCTGTCCCTGGAGCCCACGACAATCAGACAGGTAGAATTGTGCCTGGCAAAAACATGGAACGATGTGAAGCAGAGCAGAAATGAGCTCGGCGCTAGATTGCCACGATGATCTCGCCCTGACATCTCAGCATGAGAGTGCTTCAGGCAACCGCGAGCCTGTGATGTTGTGCATGTGACAGGACTACGAGCGCTTCCTCCCTGTGGCGGCGTGTCAGAGTTCCACTGATTGCTCCTAAGATACGTATGGGAGTTCTGAAATCCGAGCTCGTAACCTGAATTTTGAATGATCTCCATGTGTACTGCTAGGCAGTTCATTCAGGCTCGCTACTTATGTAGTGCCGATTTCTTTCCAACTCAGATCGAGCTGTCGGCAGCATCCCCGACCTTTGCCCTTGTCCACGTCATTCTCGAACAAGATTCGGTGCCATCTGGAAAGTGAGAAGCATCACGCGGCTCTGTAGAAGATCTAAATTGAGCTTATGCGGTCTCAGATGTCGGATCGCGTTCAATCAACCGCGTCCGGTTCGACCTGGGAGGATGTTCTTCTCTAGTGCGATCAATCTCGTCTGGATCAACTCGATATGATCATCCACTCCGAACAGGAGCAGGCAGGTGCCATGCGGTCAATTTCGCCACCTCGACATCTGTCTCGTGCTCGGGACATCCGTGTTGCGGTTAGCAGAGGGGATGACTGCAGAGTTCGAGGAAGATGTTGGCATGGCCTGAGCAGGCGAGGTCGTCGCCGTTTAAAGGTTTCAACGCTCACGCATAGCAATGCAGGTACTGTGCATAGACAGACAGCATATGCTCTACCAACGTTCGTCCTTGCATAGCCTGGAGTAGCGTAGGATTTCCAGCACCTGCGTTGCATCTTTGCTGATCGACGCAACCGCAGTCTTTTACTTGGACGTCGCATTTCACCTGCAATACCTACTATGAGCAGGCCATGACATGGTGCCTGTCCGTCCCTGAGGTTCGTCATCTCTCCACCTTGGATGGAAGTTTGGCTCAATATTGGCGGTTGTGCGTACGATCAACGGCCCACTCAACACTCGCCTGAGACACGCGAGTCGAGGCCGTCTGCTGATCTCCCGGATGCCAACGTTGAATGAATCGTTCGCAAGCTCTGCCGAATGCAGGCTCCATAGAGGAAAGGGTAACAGGATGCCAATCTGTCTCACCAAGCAATGGAGGTGAGACGTGCCGACGACCCTAGCTTTAGGATTTCAATATAGAGAGAACTTAAAACTCTATATAACGCTGGGTCCCTGCATAACGGCAGGACTCGTTGCGATCCGGACGCGAAGACCAACGGCACTCCTAGTCCCGGTATCACGACCTGCGTAGGAGCTTCTTGCAATGACCATGTCCTCGATGTTTGCAGTGTGGCTACGGAAAGGGCGATTTCCGTGGTCTCCGTCAATAAGACGAGAACAGTATACTCTCATGTGTAATGAACGCGATTTCCACATCGATATGCCAGTTGACCGAACACTGCAAGCAAAGCAAGTGTATATCAAAACAAAGCGTGTGTGTTTATGTGTGTGTGATCAATCTCGAAATCGATGAAATAGCCCAGGGAAATCCGTCCGGGCTCGGGCTCCAGTCCACGGGTATCTCCAGAGTTAGGGTTGACATCGGAATACCATTCTAGGGTTTGGGTTAGTACTCCGTCTATTCCAAGGTTGTTAATGAAGCACTTGTCGAGTTCTCTGCTGTTAACGACGCTCTACAGGCCGTATCGATGAAGCATCCAACCTCTCAGGTGGCAGCGGCAATGACAATACTGGGTAGCCTAGGTATGGCTTCAATTTGCGTGAACATGTATCGGTCTAGGGGCATTTAGCAATTCTCGGGATTCGGGCAGAAAAGGCCTGACGAGCCATTGAAAAACATAGACCTGCGGAATAAACGCACCTACACGTACATACACGATAAATTGTTCATCATCCAGGGACAAACTCCTCACAGTCACCTGTTCGCTGTCCGACTAGGACGGCGGCATTGATTAGGTATCTTCTCTGACCTCCTCCATTGACGGCCTCTCGACTTGTGATCTCGCCTCGCTTTCTTACCATCATATAGTGTTCCTCCCGAAGTGCTTTAGCTTGATCGCATAGACCATGACATCTGCATTTCTGCTTCAGCTGCGGCGCGGTTCCGACATTGACAAAGGAGGAAATTGAAAAAGCAGGTTCCATAAAAATGTAAAGAGGATAAAAAGCAGCTGCGCTGTAAGGACCAATGCCACATCGGACGGCCATCGTCTCTCATCGGCGTTGACATCAGTGAGAGGCACCCGACACACACATTCCCGAATCTGCTAATGATAATAGAGAGAAAAAAGCATTGGACGCCTGGAATTTTGTTCCCCCAAAAAGATGCGTGGTTTTATTACATCGTGTCCGGATCTCCCTCCAGCCCGCGTGTTCTATAGCGTACGTCCCTCGCCAGCTCTCTCAATTCCGTAGCGCTCCCAACCATGACTTGCTCTGCTCACTGTTCTGCGCCTTGATCTTGCCGAATCCGAGGTCCAGATCGTTGATCAGCTTGAGCGCGTTTCGGCAGCGGAGGTAGGGCAGCGGAGCGTTGACCTCGGACAATGTCGAGCCTCCGCCGACGACCGACGGTGCGGCGGCGTGATCGTCATGTCCGTGCAGCGGGAGCAGAGTCTGGAGGACTTCGTAACCGGCGAGGGTGAAACCAAACTGAGGTGAGCTTCGCATGATACGTGCAATACCGCCCTTGAAGAAGGCCTTGGGACCCTCTTCGCGCATGATTTTGCGCGCGCAATCCCGTAGGCCGGAGTAGGAAGAGTCGCCCTTGCGCGCCTCGACCTGGAGACGGGTCTTGATGACATCACAGGGGGTGGTGAGGTACGCAGCGGGCATACCGGCGATGGCACCGGCAGTGAGCAATTGCAGAACGCCGAGTTTCTTGGTGGGAGATTCGCCAAAGAAGTCGCGCTTCAAATGGCTGTAAGTGGGGAAGTAAATGGCGGAGAAAGGCACGTCGCGGAGCAGACATGCGCTGGCGCCCTTGTAGAGACCCTTGAGACCGAGGTGGCGCACAATCCACAGGGCGGAACGCTTCTTAATCTGTTCGCCTTCGCGGGCCGCGGCACGGATGGCCTCGCCCTGAACCTGTAGACGAATCTTGACGATTTCGAGCGGGTTGGTGAAGATGACCTGGCAACCACCAGCAGATCCACCAGCGAGGATCTCTGCCCACAGGGGAATCTCGCCAGTCTTTGTGTTGATGAATTTACCTCGAACAATGTCGTTGACGGTCAGCTTGATGGCCTTCTCCGGAGCTACACCGATCAATTGGGGCAGGACACCGGCGTAAAGACCAGTGAAACCCTCCTGCTTGATAATCTTCGAAAAGCAGTCCACGCTGTTCTTATAGAGGAGTTGACCGACGGCCGATGATCGCTGGTTTTGCATGCGAGTCTTTACCAAATCGATCGGGTAGACCATGAAAGCGCCAAAGGCACCGGCCACAGCACCTAGAGCAAAGTGGTGTGCTGAGACGAGGACATCGCTGAGGAAGGAGCCGGATGCGGCAACCGCCTTGAGGGCCGCGTCTCCGATCGGCGCGGTGGAGTTGTTGAGTTGAGAGTAGGCGGTCCAGCTTGCGTCGAGCACGCGAGAGAAGTCGGTCAAACCGAGACGGCCAGAAGGCTGGTCGAGCGAGGCAAAGTGGAAAAGGATGTCCGTCTCCATTGGGGTAAACTGTGAGAACCGCGTGCTGCGCGCAGCCTCGTTGAGAAAGTCAATCCGCGTGATTTTTCCATCGGCAGACTTCTTGACCGCATTGCGCACGATCAACTCCACCAGGTCCATCTCACGAATTATGTTCTGGAAGGCTCTAACATTCGCATACGAGATCCGTGAGCCGGGGCTGATGTTGCACAGGGTGGGTAGGTTTTCGAGCAGGTGGTCTGAGAGTTTGTGGCCCGCAATTTCAACAATGATCTGCTGGAATTCTTCTGGCTCGATGTATCCATCGCCGTTTGTGTCGAAGTGCAGAAAAGCCTGGCGGATGCGCTCTCCTTGCAGTCCACGCAACATTTGTGAGAATTGCGGGTATGTCAAGGAGTGTCTGTTCTTCTTTCCACCAAGGTATAGCTTAGCCCAATCGCTGTCCCAGTTGAACGGGATTGATTTGGACGTCTGCGCCCGCGCATACACCTCTTTGAATGTGTTGTAGTCGACTAAGCCAGTGCTGTCATCGGCGAATAACCGAAAGGCCATTTCGTACTCGGCGCTCGGTCGGGTGAGGAGGTTGTTGAAGACATACCAGTCTTGCAAGGTGATGCGGTTTTGTTGCCGGCGATCGGCAATGTGAAAGAGGACCTCATATTGGTCGCGTGTGATCTTGTGCTAGAAGACGCATCTCTCGTTAGCTCATCTAGAAGCATTCAAAAATCGCATCATGGCCGCGCTCGGCGAGACGACGGTCATCGCGACCGATGATTCCGGGGCATCAGAGCATGCGCATCACATACATAATCTTCTCCTGCGGGTGCAATGGCGTCCACAAACTCTTTTGCAGTCATGTAATACTCTCCGTCTTCATCGTCGGTTTTCTTTGCAAACTGCATAAAAAGATTCCGGTACTGGGCAGATGCCTCGCCGACTTCAGCATCAACTTCGGAGCCTAATAGCGTCTCCTTGACACCTTCCTTGACCTTGTCCAGCTTCTCCGTCACTTGCTCCATGACTGCGAGCCCGTGGCACTGCAATGCGATTTCGGTTGGAGTCGGGTTGGAAATTGAAGCGCCGGCGAGGGCAGCAATAACAACGCAGGCGGCAGCAGGCGGGTAGTATTAGCAATGGTGACAACGAGAACAACAACGAAAAGCAGCGACAGGTGGAGGGAGGAGAAGCGCAATGCGATGGAAAAGGGAGATCAATGCAGGGTGAGAGATTTTAGTTCAGTCCGAGGTGTAAAATGTGTTGTAGCGAAATCGGGCGGTGCTGGCAGGCGGTGGTTGGACAGACGTCCGATCGGGGAACCAATCTGGCGGCCGCTAAGATATGCCGTGGGACAACAAGAATTTGAACGCAGCCCCGGGCCTCGAAGAGGTGGGAACTTCTGTATACCTACCTAGGTGGGTAGCCCTGGAGGTTCCAATAGTAAAGTAATAATTTCACGCAGTGACAATACTACCTCTTTGTTCCGATTGACAATAGAGATTCTGTATGTTGATGCACTCAATAACATGATCACTGGAATGTCGTTCCCCCACGAGCAGCGACATCGCGGAGAGCAATGCATGCGTGAACAAGCGACGATTGGCACGGAAAACGTCGCTCACTGATGATCAGCCGCCATCCTCCCTAGGTAACAGTACACATGGATAACGTGGACTCTAATACTCTGTCATGCACGTTGTTATTATTGTCCGATGACCAAGTGGTTCAGCATGCTTGGAGCTCCTTTCACCGATGACGAATGTGGATTGTGCCCGAAGGATTGGAACGATGCACGACTTCGGTCTCCAGAAATGCACATGTACAGTGTCGTGTACAGAGCATCGCGTACATTCGTATGCACCTGGATAGCGTAGCCCGTGCAATGCTCTGCAACGTGCAACTCTCGCGCTTCCTGGTCGTGATAACATCTCTTCTTGTTATGCTTCTCCACATGACCCTGCTTGAACTACATCCAATCTCGTGATTTGAATGAGCGGAGCGCAACGGTGAAATGTGCACGCGATTTCACTGCCGAAACTCCTCCGGTGCCTGCATTGTGCCAAGCCCGGCTGACTGGCTTAAAGGGGGTTGGGCCTCGGAGATCTCCAAAGCTGCAGGTGCTTTGGGAGAACGACTCCACTCGCGTCATTTCCTTTCATCATACGTACCGGTTATCTCGGTATGCACCGTATGCTGATCCCGTAATTACAGCAAATCGCGGTGGGAACCTGTCGCACTGGTCAGCCGACTGTGACAATCACGCTCACTCACGTGATGTATGACCATCTCCCTCAGCGTCGGATATTTCGTCATGTTGTAGTTGCCGACAGTGCTCGAAAACCCCGTCCACAAAGACTTGAATTTGTCTAGGGATTTAAGCCTCCCGCGATACATCAATGGGAGACATGGGAGGACATGTCGAAATTCATCGTCCAGTGGGGGCGAATGCCGATCAACGCGGGAACAGTGGCTGGAAATTTATCACTACAGTACCCTGAGCCTGCCCGCCCAGGTGCTGTCACGCGGGATGACTTTCAGCAGTCGGGACATAGACAGAACACCGACCCAGGTGTTCACAAATAGCACAGCCAGACCTTTTATGAATTTCCGTATCCACACGACAGCTGCTAAATATTCTCATGCGAATAGGAAGGAAGTTCCTCTCTGATTTGCTCGGGAAAGACAGAAGGGACATGGACATGTTTGGAACGAATCACGGGAATTTTGCAGAGTCAACGTGGCCTGCACGTCAGAAAGAACAAGACGCCAAATCAGAAGGTGGCTGTCGCATCGTCTGTCGACGTGTATAGTCTACAATGAACATACAGAACCTTTCAACCTAGGTAGGTCAGGATTTGATCGTCTGCCAAATTCGACTCAGGGTTCGGTTCGGAGGGATCACGTGTTACAGCGGAATTCCTCGCCTTGAGTCTGTCAGCAACTGAGGTCGACTTAAGCTCATTATATGCCATGTGGTCGACTATGCGGGGATCGACGGCGCCAGTGGTCTCTCGAGTCGTCGCCGACAGGTTCCTGGATGTCCATCATCGCCGTTGCAGGCGATGATGCTCATTTGGGGACGAAATGTATCGTGAGTAGTATGTGACGAGTGCTGGACTGACCGCCGATCGAACCGTGTCATTTTCGGAATGGGTTGATGTAGAGAAGAAACCAGGTGCGAATGTGTTCATGAAGTCGTTAAAGCATCGTCAGTTCCGCTCGAAATGCAGTGGCGCTGTTTTCGATGCCGCTAGCACTCGTCAGGATTTTGTCAATATCAGACTGCCAGCCTGGCCAATCAGAGGCGAGCACCCGCTTGTCACCCAGATTCTCGCCCCGACAGAACACCTCGACTTTCCCGTCATTCACTTTATCCATGCTCGCTCGCTATAGTTATTCATCATCGCCATTTCTTACTATAATATTCATACGTTACATCGCCGGGTCCATTGTTGTGGTGCTGTGGGCGTGACGTGTCCGCTCTGCGCCAGTAACTGCTCATCAGCTTGAATACACGGGAAAGGCTTGGCGCGTGCATTTGCGACCGTGACTCGCCTTCCTCCTCCACGTATTCATATTCTTTCTCTGTGATCCGGGGGAAATCAGTCGCCTATTCTTCGTCATCACATGCGATTGTGAGAAATTTCAACAGAACCTGCGGGGTGCGCGGGAGTTGTGACACATTACCGTCCGCCAGGTCTTAGCTCAAAGTCCCGGCGCGATATCACAGCAGCATGGCCGCTCGTCACAAACGAAAGCTCGAAGCTTTTGATCCCAACAAATCGGATTCAGACGATTCAGACTACGACGCCACTTCAGCGCCAGCCCCTCGCTCCGCCAAACCGTCGCGTCGACATAAGCCGACTTCCACCCGCAAACCAACGAAGCGCCGACGTGAGACATACGGCGATAGTGACGACGACGTCGAGCAGGACGGCGACGATATCAGTGACGAAGAAGGCTCCTTTGATGAAGATAGCGAAGAGGAGGAGCTGGAAGTGAACCCACGCACCGGTCGCGGCGTGCGATCTGCAGCTAAGAAAGAGGTCAAATACGAAGAGAGCGACGAAGACGAAGAGGACTCCGATGCGTCCGACAGCGATACCAAGTCGAGAGAGCCCCCTAAGATTTCTCTCAAGAAGCGTACAGCGACGGGCGAGACGTCGAAGCAACGTTCATTAATCGTCAAATTGAAGATGAATAGAGGCGAAAACAAGAGACAGCGGCCGGGCAGTCGCTCTTCTCGGCAAGACTTCAGTGCGGCTCCGGCGGGCACGCGACGAAGTAGCCGCATATCGCACGATGATGGCGAGGCGCTTGTTGCGCTTTCAAACTCTCTGAAGCATGAGGTCGTGACGAGGGCCGGCACACAAACACCAGAACCGGTGGGAAATCGTCGACCAACGCGTGGTGGCAAAGGTCTGAAGTCATTGCCGAGCGCCATTCTTGAAGTCTCACAAGAAGAGGGCGATGATTCGGTCATCATTCGGTCGTCACAAGCTAACCCGGAGGAAATCACGTCGCAATTAGAAGAGGCAGCGGGCGTCGATCAGGACGATGATCCTGTGCCGACCTCTCGCACATTGGCAGATGACGATGCAACAGAAAAGGACGAGGACGAAAACGATGACATCCCTATGGAAGAAGCCCAGGAAGAGGAGCATGTCGTGCAAGAGTCACAACATGATCCTGAAGACAATGATGACGAAGATGCCCCCATAGCACGGGGTGGCCGAGCAGCGCGTAACAATCGAAGGAAGGCGTCCACACCGCCTGCTTCGCAAACCGGAACTTCGCGCCGATCTTTGCGGACGCGCAAGTCTGCCACAGAGCCTAGTAGTGACTTTGAGCCGGATGCGGAAGGCGAACACGAAGCCGAAGAGGAGATGACTGACTCTGATGAGCTGCTCAAGCCTACTCGTCTCGGCGGTAGTAGCAACGAAGGTAGTGCGAACGGCAGGCGTTCAGGTCGTCTTCGGAGCAAAGCAGGCTCTCAGCGGAGTCGATCGAGACGCAATGCATCAGAAGATGAAGCTGATGAGGAGCTGGATGTCGACGAAATCGCTGACGAGGCCGCCGAGCTGGATGAAGATGCTCGCCGCAACCGTCGTCCAGCTCGACGCGCTCAGACTCGCAACACAGAAATCTCCTACGAGCCCAAGCTGCGCGATCGTGGCAAGAAACCGGACTATCGTATCTATCGACCGGAGTACCTGCTCAATGTGGACGAAGAGGAAAGCGCTGTGCCGGCGACAACTCCTCAGCGGAATCGCCGTGGTGGCGGCCCAAATTTCTATCGCAGCCTCTTCTCGACAGTCGGCCCTTTCGGAGGCGCAGGAGAGCCTGCGCCTGTGTTTGGAGGTCCTGCTGGAGCCGCAGCCGCTGGCGGCGTCGACTCTGATAGCAGTGACGACGAGGCCAGGGGCGGACAGGCTGGACTTGGTGGCACTGTGGGGATGACACCCACCTCAGGATTTCCGAAGCCATTTTCTGCTCCTCAAGCACATAATAATGACCCGATCACGGGCGCCGGTGGTGGGCCTCCTGGCCTCGGTAAAGTCAAAGATCGAAAAGCTCTGGCCGATGCTGACCCTCTGGGTGTGGACCCCAATGTCAATTTCGACGGCGTTGGTGGCCTCGACAACCACATTAATCAGCTCAAGGAGATGGTCATGCTGCCTCTGCTCTATCCGGAGCTATTCCTGCGCTTCCATGTAACTCCTCCTCGAGGTGTGCTCTTCCACGGTCCTCCTGGTACTGGTAAAACACTTCTCGCTCGAGCATTGGCGTCAAGCGTGAGCTCGAACGGGCGTAAGGTCACGTTCTACATGCGCAAGGGTGCTGATGCCCTCAGCAAGTGGGTCGGAGAAGCAGAGAAGCAGCTTCGTCTACTTTTCGAAGAGGCGCGCAAGAATCAGCCTAGTATCATCTTCTTTGACGAGATTGATGGCCTCGCGCCCGTTCGTTCTAGCAAGCAAGAACAGATTCACGCATCTATCGTTGCCACACTTCTCGCGCTCATGGACGGTATGGATGGCCGAGGTCAAGTCATTGTCATCGGTGCTACCAATCGACCCGACTCAGTTGATCCAGCTCTTCGTCGACCGGGTCGTTTCGACCGGGAATTCTATTTTCCCCTTCCCGATCAAAGCGGTCGCCGCAAAATCATCGACATCCATACCAAAGGCTGGGAGCCTCCATTGCAGGATCCCTTCAAAGACCAGCTCGCTGAGATCACTCGTGGATATGGTGGTGCAGATCTGCGCGCTTTGTGCACTGAAGCCGCACTGAACGCTGTCCAGGGAACGTTCCCTCAGATCTACTCCAGCGAGCAGAAACTGATCGTTGATCCTAGCGCAATCAAGGTTCTTGCCAAGGATTTCATGATCTCTGTGAATAAGATGATTCCCTCATCCGAGCGCTCAGCTGCGACAGGCGCGGCGCCGTTGAAGAAGGACATCGAGCCTCTCCTTCGTGCTCCACTCGCCGCAATCGCCGAGCGTCTGGAGGAGATCATTCCGCGCAAGAGGAAAATCACGGCGCTCGAAGAGGCATTGTATGATGATCGCGATGATGAATTTGGATTCGAGAAGGAAACGCTGCAACGGAACTTCGAATCCTCACGAATCTTCAGGCCGCGCTTACTGATCCAGGGTCGGGAAGGCATGGGTCAGCAATATCTCGGCGCAGCATTACTGAGCAAGTTTGAGGGACTCCATGTGCAAAACTTCGACCTGCCGACTCTGATGAAGGACTCTACACGGGTAAGCCATTTCGATCTGCCGCTTCCTGTCCATTAAAGACCATGCTAACGTTTAGATACAGTCACCCGAAGCCGCCATTGTACAGCTGTTCGAGGAAGTGAAGCGACACAAGCCGAGCGTCATTTACATCCCTAATGTCGACATCTGGTACGGGACGCTCAGTGATTCCGCATTGAGAACTTTCTCTGGGCTTCTGCGAAGCCTTCCTCCTACAGATCCTGTCCTCTTGTTGGGTATTATGGACGTTGATTCCAATCATGAAGAAGTCGAACCTGGCCTGAAGAAGTTATTCCAATACTCCATGAAGAACCTTTACACCCTTGAGCGACCCAGCAAGGCCGCTCGTGCCGAATTCTACCAGCCCATCCTGGAGCTGCTTGCAAAGTCGCCGCTGGAGTTCCCGGATTTGGAAAACCGGAAGAAACGTAAGCTCGAGGTCTTGCCGCTCGCGCCTATTGCGCCCCCGCGACAACCGACCGAAGCCGAATTGCGCGAGCAGAAGAAGAAGGATCGATTGGCCCTCAATCAGCTTCGCATATTCCTCTTGCCCGTGATGGAGCAGGTCAAGAAGTACAAACGTTTCCGAGCTCCTGTCGTCGACGAAAATGTCATCAGCTACCTCTTCGACGATACTGACCCGAACGTGCTTTCCACCGATCTGAGCGAAGAACAGCGGCAGCAACAGCAGCTCTACCGACCTTTTGAGCTGAGCAAGGACAAGCATGGTCACCCTGGTATCCGAGAGGTTGCCACGGGCAAATTCTACTACAATCTTGAGATTGTGACCATCGAGAAACGTCTAAACAATGGTTATTACAAACGACCAATGGACTTCGTCGCCGACTTCAAGCGTATCGCAAAGGACTCCAACGTCTCCGGCGACCAAGAGCGGACGATGCGTGCCAATGATCTCCTGGCCACAGTGGAAGTTGACATGGCTGCTCTGGAGGAAGCTCAACCGCATCTAGCGGCACAGTGGAATGCCGTATATGCTAGGGAACTGGAGCGTGAACGGAAGCAGATCGAGAAAGCCCAAGAAGCGCGTCTCAAGGGTGAGAAGGTACCGGTCATAATAGCAAATGTCCCACCTCCGATAAGCTCAAAGACAACCTCGGACAACGCTTCCGGCCCTATTATGCTCGGACAGCACATTCCAGGGCCACCGCCGCTATTCCCTACCACTCCCAACCAGCTAGGCCCCAGGACGACCTCGGACTGGAGCACAACCAATACGAACGGCACACAGAACACCAATGGATACACTGTGCCATCGCGACCAGGACATGAAGACAGCGAGCTTTATGAGAGCAGCCAGGATGTGTTGCAACCAGGCCACGTCACTGCAGGGCGCCCAGCACCACACTTGAGCTTCAGTCAGCCAGCTTCTATCCGACATGCTGGATCCGCGCTCACGCACATGCTTCCGGGCTCCAATCCTGACCAATATGCCAACAGCGCATCCTCTACAACTTCGGGCCAGAGGACCCACCACCACACCACGAATAGCAGCGGGCGCACCAGTGGGCATTCGAATGGGGTTGGCCATGACATACCCGACTATGCCAGGTCAGGACTCTACAATAACAATGCCAGTCAATTCACCGATACCCAACCGCCTTCTGTCGCGTCGCAGCTGACGCCGCCGGATTCGCGCATGCCGCCTCCCCACCGTGAAGGTCGCGCCGTCCCCGTTGACGCGCTAGTGAATGACCCTGCTGAGCCAGCACAAGGACAACCGGGGCAGTACTCTCGCGCACAATATACACATCCTACAACCACTGTCGCCAACACTACAACGACAACCTACATGACGGGTGACAAATCTGCGGCCACCTCTGCTGCACCCGATCACGTCTCTGGCGGCGCCATTACCACAACCACGACGCACGTCGATGCCGACGGAGACGTAGCCATGTCCCCAGCCGCAGCTCCCCATCCAGCTCTCATCATCGACCCACGTCTCATGGCAGCGCTCCACACCGAGCTCGTCACGTATTCCTCCGGACTCTCGCTCGAACAACTGGAGCAGACGCACGCGGCCATGATGCGCGTACTCTGGCGCGACCGCACCGATTGGAACCGCGACATGTTGGCGCAAAAGGTCAAGGACGCATTTAATGCCTGCGTGCGCGACATCGAGGCCTGCCAAGGTGTGGACGATCCCAGCCAACGCTCCCTCCACGGCGCTGGCGGCGCTACGAAAGGCCGGAAGGTCAGCGACGACGCGTGGACGGACGCGACGCCTGCGAGAGGCCCAGGAGGGACCCGGGACCACGGGATTGCAGAAGACGACGGAGACGATTCCCGCGTCATTCGAGGCAGGGAGATGGAGAGGAGACTCGTCGATATCGTCGCTACGGCTGAGGGAAGGAGTCTGCAGGGATCTTCTTGAAGAATCGACGCTGGCGTTGAAGCGGGGAGCGCAAACCTATGACGATCACGCGTCCCTGCTAGGTATCATTGAAGGACGAATGCATACGGCATTGCGGGATCACAATGAGAAATGCATGTCCTTTCTTTACTGACGTTGTTTCCCTCTATACATCTATGGTCGTCCGGAAACCTTTTCGTAGACATGTTGCCCAGTTTTCAGAGACGCTCTTTTATTTCGGGCGCAATGAAAGATCATTGTTCTGTTGTCGTGGCTTCGTTGGCGCATCGCTCTATCTACTACAGTCTCCCGTCTGCGTACACACCGCAGCTGAATGAAGATGCTGTTACTTGTATATATATATATATATATATGGAATGATCCTTCAGCCATCAACAGTTTGCAATTTACTTGGACATCCGCTTCTAGTCGCGAATGTGGAATCTCAGCAAGCCACATACAAGCTGGAGAACATTGTTTCCTTATTACCCCGGAAGAAGCAAAAGCCGAGATGTTTGTTGTGGTGGAAGCTCAGGGTTGTTCTCGCCTGTCGCTGTCGCTGTAGCCAATTGAGTGCCCGCGCATCGGACGACTCCCTCACACTAGTAAAGAGCCACAATGCGGTGGAATAATAATAATAATAATAATAATAATAATAATAATAATAATAATAATAATAATAATAATAATAATAATAATAATAATAAT